ATATTTTTAAAATATTTAAAAATAGTAGTAAAATAATTCTTATACTTTTAAATATATAAAATATAATTATAATATTATTTGTTATGGGACCAAGGCCCTGATATAGAGCTCGGCTTCAGGCACCAGTTGGCACCTGAGGCCTCACACACTATGTACTGAACTAGCGCTAGCTTAGCACATATATAAAAGAATTTCATACGAACAGATGAAATAGCTCTCCAGCTATTTCTTCTTGTTCAAAGGCATGTTTTGATTAGCACAATCCATCCGTCCCGTAACATTATTAATATAAGTTTAAGTAAATATATAGAATTATTTAAATATTAGATTTATTTATTTTTAAATAAATAAAATTAAATTAATAAATCTTATAATAATAATATAAAAGATCTCTTAATTTTAATAAATAATAGTTATAAGATATTTCTTATAATTTTTTATACTAGTTATTAATAAAAATATAATATAAAATTAAATATACTAATATATTAATATTCTTTAATTATATAAAGAATATTCTCTTATATAAAAATAAAATATAGATTAAATTTAGTCTTATAATTTATTTTCTAGAGATTAATAATAACTTTTTTTAAAAATTATTATTAATAGTTTTCTATATTATAAAAACTAGATATATAGAAGATATATAATTAATAATATATAATATTTTATTAATTTAATATAGACAATTAAAGATTCTATTAATAACTTTTTAATTAAATTATAAAATATAATAAATTTTTAATTTAAGTATTTAATTTTCTTAGTCTTTTTTAAATAATATATATAATTAATAATTCTCTAGAATATTAGTAATACTAATATTTAAATTATTAAATATTATCTAAATATTATATAATATAAGGATCTTTTTAAATATATAAATAATAATATTATTTTTAATATAAATAATAATATTATTTATAAATTTTATAATAAAGTTTTTATTTATATTAGTAATATAGAGTATAGATTATATTAAATATAAAAATAAAAAATAATTTCTATAAAAAAACTTTCTGTAAAAAATAAAATAAAAATTTAAAAAATTTAAAAATAAATCTTTTTTTATTTTTAAAAATATTAATATCTATAATAAATACTAAAACTTTAATAATATATAATTAATAACTAGTATTTATAATATTAGAATATAAATTCTTTAAAAATATATATTTTAATTTAAGATTTTTTAAAATATAAAAATAAATAATTTAATTTAATAATATTATCTTTTACTAAATATACTATTATATAATTATTATTTATAAAAATATGAATTTAAGTTTATTAATTAAGAATTACTAGTTTTATTAACTTATTAATTATTTTAATAAATAAAAAATTAGTATTAATAAAATAAGTATATAAAAAAATACTAATACTATTATATAATTTAAATATAAAATTAATATTAGAAAGATTTTTATAAATCTTAATTAATATATAAACTTTTAAATAAAATAAAATAATTATAGATTAAATTATATATATAAAAATATTAATTTTAGTAATTTTAATAATAATCTATACTAAAATAATAAAATTATTATATCTATAAATAATTATAATTTGATTTTTAATATTTAGAATAATATCTTTACAACTAATTATATCAGTTCTAATAAAAAAATTTAGTTAAAGATTTTTAATAAAAAATATTTTATTTATAATATAAATAAATACAGGAATAGATATATTCTTAATTTAATTTTTAATATAAGAAAAATATAACTTAAAAATTATAAATTCTTTAATTTTAATAACTAGAACTAACTCTAGTAATATTTAAAAAATTTTATTATAAAATTAGAATATTAATTAATTTTATTAATATAATATTAATAATTATAAATAAATAACAAATATTTAGATATATTAAAATATATAATTATATTATATTTAATCTAGTTTATATTATTATAGAATATTAAATATATAAGAAAATACTAGAGATAATATCTTTTTTATATTAATTTAATTTAATTATAGAATTAATAGAAAAGATAATAAAAATAATTTTTAATAATTTTAACTTATAAAATAAATATTTATATAAAATATTTTAGAATAAAAAAGTACAAGTATATTAAATATAATTAATAAAGAAATATTAATATTTATAATTATAAAAGCTTTTAAAAACTTAATATTCTTAATAAAAAATATATTAAATTAATTAATTTTAATAATATATATCTTATCTTAATAGATATTACTAGAAATATTCTTAGATTTATTATATAATTTAATAGAATTATCTAGAAATTCTTTAATAAATCTAATTATTAATTATTATATATATTTAAGTATTAGCTTAATATAAAAAGTATTAATATATAAAAAATCTATATATTTAAATTTATATAAGAATATATACTTAAATTAAGAAAATATATTATATTAATACTATTTAAAAGAATATTCTTAAAATTTTAATATAATTAAATTAATAACTATAATATATATATTTTTTTAAAATTAATTATTATAATTATTTCTTTAATTATTCTAATAATTATATAATTATTTATATTATTTTTAATTTTATTAAAATTATTAACTTTATTATTAAAACTACTAGAGCTAACTCTAGAGTTAATAATTATTATAATTTAGAAAAGAATTAATAGATAATTCTATATTTTAATATAGATATTAATTATATTATTTAAAAAAATATTAATCCTATTACTGTTATTTTTAATATAATACTTAAATCTACTAATATAATTAATAAAAGTACTAATTATATTAGAAAAATATAATAATTATTAAATTATTATTAGTTTAAAAATAAGATATTTTCTTAATTTAATTTTTTAAATTATCTATTAGTATTATAGTCTTAATTATTTTAATTATAATAATAATTATAATTATAGTTATAATCCTAGGATCTATATTTTTAAAGTATTTAAAATTTATAAATATTAGAATTTCTATAAAAATTCTTATAATTTATTTTTTTGATTATTTTCTAGATTATTCATATTCTTATTTTTATTAATATAAAAAATAATTATTATTTTATTTTTTTTAAATATAAAAATAATTAACTTTAGATTAAAATTCTTAAATATATTCTAGTATTTTTTATTCATAATAAAATAATTAGTATATATTTAAAATATAATTATTTTAATTATATTAAACTAGAGATAACTCCAGTAATAATAATAAATATTTTAAAAATTATTAAATAAAAATTTAATATTAATATTATTAATTATAATAAATAAAAAATCTCTAGTTATCTAATAAAAAATAAAAAACTAATTATAATAAAATTTTTAATAAAAAAATATTAGTATATTTTATAATATCTACAATAATATTAATTAAATTATAAACAAATTAATAAATTCTATATTTTTATTTTTTAAATATATTTTAAATTTTTTAAATATCTTTATTATAGGTAAAATTAGTGAGAGGTGCTTGGTGAGAGGTGCTTGGTGAGAGGTGCTTGGTGAGAGGTGCTTGGTAAGAGGTGCTTGGTGAGAGGCCTCTTAATGTATTGATTCTGCCGGCAGAACACCAACCAAAAACTCATTTGCCCGATGGCGGCAATCGTCCGCCGTACCCCAACGGTCCCTCCCGTCTTCCTCCCGTCTTCCTCTCGGTCCGCTCCCCCGGTCAGCCGCATTCACACAGAGTTTCTCGTCCGAACCCTCGCATAGAAGTTCCTCGGCGGCTTTCCCACCAGATGGCACCATGGCGGCATTTTTTCAGCAGAGCATAGTATTGTTTGGAGCTTTGGTCAGGAGCCGGTGAATTTCCCGGTTGACACTAAGTGGACGTTTGTGCCGAGTTCCGCGTCCCCCGCCTCTTCTCCCGACGGGATGAGGGTAGCGGCGGTAGCAAATAGTGCTGGAATCCTGGGTATTTTGGATCTGGCTACTGAGGAAGTGAAAATGAGGAAATGAAGTCATGCGATCGTTGGCTTCATGTTCAGTCCTTGGCTTTCTCACCCGATGGCACCCAAATCGCAGCCCTGGGGATATATGAAAATTCACATACTTGATATGGCAGAGCGAAACCCGCCTCGAGAGTTGACCGCCTACACAGGTTTATTGCATGGACTCCAGTCTTTGCCACACTGGGACAACCTGGCATTCTATGCAATAGAAGCTGGCTGGGTGACGTGCAACGGGGAGGGGTTTCTGGCCCTTGCTTCTGGTTTCTTGCCGTACGAAATTGCTGCTTTGACTTTAAGCTCTGCTCTTGGCCAGGGGCAACGTGTTCATGACTTTGAAGTTGTCCTCTGAACCAGACTGGAACAATATATAGAGACTCTATGTCGGAATGCAAGAATAGAAGTTCATATCTCTTGGCACCAAGATTCAGTAGCTTTCTGTACCCGTGGAACGGTCATCACGCTTTTTAACCTCCTTTCATGACTTCAGGACCTCGAATGGGGTTGGCCCAGAGCTGACAGTCTAGGGGAGTTGGCATCACAACAGGTAGAGGTAGAATTAAGCAGCTGCCTGACTTTCTATATTTGGAAGTCAACAACACCCACGCTGATAACTCGTATCACGGACAGATGAAGTTTAGTCGGTGACATGTATAATCGAGGGTCAAGGCTAAATAGCACGAGAGAAGGAGTAAATGAGAAAGCACAGAGCGCTATTTATGAGGCACATATAAACCCATGTAACCAAATCGTAGACTCTTGATTATCACTGTGGGCTGAGTATCTGATGAGGTGAGAAAGCCAGCGAATGATTGTACGCGCCAGAATTCGGGATGGAGATCCACATGCGTAGAAGTAAGAAACTTCGAGAAAACACTGATCTCCATATTCTTGCTCTTCCGTCGGTGCTTGCCGTAGCAGAGATATTTCATAACTGGGCAAGGCCGAGTGCAAATGACTAGGAATTATGGTCAAGGATATGTACTTATGAGAGCCGAAGGATGATCTTAAGTGCGGACTTGGGGTGAGCCATGACTCTGCTAGGCCTATTGTAGATTTATAACCATATTATCTTCTTGTCCATAAATTAACGCTTGCAGCTTGCTTGCCGAGCGCCTTCATTGTAATGCTCCATTGCGTAGAAAGGCCTTTGAACCTCGCCTCACGAGAAATCTTCTTCAATATCCGCGGATGGCTGCTGACTGGAGAGATCCTCCCCGTCGACAGTCTCGGGCTGCGATTGACCGAGATATTGAGTAACAGACGGACTAGACATGAGCTCGTCCCTCTGCACGGGTCAGAAGTTAGTGCCATAATGTTCAATGGTAGACAAGACAACGGCAAGAATTGCAACGTACCCGCTTCACCAGATCCTCGATTCCTTGACTCAGCAAGTTTAACTCTAACACCCGCAACCGCTTGATCATGTTATAAATATCCGGCCTAAACATCGCCCGCATGTCTTCACTATCGTCGATCTCAGACACCATTAAGTCTGTCTCCTTGAGCACCCAAGCCTGCGTTTCAAGTCGCTCAAGAACAAGCACCACAGCACGCAGCTGGATGATGTCCCAGTGCGGATCTGCCACGAGGAGCTCTTTGAGGTGGCCCGAGTCCCGCACGTCCGCGCCCTTCCAAAGCGCCTTCAGCTCACGGCCGCCATCGTTGGTTTGCAGCACGGTGAAATCCAGCCCGTCCTCCTCGTTGACGCACGCCCACCAGATGATCGCGCTGTCCCAGCCCGTGGCGGGAGTCGACTCCGCCGTTTCCGCGGAAGTATACACCCGGACACCCGGGGATTCCTTACAGAAGGCCTTCTTGACAACCTTCAAGGGATCATCATCCGGGATATCCAAGTCGAGGAATATCTGCTTCGCATCGGTGGTATCCCGATCCAGAAAGCCGTACGAGAAAATCATCTCCGAGGCTGATTTCTCGTCACCGTAACTTGATGCAAGCAAAGGTCAGCCCACCAAATCCCCGCCGCAGACCACAACCAACCACTTACGAAATCGTCACCTCGTCCCCAGCACGCACAGTCTTCCCATACCGAAGCTGCAGCACGACATTCCCCTCCGCATCCTCATCATACAGCGCCTTGACCGACGCCTCCGAGCTGTGATTCGCCATATCAATGCACGGCACCATGGCATGCCCGCTCGTCGGCAGATCAACCATGCGCGAGCGATACAGCGCGTCGACGTATTTCCAGTCGTCGAACGTCGCTTTCCCGGTCTCGTCGTCCCACCAGAGCTTGCGACACCAGGGGAGTAACTCCTCTGTCTTTTCGCGCAAAAGCGTGAACTCCTTCTCCAGCGCCGCCAGCTTGGAGTGCACCGCCAGACGCAGCGACGTGCCGCGCAGGAGCTCCATTTCCGCGTCCGAGTAGAACGTGGGTAGCGGGATCTCCGCGGGCATGTACTTCATGTACTCGGTCCAGGGACCGGATACGCCAACCTCGCTCGCGAAGTCAGGGCTGGAGTGCGTGAGCTGGATGAGCAGGAAGATCAGGATCGCGCCGCGGGGGGTCTGTTGTTCGTGCAGTTAGTTTAGTTACCTCTCAATCTCCATCATCGTATAGCATAGACCCCAGCCCCGAGATCCATGCGCGAATTCCTCGAAATTGAATTGGAAGAAACGTCTTACCCGCCCAAACTCCCCAACAGCCTCCAACACCTCGCGCAGATGCCGATCCGACTTAGCATACGCATGCACCGTATCCAACGACAGGATCAATTCCGGGGGCACTGTCAAGAGAACCCCCGTGTCGACCGCGCCGAGCGCCGACTCGCCACCAACCCGGTCCTCGGTCGCGACGATCGCCGAACCCTTGCTGCTGTTGTCGACATCGTCATCCACCCCGGAAGTCAGATGAGCGAAGGCCACACTCTCGATCCGGACCCCGTTGAGCTTGACCCACGACGGCAGCGTTTCGATTGGTAGATAGGATCGCTTCATCTTATTGGACTCCGCGTGTACCCCAAGGCTAAGGTTAAGGTATTGATCTAATATGCCACATGCTCATTTGAAGATTGACGTTCCCCGATCCATTCAATCGCCCGTTCAAGTTCCTTATCGATAAGCACGCCCCAAGGCGGAGGGGACGTCAGTTCGGAGCCCTAAGCCCTAAGCATAGCTCATTACGGCATGGAGACGTCATGCTGCCAAGGGCTCATAACCGGGGTAACTTGACGCTCGAGGGAGTATATAATCAGCGTGAACCTACGTAGCATTATCGTTGATGTCATTCCATACTTAAGACTTTACACATTTCACAATATTCGCCTCGCTCTTCTCTCCATTGTTACTGCACCAGAAAGAACACCATTCGAAGAATATACCGGGTTTACAACCTACAGGATGTTCACCAACACTCGCATCGCGTCCTCGAAGCTCTACAGTCTGTTCGCAAGGCCGCAGCAGCAGCAGCAAGCACTTCGCGCCATCACGCCAGTAAGCGTGCAGAGCCGCCGGCTGAACAGTTCCTGGGTCGGAACCAACCAGGACGACCACGCCGTCAACCGCCAGAAGAAGAGGGATACGACGGATCCCGAGACAGATGCCTCGTCGGCCGGGTTGAAGGATAGAGAAGAGAAGCATGGGCTGCCGGATAGCTCGAAGCCGCAGGGGGCCACGGAGCGCGGGGGTCTGAAGCACGAGCGGAAGGCCAAGAGCGAGCATCCCAAGGCGCCGGAGCCCATTCTTGGGATGAATGATGAACGAGGCCAGGTACGCTAGACACTGAAATCGTTGTCTTTGGGAATTTGGCCATGTTGTCGGGTGACGACACTTTGGCTTGCCTGGGAGATGATTTATGCTAACTTTCCTATTCTCAGAGAGGTCACTAGGTTCCTAAGGCAAAAAGTCATTGCAACATCCTTTTATGTTTCCAGACGCGCGCTGTTCTTTTCATAATTGTAGCATCATCTCGGTTTATAACTTCATTATCATGTTCACTGTACATAGATCGAACGGAAATATCTACCTGCCGGGTTTGAAAGAGAGGACCTAGATGCAAGATTAGTTTGCACTCGATTAGTAAAACAGCTGCGGAGTTCACATACATCGTGTTTCCCAACTGCAACCACCTCGTCCTCGGAAACACGAGTTCCGCCTACTCCTTCGATGTATGAAATGGGTACATCTCCCATAACCTTACGGGCGACGTCGCCCACCGTGCTGTTCCTGCTCGTTGTTAGCGAAGTCGCTACAGATGGGACCCTCAAGCGACTACTCACTTTTTAACAAGGACACAGTCGCGGAACACTGCCGTACCAGCTCCGGAGGAGAATGTGTGGATGTTGCGGACGGGAAACACGGGTACGAGACCTAGGAGTTCAGCAGCGCGCGAGAGGCACTGTACAACACCGGTCGAGCCGAAACGGTAGAGGACCATGTCTTTCAAGTTCTCGACGCGCCTGTGGTCTACTTGTTAGCTCAATAAGTGAAAGGCCAGGTTGAAAATGGCGTACGTTTTCAGCTTCTCGTCCATTTCCTTGAGGCCTCCGCCATCCGGATCACCCATATCAATTAGGTCCTCTCGCATATCTACGAATTCACTTCCTTCAATGTATTTGATATAGCCCTGCTTTGCGAGTCTGCGAAGGAAGACTTCAGAGATGGCGGAGCACAGCACGATGGACTTGGGATCTTGCATCTTGGCGATTTTGCTGATGTTCTAGAACCAAGTGGGTTAGTTCCGAGCCGAATTTGCCCTGCACGAGTGGAACATACCTTGTCCGCATCGGGGTGGTCAATCTTGTTCAATGCAAACACGGTCGGAAACTTCTCGTCAATGAACGTTTCGACGACCTTCTCGACTGTCTCATCTGACCATTCATCCAGCGGTTCCTTGAGCCCTAACTTGTCCAAACACCGTCCCACGATGGAGGATGTACTTCCGTAACCGGAGAACTGAGCCTGCAATGTATCCACGGCCGTTGATTCTGTCGAAACGTGTTAGGGAATCTGATATAAATCGCGATACATCGCCGTCAACTCACTGGTAGCAACATGTCTCCTCTTGATCGATCCCCTGGGTTCGCGAAGTCAGCTTCGCTGTATAGTCTGTGGATCTCAAGCGCGACCGTACCATTTCTGCATCAGGTTACCAAGCACCCAGCGCACGATCTCGGAGTGCAACCATTCAATATCTTGCGAAGGATCGTAACCTCGTGTGGCCTTGCCTGATAAACCAGTCAGCCCGTCCCACCACAGTATATCCAGTCTTCCCCGGCGCGGTTGGTGCCTATGTACCTTCTGCGTCCGTCGTCCCGCTCACATCCACCACATGAATCAAAGCATCCGCATGGCGCAAGTCATCCAAGAATTTATTACCCAGGCCCCGGCCCTGATGCGCACCCGGAACAAGGCCTGCAACATCCAGGAGCTCGATCGGGACGGAGCGTCGGCCCTCCACGCAGCCTCCGTAGTTCGGTCGACATTTGTCGGAAACTCCGAGTCGTTGGCAGGCGCATTCTATTTGCAGGTAGCCGATGGCGCGCTGCGGATCGATTGTGGTGAATCTGCGGAGAGGCCAAGGGTGGTCAATCAGCGTCTGTAAGGATATCGACGGTGGTGATCGGTGTGTTCAAACGCACGGGAAGTTTCCTAGGCAGTAATCGCAATCGTGAGTAAACGGACACTATAGAAAAAGACCAGAAATAGCAGGCAGCACATACCAACTTTGGAAGAAGCATCAGTCAAACTGTTGAGTGTCGTTGACTTTCCGCTAGACGGCTACATGCCCCTCATTGGAATCAGCAGTGGACTAGCGTTGGATGAACGGAGGGAAAATAGACCTTTCCGACCAAACCGATCAATGGATCTCTTGGCATCTTGAAGTATAGTTTCCGAGTGTATCTAAGCGAGCGACAATCCTGAACAAGCTAAATAGTCTCGTTTGGTTTGACGAGTCTCTCGAGAAAGCATTTCTGCAGGAGCGGGGAAACGGTCAATTTCTGCCGTCTGGACGAGGAAGGCGGTCAGCGCGCCTGCACGAGCCCGTTTCGGGACCCCGATAGTGGCTTCCCGTCCCGGCCATTGCGGGCAACGTAACCGGTCACTGGTCTCTCACTCAAGGACCTAATCTGCTGGAATCGAACAGAACAACAAGTGATAAACTGGCGGTCAACAGCTCTCAATACCTCCCAAACTAGGGGGCATTGCAGGAAGCTGGTGCTTCATTTACTCTACTTCAATTGCATACTCGTTTGGCAGTTTGAGTCTCCACCGTCTATATGACGACTTATGGTTCATATCTTTGCACCACATGGGCACATAGGCTAGCAGTCACAATGGTCGGTGTACTGTACAAATCAGTCTTTTGAGATCGTAACTTCGCTACTTCGCAAATATGCGTCGTGAAGTGAACTATATACATGACATTGCGTATCATCAATTCGACCAGATCAAGCAAGTGAGCCTAAATTGCTCCGGGCATCCCCACTTCTTAATCATATTCGACTCAAGCATCCAACAAGGGAGGAACCTTCTCGCAGAGGTATTCGACAATGGCATCAGGGCCCCTCTCGACCTGGAGGCCTTCGGGAATGGCGTGAAGCTTGATGGTGGGGTTGATCGAACGAGCGATGGCGTGGATCTCCTGAGCCTGCTCGGCAGTCCACATAGATGCGCTGAACTATAGGGTACAGTTAGCAGGAGAGACAGGCGAATCCAACAGAATATATACAATGTAACAGATAAGTTGGAAGGGGGTGACTCGACTTACCAAGACGTCAGGCATGTGCTCCCGAACCTTAGGTTCGACTTCCTCGATCTCTGTTCGAGCCATCAGTCAGTACGATGCAAAGTTGAGCCATTGAACCATTATCGGTATCACGTACTCTCGCAGTTGTCAACGTGGATGATAGTGTAGCGGTCCTTGAGTGCCTCAATCAGACGCCCGATGAGGCGCTTGGCTCTCTCGGGAGCAGTGTTGACGGTGACAAGGCGGAAAGGTCCCTTGGGAGCAGACATGTTGACTGATTGCTTGGGTGAATGAGTTTATTTTGGCAAGAATTGCGACAGCGTACCGTGTAGCCTTTTAAACCAACCCAGCGCATTGCGACTTCGCCGCTTTGTCCGACCGAGATCCCCGCTGGCGACATCCCCACAACCGCAGCGTGGGGAAGTGGGCTGTTTAGTGTACAAGTTATCGCCGGGTTTCATCCGACAGGAAGGAGAAGCAAGCAGCATCCGACAGTTCGACTCTCACCCGGCAATCGACATTCTTTCGCCATTGCCCCACCTATGTTTTTCACCCCTCCCTCCCCGCACCAGAAAGAGGGGTGGCAGCAGCGATGTCGGGGTAGATATATGCCGCAGACTTCCTCGGTTACTTAAAAGCCTAGAGATCATTTCCAGAGACCTCCCAAGCTCGCATCTTCGTCCTCATATTTCTTACACACCCTTCGTTCACCATGTCTAAGATCGCATCCACATTCTCGCGTACGTGCTGAATTCTCACGAGAGATAATCGCAGTCGCTGACACCTTACTAGGCCTTGTGCGCTTCGTTCCCAAGTCGAACCCCTCCAGGATCCTGATCGGAGAGCCCGTCGATGCCTCAATTGACGTCGGTCTGGCCGTCTACAAGGGCCAGGAAGTCGCTGTGCGGCCCTTTTCCGGCACATCGATCCTGAACCCCGGTCAGAAGACCGACGCGACCGAGACCATTGAGCGCATCCTCTCCCCACTGGCACAGAGCGAGGTCGGCACGATCCGATGCATTGGCCTGAACGTGAGTCTTTCCGGTCTAGACAGCTTACAAAACAAAGCGCATAAGCCAATCAAGGTCCTGTAGTACGTCTCCCATGCCACTGAGATGAATATGGACATTCCCACCCTCCCCACGCTGTTCATGAAGCCGTCGACGGCGCTGTCGGATCCCTGGCCCGCCCCGACCATCCTGCCCAAAATTACGCAGAGGGACAACACCGGTGACTACGAGTCGGAGATGGTCATTGTCATTGGCCGCGACGCGAAGGATGTGAGCGAGGAGGAGGCACTGGATTACGTGCTCGGATACACGGCTGCCAACGATGTCTCCAGCCGGACGTCCCAGATGAACCAGAGCCAGTGGTGCTTCTCAAAGGGCTTCGACACGTCTTGCCCCATCGGTATGACATGCCACCTACTGAATTCGGCCGTCGCACCATGAGCTCTGACCCTGACTCTCTCACACTCAGGCCCCGTCCTCGTCTCCGCAGCTCAGGTCCCCGACGCCAGTAAACTCCACATCCGTGGATCCAAGAACGGCAAGGTCTTGCAGGATTGCCCTCTCACGTACGTAGTCCCTTCTTGTCATCGACCGACAATGAAAGCTAACAGGTGATCTCCCACAGTGACCTGATCTTCAGCGTTCCTCAGCTCGTCAGCTTCCTGTCGCAGGGAACCACCCTACCAGCTGGAACCATCATTCTGACCGGCACTCCCCCTGGTGTTGGTGCTGCCAAGAACCCGAAGGAGTTCTTGAAGCATGGCGACGAATTTGCCATCGAGCTGCAGCCTCACGTTGGAACGCTGATCACCAAGATTGAAAACCAGGCATGAACTGTAGCAACATGAAAATTGTATAGAATTAGATTGCGGCAGCGCGTGATTTTCGCATGAATTGAAGCTCTTCACCTTGATGGTGGTTTTCATTTTACCTAGTCTACCGCGTGTTGTTCATCGATCTCCGTAGCTCTTTGGGTCTCATGGCGTAGACTTCGTATCTACTGTAGGCACTTAATTTTCGTCAATTGCTTAGGATGTCATGTGAACAATCCTCAATTGCCTTGAACATTATCGGCATTTCCGACAATTGGAGCATGCCGGTGTAGCCCATGTCCCCACGATGACAAACTCGGCTCCCCACAATCAAGCTCACCCACTGTTCACCGGGAAGGTGCAAGCTTAGGCGACGCAAGCCGATGCAAGGTAAAGAGCTCAACATAACCCTCGTGCAGCTACAAGATCCAATTATTTCCTTTTGCATCATGTGTGCCACGAGACCCGTACAATGGTGAAGCCCAAGTATAATGCGCTGTCTCGATATATTTCTCATACATTGATCAAGGCTGCGTGCACGCCCGGATTATCCGACAAGCAGTGCTGGATAAAGTTTAGTCCGCCGGAAGTAGTCAGTTCCGAGGGCCGACCGGCTCGGGTTCCCGCTCTCTAAGAGGCAGCGAGACAAACCGGGCAAACTACTAGTAATCAACAAGTCGGGAGATGTATTCATAAGCGATCATATAATGTGAGTTCTGTACTGAGTACGGAGCCTTGTACCCAAAGTTATACTGTGATTACTTTATACAGATATAATATCACTAACTTAGTGTATAAAAGGCGGGCAAGTATATCAAGCTAATAAAAGTAAGCTAAGAGTTATAAACATATACTTAAACTGTATAATTAATAAATTATATAATAAGATTATAACTATTCCTGCTCTTTAGAAGAATATGATCTATATGATTACTATTTGATTTCACTATTTACACATATTGTTACTAGTGCGGTTCCATAACTTTTGATACACGGCTCCGTACTGACCCCTGAGAGAGCTCCTGCAGTACTATCGGGAGATCATCTCAATAGTATGCAAGCCGAGGATCTCATTGCTTTTGCCGGCAGAGAGTGCATCCCTGACATGTCAAATCTCCGTGGCCAGTGATTTGAAGCACGTCCGCTACACGGATACGGCGGAGGCGTTGCCATGTTCACACTCGTTTTTTATCTCGGAAACCAGCCGTGACTTGAGGGTGATTGACTTTCGATGCAAAAGCTTCTTTCTATGTAACTGAATCATATTTACTGAGGGCACCGAGCAAGCATGGGTAGAAGCTTGATTGGGCTATGTCTAGCCCATCACCTTCCTCACCACAGAATTCATCCCGTTCATCAACCCTGTCTGTGTATCCGCCTCGCGAAGTTTCCCAAAGCCGCCCATCAAGGCGTTTCTATCGGACAAGCTTTCCGTGTCAATGGCAATTCCTTTGTTATCCCCTCTCATTCACCGCATTTCACCCGCTCCGCTTTAATTGTCTACGCCATGTGCAATTGCCTTGAATTTATCTCCAGGAGCCCATCAGACTGAACCACCTGGTACAGGTATGTGCACCAGGCCTCCCGGTGCTTCGCGAAGGACGCCACCGCCTAGGGGCTGTTTGCGACGGGACGCGGACGGCTGCGCGGTGACTTCGGTGGCGGGCTGGAAAGTGAGACCCGGCGTGACGTGGCGAAAGGCGGCTCGTCGCTGTGGAAGGGCGGCGCGCAGGAAGGCTTCAATGGTAGAGTTAGGCGTGGTTAACGATTTTTCAAGAACGGTCAGTGGGTAGGGAATGGTAATAATGCTGCTGCTGGGCGATGATGAGGCCGAGGCTGCTGCTGGTGTTGGTGCTATTCCTCCCTCTATCTCTCTCATGGGCCGGCGACAAGAGAAATGGCTCGTTCCACGTCAATCGCATCCAGCCAGCGTGTAAACACGAAGACGACCTTCCGGACTCCGGCTTCGGTTCACGTATTTTATTTCCAGGGCTGGAAGCGGTTGATCGATCTGTGTTCCTCGGTGTTTGCCGAGGTAGGTGGTCGGTTCACACTTGGCGAACATCTCGATTTCTGCTCCCAGAAACTCTTGTAGGGGCTTTCAGGGTTCTGCGTGATCGATGAGAGGGCCGGGTGTGTTCCTAGCAAGGAAGGAAGGCGGCTAGCCCGGTTTGTTGGTTGTAGCTTTTGTTCCCATCTGGATAGTGGAATAGGTCAGTAGATCGTGTGCACAGCCACATGTCATACAAGCACGCATGGTCTCGACGTTGAGATCATTGTGTATGAATTTGGTGGTCTTGAAGAGCCAGGTATATCGGATATCGAGGTACTGCAGGTGCGAAAACTCGTTGTAAATAAGCCCGGTCGGGTCGGTCAAACCATTAGATTCAGGAGGAGTAGAGGTCTATCATGTCATGATGTCAGGCGTGATACAGAATCTCGACAAGTTTCGAGCTGGTGAGGCGTACGGTGACAGCGGCTACGATGGGCGAGTACTGCTCCCACCACGCTGTCCCGGGAAGGTCGGCGAGTTCGTATCCTGTACCATGCCGGGTGGGCTCCAGAATCTTGTTGGAGGGCTTAGCAGATAATCGAGGTTCGAATGTGGGGGAGACCATGATGTACTTCTCTGTGAGTTGTAAGTTTGAATGAGCTCATGGCCTAGTCCATACAGTGTGGTTGATGTGTTTTCCTCTTCGGGTAAGGTGTGTTTATGTAGGGTAAGTATGGTCCGTGCTCGCTCCACGTCGGCTGTCGGCTGCATGTTTCCTTCAGCTTGAATCCTAGGTTCCATTCAGTCCAAGTTGCTGCTTCCCCTCACCTTACCTTGTCTCCGGCTACTTCCCCGTCCAATTATTGCCTGCACTGCACCTATCGCTCTAGTACCACCAAAAAAAAGCACAAGGGACGTCAGGAATGATACATACCTATGCAACCTTCGGCTTCACTAGTGAGGCGTCCGACTCTGATGGGCGCAAGCCACCCCCCGCATGAATTCCGACTCTCGATTCACTAGTGGCGATGATCTCCGATAATTGACCGAAAAGATCTTTTGGAACATGATGTCAATCATTATAATTAACCCTCGCTAAGGATTCAGGGTCGGTTTACCCCAGCCTCAGTCCCTCCATTCGAGTCCAGTGAGCCCCTTGGGAGCACTTCTCGACTCTCATCCCTGTCTCGTCGAGGAATACTTGACGGTCTTGGCAGTATATCTCGGCTCCCGTCGCTCTGTTGTCGGGAAATGCCTGGCCTGAGCGATCTTGGCATCAGAAAAGTGAGATAATTGTGGATTGTTTGCCTTTGAGTTCAGTGGGGTCATGTTGTACCGCAGCCCGCAACTGATTTCCTTGGATCAACATGCCCTGCATCCGTTGTCAGCTGCCCGACTAGGACCCAGCCCCATTCCCTTACATGCCTATATATACCTGAATAATCTTACATCGATCCCATGCTTCTCAACCATCCTTGTCTCCCTAGGGCGCGCTTTCTCCAAGGATGTTGGGATCCTTATTAACCCTCTTGCCCCTTGTGGGTGCTGCAGCCGTTGAATCACAGACATCGCAGCGTGACTGTCCTGGCTATAAGGCCTCTAATGTCAAGAAGGATGGAAAGTCCGTAAAGGCAGACTTGACGTTGGCTGGTTCTCCCTGCAATACCTACGGCACGGATCTGCGTGACCTCAAACTCCTTGTGGAGTATCAGACCGGTAAGAATCAGTTCACTTCTGAATTCCAGGGTTGCGCTCACAGCCATCCATAGATGAACGTCTACATGTGATTATCTACGATGCCGACGAACAGGTTTACCAGGTTCCCGAATCTGTCCTCCCCCGTGTGGACGGGAACAGCAGCTCCAGCGACACATCGTTGCTCGATTTTGACTTTGTGGAAGAGCCGTTCTCGTTCGTCGTCTCACGAGACAATGAGGTACTTTTCAACACTTCTGCGTCGAACCTCGTATTTCAGTCTCAGTACTTGAACCTGCGCACCTGGCTTCCAAACGATCCCTACCTCTACGGGCTAGGAGAACACTCTGACCCTATGCGGCTGCCCACAGACAACTACACTCGCACACTCTGGAACCGCGACGCATACAGTGCTCCCAACAGAAGCAACCTCTACGGTAGCCATCCAGTCTACTATGACCACCGTGGCGAATCTGGCACTCACGGTGTCCTATTCTTGAACTCTAACGGTATGGACATCAAGATCAACAGAACCGAAGACGGTCAGCAATACCTCGAATACAACACCTTGGGTGGTGTTTTCGACTTCTACTTTTTCACTGCGCCTACCCCTAAAGAGGCAAGCATCGAGTACGCTAAGGTTGTCGGCTTCCCCGCGATGCAGAGTTACTGGACATTGGGTGTAAGTGGTCCCCATTGTTAACATGCGACTTCGAAATCGCCCATTCATATCTGACTTCCATTAGTTTCATCAATGCAGATATGGATACCGTGATGTCTATAATGTAGCAGAAGTGGTGTATAACTACAGTCAAGCAGGAATCCCACTGGAAACCATGTGGACAGATATTGACTACATGGATCGGAGGAGAGTGTTTACTCTTGACTCGGAAAGATTTCCGCTGGAAAAGATGCGCGAACTCGTCAATTACTTACATCAGCACGATCAAAAGTACATCTTAATGGTGGATCCCGCTGTAAGCGTCAGCAGTAAGTCCTTCATGAGCACCATTTTCTGCTTCGTGGGCTGACATAACCTCCACAAAGACAACACAGCATACTCCACTGGTGTGAGCGAGGGCGTCTTCCTCTACCACCAAAATGGAAGTCTATATGAGGGTATTCAACTTCCCTTCCAACTAACGGAACATAAGCGCTTACTTGAAATGACTAGGTGCGGTCTGGCCTGGCGTGACTGTCTATCCGGACTGGTTCAATGCCGATACCCAAGATTTCTGGAATGCTCAATTCGGACGGTTCTTCAATGCTAGTTCGGGGGTTGACATTGACGGTCTGTGGATTGACATGAACGAAGCGGCCAACTTCTGTCTTTATCCATGTGCGGATCCTCAAGCATTCGCCATTTCGGATAACCTCCCACCCGCGGCGCCTCCTGTTCGGGCTAGCAGTCCTCGCGTACTGCCTGGTTTCCCTGCGGACTTCCAGCCTTCCGTGTCCAAGCGATCAAGCAAGGGGCTAGGAACCAAAGGGGCCAAAGTCGGACTCGCCAACCGCAACCTTACTGACCCGCCTTACAAGATTCAAAATGCGGCTGGTGTTATTAGTATGAACACAATTCAAACTGATATCGTCCATGCCGGGGAAGGTTACGCTGAATATGATACACATAACTTGTATGGAACGAGTGAGTTCAGCACTGCCTTCACGACCACGATTCGCACTGACATTTTGGGCCCAGTGATGAGCACGGCGTCTCGCGATGCCATGGCCTTCCGTCGCCCTGACGTTCGACCGTTCATTATCACTCGCAGTACGTTTGCTGGAGCCGGAGCGCATGTTGGACACTGGTAAGTCTTCGCGCACCCGCTCATGGATTGAGTACTGACTTTTCAGGCTGGGCGACAACATCAGCGACTGGGTCCACTACCGGATCTCCATCGCGCAGATTCTGGCGTTCGCCTCGATGTTTCAAATTCCCATGGTAGGAGCCGACGTGTGCGGATTTGGTGGGAACACCACCGAGCAGCTCTGTGCCCGGTGGGCGTCTCTCGGCGCTTTCTACACCTTCTACCGCAATCACAATGAGATCAACGACATCTCCCAAGAGTTTTACGTCTGGCCCACCGTGGCGGAGTCCGCTCGCAAGGCCATCGACATCCGGTATAGGCTTCTAGACTACATTTACACGTCCCTGCACCGGCAATCTCAAACTGGGGAGCCGTTCTTGCAACCCCTATTCTATCTGTATCCAGAAGACAAGAACACCTTCACCAACGACCTCCAGTTCTTCTTCGGCGATGCCATCCTTGTCAGTCCAGTCATTGAAGAGAACTCGACTTCCGTCAACGCCTACTTCCCCGATGATATCTTTTACGACTGGTACACCGGAGAAGCGCTACGAGGACGGGGTGCAAACGTCACGCTCAAGGACATCGACTTCACGCACATTCCCATACATGTCCGTGGCGGAAGCATCGTGCCGATCCGGTCGTCCAGCGCCATGACAACGAGCGAGATCCGCCAGAAGGGCTTTGAACTGCTTATTGCTCCGGGTCTGGATGGAACTGCGTGGGGAAGTCTGTACTTGGATGACGGAGACTCGCTCGAGCAGTCCGAGGTGTCGGAGATCACTTTCCACTACAGCCGTAAGAGTCAGGAGCTACGGGTCTCGGTCGAGAACGGATCTGAGCTCAGGGTGGAAAAGATTACTGTGCTTGGTGCGTCAGCGAAAAAGACGAATGAGGAAGGGTTTAGTCTCGCTTCATCGTTGAAGGTGAAGCTTGCGTGAATCATTACGTACCATTATTGGAGCATTCCATGTTAAATATTTCCGTGTCTGTCAGGGACCGAATAATCAAGTTGATCTCTGTGGCCCGCGTGGCATTCCTCTGGTATTGTTCATCTCAAGCAAGTGTAGTAGAGCTTGACAGAATTCATCCTTCAATGGCGCTGGTCATAGTACAGATCGTCAATATCGACACCTTGATCAACCATACCATAAATCTACAATCAGAGCTACGTATAAAATCGAAACACTTTTCAAAAGAAGATTTAATACTTAGGGGCAGAAAAAAATCACCCACTAAACAAAGCCACACCAACCATATTGGCATCGAAATGACCAACTCTCTTATCCGTCATGCTATCCATCATGCTCTCCTTTCATCATCGTCATCATCATCATCGGGGGTCCTTCTCCCGCTCAGCAAGCAACTCCTCCAAATCATCCCAATCAGCCTGCAACATCTGCAATGCATCACAGACGTTCAATATCCACTCTTCATCTTGCTGGACATGAAACTCCCGAATCTCATCACCCCATTGCCCGTCGGGTAACGCGGGACCGCGCTTCGTGAAGCAGATCTGAGGCACCTCGCCCTCGTCGTCGCCGCAGTCCTTATAGAATCAGACATTGTCGCCACGTCGTACGACACCGTACATGGGCCAGAGCTCGAGCATCGAGGCCTCACGCTTGTCCTGTATTGTCTGGCTCAGTTTGGCTGCGAGTCCTCCCAGGTGTCAGCGTAGGCTCCATCCCATTCCGTTTGGACGTTGACGATGAGGTCGAGGGCCCATGGTAGTCTGCGGGTATATTCCATTGTTTTTCTTTTGCTTTGGAGGTTAGTAGTGGGAATGATGCTTTTGGTATTTCGGGGGCGTTACTTATCTTGTTGTGGCTTGTTAGGAAACGAGAGGGGTGCGTTGGCTGTGATTGATTTGTATGTTGCTGTGCGGTGCGCGGGCGGGCTAGTGAGGTTCTTTGTTGGTTGTGTGAATTGTGAAGGAGGGTATCTCTTACCCGAGTCCTCCAAGCTGGAAATAATCTCCTGTATGGCCGCTCGATAAGCAAACTTATAGTTTAGTGCTTTACTATGGGGGATTCTCTGGATTGAGAGGTGAGTTCCGGATTATACTGGCTGGGTTTGATGGTTGTTGCTGTGCTACTTGATATGGATTTCCAATGCCGATAATCAGGCTACAGAACTGCTCTAGAGTGACCTCTCTGTGTTGTTGGACTAGTGAATGCCTGTGTTCCTCAGCTTTTGGATACTGTATCCCACATGCACAGCGAGATATGCATAGTATATCTCGTGCAAGGGCTAAAGGGATGCCGACCCTCATCGTTCAATATCAACACATGGTAAATCGATATAACGACCGCCACAATCCCTATCACCCCGCTTATCAATCAACGAAATACTAATGTACCTTTCAGCTGTTCCATCGTCCTTGAAACAACGCAGGAATGTCCCTATCCAGCCCAGACATACCACCCGTCCCAAGCCGCTCCGCTATGCTCGCGATTTATACTGCGCCTCCCACGCACGCAAGGGATAACCCTTCAACGCGCCAGCTATTATACTCACAGCTCAACGCGTTGTTTCACATTCACGCGCATTAATCTCCCTGGCTACAACTCCTTCCAAACTAACCCTCCCTCAAATACCACCCGGCGCCCCCTTTCCACTTAAAATCCTCCTCCCAATCCTCCTCTTACTCCCACTCCACCTCCTACACCCAAGCCCAACCCAACCTCCGACTCATCACCACCACCAAGACAGAACAAAATGCAGCTCAAATCCCTCCTCCTAACCCTAGCAACCACCCTCTCCCTCGCAACCGCAGACCTGATCGAGTACTGCCCCTTCGCGCAGGACAAGACCGGCATGCTACAGCACGCCTACTGCTGCGACCGGTTCGAGTCGGGGCTGCACACGGATCTCGCCGTGGAGGGCTTCGGGTGTACGTTCCCTTTTCCTTCCCTTCCCCTGTCCTTCTTACTTTGAATTCGAATGAGAAGCTAATCCGAAGGAACCGGGACAGGTCAATCGGTTACGGAGCCTGTGGCAGCGTGTCCGGATGGCGGGAGTGTGGTATGCTGTTATACTATTGTGAGTTCTTTTCTTTGGGGTTGTTTGTATAGGGAATGGGGAATGGAGACAGGCTAATTTCGTGCTTTTTGGGGTAGAATACGCAGTTTATCTGTACGGCGAATGCGATTTTGGAGGATGATTAGATTGGTTTTCATTTGTTCTTCAGGGGCAAGGGGCTAGAGTTCTTGGGTTGATGGCTTAGTATTGTAATACTAAGTAGGGAGGCGAGGTGGTTGTTCGGATTTGCTGTATGTTGTGTGGTTGGGTTGTGTTGTTAAAAGTTGTGGTAGGGATGGAGGCTGGGTTTGTTGTTTGGTTGGAACCGCTTATCTACCTTCGTATATCAATCAAATGGGGTTCGGGGGATATATGCAACATTAGAACAGCCATGGCAAAATTAACTGAAATAACAAATTTGGTTATTAGTTCAATGCGACACTGACTAATTTAACTAATGTTCATCAAGTAATGCTTGCAGTAACGTAAGAGTGACTGCGTCCAGCAATCAGGAAAGTACGTCATCCGGATGTCATCCCCACTAGGATCTGTTCAACAACAATATTTATACCAACCACAACCACAACCACAGCAACAACCAATCCCAAGAAAACCACATCCAACACTACAATTACACTCAATAACCACAAAAAATGCCACCCAAGAAGATCCTCATCGTCCTCAGCGACGCGCACTCCTTCCCACTCAAGAAAACCTCCGGCCCGGACGCCGGCAAAGTCGTCGACCAGCCCTCGGGCTTCTTCCTCATGGAGCTCGCCAAGCCGCTCCAAAAGCTCCTCGACTCCGGCCACGAGGTCACCTTCGCGTCGCCCAAGGGCCAGGAGCCCGCACCGGATCCGAACAGCGAGTCGCTGCTCGCCTTCGCGGGCAACTTCTACGAGCGCCGGCGCGAGAATGAGCTCATCGAGCGCATGAAGCGCGAGAACGGCTTCAGTCGCCCGCGGCCCCTCAGCTCCATCAGCGACGAGGAGCTGGCCACCTTCGCCGGCCTGTTCATTCCGGGCGGCCATGCGCCGTTGGCGGATCTGGGCGATGATAAGGATATGGGCCGCATTCTTCGATACTTCCACAAGGAGAATAAGCCTACGGCGGCCATTTGCCATGGCCCGTATGCGTTGTTGAGTACGAAGAAGGCGGGCGATGGGGATTTCGTCTACAAGGGGTATCATATTACTTCGTGGAGTGATGTTGAGGAGAAGGCTATGGAGACGTTGCTCGGTGGTGAGGTCGAAAAGGTCGAGTCCCGTCTGAAGGAGGAGGGCGCTATCATGGAGACGGGCGTGTCGGAGAAGATCGGAGGAACGACGCTCCATCGCGAGCTGTTGACTGGTGGCAACCCCATGGCGGCGGATGAGCTTGGGAACCGCTTCTTGAGGATGATCAGTGTTTGAGGGTCGCCTTGATGCATCCGTTTAATGATCTTGTATGAGAATATGACTTGTTTTAATACCTGGAAGTCCCTGGTGAAATGTTAATGAAGCGGCTATGCCATCAAGTTGACGCGATTGGAGTATCGTATTGTGCGCATTTCGTTCGTATATCTAGTAAGGCTTGAATCTATCTTTGTTCTTGGATCGTTTCTCCTTCTGGCGCGACCCTTTGGCCGAACTGTCTGCCTGCGGCGCCGACTCGTCACCCTCGGGCTTCCAGACCCGAACACATCCGTCCTCGCCGCAAGTGAGCACGCATTGAGACTATAGTCAAGGCGCTGTTAGACAAAGTAAGTTAAGTTTGCGGGGAACCACATACCTGCTCATCCACGTAGACCGACCGAATAACCTCTTCTCCATGAGCGCCCGGCAGACGCCACGAGTTGTTCTGATCAAACTGCCACGATGGAGAGGACACAAGTGGGACCAGATCCAATCGTTGCTCACTACACAAGTCAGCTCTGACCAGTCTCAGGCGTTAGGGAAGGGTCGTTATCCATACAGCTTGTTGCCCGCGGCAATGTACTGGCCCTGGCTGTTTTGGCACAGTTGCACAACGTATTCACAGTTGAGTGGTTGTCTGAGATCATTAAACTGAATAGGTTCAGCTCCTTGGGTCTGGTCATCCGGGTCTGTTGTCGGGTGGATCGCAAAGTCCTCGTCATGACTGAGGGCATAGACGGTCTTCTCGTCCAAAAAGCCGGCATGATGCACGGAACCGTGGTTGATGACTTGAACCAGCGCATCATCTTCGTCGGTGATATTGGTGTCGTAGATGTTCACCAGCCCGTCCGTACTGCCGGAGAGCGCGATGTGGCTGCGGGTTGGGTGATATTGAAGCTGTCTTCGTCAGCGAGCGAACACAATCGGTTGACGTTGGCGTTCGGCCGGGAGAGCCGCTTACTTCGGTCACATCGTCGTTGTGACTCTCCACGTATTGTAATCGTGGTTGACCCGCTGATCTGATGTCCCTTCAGTATCGATTAGCGGTGAGTGCCAGATTGAGGGATTCCGGATGCAGGCATGGATACAGGTGCATACGGCACTCGAACAAGACGTACCAGAATGCAACCACGGCTTGGTAGGAAACAAGCTCGGTTCCAGCAGCAATTTCATTAGTTCCAGGGGAACATGCTATGGATAGCACGGGAGCCTGATTTGCTATAGTGACAACACAGTAAGCCAAACGAGCACTGCTTGTATTCCCGGTTTGTACCATGTACAAGTTGTAGGCCAGACTAGCCTATTCGCAGGTCACATTCTTGACGCAAACAAGGACAAGCTTTTTTAAAGCTAATAATAACAGGAAGGGCTGACAAGAGCAATGAAGAGCAGTAACTTACATGTTTGCATCTCTACGACGGGCTTCTTTCCGCCCCGCAAATCCCAGATTTTTACCTTTCCATCTCTGCCTGCGGTACCCAGAAGCTGCTGACCGGCATCGTAAGTTCTTAGCGAGGTGACCCCCTCGTGGGCACTTGAAGTGACTATGGACGAATGGCTGAGTCCGTCCGCATTGAAAATCCGCAGCGAGTCGTCCGACGAGATTACGGCGAACGACCCCGGAGCTGATGCGGCAATGGAATAGATATAGTGGCCCTCCGCGAGTGAGAGTGACGACGAAGCGGTGGCTTTGAGCGTGTGCATGGTTATATAAGTAATGCAAGTACAATCTGGCTAAACAAGTCCTTTCTACATTTCCCAGTCCATAATTTTAGATGGTTCGGAAATCCTGCGGATTGTTATCGTAGGCGGTACGGAAATGAAGGCAGAGCTTCCTCAGTTTGCACTGTTTGTCTCTGTGCTAGCTTAGGCGGTGAAGGACAGCTTAGAGTCATGTGACTACTGTATAGCGATGTTTAGTTACATCACATGATATTCGCATGATGAGTATCTGGCGCTGATGGAAATTTTTGAATTCGAAAGCCCGCGGCATTTGAATAGTCTAGGGACCAATTCGAACTGGGTAGATAGATAGAAATTTTGCTTTTGAGCTGAGATTTCCCTCTGTCGAGACAGCGATTGGGAACGGCTGGCGTGTGCAGAAGCGGGGAAGGCACTCTTCCCACTGCAGTCTGGAATGCTTACCAGCTCCACAGACCAATTCTACTCACAATCACGGCTTTCACATCATTACTAGACTACCTTGCTGTATGTCTAAGTCAAGCGAAGCCCTTCACATTGGCGCTAATGTTGCTGCAGCGCTGGTCACTGAGTTTCTGTCACACCTCCGCTCCGTCAGTCGCAGTTGATCTCTAAGCGCCCAGACCAAATAGCGGCCTGTCTTCTCCTCCTCTAGCCTCCGATCCGGGCGCTACCAACATCTCGCCTCCACGAATAACAGCCCAGAACCGCCTCCTTCAACCTGGTCAACGTGATGTCTCTTGCAGCTCCCGTCTTGGTCTGAAATCTAGTCCAATCCCAGCCTCAGTTGATGTGTCTCTCCGCCTCTCGGGTGCAACGCATGGCCTGCTGCTTTTCAGACTGGACAACCCTCAAGTGAACGGACGACCCTGGATGGTCTTCCCTGCGGGCGTTATCACATCGTGCTCTGCAATTTGACTCGTCGGGCTGGACGTGCAGTCCCCGCCATCATCACGATGCGAGCGCCATCGCAGGAACGGCCCATACCTCAGTCTGGCACTCAAAAACTCTCGCCAACCCTCCTGATTCAGAGAGTGGCTTGTTTCGAGAATTATCAGTCCGGATGCTGAACTGTTCCTTCAGTCGAAAGAACCGAAATATTCGACGCTGTTCGCGCTTTGACTGGAGCGTATAAGTCTTGGTCTTTGTTCTTTGCCGCTTGCTCACTTGCTTTCTTTCGCCTTTGCGCCCATTCGCGGTTCGAGTCTCCAGCGCCTATTCATTCAAAATGGAGCCCTTCACATTATCGATATCGCGACTCTTCGCAGCCATTACGCTGCTCTCGCTCGGTCTGGTCAACGCTCACAGTATCATCACCTACCCCGGGTACCGTGGCAACAACCTACACACCAACGGCACCGTTCAGCAGTCCAACGGATTGGGTGTTGCGTGGGAAAATGGCTCATACATCTATCCCTATGGGATGCAATGGCTCTATCCTTGTATGCTTGTCGATTTCTTCCTGCCAAGGGTTCTCGCTAACAATGACTGTCTTCAGGCGGTGGTATGCCCACGTCAACAAACCGCACCAAGTGGCCCATCAACGGGGGTGCCATCGCCCTCCAGCCGGGCTGGTTCCAGGGGCATTCGACGGCTTTCATGTACATCAACCTAGGCCTTGGCACAGTCCCCCAGAACATGAGTCTTCCTATGCTCCCGGTTTTCGAGATCACCGGCCCCAGTAACAATCCCTACCCGGGCACGATCTGTCTGCCGCAGGTGCCCTTGCCGGCCGACGTCACCGTCAAGGCTGGAGACAATGCCACCATTCAGATTGTTGAGGCGGCCAAACATGGTGCAGCGCTATACGATGTAAGTCTCCTCTCTCATTACCAGCCCTGGAGATGATGCTCATGATGCTTGGCTTTTAGTGTGTGGATATCACGTTCGCCGAAGACGATGAGGTCGCCGAGGTGACGAAAGACAATTGCTTCAACTCGTCGACCATCGGGTTCAAATATGTCTTTGCCTCGAGCTCGTTGACAACCACTTCCGCCGCCCCGGTGCATGGTCCGAGCCGGGTGGCAACGATTTTGATCTCGCTGGCGATGATCCTGGGGGCATGGATTTTATAATGAATTGAAGATTGTTCGCGACTGTCTCTTTTGATGTTCTCTTATTCAATCATACCCTTTGGCCGCCACCGGCTTTCCTGTTGTTTTCGAATTTGTGTTGCATGAATGCATAATCAGCCTGCTTTTGGCATTGACGACTACAATATCGACATGACCTCGTGTACATCCTTACCTCTTGAACTGCTTTATGCCATGGATTACTTACTATCGGGTGTCGCCATGCTCCAGTAGTGACTCGCTAGACTTGGAGTCGGACTCTTGGAGTGCACAAGGCCGAGTAGCGAGGTTATCGAATCAAAACAGGCCCGATCCCCCGCCGCCGGCCCAGGACCCAGACATATCGGAAATGCTTTCCGCAGTCGAGGACGGGCACTGGAGAATTGCTTTGATGCGTAAGACTTCAACAAAGTGACTAGATTGGTAAGGTACGAGCCTCCCTAACCGTGCACGCATGCCTTGTGCTCCCTTTAAAAGTCGCCGATAATTTCTGACGCATTCGTGTCACGGTCAGACCCGGCAAGCTTGCCTGAAGTTCTGAATTAAAAACCGCTGTTTGTCGTCTAAGGCAACGGCCGCCTCCCGGCCGCCTTCTCCAGCCTCGGCAGCTCATCATCTCTGCTGCATCGATCATAAAGAATGAGGAACGAGGGGAGAAGGGGCAATCAGCGATAAGATAGCAGCATCCCCGGCATCAGATACTCCGAGATACAACCCGCAGCCACCGGGGGCACGTGTTGCGACTCCGCCATCTCGCTTAACCGGGCCGGTTCAACAGCAACCGATCCGGTGGGGCGGTGAGCAACCGGCCCGTTCAACCGGCGGTGCTTATCAGCTTATCGCCTTTGCCTCCCCAGCAGCCTGAACCATGAGCTCATTAAGCACTTTTCGAGACGTCAAGTAGAAAGTATGAGTTGTTGGTTTAAATGGAGTCTAGCGGCTTGACTCAGGTACGAACTGGGGCATTTACAGAGATGCTCATTTGGAGCTGATTGGGTTTGATCCGGTGCCTTTTCCAGGATTTAGAGGTCGCCATTGGGGGGATGATACACTGAAGGTATACAAAGAGGGCTGATACTCTACGCTTCAGAACAAGCCTCATGCAAGTTGACGTCGCAAGGCGATCACGAGGCGTTCGTTCATGCCGGATGCTCTGTGCAAGTAGTCATGTGGCCCTTTGCCCCCTTGGTTTAAACTGCATAATGAGAAAGGGTTACCACCGGGGAACGAATCCAGACACCAGGACCGGCAGCAGGACCGACCGGTTTCCACCGGCTACTGGAGCGGAACCCCTTGCTTTTTGTCAATGTATCTATGGAGCGGAGTAGATATACAGACACGACAAAGAATTAAATTCTCTTCTGAAGGACCTTCTTTTTTTGCCTCTTGATCTTCCACATATCTGTTGACTAGAACCTCTTCCCCTTTTTTCGCCCCTATCCTCAACCTTCATTCTTACTACTACTGCTACTACTACCACCACAACTACTATCACATCCAATACAATGAAGGCCGCCCGCCGCCCCATGCGGGCGCTCGCCAGCGCCCCGACTTCCCGCCGTTATGTCAGCCGGACCAGCAACGCAAAGTCGTCGGTCGCCGCCTCGCCCGCGTCCTCGACCACCACACTCCAGCACCATGTCTCCGCCTCGCTGCAGAGCACCTCCTCCACCACCACGCCCCTGGCCCAGCTCCCCCTCTCGACTGTCCTCCGCTCGCTCGTGATCCTATCGGTGTCGTCCTCCTCGCTACTGCTGAAGCCATGCATCTACGCGCTGTCGACGCTGGCGCACCCCAAGACCGCCATCCTGGATGTGGCTAGGAACCCTCTGCTGAACGCGGTCGTCAAGCACACCATCTATAAGCAGTTCAACGCCGGAGAGAACAAGACCGAGGTGCAGCGGTCCATTCGCGATATCAAGTCGCTGGGCTACCGCGGCGTGCTGCTGGGGTACGCGCGCGAGGTGCTGGTCGGCGAGGGCAACGTCGACCCGTTCGATGAGAAGCTGGCGCGCGAGGAGATCCAGACCTGGTTGGATGGTACGCTTAAGACTGTTGATATGGCGCAGGAGGGCGATTTCGTGGCTCTTAAGTATGTTTCCAACACCCCGTCACCGTGGATGAAAAAGAGAGGGGCTTCTGAACTAACCACTTTTTTTTCATGATATAGGTGGACAGGAATGGGCCACCAGGTACTCCACTACCTGCAGCAAAAGCTCGACCCCTCGGAGCAGATGGACAAGGCGATAAAGCAGGTATGCGACCTGGCGATCGCGCGGAACGCGCGGCTGCTGGTAGACGCAGAGGAGCAGGCGGTGCAGCACGGGATCGAGAACTGGGCGCTGCGGTACCAGAAGTACTGCAACGCGCGGACGCCGGGCAAAGCAATCTTCTTCAACACGTACCAGGCGTACCTGAAGTCGACACCGGCGACGATTGCGCGACACCTGGAGTTTGCGCGGGCGGAAGGGTTCACGGCGGGCGTGAAGTTGGTGCGCGGCGCATACCTGAAGACGGAGCCGCGGCAGCTGATCTGGGACGTGAAGGAGGACACGGACGCCTGCTACGACGGCGTCGTCGAGGCCCTGCTCACCCGCCGCTACAACGCCATGCTGCGCCCGGCCTCCGAGAAACACACCGTCGAACTGCCCCCGCTCAACGTCATCATCGCCACCCACAACCGTGACTCCGTCCGCAAGGCCCACGCCATCCGTCTCCAGCAGGCTGCTTCCGGTGACCTTGCTGCCCGTGACGTCGACCTCAGCTACGCCCAGCTCCAGGGCATGGCTGACGAGGTCAGCTGCGAGCTCCTCCAGGGCTTCCCGGGCGGCGAGGGCGCCCCCGCCAAGGAATCCCCCAACGTCTACAAGCTCCTCACCTGGGGTACCGTCAAGGAGTGCATGGGCTTCCTCATGCGCCGCGCCGTCGAGAACACCGAGGCCGTCGGCCGCACGAAGCAGTCGCAGGAGGCTATGATGGGTGAGCTCCGCCGCCGCGCCCGCCGTGCCTTTGGTCTCGGCAACTGATTGACGCCTTTACGACTTGTGTTTCTTTTCACTATTCCCTTTCCTGTTTGGTATTGCTTAAGTTATTGGCGCACTTGTTTTTTTGTTTCTGTTGGTCTGAGTCCCTGAGCGTCTCATTGCATTTCCATGGCGTTAGCTAAAATCCAGCTTGGCGTGAATGAATCTTCGATATTCTTGATGAGTTGTGGTCTTACCAGTGTTTCGTAAGCGTACGTCGTTCGTACTCGTCGCGTTCATATCTAGGGAGCATGTTCCCATTAGTATGGCAAGTCCTGATGATAAGGTCCTCGCTGTGCCTGCAGCCGCACAGGAGGGGCAGGTACCTCCCACACATTCATATTCTCCGCAGTCAGTATCCATCCCATGGGCTGGCCAAGTGAGTATACCGAGTACCCGTGCCATCCACCCCGTCTCCCATGTGAGAGCAGACTCCCCAACCCATTCAGAACCAGAATGCACCACAATCTGTATACACAAGCAAGGATCAGTCCCAGACAGACCAACCTACCTCTCCTCTCATCCCACCTCCCAAATATACAATACATCTACATCTACATGGCACAGTACTTTCTCAACCATAAACGCACGCATATACACCTACATACACACTCCGAAACATCATGACCCTCCCCTTCTCCTCCCCCGCCGCTCCATCAAAACCGCCAACGGAATATCCTCCTCATCGTAGAACTCAACCTCCTCCTCCACGCCGAAGTCCCGCAGCCGCTCGCCCTCCGCATTCCGCCAGGCTTCCTCGCCGTCCGCGTCCTCCAGCGGCTCGCTACTACTGCTTCTGCTGCTGTGTTTAGAGCTATCGTGATCGCTGCCGCTGTCGCTGTTGCTACCGTTATCGTTACCGAGGTCCTGATCAAAGCGCTCATGGAACCGCTTGCGCCGCCGGACTTTTTGGTTCTGCAGTCGGGTGGAAAGGGTTTGGTTGGTCCCGGGACGTGATGCACTACTGCCACTGCCACCGGGGTAAGGGGTAGCTTTCCAGGGGATACGGTCCGGGTCGGGGGGCGGCCATGTGAGGGATGGGTCTGCAAGCTGTTAGAATTCTACCTACCCCAAAACCCGGAATAAAACCCCCGTTGGGGGGGCGGGAAGGGGAACATACCTTCAAACCCATTAACCTCGAACTCCAGCCCCGTTCTGCGATCTGGCGAGCTCGCGAGCGGCCAGAACCAGCTTAGGATCTACTCCCGGTTAGTTACCACTCCCCAGTACCGAACGAGACGTAAACAGAGTGAAAACGAAGGGATTCTTACGTTAGCACTCCCACCCATCCCAGCCCGAACATTCGCCCAAATCCCCACATCGTACGGAAACTCCTGCTTCCTGATGCGCACGCGCACGCCCCCGGGCCCCTGGAGATACCCGCCGAAGTGGCGGGCGCGGCGGAGCAGCGTGCGGTGGCGCTCAATCTCCCACTCCTCTATTGTTGTTGTGTTGAGCGCCATGGACCAGATGGTGCGGATTAGGAGGATGGAAAGCATGAAGAGTGTTAGGCTGTTGAGGGTGAATAGTATGAAGAGGTGCGCGAGTTGTGGCGCCGTGGGACCTAGATACTGTTTGTTTCCGTTTGGTTTCAGGTTAGGTTTGATCTGAGGCTGGTGTGTTGGTCTGGTTGGGATTGTATGTTTGGATGTTGGGATGGATGGGGTATTGGGGGGGATATTGGGGGTACAAACACTCGGCATCTTCCTCCGCGCCCAGATCATCGATGCCCGCTCGAAGAGCATGCTCTCCAGGTACCCCATCCCGGCGACTGCGTAGAACAAGAACCGCACGAAGTGCGGGAATGTGAAGTGCGAGACGCAGTTCGCTGTCCATGGGCAGTGGTGGTCCATTTTCGGAATGCATCTGTTTTAATTACATTAGTACGTACAGACTAACTGGGGGGGGGGGTAATTAAGGAAGGATGGAGCAGCTGAGGGCTTAACGACAAGTTATCACCGCATACGGACTAGTGATACTTGGTTGACGCAGGGGAAGATTCGAACCTTTGACAACTCCGGCAGTGATGCGCCCGCGGCGGCTTGTATGCTTCGCATTTACGACACCATCGGTGTTGTTGATTTGGACGGTTGCGTTGCTGGTTCCCCTGCTGCTGCTGCTGCTGCTGCTGCTGCTGCTGCTGCTGCTGCTGCTGCTCCTCACTCAACGACGCAGGCTTCCAGTCCCGTGGAATCTGGCCCGGGTCAACGGTGCAGGTCCGGTAGTAGCAGATCCAGATGCACACAGTCAGAAAATTCAGGCGCCAGAGTTCCGACGACCGTAGAGGCGCCGGCTGGAAATTGTGCAAGAAGTACTGCGAGCTATAGGCCAGAAAGCTGATTAGGGTGGCCACGGCCGGGGTGGCTAGCTTGGATAGCGAAAAGGGCATCCTGCTGGTGGCCCTGGGACCATGGTCTGAGTTTGGTGGGTTGTATGAAAGTTCAAGCTCTATGTGATGATGATCAGCGTATCATATTCCGTAGGGAGTTGTCGATAGACCAACAGGGCGGAGCGGTTATCGGCGATGTTTGCTGTGTTTGTTGTCAGGGGTTGTTTATCTTGTTTGCTCCGTTGATAGCCGGCGGGCGGGCGGACAATTACTCGTACTTATGGGATGTCTGGACGATCGTGCCTGAAATGACATCATCAGCAAAGCATGTCTGTTTGTCAAAGGTAGCAACCACCACGGAATCAGTGAAATATCACGATGTATACAACGTATCCCTCGCATCCGGTAGTGATGATGCAGACATCTTATAGGAAATAGGCAGATTATTGTCCAAAACCACATCAATTTTATGCCCGCATTGAGCTATATTACACCTCGCTAGATAGTACCACGCTACAAAAAATAATATCCTAAACCTTCACCTCAGCAATAGCCGCACCCGCCACCCTGTCATGAGTTAGCATCACACAGTCATCCGTCAGCAGAGAGCGGGGAGACATACAAGAACGATCCGTTCGACGGCTTACTGATGACCATCGCCTGAGCCAACTTCTCCTCGCTGATGTCGGGGAAATGCTTCAGGTAGTACTCCTCCTTCAGAGTCTTTGTCACGGCCGCGACCTTGGATTGAGGCAGCATGTGAACCGTGCAACCACCCCATCCAGCACCTGTGAGACGGCTGCCCAGAGTTCCAGCACGACGGGCAATGGCGCAGATGTCGTCCACCTCAGGAGCACTGCACTCGTATTGGTCTCGGCAAGAGGCTTGCGATTCGTTCAGCAGCTGACCTAGATACTGGATGCGTCTGTCGTCGAGCTCGTGGGCCTTGGCGAGACACGCCTTGAAGTCCAGCACCCGGCGAGCCTCGGTGAAACAGTGCAAGGCGCGCTGCCGCAGGAGAAAGCGTTCAGCTTGAACGGGGAATGCGGACAGGTACTTGGACTCCAACTCGGAAACCGGGATAGCCAGAAGACCGGCGATCTGCTCACGCGTGTATCCGGCCTCTTCCTTCAAAATCTCCATCGTGCTTTGGATCACGGAGTCGATCTGGTACTCCAACGGGTCGCCCAGGCGGCCCTCCTTGCGCATCAACTCATTGTGGAAGTTGCGGAGACTGTATCCAAGCGAGCTGTTATCCTTGGGCAGGGTCAGGCCGTGGCTAGCAGCCAGCACGACGGAGGCGAGAGTGCACTCGGCAACACGGAGGTTGTAGTGACGGGGAGCCGTTTCCGCTTTGTTAGAGGTGACGAAGCTCTGCGCCATAAGGAAGGTGATCTCCTCGGTCGCCTTGGGAATGGGGACGTGCTGAACCGAGAAGTTGGGGTAGAACTGGGTGTAAAGCAGGTATCCGCGACGGGAGAAGATCGAAGCCGCCTGATCCATACTGTCAAAAGTCAGAAACAGTCCTCCATCAAGACCAGATATACCAAACTTACCCTCCAGAGTAGACACCGACCGCCCGCTCGGAAACAACGGCCAGGTCGAGCAGATCCTGCTTGGATACATCGTGGTTGTTGGCCTTCATGACCGCCAGGGCACTGGCGCACACAAAGGCGGCACTGCTGGAAATGCCACCACCCGGGGGCACGTTTCCGTCCAGCAGAACCTCCATGCTCGCCGGGGTGAATGAGCCATCGGCATTCCGTTGACGCAGGAACTTCAGGGCGCCCAACAGTCCGGCCTTGAAGTAGTTGACCCAGTCATGCTTCTTGGGGTCGATCTCGATGTCTGTGTCGCGGGGCACGGTAAACTCGCGCGTGGGGAATTTCTCGGGGTTGACGTTGGAGATCTTGACCACAGTCTCCGAGCCAGTGGCAGGAGTCACCTTCACGGCGATGATCACGTCGACACTGACAGCAGTGGGGAGCACATCGTACAGGTTATAGTCGATGTGCTCACCAATAATGTTCACGCGACCGGGGCTGCGAGCGACAAAATCGGGGCGATGAGAGTAGAGGTTGGTGAATTTGGAGACCAGCGCATTGAAACGAGTCTGGTGTTCAGGGGCGACCGAGGTGGCTGAAGCATCATCGGTTGCGTAGACCTCCGCGATGGATTCGGTCTGGGGGACAAGTTCTTGCGGGGCAGCCATAGCGGGGTACACAAGGTGTTTAGAGATTGACCTGGGGGAGAGGCGGGAGAGGGAGGAAACAGAAAAAGGAGGGGAGGAAAGATGAGGACGGTAGGAGGAAGACTGAGTAAGATAAATACTTCCTTGTGAAGAGAAATGCCAGCTGGTTGGAAATTACTTTAGCGATGGCTATGACGGTTCCTGACCCATTTGACAATTTTGGCGACAGCTCTGATAGGAGGGGAAATTTGGCGAGGTCGAAGTTCGCGGGCACTCAAGGCAACTTGGAAGGACGGTACGACTACCAGGTAAAGACCCCTCCTGCCTGACCTCACCCCGAGGGGCACCCACGGAGTCCCGCAATCTCGCCGTGCCGTAGTCCCGGAGTGCCGTGTCCGCCTCAGGCCCCATGCCGAATCATACCATTAGATCACACTACTACAGGCTACAGTACCAAAAACTCACGCTAGTATAGTACTACAAAAAAGAACAGAGAGTTACACTGACACGCGTATTGGTATAAGATGCTGCTGCTGCTGCTCCACAAACATGGCACTTCGACAAGAACATATCCAACTTCGGACTCGGCGCTCCCCGATGACTCGGTCAGATCTTCGCCGAGGGTCGCGCTCAACACAGCCCCACATAGATTTCACAATACAATTATTATGCTCGGTAGCCTCCAGGGCCTTATTTGGCAGCAGTACTCCTACGCTTGGTCAGCACATCAATTACCCGGGTATAGAACTTGGATGCTTGTTGGCGGGCGAATGTGATATCCACGGTCAGGTATTCGGGGAGAATATCGATCAAATCTCGGTCGCGTTTATCGTCCAACAACGGAATATACTGGAACTCAGCTGACTCGTAGTTGGTGGATGATACATGAGGGACGACCAATTTGAAGTGAAGAGCTGTGGTCAAGTCAGCGCAAGGATAACGCAAGGATTGAACAAGTAAACTCACTCCCGTTGCTGCCTGTTTGGATACAGTCGTAGAGAGTATCTGCCGGACGCTTTTTGATATCACGTATGATCAGCCCGGTCAGATCACTGTAGAGATCTTCCTTCAATTGCGCAAACTGGGCCGCCTGCGCCGCTTCCGCGTTTGCTGCAGCCGTGGCGCGGTTTGCGCCTCCCTTGATCGCACTGCCCGGAACCTTCATATTGGCAGCCGCGTTCTCGAGGCTCGCGGCAGTGTTGCGGGCAGCCGAAAGTTTCGTCTGCAGTGCTTTGACCTCGTTCTGGGCAAAAGAGAGCTGGCTTTCAGTATCCTCGGCGTGAGTCTTAAGCTGAGCCACCTCCGCGTCCCGTTCCTGCAACTGTTTCTGAAGCTTCCGACTCTGCTGGCCCAGGGCTTTCTGAGCCTCTAATTCAGCCTTCAAGGCGGCAATCAAGTTGTTTGAGGCTGCAATGAGTCAGTTGCTTGTGAACTCGATCTGAGCATGTATCACCATACGCACCAGTGGTCATGGTTTCGCACTGCTTCCGTAGCTTCTCCATATTCGCATTCGCTTCGACAATTCCGATTTCTTTCAGAGTCCGGTAGCGACTCTCAAGAGTGTCGCATTTCTTCGTCAGCTCCCCGATCTTCCGTCGCAGCTCGGGCTCGTCACTGGTCCGTAATTTGGACGGAGAAGCCCGCACATCTCTCTGAGACTGCCTGCGCTTGGCTGGAGAAACCGAGCGCGAGCCAGCTCCCACTGGCGCTTCCTGAAGCACGGTCTCATCCACCTCTTCCGGTGCATCCTCTGGCAAGTTATTCTCAACCTCCGCCAGGGGGTTTTTATCCTTCGATCCCGCCTTCTCTCTCGTTCGCGGCTTCTCTGGTTGTACGTCGCGTCCGTCCGGCGATGGTTGGCGTCGCTTGCTCGAGGGGGTATATTCGAATTCGCCGTCTGCGATAACGGGCTTGTCGGCCGCCTTGCGCGCACGAGAACTGCCATTCTTGCCCGATTTCGAGGACTTGGTGCGCTTCGAAGGTTTGGGCGCGTCGGCCAGCTCATCATTCGACACCGGCGCAGACTCCACCGCATGCGATTCCGCTTCGCTCACAGCTTCCGCGGCCCGATTTTGCTCCTCCGGCTCGTCCTGCGGCACCGCCTGCACCGAGTTCCTGGTACCCTTTGGCCGACCCCTTTTCCCGCTCTTCTTCCCAGAGCCCTCGGGCTCCGGTGCCCTGTTGTTCGACTCCCCTCTCACCTGTGGTGACGGCTGCATTTCGGTGGACTTCGACCGCGGCCTGCCCCTGGCCTTTTTCGTCGGGCGGGCGCCGTCGCGTCGTTCCTGGGGTGCGCCATCGGCCTGGATCATGCTCTCGTCTTCTGAGCCGGCGTGGCTCGACAGAGCCGCTGCTGCGGCCTTTCGCTTCGGCATTGATAAATTAGATATATAGTTGGCACAAAATAGGCAGAATGCGAGATCCGAATGATACGTGCTGCGCTCGTCTGGACGCGACTTTCGGGTACACAAAAGCTCGGCGGACAAACACTAAACTATCGCGACGGCGGCTGTGGGGTTGCGAGCGTTTCTACTACTTGTTTGGTCAGCAACTAGTCGGTTTCCAGCCCTACCACTGAGAAACCGCAACGTATCGATTGCACCACAAACTTTGGCTTTACCAGATAAGAATAGTGCCGCAATGCGTCACGAGTACTCATCTATGACACTTGGGAGCAGCTGCAGCGCGTCGGGGCGGGAGAACGTTGTGACGGTCTGACCGTTGTTTGCACTGTTTGATACACCGCATGGCATATCTGTCAAGCAATCATGAAATGATTGTTCTTGATTGTTTGACTTATTCCCAGAGTTACTTGGACTCATATATACAATTATCCTCTTGCATGCATGACAATGATGCCAGATCAAGAATGCCAAACTGAAAGCCTAGTATGATGTGTCGTTCCAATGATGCTATATATCTCGGAGTATGTTTTCGCTGTGCTGCGCAACTCACGCAATCTTCTCGTGGACAAAACCAGCACACATCCTTGGCGAAGTCTCAGAATACAATATTCCTCTACACAAAATCACACAATGTAGGCCACCAAGAGTGTCTTACTTAGGGCCAATCCCCACTCCTGTCAACCACATGGCCCGGTACAATGCTCTGGCTGAGTATGAACCCAACTCCTCAAACAACAGCCTTTACCTCAGAAAATCCCATTTCCCTACAGCTGCATCATCACCGTCATCATTTTCTACTCATAGTATTCCATACCTTCCCCAACGACTACCCACAGTCCCATCCAAACCCACCAAGTCAAAAACTCTATCCCAGTGCTGACGCGAACAACCCGCCGCCCTCAACGGAAATCGAATCCTGGTTGCCAGCCTGGAGGGAATCTATTACTACTCATAGTAGTTAGTCTAGCTTGGACCTCCACGCGTGCCGGCCTCGCTTCTTGGCCCAGCCGTTATGGCTCTCCCCCTATGTGGTAGGTGTAACCGAGGCCCAGTTGGGACTAGCTGGCTGCGGGGCCTAAAAGTTAAGTATAAGGGAATCCGATATGCTGCGTAATAATATTGGTACTTAAGGCTTTTCTGTGGTGATCTCCGGTGCGTGGTTGGACTGGCCTTTTTGGAGGGTAAGTGTTTGGTGGGCTGTATACAGTACGTTGTATGTATTGGGCGATGTCCTTGTTTGGTCTGCTATGGTCTGGTTTATGGGTGAGATGGAGGAGCATGCGATAAACTTATCAAAGTGAAGGATGGTGAAGTTCAGTAGAGGTTGACGGTACTTATGTTGTCTATGGTGCTCAAGTCGGTCGAAGGGAACCTTAATCAACGTACGGATGATCAAACAATCCTAGGAGACTGGATATGGAAGTCTGCTTGGTATAAGACCAGCAGATAAGTATGGCCAGTCTTGGCTATGATGAGGAAATAGAAGAGGGAAAAAGGTGAACGACAAAGTACTGCAGTAGAACGTGCGGTCCGGGTCACTGAGTGTCTTCCTAGGATGAATCCCAGCTCGTTTGGGCAGTGCCCATGCAGGTCTAGCCGTGCTTGTTGACCAGCTTCCTGCCAGATGCTCTGATCGATCATGCCGGCTCCTGCGAGTGCTGTGTGCTGCTTTAATTTTCGCAAATCATAGGCCCCGGCGTAGGTTCTTTACATTTCTAAGCACTTAGCCAGTAGGCCACATCGTGCTTGGCAGTGATCAAGCTGGAGGCAGGGCTGGTGTGCTGTTTGTACGGAGTATCATATTTATGATCGAAAGCCATAGAAGATGCCGGGCAACGCAAGTCCAACTCACCTTGAAGAAATAATTAGCGGGGAAGGGAAGGGTGGAGGAGGAAAGAAAAGGCCCACTGCCGGCGCCCGGCAGGGGCGGCCGGGATGTCCTTTGGACCTTTTGCACAGTTGCACTCTTTGTACAAGAAGACGGAAATCACACCACAGCCAAGAATGCGGTTACAAAAGACAGACGCTGGCTACAGTCAAAGCGCACAGCGGAGAGGCAGAATCCGATTGATCCATGCAAAGACGCCCTGCAGTGAGTGAGTTGTGAGGTTATATCTGGCGAATCCAATGCCGGGACTGTTGGCTCGAATGCATCCTTTTAACGAGCTACTGTCAAGACACTAAGCCGACAGACATGTCTTGAATACCAATGAAAGGAGGGTCCGTTTCTCCACAGTCCACAGTCCACACCGGTTCTTAGCTGGACCGGACATGGATGGGCTCTTGGATTTCATGGCATGCTGACAACGACAGTGACACATGGCGGCGGGTTAGACTTTGGAGCCTGGGCTGCTTCCGCATACCCTAAAGCTGTGGTGCTGCTGGTGGCGGCTGTCACTTTCCAATCGCTCCCGGGCTTTCGATTGTCGAGTATTTGCAGTGGTTGGATGTGGGAGCCAGTGAGAACCGGGATAAAGTACGGAGTACGCATTGTACGTAACACCGCCTAAGGGCTTGTTGATCGAATTGCAATGCGATGGATGGATCTCATCGGAAATTCAAAAGGGCGGCTTTCCATGTCGGCATGTCTGCTCGAGTCCACACTGCATCAGCGGGGGACTTACCCCATCGAGACTTCATCCTTCAGCTTGGCAGCGTGGGCTTGTGAGCATACTGCCTGCATTTGTGTATCTAGGGTCGATCGTCTCTCTTACTGAAGTGTAAAACAGTGGAGAGAGAGAGAGCAGGAGAGGTCAACTCATTGCTTGGGGTCTCGAGATCCTCGCAATAGACTTTCCGTAGATAAGTTGAAGGTTGCCATGGCCATGACCGTTGAAATGAATACTAAGTCATCAGCAGTCGCATTGTAGCTTTATCCGCCCGTCCCCAACAGGCCCGCGCGCACTTGCAGGTGCTGTCCAACCCTCGCTCGAACCTAGACTTACTTTCTGGATGGTTGACACACTCCTGCACGTTTGCATAGTCCGAGACTTAAAGCCCAGAGAGATTCAGTCCGACTTACCTACGTACGTAGTAACCCAAAGATAATTTAAAGACTGCGATCCATCCGTTGGCGATAGTGCGGCCCCGACCTAATCGCATCCCCCAAGCGACCACCAGCTTGACTTGGGCTTGTCGGGCGCTACGAGACTAGGGAAGAGCTCAGTGTACGATAGAGCCAACGACGAGAAAGAGTGGTGGGCGAATAGCCGGGGTCTAAACGGTTATCCCGCATGAAAAGGTCGATTGCCCAGCGTCCACGTCGGACGGGAAGAGGCCCGGTCGCTCTTGTCAAGGTTCTTCAGTCTTTACTTACTAAGGTTTGGCTGCAATCTGCATCCCTGCATGCATGCATTGCAGTCAGTTTTTCCTCCTAACTTCCTATCCTCCTCGGCCCCGTCTGCGCGCATCACTGGTTAATTACTTGAACCGGTCCGACTGTGAGACCTTTTTTTTCTTTTTTCTTTTTTTTGTTTTTTGTTTTTGATCTTGCTTAGCGCACCTATGATTATTGCAATTATATTTCTTTATTAAAATGATCATTATTGCATTGGCTTCTTCGTTCTGGGATCTCTTGTCTGTGTGTGTCTTATGACCTGCTCCTATCCGAGTCTTCTTTCTCAACAGCTGGCTTCAATATATATCGGAGTTCCTACTACTCCGGAAATTGATTTTCATCCTTGTTTTTGTTGCTCATAATCTCGCTATTTCTCTCTCGCTACATATGACCTGTTAGTTACTATTTTATGCTTAACTAATTTAGGAATTCCATCGCCCCCCTTTTTTGTTCTGGAAATTTACTACATTCTCTCTTCCACCTCCGTCGCATTCCTTGACATTGGGAAGATTCTCTCGCTAGCGGGGAAATTCGAATCCAGCACTGCAGCTGCAGCATTACCAGTGGTGGTGTTCACTTTTGGCCACCGCTCAAGCCATCATTTGTCATTTATCCCAGATTTGAATTCTCGTCTAACCCGCCACCACGACCATACAACTTATCATATCTCACCTCCTCTTCCTCTTCCTCTCCCCTTCTCCCCTCTCTCCAACATGTGCGCCGACCGCACCCCCGACCAAGATCCCGAACCATCGCCTCACCAAGACCCCAGCATCATTGAACCTGATGTCAGTGACAAACCAAATCGCAAACCTCAACCACACTTGATCCTGGCTCGGCTAACCCGCGGCGATTTAAATCCCCAGGACTTCGATGACAACGACTCCACTTATCCCGACTCGTAAGTTACTGCTCGCGGTTCTGACGTCCGCCGTTCCGCCGGTTCGCGACTGATCATCTTTAATCAATTCGATTCAGGCTGGACGATGCCAGCTATACTTCCAGCCTCGCCTCGAGTGCGATGAACTATGCGTATGCGATCTCCGAGTTTCTAAAAATTGCTTGTCTGCGTGTTGCTTCTAGTTCCGAGCTAATAGATTCCAAAGCTATGAGGTATTCTAGAATTCCGTCCCCGTTGCCTCCCCCGCGCTCCCCCCATTGCCACTTCTCGTCGCCCTCTCGCCCGCTCCGTCCCTAACCCGATTTTTTCGCCTTCTAGAACGGTCGCAGATATCACTCCTACCACGAGGGTGAATATTTATTAGTACGCGATAACCCAATCAGCTTCCTCGACGCAAAATACCATACTGATGTCGGCGCCCGCAGCCCAACGACGAACAAGAGCAAGATCGAATGGACCTGGTTAGTAAACAAACACCCAGTCACGTATACAGCATCGACGATGGACCGGCAGGAAATACGCGGGATTATAAGCTACAGATATTAACGGGGCGAGATGCGTGGAACAGAGCCATCATATCTACCGCATGCTACTGAAAGGAGAATTGCACCGTGCGCCAGTCAAGAATCCCGCTCGCGTCTTGGATATCGGCACCGGCACGGGGATCTGGGCAATAGACTTTGCGGAGTAAGTTTCCTTCAGTGGGCGGCAATTCGCGGCTTTGGGTTTGGGGACTATGGCTAATCTGCGTTCGTACCGGTCAGTGAACATCATGAATCAGAAGTGATCGGTAAATATGGTCTCGCCTTCCGGGGAGAATCCCCCAATGGGGAGGACAATCTGACTGACCAAACGGTGCCCACCCCCGGGCTCTTCCAGGCAATGATCTCAGTCCTATCCAACCGTCATGGTAGATACTTTCCCAAGATCCCCCAACCCTGCTTGAATTTTGAGGAATCGAGGATTGACCACCGCGGTGTCTTATGTACGGCAGGATTCCGCCGAACTGCCGCTTCGAGATCGACGACTTCGAACAACCGTGGTCGTACAGCAAACCCTTCGACTACATCCACGGCCGCGAACTGGAGGGGTGCATCCGCGACGTCGACCGACTGATGGCCCAGGCCTACGCGAACCTCAAGCCACGCGGATACTTCGAGATCGCATCGATGGAGGTTAACACCTACTCGGACGACGGCACGCATCACAAGGCCACGACCCTGCTAGAAGGCATTAAGTTCATGCACGACTCGGCGCGGAAATACGGCAAGGATATGCAGAGCGTGCACGGATGGAAGGAGAAGATGGAGAAAGCGGGCTTCGTGAACGTGCGGGAGGATATCTATAAGGTACCGCAGCGTCTCTCCCAGTATTTCCACCATTATGTCTATCGCGCTTTGGCTGATCCGGTACCCACAAACAGCTCCCGCAAGGCCCCTGGGCGAAAGACCCGAAGATGAAGGACCTGGGCAAATTCCACCAGGTCAACATGCTGGAGGCCATGGGGCCGTACTGCTATGCGCTGTTCACGCGGGTGATGGGCTGGCAGCGGCCCGAGATCGAGGTCTTCGTCGCTGGCATCAAGAACGAGCTCCGCGACCCCGGTATCCACCTCTATACCAAGGTCCATATAGTGTATGGGCAGAAGCCGGAATGACATATGTATGATGTTGATGATGGTGATGATGGGGTGATTGAATGGGCTACGCATAGCCCGATGATGATTTGGGTGTGGATGCGTTCCGCTTCCTGTGACGACTTAGCTACCGCTATTAATGAGAATGATGATATGATATCTTATCAGTTGGTGTGTTGGTAAGGTGGCGTAGTCGGTAAGCTCGGAGAGGTTTGTTCCGAGGTTCTTTGGGGGCTTTGGTCGGGTGGAAGGTCAGGCAATATAGACATCATAAAGTATAAGTATAGATTAGATCTACATTGTTTATCAACTGTTGTTCAACTTAACTCGGCCAACAAGAAAAAAACACCAAGAAAAAAAAGGACTCTATGAAGCACAAAGAAAAAAGAAGCTGGTCCCAGAGGGGCTCGAACCCTCGACTTTAACGTTATTAGCGTTACGCTCTAACCAACTGAGCTATGGGACCCAGTTGATGTTTATGTCTCAATCTAAGGTTTTCTATACCAGATATAGTAAATGGCATGAAGTAGGCCTTAGGATCCCCGGGATATCGATCTCTACATGGTCATTCGCGGGACCCTCTACTACCCAAGCAATTGTATACTTGGCGCGAAGAGCATAATTCGATAGTAGTTACGTTGTTACCAATGAAGCAATCAAGCGTACTAGCGGGGGATACTGTATGTACTATATCTCTTTTTGTATAGTCGTCTTTATACTGACACTCTCACAGATGGCCAGCACTCTGGTGAACGGTACCTGAGTGTCTATCCCAACAACACAGCACCACCCCCCCCCCCCCCAGCCCTCCATAGTTATATACTATATACAGCCCATCCAAGCACTAAATCTCCCTAGAAAAAGAACTTACAACCTGGCCCCCGCAGCCGCAAAATTCGACCCCCCAACCCCCCCAATAGCCCCAACAATAGCATCCACACTCTCCAGAATCCAAACATTCCCCTCCTCACTAGCCAACCACTCCGCCGCCGCCCTCCCCCCAACGCTCTCATTATCCCCCACCCAACTCCCATCCTCAACCGCCTTCCTCAGCCCAAAAACATGCGACATAACCTGCGGCCCGACACCCGTCTGCGCCCGCAAGCACGCTACCGCCACCAGAGACGTCAACACCCTCCCCACCTGCTGCCCGGGGGCGCGCTCCACGTCCACGGGATCAGACAGTATCGCCCCGTAGTTCGCGTTCAGGATGTGCACGGGCAGGTCCGGGTGCGCGGCGGCCAGCCTGTTGTAGAGCTTGGATTCGAAGGGCCGGTAGACCGAGTCCCAGAGGGCGCGGCCGCGGGTTTTGATGGTCTCGATGTTGGCGGGTGTTGGTTCGCGTGTGGGTGTTGTCGTGAGGTGGGTGGTTATACTGTCTGGAAGGCTGGCGCGGAAGGCGTTCAGGCTGTTTATTGTGCGCGGGATGCCGTTGAAGCTTATGCATTTTAGACTGACTTCGCGGATTAGTTCGGCGGTTGCGAGGGCGGAATTTGGGGTTTGTGAAGGGGCGGTGGTGGTGGTGGTGGTGGTGGTGGTGGTGGTGGCTAGGTCGTAGAGGATTGTTAGGGATTCGGGTGAGTTCATTGTTATTGTTGTTGCTGCCTTTTTTTGTCGGGTTAGTTTGGAGATCAGACAATGGGATTGGGATTGGGATGGTGAGGCTTACGGATAGTGCCACCCATGAGGGCTGCGAAAGTCCATTCGCTTGCGCGCTTTGCTGGATTTTCGCGTACACGGCCTTCATGTCGCGAGGGGCTGGGACCGTGTTGGGTCGCGCCGCTGGGGCGTTGATCAGCGCCTTTAGGGAGTTGGATAATCGCGACATGATGCTTCTGTTTGTCGCCAGCAGCCAAAAAGCGTGACTTGATTGATGCTCTGAGGAAGAAGATAGGCGGAGAACCTTGTCTTATCTAGTGCCTCGGCTCCCAGATGTGGTCGCCGAGGCCGGATGACGCGGCTGTGGGTCCGCCCTGGAAGTGACGATTACTTTCGTTCCATCTACAGCCCCGCTGTCTGTTGATGATATTAATTTGTCCCTCCGCGTACACATCAACGCAAGTCAATAATCGAAGCCATTGTCGTATCGCAGGTTGTATACGCAACAGTGGCAGTCGAAGCCGAAATACTCTTCGTCCAGGCTGGACTGAATTTTCTCGTACTCTAGCTGTACGCCAACCAACCGAAAGGCATCTACAACTGACATACCACCCTCAATTGTAGTATTCCAGATCTTGGCCATGCTAAATTTCGCCGACTGGATTTTGATGCGCTTCAGACTCGATAGCTCTCCGGATGTCATCCAAGAATAGACCATAGACAGGGTTCTCACGTCCGGCGCGCTGTACTCTCTATACTCCCGAAGAACCAAGCTCTGAATACTCCCAGGGAGAAGACATCCCCCGGAATGTCGCACACCCGCTTGTGCATCTGTGTCACTGCCTCTAAGCACTTTCGAATCAATAGTGAGCTGCTGTAGACACGGGAAGTCGCGAAAATCCAGCGGCGGGTGATGGCCGCCAATTCCATAGAAGTCCAGATCAAGACTGAGCAGCGAATCGGCTTGGGTACGGATGGCATTGAGATATTCTTGCCGCTCTCCGGGCCAGAATTCAGGAGGGCTCGTGGCCGGGACTCCTTTCCAAGTCAAATGCTTCAAAGCCCTGGGTGGACTCAACATTTCGCGCATGCCACCCGCCGACACATCGCAGCAGAGCAGAGTGAGGCTCTCCAGCGGTGTTGAGCGCGGCTCATACCACAAGTCAGGATTCAAGCCTCCAACGAGAGCCCCAAGCAGGGTGAGGTCCCGTAGACGAGGATGAATCATGACGGAGCTCCGGATATCGAAACTCCACAAGTCCGTCCGTGTGTCAGGATGATAGGGCACATCATCCATAATCATCTGACCTAGTTGGAGTCATCAGCTCGTCGGTCCACGAAGCAGGGGAAAAGGGTCCGCAGACATGATTCGAGAGAAGGCAGGACGTCCGAGTATGGCTCACCAGCTTGCTCAAACAGTTGGTACCATTTGTTTGCTATAGCGTCGAATCTTTCGATGTTGCCGATATCTGGGTCGTCGTAACTGCGAGGCGCATCGTAGAGAAGTCCCTTGACAGTCAGTCTCCTCAAGTTGACCAGACGGCGCAGTGTTGGCACCAGATCCTCCACCAGGAGCGGGTAGTACTCCTGCTGATTCGGAACGTTCACATAATGGTAATGGATCAGAAGCTCGCGAATATACTGCGCACGGGCAGGACGAGCATCTAGAGCACGAATGAGAGGTTCATCATCGTGGTTTCGTAGATAAACTGATCGGCAGAGGATAGGGTCCACTAGGGACTCGAGGTGCCGACAGACGCGCGCAAGACTTGCAAGCGACGCTCGTGAAGAGAGCTGGCCAATGATGGCCTGCAGGATTTCTGCCGGCAGTTGAAGCAGTTGCATTTGTTGTGATGAGATGGATGCTGGATGGAAAAAAGAAGTGATAAATCGGCATCGGCGCAGCTGGACTATTTATGACCCTCGAATTTTGGGGGCGGCGGGCCAGGCGGGGTCGGGCCATTTGCACAGACTTTTTGCTGTCGATCATCACAGCCTTGTGAAGCCTCGCTAGTCTATACTCAAGTGAAGTCTTCAGGGATAGTAAAAGAGGGGACTTGTATGGCTGGTTGTGGAATTCTATGAAACTGAGTTCGTCAAGGCGACCTTCGGAAGCCTTGCTGCCTTAGGCACAAGTCCTTTGCATACAACGGACAGGGCAAGCACTCTGCAATGGGATGACTCCCTGGATAGGCTTGATTTTCCGTATCCCTTGACTAGCTGAGATATCACAAGGTGAGAAAAAGGCTCGTATACAACGTCTTTTGATGATATTGAGAACCTGGTTGAACAGGGCAACTAGTACGATCTTTGGTAGTGAACAACGTCTTCTGTCTCCCAATTCTTACTATAACCCTTCCTTATCTCTTGTGGTGATCATCCAGATGTCAGACCTTTGGCAAAGGCTACAGTACCACTCATTGAATGGATAAGGATTTGAGACATAATTTAATACACTGACACCGCACAGCAAACCTTTTAATGGCGCCGTTACGGAGGATACACCTTTCTGCGTCTTGATTCAGGCTTTTCGAGCCACCACAGGAGGGCTAAGCCATTAAACCTTGTCTTTGGTCCCGAACTGCCTGAGGATCAGGCATCAATGGTGGCACGAACCCCCGGTCCAGGTGATTGATACTGCACATATCGCTAGGAATGTCTTCGCCTTGCTTTTTTTTTTTTCTCTTCTTCCTCACGGAAGGACAAGATTGCGAAGCCGACAAAGTCGATAAAGCCAGCCGCGAAAATAATATAAGCCCAAGCGCAATAATAGTTAAGAATACATGATCATGATCCTGTATCTGGCTACACTGTGTAGACATAGTTGGCCATCCCTCCTGCCGGACTGTGCTAATCATTTTAGTGGGTGTGCCATCGATAGAGAGCGAGTGAAAGCGGCTCAGTTTATGGTATAATGATCTCTCATTTCCTGCGTGATGGAGTGGGCATCAGAGGCATATTCGCTCTTGATCCAGGCTTCGAAATCCCAATCGATCCAATTACGGAAATCGTAAGCCATATCTAGATCCCACCTTAGAAGAGGGGAGATATATTGACTCCAGGAAAGGGTAGGCTTAGTGGTGCCGAACCTGCGACCAAAATGAGCCCCATCAAAGTCTAGAAATACAATCTTTCGTTGCGGGTAGCGGGCAGGGTCAAGTAACATAACATTTCTGGGCGTCAGTTCATAGAGAATGATGTTGTGTTGATAGGCCTGGCGACTCTCGAATTCGATCACCGATTTGATGATCTGTTGGCGACAGGGTAAAGCAAAATCTTCAGGAATGGCCTGCTGCATAAATATCCCAGGGATATATTCCATCACAATCAGTCGGACAATGCGCACGGTTGACTCGGATACTGGAATCTCGAGCGAGAAAGACCCGTAGAATTCAGGGATAAGGCTTCCTTGGAGGTGGGAAAACGAGGTATATGCATGCACCTCGTGAGTATAGTGTCTGTCCATACAGAGAAACGGATTGAGATACCCCTCATCGTCGTCAAAGTAAAGAGGGTCATAGACTTTGACCACCACCGTCCTCTTCTTGTTCTCTACAGCATCCCGTTCTTGCACCTCTGCGACGAAGACTTGCGAATTATGGCAATCGCCCACTTTGATAGGGTCGATTATCTCGAGGTCAGCAGTTTGTGACCCAGGCTCTCCCAGTAGTATATGATTTTTCAGACATCTTTCCAGGGGTGCAAGTCGAGATCGCTCTTCTCTTCCGGCAAGACCATTACGACAGCAACCTATTGCCACTGGCGTTGGCGCAGGGGCGATGGCAACAGATCCCGACGGGTTCAGATTTACCTGGTGGTGGTCACCGCGGCAGCAGATTGTCAAGACGCTATCTTAGCCGCGCAATGTTTATGCCTTAGGGTATTGCTGGTGCAAGAGCATTGATCTCTCAAGCTAGGTCTACGAAAGTCAAATGAGATCGTTCTATCACGTTGCCCTGGCTGCGGGCTAGAACAATTGAAGGCCTAGACAAACATGGTGCTTTTCTAGTGTTTCACTCAAACTCCATCTCGGCATGCAGCAGCAGAATACTATATACCATTTATTCATTGTTCTAGAAGAATTGATACGTGGCTCCAAGAAACCGCTGCAGCATCTCCAGTCTAGCGCTCTAGTGGCCATTCATGGAGTGCTACACCCGCAGATCTGATCTGATCGTTTATCACCACTCTATCCTCACACGCTCAAGAAAGAGAGAGAAAAGAAAAAGCAAAGCCATTCCAAGCAAACTCAAATGGATAGCCGTCTTCAGGCCTTCGAAGGAGCAACAGCAGAATCCTGGGCAGTGTCAAAGACCTTCACGCCCCTCTTCCAGACTTGGCGGATAACCAAGGTCGGACCGGAGAAGGGATCTTCTTCATCATCTAGGACAATCAGATCCGCGTCCGCGCCCTTGCTCAGCGAGCCCTTGACTCCCTCTAAGCCCAGGAGACGGGCCGGGGTGGCCGTCGCGGCGTTCAGGGCCTCTGCGGTCGAGGCCCCCGACCACCTACGGAAGTTATTGACACACTCAATCAGCGTGGCCGAGCTGCCGGCGATCTTATCCGAACCCTCGAGGGTCAGTCGTGCACCGACTTTAACGATGCGGTCCCCGTTGGTCCAGTCATAAACTCCGTCGGGAAGCCCGCATAGTCTCATGGCGTCAGTCACTAGGACCAGACCGGCTGGGTGGGCATTGTAGGCAATGCGAATGGACGTCGGGTGCAGGTGGATGCCGTCGGCGATCACGCCGTAGTATGGACGGGGGCGATCATTCTGGCCGAACAACCCGAAAATACCGGGGCTGCGATGATAGAAAGGGCGCATGGCGTTGAACAGGTGCGTGACCATGGTCGCACCCCGCTGAGTGGCCGCTAGGGCTTGCTCGTAGGATGCGTCCGAATGGCCGATGGAATAAATGATGTCTTTGGAGGTCAGGGACGGGATTTGGTCCAGCATATTGCCGACTTCAGGCGCAGCAGTGATCATCCTGACTGTCTGAGCTGGCCCCGTTAGATTGTCCGAGCCGTAGCACTCGACGATGTCTTCTAGGCTCTGGGCTGCGCGGAGTACTTCGGTTTTGTGTATGCCGTTGCGGCCGGGACTGATGAACGGGCCTTCCACATGGGCGCCTAAAGACTCTGCGCCATCTTCGGGCTGGCTGTCACTTCCTGAGGGACCTAATGAGGGTAGAACCTAGAAGAGTGATGTTAATGATTAACCTGATCCTTTGTGGGACAGACAACGAAGAGTGGCAATCTGCCTTTTGGTATAGACATACTTTCCAGTAGACCTCTGGCGTGGAGCTCACCACGGTAGGCAGATAAGAAGTAACCCCCATCCGGGCAAGGCCCTTGTTCACCATCCGTAGACCCTTATCATATTCTTCTGTGGTAGCCTGAGGCACGGAGAAATCGAAGCCCTGGGCGCCGTTGAGCTGCACGTCGATAAGGCCCGGGGCGACGATGCGCCCACCCAGATCGATGATTTCATCCGGGGAAAGATGGAAGTCATAGAACGCTTCTTGGTCTTTGAGGATCTTCCCTGACAGTGAATCAATCCAAACGTCTTCTTTGACTAATTCAGCGCCTTTCACAATCCGGCAATTGGTGAATTTAGTAATTCGAGGCGAGGATGTGGTTTTGCCCGGCATTTTGAAGAGGAAGGTGAGGCGGGACGGTTCGGAAGTATATAGTGGTAGGCCGCAGCAGGCAAGGGGACCCGAGTACTAGTAGTTTATTCAGGTCTTGCGGCAGAGAGAGAAAGAAAAAGCGAAAGAAAACAGCAGGACGAGGTACATGGTAAATAGTTGGGAAGAGTTACACTGCGAAGAGAGGCGAGATTGGCCAAGGATACCCAAGCAGGATGGTGACATCCCAGACAATGGCTTTAGAGAGGCGGCCGTGGGCGTGGAGGGGCGACAGGCACTCCCGAAACGTAAAAGAACATCTTCCCCGGGGTTAACCTGTGGAGGTGACGTCCATTCACACGGTTCCATAGTAGGTGACATCGACCGAATAGAGTTGTCCCATTGGTACTCCGTACAAAGCCATCATTTCGCCATGGAGAGTTCAAGGGCAGCTGATGTGTCGATGACCGGCTTTCGCATGACTCCGAGACACGACGTGAAGCATTCCAAGTGCATCATGAGGTATTCTCCAGGCTGAATCACTGACATGCATGCCTACTCGTACGTCCCTTGGAAATGAGGTCATTGTATGAGAGAAGAAAAGATGATGAATCAGTGAATGCTACAGTGTCAGTCACCCGCATTGAGTTAAGCTCCGTAATAGGCTAATGTCACCGTCACTTTCAACCTGGAGGGCGAAAGGAACAGCATAAGGCCACGTGACAAATAATGGTAGTCAGCTGGGTTCACAGCACAATTCTTTTGTGTCGGACTTATGAACGCTGAGTCATTATGCATCCCGGTCGGCATTCAGCATAGACACGCCGTCTTCCGCAGTGTCCGCAATTGCCGTACAGTACAGTACGGGCATGCTGGCTAAGTGTCTAGATCTTCTTGTCGTCGACCTCTCCGGGATTTGCCAGTGCCTCGCAACAAGGTCTTCTTCCAAATTTTAATAAGTCAAGTCATCGCGCGATGACAAATTGTACCCATGGTTCATGGTCAGTTGGACTCCATACCGTAGACCATACTCTAATCATCCCGCGGCCGAGACTCGGGCTTCGTCACCCTCTCCTAAAGTCTCCTAAATGTTCCGGTCGGCCACTGTGCCGGTGGGCTGATCCTTTCGTATAATAATTAATTCCCTTGAGACTGTTGGCTGGTCGTCCCATCTGCTGGCTGACAATTTCGTGTTGATTTTCGCGCTATCATCTTCTCTCAATACTGTACAATCCATTGAGGAAAATGGTCAAAGTATTAAGATCAATCGCGACGGGCAACGACAGGAGAGATCAATATATGGACTAGAGGACTAAAGACTGCAGGACGTACATTCAGGGGTCAATCCAAACAATCCAATCCTCTGGTCGACATCAGGGCCGAGAATGGACCGTTCGGCTTAACATTGTCGGAGACATGATTCGATTTTGGGCGTCTCGCAGTAGTTCTTCCCCAGCTTCTCCGCGGAGATGTCAGTTTTCTCCCTTCCGGCCATCCAAAAACGCCCGGCTAACGGCGAGAGAAAGAAAAAAAGTTCGTCCGCCACATCATGCATATCCACTTTGACTTCATGGGGCAATGGGCTGCCCATTGGAATATAAATACACACCTGGACTCGGAGAACGAGACTCATATTTGCATCCCATTCCTCAGACTTACTTGCCTGCATCAACATCGCATTTAATCTCTTCATTCCAGACACATTCACACAATGGGCCTCACACAAGAGCAGATTGCTATCATCAAGGCCACTGTGCCTGTCTTGCAGATTCACGGCAAGACCATCACGACGGTCTTCTACAAGAACATGCTGACTGCGCACCCTGAGCTCAACAACGTTTTCAACACTGCCAACCAGGTCAATGGCCACCAGCCTGCCGCTCTCGCCGGCGCTCTCTTCGCCTATGCCTCCAACATCGACAACCTGGGTGCCCTGAGCCCCGCTGTCGAGCTGATCTGCCACAAGCACGCCTCCCTCTATATCCGACCCGAACACTACAAGATCGTCGGCAAGTACCTCCTCGAAGCCATGGGCGAAGTCCTCGGAGACGCCCTGACCCCCGAGATCCTCGACGCCTGGGGTGCCGCCTACTGGCAATTGGCCGATATTATGATCAACCGCGAAGCGGACTTATACAAAGAGGCGGATGGATGGACCGATTTCCGCGACTTCCGTATCGCCAAGAAGGTGCCCGAGTCCTCTGAGATCACTTCGTTCTACCTCGAACCGGTCGATGGCAAGCCTCTGCCTTCGTTCCGTCCCGGACAGTATATCTCCGTGGAGATCTTCGTGCCTGAGCTCGAATATGCCCAAAGCCGCCAGTACTCGCTCAGTGACAAGCCCGTGCCCGAATATTACCGCATCAGTGTCAAGAAGGAGCCTGGTCTCGCCCCGACCGATCCCTCCGCCAAGCGCCACCCCGGTTATGTCTCCAACATTCTGCACGATTTCAAGAAGGAAGGCGACGTTGTCCGTGTCTCCCACCCCTTCGGTGACTTCTTCCTCTCCGACGAGGAGAAGCAGAGCAGCAGCCCCATCGTCCTCCTGGCTGCCGGTGTCGGTCTGACCCCGCTCACCTCGATCCTCAACACCCTCCTCGACGGCCCCGAGGCCCAGACCCAGCGCAAGATCACCTACGTGCACGGCGCCCGCACCTCTGCTGCCCGCGCCTTCCGTCCCCAGATCAAGGAGCTGGCTTCCAAGGTTCCTAACCTCCACGCTATCTTCTTCACCAGCCACCCTGGCGCCGAGGAGAAGCAGGGAGACGATTACGATGTCGCCGGACGCTTGGACGTCGGCAAGCTGGACAACCAGAAGGATCTGTATCTGGATGATGCCACCACCCAGTACTACATCTGCGGTCCCACTTCTTTCATGCTGGACGTGAAGCAGAAGCTGACCGCCGAGGGCGTCGCTGCTGATCGCATCAAGATGGAGCTGTTCGGTACCGGTGGCATCCCCGCTTAGAGGACGGTTTTTCTTTTCTGCATTTAGATCATATCTCTCCGATATTTACGGACTACGATCGCATTTGCTCTTAGTTCTTAGATAGCATTATTAGCCTAGATACTCCTCTCATGATTTTTATTGAATAATAAGATTTTCGACATTCAGATTGAGTACTTCAATGGTATAGAAGAATTAACCTCCTGTAACGTCGTTATGCGTGGATGTGGCAATATCAGTGCCTACTACAACAGCCTTGAGATCATACAAGGGCAGAGATCTCTGTCAATCGTAGGGCGCTAGTTGACTTTTGTAGACCTTGGCTCCAACAGGGGCATTCTCGTATCAAGACCAGCTCGATCAACCCAAGGTTTTAACCCATGCGTCGCCTCAGCGGACATTCCCAGAGAGGACACAATAACTTATAAATCAGTACTCAGAAGAATCGTCAACGTGAAACCCATAGCGATTCCATCAGCACCCGGCGCGAAATCTCGATGACGCCGGGTGAGGGGTAAATCTCAAGGCGGGGTAAAGATCAAGAATTCCTGCCTCACCGCCTGAGGCCAACAAAATAGCATAACCTTCCCCGCAAACCACGGCAATATCTCCAACAACCCAAAAATACCACATTCTCCTCTTTGATCAACCCAACCACCCTCAATCGAAGAACTCACAATGAACCCCCCACGCGACTCCCTCACCTTCCCGGAGACAGACCGCGCCTTCCTCCAACCTCACCTCCCCCCGTTACCAGCAGCAGCAGCAGCACCACCACCACCAGCAACCGCCACTACCCACCAAAATGGACCCCCCCACGATACCACAACCCGATTACCATTCACAACCCTAACCTTCGCAACCTCCCTCGACTCCTCCCTCGCCCTCAGTCCAGGAACGCGCACCGTCCTCTCAGGCCCACAATCCAAAGCAATGACGCACTACCTCCGCTCGCGCCACGACGCAATCCTCATCGGCGTCGGCACGGCGGTCGCCGACGACCCAGCCCTAAACTGCCGGTTGGCGGGCGTGGGCGGCTTCGGTGGTGAAGGATTGGCTGGCCAGCCGCGCCCGATCATCGTTGACCCCGCCGCGCGCTGGCGGTTCCGCGATGACGCGAAGATCTTTCGGATGGTGCGGGAGGGGCGTGGTCGCGCGCCCTGGGTGCTTGTTGCGCGGGGAGTTGTTCCGGATCCTGGGCTGAGGGGGGTGTTGGAGGGAGTTGGGGGGCGGTATATTTATTTGCCTGCTAGGGGGGTGGAGGGGGGTTTTGGGGATCAGGGGCAGGGGCACGGGCTGGAGAGGGGCGAAGTGGAGGTTAAGGGAAGTGGGAGGTGGGAGTTTGATTGGGGGGAAGTGCTTGAGTATCTCTGTCAGGTGGAAGGGCTGCGCAGTGTTATGATTGAGGGTGGGGGCTCGATTATCAACTCGTTATTGGAGCCTAGGTTTCAACACCTGATCGACTCGGTGATTGTTACGATTGCGCCGACATGGTTGGGGAGGGGTGGGGTGGTGGTTTCGCCTAGACGCAGAGTTGAGGGTGGGGTCGTTGTGCCTGCGTCGAGGTTGACTGCTGTCAAGTGGTATCCGTTTGGGGAGGATGTGGTGCTTTGTGGGAGGATCAAGGTCGATGTGTGAAGAGGGAGTAGGGTAGGGGTCGTGCTGTTGAAGCGGGTATGAGGATATTCATGCGGTGCTACACTGTCTCTGTATAGATTTCACTTTCTTTGGCTTGTATAATAAATACATACTACTCCGGCTGGAGCAGTTCGTATGGCTCTACAGATCTTTCGCAGGCAGCACCTGCCCACTACACTCGCCGAACCCTACACCCTCACCCGCCAAAGCCGACATAGTCACCACATCCCCGTCGACCAGGTACACTCGCTCACCGTTACCGGCTAACGAAGCCTTCACCTTCCCTCCCTGCGTCACCTCCAAGAGACAGCCATAGGACCCCTCAGTGGACCCACTAACCGTGCCTGTTCCCAAGATCTCGCCGGTATGCAAGTTGCATCCAGTACTCGTCAGATGCGTGCACATCTGTCGAAGACTCCAGTACAGCTCCTTCGCATTCGTCTCTCCTAACACCGTCTTTCCTCCCGAGGTCTCCAGTTCGACCTTCAGCTGGATATCATAGTTGAAAGCACCCCAGTCCTGTAGATACGGCGGGATGGAAGAGCTCTGCGGCTCAGGCTCCTCTGCCCGGAACGAATTCAGAGCCTCAAGTGTGACGATCCAGGGCGAGATTGTCGTTGCGAAGTTCTTTCCGTTCAAGGGGCCTAGCGGGATCATTTCTAGGCTCTGGATGTCGCGTGCTATATCCAGATATTAGCCGAGGAAAAGCGGGAGCAGGAGAATGCCAGAGAAAGACACAAGCTGCTGATTGACTAAGAAGGGGAGGCTTGGGTTAACACTTACCGCTCCAGTCATTCAACAGCACCAGTCCGAAGATATGTGCGTCTGCATCCTTGGCATTAAGCCCCTGACCTAACGGCAGAGGAGCTCCAATTACGACCCCAAGCTCGAGCTCGTAGTCTAGAGCCCGTGTGGGCGCATAAATGACTTCCTTGTGGCTTGTTAAAGTCCGGTCGACAAAGTGGCCTCGCGGCCTGTGTACCGGAGTGCCCGAGACTACGATTGTGCTGGCACGTCCGTTGTAAGCAATAGGAGTGTGGTAAAAGCTCGGCGGCAGGCTCTCATGGCCGAGAATCGCTCGACCGGCGTTGATATTGTGCTGCTTGCTGCAACAGAAATCTGTACCATCGATCGTCAGCTAGCGATGTAGGGGGCGGCAGCCCGAGTGTGGGTTTACTTACCGGTGTAAGCTGGAATGGAGACAGGAAGATGCATCTGGACTTCGCTGATATCCGCAGTGCTTCCTGCCGGTAGATTCTCTACGCCATTCTGTAGCGCAAGTTGTAGGGCTTCGCGGACTTGGGTATGCAGCGTCTTGGGAAGAGCGGCGAAGTCATTCAAGGTTGTTGATTTAAATATGCCAGATGGGAGTCCGGTGACTGAGTTAAACACCCCGTTTTCTTGGAGACTATCCAGAAAGACAACGGTGTTGTTAAGCCGAGTTGCGCATTGCGGGCCAATTCGAGTCGTAGACGAGGCGACGCCGTATGGGAGGTTCTTGATTGAGAAATGGTGACTGTAATCGGAGGTCATTTTGAGTCAACTAGTCTGCAATGGTCTGTGATGATCGTTTTGTAGAGATGTGCATCGTGAGTGTGTGACCGTGATATATCTAGAAGCTATCGCAAGCTTCACAGTTTATGTCCACATCCCGAATTTGCCCTCCACATGTCGCCCGACATCAGGCTGAGGAATCCCCATCGTTCTGCGAAGTCACGAATGACGAAAACAAACTTATCATCCTTAGAAAACCGACGAGTTATTTTAGCACAATCATGCTCAAAGAAAGCAGAGTAGCTGCCACTTTATAGCCGTGACTGCATCGGCCTAACTGGGAGCATGGTTTGGCTTGTATCTTTTTGACTATGAGCGGAATGAATGGAACATTCCTGTCTATCTGTGGCACTTAGCACATTTCGGAGCCCAGAACTATCGAAGACATGACAGTTCCATCCACCAATGTCAAGGGTTATAGCAAGGCGATGGCATACTCCAATCGTAGCGATTATTAACAGCTTGACGAAGTGCGGAGTAAGACGCCAGGGTAAAACACGCGGTGGGGAAGATGCACAGTCCATGTCTAACTCCGCAAACTCCGATGCAACTGCAGGACCCGCTGAGCGCACGTGCCCGCAACTGCACGCAGCCCGGCAAACAGCGCAAACACTCCCGTCATGGAATCATGTGACCTCAGACGGAGCATTTTCGAGTCACATGGATCCGCCTATCTATCGATTTATCCAGATTTACAGACGCATCGAGTGAACTCAGCAACGATGCGATGATACCTAGGCTACTCGTGATCTTATACCATGAACAAACGTCCCTATTCAGGGTCATTATCCCACAGTGACTCTCAGACTCCCGAGCTCCCCGATCACCTGCCTAATGGCAGCCCGGACCAGAACAGAGGCTCGGGCTCGGTTAAGAAACCCCGGAATTTCATAGCCACAGTGGTTGGTTACCCTCTCAATCTCGCCTTGCCACAAAATTTTGGTTTACTGTCTCGTAAAGAAGCATCTTAACCTGTAGTTTTAGGCTTGTGAGAACTGCAGATTGAAAAAGACCCGATGTGACGAATCACGGCCGAAATGTGGACTATGCAAGTCCCTCGGTTTGGAATGTGTCTACAATGAGCGCAAGACCTCCAAGTAAGGGGTGTTAGCATCCATTTATGATGAACTCTTCAGACTGACTTCACATAGGCGTGACCATTCTCTGAGCCTTATCATGAGCACTCTTCACCGACTCGAGACCAAACTCGAAAGTGTTCCCAATGCCATTTCCGGTGATATCCATTCTCTCCGGAATGAGATGATTCATGCATTGGATGCTTCCCCAAGCGTTTCACCTCTAACGCGGCGTAATCTCAGCTTTGCTGAGCCGGTTGGCTTAGAAAGATCCCAATTGCAAGGTCTTACCCCAAGGACAGTGGAGCTCAACAATGATCTAGAACATGATAGTCATAGCTATCTCCCCTCCGGCGCAGGGGATTCTAGTGGCCTGGTGTCTATCTCTTTCAGTCAACATGGAGTGATCTCTTGGCTTGGGGCACAGAATATCCTTCCCAGGAGGCTTCTCGAGGCCTACGAGAAACTCGGAAAGAACTACGTGATTGACATCGAGATGAAAAGGCCCATTCTGCCGATGTACATTTGCCCTTTCCCTCCACACGCCGGTAGCAACTGGCTGGAAACACTCCCACTGGCGATGATCAAGGGACTTTCGGACGCTTTCTTCACCACATTTAACCTATATACACCGATCATCGATAAGAACTTTTACTTTGCATCAACGCTTGGGGCCGCGATTGAAAGCAGTTTCGGGTACACAATCGAGAGCTGCGTCGCCCTGAATGTTATGGCTCTAGGCTGTATTGCTATCCATGCTTATCAAGAGGGAAACTATCCTTTGCCAGGGAGCAGAAGCAGTCGGTTCGAACCGCCTGAGTGGATGGGTGTTGTCTATGAAGAGCCCCCAGGCTTACGCTTCTTCAATGAAGCCCGCCAACGCATGGGCTTCTTGATGTGTGGCAATGACCTTCAAAGTTGCCAATTTTACCTCCTCTCATTGTATGACAACCCAGTGATATTGCCTCTCATATTCTGACCTTCGCCTTGCAGTGTCTACTACAGCCAGATTCTTCGGCCCTTAGACTCATGGGCTATGATCCATCGTGCTGCTACCTGTTGTCTATCTATGCTTACTAAGTATGTGTTCATCTGTTTCCATCTATTGTACTTTACTCAAGGTGACTAACATCTCTAGCCGTGACGTTCATTTCGACGAGTGGGAGGGCGATATGAAATCCAGGGTGTACTGGAATTGTCTGATGAATGAGACAATTCTAATCCAAGAGCTGCATGTTCCACCGAGTGGTCTCGCACGCCTGGAAGAACTTGTCCCAATCCCCAAATTTATCAGTTTCGAAAGCGTCGGCTTCGGTGCATCTCGATCCATGTCATTGGACGAGATAGATGATTCCTTTTTCCAATACCATTTTCTGGCGCAGGTCGCCCATCGTATAATACTAACTCGCATCCGAAATTCATTGTATTTCTATTGTGAGTTGATTGTGTCTCTGCGCTTCTGTCCTATAACTAATTCCACTCCTACAGCCGACTCAGGAACATTTCCACGCCCAGCCATTAACACAGAGCTGCATCACCAGCTAGATCAATGGCGTGTCAATTTGCCTGTTGCTTTGAAGTTCTCGGATAATTCCTTAAACCCTTCTATGGACAATGACACTGCTGCCTCTCCAGCGACAGAATCCCACTTGCCTTTTGACCCGACACGTCATGCCCTGTCTCCTGCAACCGCCGTCTCCGAAGCCATGCTCCGTGGTCGCTACATGATTGCCAAGTTCCACATCGGCCGACCTTACCTTTACAAAGCCCTCCATATACCCGGGTCCTTAACCGACCATGACCTTGAACAGATTCGCAGCGGACTGCTTAACGCAATGAACTGGCCCGTCGTTGGCGGTATCTTCCGACGAATGAAGAGCTGCATCCCGATCAGGTTCGCCTTCTGCTCCCAGTAAGTTTCCTCATCTCCAGAGTTGCTGTTTCTTCGTATAATGGCTGATGCCCCCTCAGATTCTTTGGCCAAATTCTTCTTTTCTACTGTATATCTCACTCGCCGGATTCCCGGTTACGTGACACGTTACCACCAGGCTGGGAGCAATGGAATCAAGAGATGCTGCGGTTCCTGGAGACCTGCGCACCTCATAGTCCCGCTGTAGCCAAGGACTTGGAACTTCTGCGATTGTTGTAAAATAATGTGTCTATGGACTGTGGATGCTGTATGCGACATGTACTTGCCACAAGAACAATGCGCTGAAGCATCTGTGCAGACAAGAGTTTCTGGATTATGACCGGAATCGGATAGTTTCCAGCAAATCAAGCATGGATTCTGTGAAGGTATGATGCTGCTAGGAAAGTACAAGCCCCACTAGGCTGAGTCGAGGTAGATGACGGGGTCGAAGGAAGCCAACCCCACGGGGGGATTAGATATTTTCCACGCGATACTTTGAATGGTGGAAAGATCAGGCAACTCCAATGAAAGCCACTGCTTCCGTCGGGAATTATTCCAGAAGAATGGAATTACCAATTGCTCGCTCTTGTTTGAGTGTCTGGTCGTGGCGGATAAGATTAATACCGAGCCCACGGTGGGCGGTGGGGAGACGCTGTGGGAAAGGTGGGGAAGACGAGAGGGGAAATGAATAAATTAGTATGGGGAAGGAGAAAAGGTGGCGGAAAGCTGAATCCGTACCCCATACACCTTCCCCGGCCGATAAGGATAAATAAATTCACCTCTACCTCGGAGCAAAGCTACTACTTCCCTTCCTCCTGCTGTCTCCCTCCTTCTCCCCTTTTCTCATTGCTTTTTCCCATCACAATCACCTCGAATTCCTCTCAGATCCTGTCACAATGACTCACTCCGATGCCGATTTGCAGAAGCCTACGGGCGAATACCGCCAATATTTGCCTGATCTCAGTCTGAAGCGCTTCCAGGTGATGCGCACACAGGATGCTCATGAATACGCACACGATTTCAAAACGCAGCGTCATCCTCCGTGGCTGCACGCACTCTACATGCACTGGCTGGACCTGCTACAAGAGCCGTTCAAGGGTGTAACCACTGATGGTAGCTATACCCACTAGCAGCCATTGCTCAGTCCTCTTACTCACGCACTACCTAGGGAATGTCCGGCCCGATCTGTTCAAGCTCCAAGAGGAGGATGTTCCAATTGGCACAATTGTCGAGGCTGTGCAAAACGTGCTGTCCCTTGCCGATGACAACCAACGCAAAGCCCTGTGCTACCACATCGACTCCCCCGAATGGCGAACCTGGTCCAACCCCGAGTTCCTTCTCAGTCACAAGGGTCTTCGCCTTGATGAGATTGATAGCAAGCTCCGCGACGCTGTTCTGGACGTCCTCAAGGTCACACTTTCTCCTGAAGGCTACGAGAAGGCCATTGCGGCCATGCGCATCAACCACTTTTTAGGGGAGCTGGTGGACGGCACAAAGGTCATGAATGAATTCTCTTACAATTTTGTCCTCTTCGGTCGCCCCTCAACCACCCGCCCCTGGGGATGGTCTTTCTACGGTCACCACCTCTGCCTCAACATTTTTCTTTACAAGGGTCAGATCGTCGCCTCTCCGTGGTTCACTGGTGCTGAGCCCAATGAGATTGACTCTGGCCCTTACGCCGGCACTCGGATCATGCAGGTGGAAGAGGAACTTGGTCTTCGCCTCATGCAGTCCCTTTCTCTTGACCTTCAGCAGAAGGCGCGCGTCTACGCCGAGATGCACGACCCGGCAATGCCTCCCGGCCGCTGGAACCGCGATGATCAGCGTCATCTCTGCGGTGCGTACCGTGACAACCGCGTCGTGCCCAACGAGGGTATCCCCGCTAGCTCGTTCAACGAAGAGCAGAAGAAACTTATGTACGGCATCTTCGAGCAGTACCTGCTATATCTTCCTGCTCGTTCCCGGCAGTTGAAATTGGAACATATCCGTCAGTTCGAGTCCGAGACCTACTTCTGCTGGATTGGTTCCTACGGAAACGAAGACCCATTCTACTACCGCCTACAGAGCCCGGTGATCCTGGTCGAATTCGACCATCACTCTGGTGTCTTCCTTAACAATGAGGAGCCCAAGAAGTTTCACATTCACACCTTGTTGCGGACGCCAAATGCCGGCGATTACGGCAATGCTTTGCGCCCGCTGATTCCAGCTGTGGAGGGGCTGAATGGGAAGGAGATCGTTTGGGAGAAATCCGCCCTATGATTTCGCTGGCCATGTACATATGATGAAGTTATGTGAATAGTGTCTCTATAGTTTCACTGTGGTATATATATTTATATGAATCTCTTAATTTGTGTCTTATCCTTATCGTGATTTTGGTCTGGTATGTTTGTTTCCTTGACAGTACGTGGGCCACGCCCACTTCGGAAGACCCGAGATCAAACATCCCACCACGCCACACGATCGGAATTTCCTGAGTTCGCGAGCCACCTTATGATTGCCGACTGCTTCCATCCTCGGAAGAATCGCTTTGAAACAATCTCCAACAACTTGCCTCGGAATACCCAGAAGATCTGGAGTCTTCCCCACAATCGATGGACGATTCCGAAGTCGGAAGCATCGATCAGATCTGCCTCAGGCACAAACAAGATTTACCCCGCTGCGCCCTTGCCTCGTCTCTGCACGTAAGACTCCATCCATTCGGACTCCTGCACCATTCGGTCTTTCTCTTGAGCCAGACGCGTTCGATGGATGAGTTGTACAAAGGACACAGAAGTTAGCTACCGGCTAAGGTGGGGTTCATGGAGGCTTTGATACGGCGGAACATACAGCCCCTCAGTAGGGACAGGAATGTGAACCCTTGGAATCAAGATCTGATGCTGTGTGAGTGCCTCAATTATGCAGGAAGATGCAACATGGCACCAACTATTGAATCAGACAAAGGAAGCACGAAGTGGCGTGATCTCTCACAGCATGAATTCATTGTCTTGATAGCGGGGTAGCTGTATGCAACCTGCTGCTTTCATTTCTCGAAAGCTTCAAGTGCCATCGACCGCAGAGGGCGGTAAGGCAAGGAGGGGCTTCAATTCTCTCTCCCCGCGTACATCTTGTCCATCCACTTTGCGCCGTGTCAATACTGTGTGAAAGACTTCCGCGGAGAGCTCGAGCGACCCAAGCAGAGGAATCCTCTGAATCAGTTTCCGTGTCCCGAAAATGCCTCATAGCAGAGCGATGTGCCACATTCGCTCCTTGGACTGCTCATCCAATTCAACGAGACAATACCTTCTGGCACAAAGGTTCGGTACTTCCAATCCATGCCTACGGCTAATGTACCCCCTGCTTCGAAAGCCTGTTCGCGACCTCTTCCTGCACATTCGTGACTTCAGGCATCAAGAGCTGCATATACCTTTGTGCGTTAACTTTGCTGTCGTGGCCATGCATATGCCCTGTTCAGGTTTACTGTGTATAAAAGCCCCGAGCGCTGAAGCCCATCCGACTATGATATCTCGTCTCAAAAACATCTTTTCCTTGAGTAGATCCAAGCACACGAATAGCAATCATGGCGCCCTGGATTATGGGAGAGAAGTTCAACACTGTCTACCCGCATAAGGGGTCTATCAAGGCCCTGTGGGAGACCAAGTGGAAATTCGCTGTACGTCAAATCGTTATACTCCATACTATCATGAACTCAAAGCTGATACGCAGTCTATAGTGTGAGAAGTCGATCTATCCCTTCCACGACGGTTCGATCGAGGATTTCGAACCCATCTTCCAAAAGTTGATCAAGGTATATTGACGAGAGACTCCCCGGTCTATCCCCCACTACTCTGCTTATTCCTTGCTAAACAATCCTCAGGACAACACCAACGATGCCTACGAGGACGCCTACACCCAGGCCTTCTTCCCCATCGCCGAATCGCTTGAAAGCGAAGCCGCCGATGCCCTCAAGAACAACAACCCTCAAACCGCTTCGGACCTCCTCCGCCGCGCCGCCGTCGTCTACCGCATCTCTCGCTTCCCCTACGTAGACCCGACCAAGAACGACATCAAGAAGGAAGCCTTCGCTCGCCAGAAGCGCGTCTATCTGCAGGCGGCCTCCTATTGGACCCCCAAGATCGAGGAGATCATCATCCCGCACAAGCACAAGGCGGCCGCCGACGCCGCCGACGTCCCGCTCTTCGTCCGCCTCCCCGAGCACGCCAACCCCAACGCCCCCGTGCCTGTCATCCTGCTGATGACCGGGCTGGACGGCTACCGGCCCGACAACAGCCAGCGCACCCACGAGATCATCAACCGCGGGTGGGCCGTCGTCATCGCCGAGATCCCCGGTACGGCCGACTCGCCGGCCGACCCCAGCGACCCCGAGTCGGCCGATCGCCTCTGGAACACCGTCCTGGACTACATCGCCAGCCGCGCCGAACTGGACTCCTCGCGGGTCGCCGCTTGGGGCCTGAGCGCCGGTGGGTTCTACGCCATCCGCGCGGCGCACACCCACCGGGACCGGCTGGCGGGCTGCATCGCCCACGGGCCGGGCTGCCACTACTTCATGGATAAGGAGTGGTTGACGCGCGTGGATGACCACGAGTATCCTTTCCTGTGAGTTCCCCTGCCTTTAGCCCCTTTCTCCCGCACCACCCCTCCATCATTGTCGTGGATCATATACCTAAGCTCTATACTCCTCCTACCCCAAACAACATTCGGCACAACACTAACCAACCCCCTTCCATTATAGACTCACCCCAGCCTGGGCCAAGAAATACGGCTACACCGACGTGCAGGACTTCCGCGCCAACGCCCAGAAGAAGTTCTCGCTCGTAGAGACCGGTATCGTCGACCAACCGAGCACCCGGCTGTTGTTGCTGAATGTGCGTTTTCCCATTCCTTCCTACTCCCATCCTCATCCGATTCCCATTCATCCCCCCTCTTACCTCCCCATCCCTGTACCCCAACCCCACCTCAACCCATAAGCAACAACTAACTCCCGAGAAAAGGGCGTCGACGACGGCGTCACCCCAATCGAAGACTGTCTCGTACTCTTCAACCACGGCAGCCCCAAGGAAGGACGGTAAGTCGCGAACCTTTTCCCTCGTCCGTCCTGTTCGCTAACAAGTACATGTATAGATTCTTCCCTGGTCTTCCGCACATGGGATACCCGCACAGTCTGCCCGTGTCGTATAAGTGGTTGGAGGAGGTGTTGCAGTCTGCGCCTGTTATTCAAAAGAACTAGGTGGAGAAGCCGGGGAATATTTGGGACTGTAGCGGTTTGCTTGGGGCGGACGGATGGGCGTCCCGACTGGGTCAGGCAATATGCGCAGCAAAATCTAATTCGGGTTTATGATCTTCGTGCAAATTGGAATTGGAATTCAGGATACTGGAATGGAATCTTTCTATATGCTGTATGCACATCTGCTTTACTGACGTATTGACGTAGATAATGTTTGTAAGGAAGTATCATGTGAGGAAGGTTTGAACTTTGTATAAGATTTTTGACTGGGTGCTACATCCCAGAGATGGATAATGGAAAGGAGCTAAATGAACATAGCTACATGTACAAGAGAAAAAAAGAAAGGTCGTGACGGAGTTACGGGGTGCCCCCAACACAAAGCTAGAGAAGGAGTTGCGGCTTCAGACTAATGTCATGCATTGTCGCCCATCGCAACCCCTACTAAGCTCCGCGGGCCAAAGAGCTCTGTGCCCAAGCCGAATGCGGGGCTCTGCGCTGATGCGTCCCGGTCGCGTTTAATGCGGAAGAACGCCAATTTCGCAAACCGGTTGAGCTGCGCCCAGAAGTGGCGCCCCGCAGGGTGGGCAGCAATCCGCTCAAGCAGATCGACTGCGGCCTCACGGACCGGCGGGTATGGGTGGAAAAGACCCATGCTGAGGTAGAATAGTCCAGCTTGGTTTTCGGGGGTGATGGTCAAAAGCTGGCAGATGCCCGCGTAATCTTTGACCGCATGCGCGAACGCGATGTAGATGGCCCCGGAGTCTGCGGCTGAGAGTCGTAGGGCGCGGAGTCGGCTGTGGTGATGGTGTAGGTCGGGTTTGAGAATAGGTCGGGCCGGAAAGTACATAGCAGCGATATCCTGAATGAATGAATAGTAAGATCGTGTTGTCCGCCATCCTTCGATGCGAGATACTGAAGCTAGAAGCTCGCGTTGCTTGGCGCCTTCATCAGGCCAGACATAGCCATGGCCGCGGAGCGTGGTCGGATCAAGTGGATCAGCTTGAAGGCCGCTCGGACTCTCTGGCGAGAGCTCCTCGTTGGGCCCAATAATAAAAAGGTTCGATGCGCCATAGACCATTTCCTCGAAAGCGGCGGCCACTTGAGTGAATTTCATAATGTAAGCTCTCCACTTGGCCCTGATCGCATTCTCACCGTAACGATTCGTAATGCTTCGCTGGATCTCCTCCATGAAGACATTGTCTCCACTGGGATCGGTATTTGAGCTAGACGGATAGTGATGCGATGAAGCCTGTTGCTGGAAATAAAGCAACCCTTCGGTGACTGGTGCCGGCTCGATATAGCTACTGATCTTCATTCGGCCGGTCGGAAGATCGCAAAGCAGATCCCACCACTCGGGGTGATTGGCAAACGTAGGATTCGTAACACCAGCAATAAAACCAGGCACCTTCAATAGATCGTCGATCTTCGTTAAGTCTGTGTAAGGGAAAGCGTGTCGTGTAAAGCCGCGCAAGACACCGCCCGATGCGATCGCACACGCGGCTAATACTGCCTCGGCCACCTCACCGGATGGCCGATTATGACCCAAAAAAATTACTCTCTTTTGGGTGAGCATGGCATTGACGAGAACAATGATAGGATGTGTGAAAGGCCCACTGGTAGTCAAATGTGGGTGGATAGGGAAGGCTTGAGGTGAAGAGGTATGTGGAGCGGAAAAGGTCTGGATGAGCTTGATCAGGGAGAAGTCGCCCACCGTCTCCGGCCAGATGACCGTAGGAACCTTGACCGGGATGGGAATGTCGTTGTAAACAACTTTGGATTCAAATTCGTGGGTATCGCGTGGGAGGGCATATTGCAGGGGGCCTTGGCGCTTGGGAGACGGCGGATCTTCATTATCATCTGGCGGTGGAGCGCCGTCTTCCAAGGACCTTTGGTGTATCATTTGCTCGAATTTCTCGATGAACATGTCTTTGCAATTGCTTGCCTGCAAAATCTGTCTTTCAAGCAGGGATAGCCTGGGCATCAACGACAAATCCATGTTGTTGACAGCATTGTATAAAGTGGCAAGCGTTTCGGGATAAGGGTTTTTGAAGTAGTCCTCTAAGGCTAGCAACAATAATGGCTGTAGATTGTGTGTCAGCGCAATCGTGACCCATTCTTTGCCTCTGAGAGACGACCCACTTTATAGATATGAAGGAAAGAATGTCGCGTACAGATTGCCATGGCCTTCACGACTGCACCGCTGTGGTTGTTCAATATTCGGACCTTGACCACGAAAGGGAACGAGAAGAAATGTCGACATACCGCTTCACTGTGTTGTCCTGTTTCGTATTGACCAGGTTGAGCACATACATCAGAGGGGGGCCTTCGCCCCCTTCCTCTTCGTCGTCACTGCTATCCTCGCTCTCTATCGAACCGTCCGCCTCTTGAGTGCGTCCTTCCATCGAGGAAACTTCATCTCCTCCAGCCTTGCGCTTTCCTTTCTTCTTCTTCTGCTTCTTGCTGGATACCGAGGCATCGTCGTCGGCATCTGCGCTTGCGTCTTTGTGCAGAAAGAATATAGTCCAGTCCTGGCTCCGTACATGTGTTTGATCCGGTAGCATGAGCTCCGCCAACATACTCTCGTCTCCACTGATCGCGGTGGGATACTGATGTTCCATTATCGGACCGCGATCGATGTGGAAGGAGGCCACGAGGATGTACTCGACATGTCGCTCCGACGAGTCTCGGGGGTATTGCGACTTGCATCGGCGAGGTTTAGGGAATAAGGCGGCGGTGGCCGGGACATTGGCCAGGGAGGGTTGGCGGAGAGATGTGCGAGAGCTGCTCGGTGTGCGGTTATGTAGTAGAGAAGGCGCGGGCGAAAGTCGGGGGAGGCCATTGCCCGCATCGTCAGCTGATCGGTAAGGTAAGGAGATGCTCATTTTCGAGTCCAATTGGTAGCGAGTGGAAACGGCACGAGAGCGAGGTGGTGTGGAATCGGGTGTGAAGTCGTGGTCGCCGAGGGTGGACAACCGGCAGATGAGAGAAGCACAGCGGCGACCGACCGCTGCCTATCTTCAATGAAGTCGGCGGAGAGGGGGCATATCACCTGAGCCCTGACCACCAGGGGGAATATACTCTAACACAGGATCGCGGCAATCCAGTGACCAATGCAGTAGTCTGAAGGGAACAAGGTAGGGGAGAATGAATTCACCAGCGTGCAGATTAGAGACCCGGGGGCGGGACACTGAAGAAACTCAGGGGGAAAAAGGAAAGGGGGAAAGCGGAGTGGTTTCTCGCATGTGACGATCTCGGACAACTGCGCCGGCGGGACAAGCACCACGTTTGCTTTGTTTGTTTCTTCTCTCCTGTCTATCTATCGACCTTATTCCCGTCCTGTAACTCATACCAGCTCAACAGGTTTTGGTATGTCTATCATTCATATTCATGACCATAAGACTCGAAAGCAGGTATGAAGAGGTATCATGCTCGAAATCCTATGTATAGCTCTAATTCTAGTCTATATGCAATCTTCGCCGCCACCAATCATATTTACATTCCGCGGTTGAACTCCACCATCCCATCCTTCCCTCCTTGGTTCCAAAATTCCTCTTCCAGGTTCTTCGCACAGATCGCCTGTCTCTGAGGGAAGGCCCCCAGAGCCAGTGGCAATGCGAACAAGGAGGTTCCCAGGATCAATGCCAGATTGATGGGCAGAACCATCTTGGGCCGCGCCTGCAGCCACGCGGTCTTCTCCAATCTAACCAGCACCAATGGCGGCACCACCATGATCGGCGTGGCGTTCAACACCCGACTGACCGCCGTTTCCCCTACAGCAATTGTAGCCGCCTTCTTACTCTTACCCAAGCTCTGAACCGGTTCGCCGGTTTCTTCCCGCTTTTTCTTCTCGGCCTCAGACAAGACAGGGTACACGTCGATGCCCTGGCGAATTTCCTCACCTCGCATGAGGAAGACATTCAGGGCGCTGGCACTGGAGACAGCGGCAAATGGGACCAGACGGCCGAGCAGGAGCTTGGTGTTGGGAGAAATGCCCTTAAGACGAGGGACGAGGGCGTTCAGACCGAGAGCGACGGAGCAGGAGGCGGAGACGGCCATGAGGTATGACTTGGCCATCTGAGAGTAAGAGAGCGGGGTCGATTTGTTGGCATTGGCGTTGTTTATGGCGACGTTAAGGGACTGGTTGGCGATCTGCCAGAGGAGGGTTCCGGTAGTCTAGATAAGCGGGTACGAGTGAGTCAGAGAGCGGGGCGTGAGGTAGCATAGAGCACAAAGAGGATGCGCACCTGAAGGCCAGGCGTAAGCATACCAGCCGTGACAACCAAGTTGGACAAGACATAGCTGGACATGCGAAAGGGAAGGAAGACAGGCTCGCCGGTGTCTGGAAGAGTCAATTAGTCTGTTGTGCAAGGGCGAAGTAGAGCCGTAAGCCTTACCAGGGTGCAACGTCGAATCGACAACCTTCTTAGCGTGCCACAGTTCCGACGTCATGGAAGGGAGATGATTCTGCTTGTAGGCGGAAACCAGCTGCTTGGCCTTCTCTAGTCCAGCAGAGGAGACAAACATCATCCTATACTTGTTAGTTACGGTCCGCGATTTGCACTGTCAGCACGCTCCTCACTCACCGTGGGTCGGAAAGGTCAGCCGCATGGCGCACACGACCCCAGTACGTTGAAAGGTCATACTGGGATGATGGGGGGTCCCGGTTTCCAGGCAAGGAGGTTGACATTTTGAACCACGCAGGTGCTCAATGGTAGAAAGAACGAGAGCCTCGAAAAGAGAAAAGAAATGTTGGGGACTTGTCCCTGAAAGGCGCGAAAATCAGCACCGGGCCGAGGATCCTCACGTGCAAAGCCGGGCGGTGAGCTGATAAGCACTAGACCCATCTAATGAGGAGTCGTGATTTGCCAATGCGGCCTAGGCACATCTCGCCACCGGAAACCTTATCTTGATTTTCTTCCCCAGCCTGGAGATCATCTGGAGAACTCGTCATGAAACAACACCTCGAGGTAGTATGTTGAGAGCTAATATAAACCAGTTTTCTTATTTTTGATTTTGCGTAGCGGACTCAAATTATGCCATGATACTCCATTGCACCAAACCATTTCTTTTTTTGGCTGATTCGTCACGATCTCATGCGGCTGAACATAACAATCGCTAGGGGATCGAGGGCGCAGTTTGAGCGAAATACCCCAAAGGGTATCGGGCTAAGTGCTTAGAATCTGCCAGTAATCGGCGATCGATTCAGGCGGGTCAGGAGTACTTGTGCTACACCAAAACAGTTGTGGTGATTGGTGCCACTGTAGTATTACGGCACCTATCACTGACAGATTTCGAATAAGGACTAGCTGGGCTCTTATTGTAGGACCAACAGCTCCCAATACGCATGAAGAGTTCCTGGAAACGAAGCCAGCACGGATGGAGCGTTCATGACTGATGATGGAAAAAACGCAACAGTGCTTAGACGGTTGATTTCTGATATCTGAGGTAAAGCAACAGAGATCAAGTCCTAGGACGGGCCCACATACTCACCTTGCAAACAAATCATATTGTGATACAAAATGTAGTAGTTAGTGATGGTTCTGGGATCAACACCAATGCCTCGAGGCTAAAATTTGCTGTTGCCTCCTAGATCTAACTTATCGAGCTCTGCACGAAATCAATATTCACATCATTTTAACAAGCTTCTATAACATTTTCTCCCTGGGCTTTGAGAGAGGCAGAAGACTTGAAGCACATATTGCTGTAAATTATCAGTCAGAAAGAGATATATATGAATTTCAAAACTGAGAGTATGTGAATAGGAAGCATTCTCTGTACAACAAACTGCGATACATAGAATCGATGTTCGATCTTGCTTCCATATTCAGCTTGGCAGGCACCAACAGCGCCATGACCAATAGGCATCCGTCGTCGTAGACCCAGGGTGTTTGAGACGTTTTCTGCTGATGGCGTCATGGCGGTGTAGAAAGCGGTCCCAGCTCCCCACCACTGCTGATTAATTGCCCGCCAGATTGCCCCTCGTGCCTCAGCCGAGGAAGACCGAAGGCATTTCAAAAACCTCAATCCCTATCGCAATCACTTGAAGAAGATCAATCGCATTTATTTTTCTTGTACTATACTTGCGGCGGCGGCTGTGCTTCTTCGTTATGGCAGAATCAATTTATACCAGCTATCCCCCACCCTTGAATCCCGCACAGAAGGAGTTCTTGGTAAAGACAATCAAGGACTGGGCCACGCAAAATGGCCTTGTGGTCCGACCTTCGCCGACCTTCGTCGCAAAGGAAAATGACTCTCAAGGGGTCCTGGCAACTAATGCGCCGGTGACCCTGTTCCCTAGTCCTTTCCCGAAGGCTTGTTTCGAGGAAGCGAAAGCTCTCCAGACCGTGTACAATCAGCTTTACGCTGCGATCACATGTGACGAGGACTGGATTGGGAAAATCATGGAAGAGTAAGGACCTGCTTCTGCTTCTTCCTAACTGTGTCTAGCATTCCCATATCCTTGCGATTGTGCGATTATGGCCGGGCTTCGGCCTTCCAAAATGACCCCAACTGAATATGTGTGTATGCAGTCTGATTGACGTCGACGATTTTATCTCCAACCTCTGGAAGGTCCATCTAGCGGTAAAGAAAGAAGGCTATGCACAGACGCTGTCGCTTGGCCTCTACCGTTCCGACTACATGGCTCATACCCCGTCTGATGCCGCCTCCCCCAGCCTGAAGCAGGTCGAGTTCAACACAATCTCCTCATCTTTCGGCGGCTTGTCATCTCTGGTGGCATCCCTACACACTGAGCTCCTCAATTCCCCACCTGGTCACCCCATCGCCTACCCGTCGCACCCTTTGCTCGACTCGAATCAACCTCCCGATAACAAGGCCGTGGAGACCCTGTCGGCAGGTCTCGCTGCAGCCCACGTCGCTTACGGACCATCGAAGTCCACTCCAGCCCTTCCCACCTGCGTTCTCTTCCTCGTCCAAGAAAATGAGAGAAACATCTTTGACCAATTAGCCCTCTCGCGCGAACTAACGAAGGTACACAAGATCCCTGTCTTCCGCGTCATCAGCTCGGAGGTTCTCGACCACACATTCATCCAGGATTCGAACCCCTCGAGACCACTTATCTACCGACCCCCGCACTCGAATGGCGCCGAGTTCGAAGTGACCACTGCCTATCTCCGTTGTTTCTACGCACCCACCGACTATAAGTCCGAGCGCGACTGGCAAGCACGGACCCACCTCGAACGCTCCGCTGCCATCAAATGCCCTACCGTGCTCAACCAGCTCGCTGGATGCAAAATCGTCCAACAAGTCTTGGCCGAACAAGAGGGACCTGACCACCTGACGAAGTTCCTCTCCGGCACCGATGATGCCACGATCTCCAGAATTAGAGCGACATTTGCCCCGCAATATGACCTTTCGTCCACCGGCCGCGGGCAGAAACTCGCCTTGAACCTCGAAACTGCCATGAACCATGTCTTGAAACCCCAGCGTGAAGGTGGCGGTAACAACGTCTACAAGGAGGCTATCCCTGAGTTCTTGCGGTCGATCCCGGAGACTGAATGGAAGCGATGGATCCTGATGGAGCTGATTCATCCTCCTGCTGAGGCTAAGAACGTGGCTCTCAGAAGCGACGGGGAAGTTCTCAGTGGACATGTGATTGGCGAGCTGGGTGTCTATGGAACGATTCTGTGGGATCAAGCCGGTGGTAACATTTTGCAGAACGAGCAAGGCGGATGGCTGATGAGAACGAAGGCGAGAGACGTCAATGAGGGAGGCGTCGCCACGGGTTTCTCTAGCTTGGATAGCATTGTTCTGTACTAGAGTAGATCGGAACTAGATTAATGTAGACCAATACAACTCTGAGCAATCACTCGCTTCTCAGTATCTTCTCTGTGGAGGTAAAACGGACTCAATCACATGTAGCCCAAAGTTAATTCGTCGATTAGACCCAATGAATAGGTAAAGTCCATTTCTAGCCCATGTGATATCTACCAGATACCTAAGAGTAAGCACGGCCTTCAGGACCCCATTTCTGACGTCGATGCTGATCTTTGCGGGGAAAGTCACACCGCCGCCGTTGCAACCCTAGGCTTATCCGCCAACGCCCTCCCAAGAAGAAGACTTTTTGCTCCCCAGAAACGGTTGCTCCATGTACTCTAATCATCAATTATCGCGATCGCTCGCTCGGGGTTAATTTGACCTGGAAATTGGTCAATTCTCACTATCGATCAAGATACTCATGAGAATAGAACTGCAGGGATCTTGATAAACGCGCCCGAGTAATCCCGTTATCGCAGATCGACATCGGATAGAGCGGACTGATAGCGAGACTGATAAGCCCGCATGGACGATGCAACCTGAACCGCATCCGGCCAGTCAGTATGCGGAGACAGCGTGGGGGGAAGCCCAGTAGTCTATGAAGTCGAGCTTGATTCATTCACAATGTGACATCTTATCCGTGCTCTTTCGCCTTGGCAGCTGATAAGCGGGCGGGTTACATGCGATGCTAAGGTTTTGTATGAACCGAGAGTCGATGACGCTCTTTAGCGAAACGATCGATCCCTTGCGTGTCTATGATCCTGGTTATCCCTTTGCTCCCCTCCCTTCCTCTCTCTTTTAGGATCCTTCATTCCTGCACGTTCGTCGCTTGTTCCATTCTTCTTTCCACTTCGGGCCTGAAGGATCATGGCTTCTAGCTCGAGTTTGAGTCCACATGATATCAAGGCGGGCTCGGTGCACGATGAGCCTGTTAAGACGAGCCACTACACCACTGAGACGAGCATCATTGAGGATGTCGTCCGAGTCACGGATCACCAGGCGGAGAGGCGTCTGTGTCGTAAATTCGACATCAGGCTACTCCCTGTGCTGGCTTTGATGTGTATGTTCAAATCGGTACCAACTCTAAATTTCAGCGGCTGATGGTTGATCCAGATCTTTTCAATGCGCTCGATAAAGGCAACCTCAGTAACGCAGAAACGGATGGTATGAGTAAAGGTAGGATACTGTTCTTCCACTCAATCGTAATACTTTATTGCTAAAGCGGACAGACCTGCATTTCAAACCGAATCAGTACAACTTGTTGCTCTCCATCTTTTACATACCATATGTCATCTTCGCGCCGCCGTTCGCCATGCTCGGCAAGCGGTTCAGCCCAGCCCGAGTCCTGCCTATACTCATGTTCAGCTTCGGCTCGTTCACTCTTCTCTCCTCCGCAGCCAAGAATTTCGGCGGCATGTTCACTCTCCGCTGGTTCCTGGGGACGTCCGAAGCGGCCTTCTTCCCTCTGGTCATCTACTACCTGACAACCTTCTACCGCCGTGGAGAGCTCGCGCGCCGTCTGGCTATCTTCTACGCTGCCTCGAACATCGCCAACGCCTTTTCAGGGCTGATCGCGTTCGGCGTCTTCCAGATCAAGAACTCCTCCATCCCCAATTGGCGCTACCTCTTCATCGTCGAAGGCAGCGTGACGGTGCTCTTCTCGTGCTTCGCATTCTGGTACCTGCCGCGCTCCGCCAGCGAAGCCAGCTTCCTTGACCCGGATGAGAAAGCCCTGGCCTACCACCGCATCCAGGTCGACTCCTCGGCCGTCGTCAACGAGGCCTTCAACCTCAAGGACGCCCTCCAGATCTTCCGCCAACCCTCGACATACGCCTTCCTGGGCATTGAGATCTGTCTGGGCGTACCACTGCAGGGTGTCTCCCTCTTCATGCCGCAGATCATTCAGCGACTCGGTTATTCCACCGTCAAGACAAACCTGTACACGGTAGCGCCCAACGTGACCGGCGCCGCGATGCTTCTGGTCCTCGCCTTTGCGTCCGACGGCGCCCGCCTACGCTTTCCTTTCATCGTGCTGGGCTTCCTGCTCACTTTCACAGGCTTCATGATCTACGCGTCCATCACCGACGTCGAGGCCCAAATTCATGTCGCCTACTTCGCCACCTTCATGATGACGTGGGGCACCTCCGCGCCCAGTGTGCTGCTCAGCACATGGTACAACAACAACGTGGCGCACGAGGGCCGCCGCGTCCTCCTCACGAGCATCGGCGTGCCGCTAGCGAATCTCATGGGCTTGGTCGCGAGTAACGTCTTCCGCGCGCAGGATAAACCTAAATACATGCCTGCGTTGGTCACAATTGCCGCGTTTGGGGCGACGGGCGCGGTTCTCGCGGCCTCGTTGGGCGTGTTCATGTGGGTGGATAACCGGCGCCGGGACGCGCGCGAGGGCGTCAAGATGCGGGCGCAAGATGTGCCCACGGAACGGTTGAGGGATGGGCCGGCGGCGGGGGAGTTTCGTTGGTTTTTGTAGTGAAAGCCCATTCCTTCATGTCAAATATTGAGTGTTCGTTGAGAATGACAATGATGCTGTGCATATGGTCACATCCCTCGCAAGTCTAGCCGGGTCCCGACTTGTCACTTCGTAGGTTGCAGAACGACGACCCACACAATCTAACTAGCTTAAATCAAAGCATAAAGCCGATATGCAGGGTCTCTTCCTCGATACGGGGGCTGCAGAAAAATTAAGCTCCACTCAGCAGGAACAGTAACCGGTGATTAATAATAATTGCCGGCAGTGGGGCGTTTGCGCCCTTATGACATCGTTTTTATAGCTGTCTGTCTTTTTCTATTCTTTCGTGTTCTTGTCCATCAATTCTTCAGCATCAAGCTGATCTTCTTCAAGTTCATCACCGTCTCATCGCCATCTCTTCCTTACCGAAGTCAATTGTTGCATTGAACATGTCCATCCAACAGTGGACCACCCCCCTAACCGGGCTCTCCAGCCTACGTCTAACCACCGCTCCGCAGCCCAACCCAGGCCCCAATGAAGTCCTGGTCGAGATCCACGCCGTGTCGCTCAATTACCGCGACATCGAGGGTGAGTTATCCCCATGACCGTTGTTTCGGGCTTGGTCCACGCTTCTCCCACCGATACAGACGCATCTAACCATGACTCGCATGAACAGTGACGAAAGGCGAATACAACCACCACAAATCCGTCAACAAAGAGACGCCAGACACAGTTCCCTGCTCGGACATGTGCGGCGTCGTCACGCAGGTCGGCCCCTCCGTCTCGAAATGGGCCGTCGGCGACCGGGTTCTCTCCACTTTCCTCCCGGATCACACCACCGGCCAGGTTACGCCCCAGATGCTCGCGCGTGGCATGGGTCACCCCCTGCCGGGCGTTCTGGCGACGCACCGGGTGTTCCCCGAGCATGCGCTGGTCAAAGCTCCGCGGTACATGAGCGATGCGGAGGGAGCGACGCTGCCGATTGCCAGTGTCACGGCGTGGATGAGTGTGCAGGGGCGGCTGAGAGCTGCTGTCGAGAAGGGTGAGGATGTGAGTAAGAGGGTGGTGTTGGTGCAGGGGACGGGCGGTGTTGCGGTCTGCGGGTTGCAAATCGCGAAGGCGTGGGGAGCTAGAGGTGAGTTCTTTTTCTTATGCTTTGCTGTTTTAGTTCAGGCACTGTGTGTGCGTTGGATGGTGCTAACTTGCGCAGTCATCGTGACGTCCTCATCGGATGCCAAACTCGAGCAGGCCAAGTCTCTCGGGGCAGATTATACCATCAACTACCGGACTAACCCCGACTGGGAAGAAGAGGTCAATCGCATCACAGAGGGCAATGGTGTGGATATCATCCTCGAGACCGGCGGTGCGAAGACGCTGCGCAAGAGCTTCGAGTGTATCGCGTTTGGTGGTTTGATTAACTGCATTGGGTATTTGTCTGGAAAGGTGGATGAGCCGGATGACCGGATCAACGTCAACCTGTTGGCGCTCCGGCGGAACGTGACGCTGCAGGGAATCATCAATGGACCCCGGGATGAGTTTGAGAGAATGGTGGAGTTCTATGAGAAGCATCAAATCCGACCGGTGGTTAATCGCGTGTTTGAGTTCGCGCAGGCGCGAGAGGCATTCGAGTTTGTGGAGAGTGGGGGTCACTTTGGCAAGGTGGTGATTGATGTGGTGGGTCCGTCTAGCTGATGGACATCAAAACTGATCGTACGGGTGGAGTGAGTGTATAAAAATCTGTATTATGCTCTCTACTGCCAAATGAGCCACGACTTCTTGAGATAGCAAGGCCAGCGCGTTGATGCTGTAGCCATAGTTTTATACTGTACGGAGCAGTAGACACAACATAAACCTCTGGACAGCCTTACAGCATTACGCTAGCCGGATACAGTAACTCCGAAGGAGAATCGGACAATCCCTTTACGGCAACTCCGCCATCCGGGCGTAAGTGGCAGCTCTTCTCTGCGCTGGCTCGACTTCTTATGAACACCAGAACCACCCATCAGGCAAGGCGTCAAGCTTGGCAGACAAGTGGTGCAGATCAGTCAGGATCTTGGCCTCATGCTGACCCAGAGAATGTCTGTCGACGACTTTCATTGCAGTTCGTCCTACGTCCTGAACCTGACAGCGCACTTCAGTCCGTTTGTTGACGGGAATACTTAAGACTATCCGGGGATAGCGCAATCACGCGGGGGTCATCTCAGCCTCATCTCCTTTACCGTCTGACTCCCTCGTGTCAGGAGGAAAATCAACTGTGGCCTGATCAGCTTTGCCATGGATGGAGATCATCACCTTCAGTCGCACCCATCCGGCCCAACCTCGCCTGCGAAATCGCCCGTCCGGCGACGCAGACCGCCCTTATCTTGTACCATCTGCCGGCGCCGGAAGCTAAAATGCGACCGCGCCCTTCCATGCGGACAGTGCATCAAGTCCAAGACTCCTGACCAATGTGTCTATGTCGGACAGCAACCTTCCAAATCCGATGCGCGTCGGGTAGATGACACGCCGCCACAACGCGCGCGTACCTCCGTCAGTCGGGCCAGTCCGGCTCACGGGGGTCTGTATGTCTTCGACTCCAAGCATCAGTTGTCTGCGAACAGGATCACGAAGCCCAAGGCGCGCTCCGATGAGCTGCACGAGTTGCGCAATCGGGTGCAATTTCTGGAGGCGGCGCTTTCCAAGGCGGGTCCCATCCACACTCCCGAGAGCCTGGGGTATGACGCACAGTCCGAGGCGGCGGTGCGCGTCGCCCCAGAAGCGCAGAACCTCACGGACGATGTCAAGGCGCTTCCCTCAAGGTCGTGCTTTCGTGGGAAGAAGAGTAGGACGCGCTACTGTGGACGCTGCCATTCGGCCGTGACTCTGGCTTTTGTAAGTGAGCTGACTATGTTGCATGACAGACCATGGCTGATTTGTCGCAGTTCGACGATGTCACTGCCTTCATGCGAGGACAGCGCAGTAGTTTGAAGCGCAATCCAGACTACAAGAAGTTCAAGAATTTCAAAGGCGAGGTGTGGGCACGCGAGAGACAAGATCACCAACGTGCGTTCCGCAACAAATCCTGGAATTTGGAGGAGATGGTTCCGCCGCGACACGTGGCTGACGAGCTTGTGAATCTGTACTTGTCAACCTTCGAGATGACCTACCGCATCTTACATGTACCGACGTTCCTTGAAGAATATGAGGCTTACTGGACAGCAACCGGCCCACGAGATCGATGCTTTGTCGCGAAACTTCTAGCTTTGATGGCCGCCAGCAGTTGCTTCCTTAGTCCCACGACGAAGATTGATGGCGGGGAAAAGCTGCATGAAGCCGCAGCAGAATGGATCGCCGGAGCTCGCTCGTGGATTGCGTTCACCTTGGTTAGCTCAAATCTCGATTTCAATATCCTACAGATTGAGTGCCTCATTGTAATTGCACGCCAAGCGGATGCTATCGATGGGGATATCGTTTGGATATCTTCTGGCTCTCTGATTCGAATTGCCATGACCATGGGGCTTCACCGGAGTCCGTACCGGTTTCACAAAATGACCAAATACTGGGCTGAGATGCGGCGCCGGCTCTGGGCCACGATTGTCGAGCTGGACTTGCAGTCGTCGATAGACAAGGGAATGCCGCCTAACCTGGATCTCGAAGAATTCGACTGCGAAGCACCGTCAAATCTCGACGACTCTCAATTGACAGAAGATATGACGGAAGATCCCGTCCCGAGGGATCTAGGGACATTTACCCGCAGCACATTCCAGGTTCTACTGCACCAGACACTGCCGTTACGAGTGCAAATCGCCAAAGTTGTCAATACTCTAAAACTCACACTCTCCTACGACGAAGCACTACGCCTGAGCGAGGAGATAAACCAGTCAATGCAGGAGGGCCTAGGCACGTTGCATCGAATGAGAACTGGAATGCCTTCTCCGATCGGCGAGGACCCTTCCTTTGCACAGTCAATGCTGGTATTCTTGATGCGGCGCTCACTTCTGGTACTCAACCGCCCTTTCGCGCTAAGCATTCTCCGGACACCGAAGTTTTCCTACTCGCGGAAGATCTGTTTGGAATCTGCGCTCCAAATGCTCTCTTACCTCGAGCCCTCTACAGAGGCCCAAGCGTTGCCCCAGCTGGCGCAGCTCAGTGGCGGGATGTTCCGCGACGAGTTTCTTCATGCGGCTTTGACGGTGTGCGTGGAGCTGTACCTGCAATCGTGCGAGTTCAGTCTCCCGCAATCTTTGTCCATGGGCCCGTCGAGCACGCTAACGTCGTTCAACGACCTGGTGCGGTCTCAGCAGGAAGTGATGCTGCAAGCCGTGCAACGAACGATCGAGACTTTTGGCAGCCGAATGGGCCCGAGCGGCAAGGGCTGCAAGGCGTTTTTCTTCCTGACCATGGTCCTGGCGTCCGTCAAGGCGCGCATCAACGGACAAGATCCACAGAAGGTGATTGAGCAGGACGTGATGATATGCATGCGGCAATGTGAACAAATGATGCGGGGGGCGTCTTGGGCTGCCGTCCGGGACCGTGGTGAAATGGATAACGCAGCCATGGTCAGTTTGTCGGATATTAAAGGGGAAGAGAATGCTAATTTGGTTCAGGCCACTCCTGGTTCACTATCGCTGGATGCTGCAGCCCCGACCGACGCATTTGACCCTGCTGCTTTCGGTTTGGATGCCGTAAGTACCGCTTTCCAATATACTTGACAGCATGCTGATGATGGTCTAGTCGCTTGATTTCGGGAACTTGTTTGACATGGCGGACTTTGGAGTGTCGGAAATCTGGGATCGAGATTTCTTTGCCAGCTTTTAGCGTTCAGGACTGGTGGCGTTGGAAGAGGGACTGGGTTGGGTTTCGGCTGACATACATACCATCAATCAGAGGCGTTCTTAAAAGCACATTATTCCCTTGCACCTTCCAAACGATTAGAATTCTCTAATTGTAGATAGCCAGCTATAAAGCGTTCTGGGGGAGAACCCCCAGACCCCCCTTTCCTTTCAGCTTCCTGGTTCACCTCAATCTTATATGAACTATGATAAAGTACCCCGGGGGAGAACCCCCGGGCCCCCCTTCCTTTCAGCTTCCCAGCAACCTCACTCCTGAAATAAATCTACTTCTGTAACTCCTGTACTAAGTCCTCAACACTTCTCATCTCCCTCCCATTATTCTCCCCAACATCCAAAGCAACCAGCACCCGACTCACACAATTATACCCCGCAATGCCAGCAGTCAACTCGACAACCTCCCGCTCACTGAACCCGACCGCCTCGCTCCGCAGCGCTGCAAACGTCTCATCCCGCACCCGCACCCGAAGCGTCATCTCATCCGCATACCGCACAACCGCCTGCTCGCGCGCGCTCAGCGCACTGCTCACCAGCTCGGGCGTCGGCGCCTCCGCCTCTGCCGTGGCCGCCACGCTCCGCACCGCCTGCAGCGCCGCCCCCGTCACCCCGCCCCGCAGCGCCAGCGGCGCGTGCGCGTTCCACTCGTATACCGCCCCCGTCAGCACCGCCACCCGGCACACCGCTAGCTCCAGCACCCCGGCGTCAATCACTGTCTGCGTGCGAATCGCGCCCAGGAAGCTGTTCCATCCGTCTGCGACTGGTGGGGAGTGTAGGAGGGAGAGGTCGAGCGGGATTAACGGGCGGGGAGCCCGGCGCGCCGCGATGCGCGAGTAGATTGCGGCTGTTGTGGCGTTGCCTGGTGGTGCGGTTGCGGGGGCGTAGGGGAGGCGCATTTTGTTTGGTCTGTGGGTGTCTGTGGGTGTCTGTGGGTGTCTGTGGGTGTGAGTGGTGGGTTGGGTTGGGTTTGGCCAGCTGGGGAGGGGCGTACTTTGGTTTGGCTTGCGTTTTTTTTTATGGAAGGAAGGGGTGGTTGTGTGCTGGGTAAAGTGTATGAGGCAGTACACTGCATCTGGCGGCGCGGCCTGTTAAGTATCCGGCGGGGAGTTGCATTTCCGGATCCTCTCAGCGGGTGAATGCGGGGGAGCTCTTTGCTCGCGTTAACCCGTTTGGGAGGCGTGGGGCACCCCCGGTTAGCCCAGCTGCCGGCGCTCGGCAACTGTACCCACTCAATGCCGAGTGCTCGGCCCGATCTTGTGCAGAGGTTTTCTTTTCGTTCTTTGACTATGGGTTGGTTGGTAAGTGAGTTTGAAGTTCAAGAATTTCCCCGGATTCTTGGTCTGGCGTTGCAATTGGTGGGGTGTATCTTATGCTGTAACAAGTCTGCTATGCAATTCTATTTTCATACGAAGAATAATAGTTCTGAATTCATTTCTAATTGTAGGATTCTATTCCAATCGACAGAACCTGCCAAACAAACATTCGAGGTATTTCATCTCACAAGATAAGCAAAAAAACCGCTAAATTTATATACAAAAGGCTTGGGCAAACAATCATATCTCACACCGACTCTGCTTTTCTATCGCTCGTTTACAACTTCTGGCCCTTGCTGAAGCGCTCGAAGGAGGAAACGGGAGGGGCAGAGTTGGGGTTGGGGTGGTGCTTCTTCAGCGCCATCGTGACGTTGTACTCAAGGTCCAGAGTGGCCTTGGGGTCGTCGGTCTTGGGCTTGAACTCCACAACGAGGTCGTCCTTGACGGCGAACACGGAGTCGATGTCGAGGTGGGGGTCGGTGGAGGGGTAGAGCTGGTTGATGACGGTGGCGTAGTCGGGGTGCGTGATCATGAGGTGGATGTGAGCAGGGCGCATGGGAGAGCGGTCCATGACGTTGAGGAGGACACCGGCGGGTCCGTCGGTGGGCAGAGAGTAGGCAGTCGGGTGGTAGCAGTACCAGTAGTACTCGCCGTTCTCGTTGGTGCGGAACTTGCCGCGAAGGTTGTTCTCGCTCTGCTCGGGGTCCTGGAAGTCGTACATGGCGTTGGCGGATGCCTGCCAGATATCGAGGACGGCGCCGACGATGGGCTTGCCGGTCTCCATATCGGTAAGGCGGCCGTGCATCCAGGTAACCTGGCCGTTGGGGAGAGGGTCCTGGATGATGCTGTCGCCGAGCTCGCGGAAGGGGGCGTTGGGAGACCAGAAGGGGCCGAGGATGACGTTGGAGGTGGGGGACAGACCCTGCTCGGTGACGATCTTGTTGGCGATCTCGTCGACGAGACTAGAAAAGTCAGCTTGTTGTTTTGCGATAATTTTCAAATCGCGTAAAACTTACGACTCGAGGCCGATAACGTCGCAAATGCGGTGGCACTCGTTGCGGATAGGAGTGCTGATCTTTCCGATGGAGTTGATGAACTCGACACCCATCATCCACTCGGCGGGAGTGAGTTCGACCTCACGAGCGAAGTCGTGGATGTGCTTAATTAAAGAGCCCAAAATCACACGAGCACGCTCGGGAGTCTTGGGGCCCATGGAGTTGATCACATAGGGAGTGAAGTTGGGGTCCCAGCGAGGTTGAGCAGACATGTTGGCGGTTGTGTGAGGGGAGAGTTGTCAAAGACAGGGGTTAAATGAGGATGGAGAGGAATGGGAGGAAGAAAGATGCAAGTGGAAAGTCTGGAGCAGTCAAGGGTCTATATACACGGTTCAGTCAGGCGTGGCAAGTCTGAATACGGAGCGTGACGGCAAATCGTTCGGCTCGTTTGGGGATGTGGGGAACAGCGCAACGGTAAAGCCACTGTTCCCACATGCCGATGGTTTTCATGATGGCCTGATCGTACAATGCATGGTCGCATCTGTCGGATCAACAGCCGTAGATCGGTACGATCTTATCATAGCGAGCCGAGTTCTATTCTGTGGGATACAGTGGTCACTAGCACTTTGGGGATAGCTAAAAATTGCAGATGTATGGGTAAAACGTTGGCTGGGAGTGGTTGCTGCGGTCGCGCGCTGATGATCCCGGGGTAGCTCTTACCCGCTCTTACCCGCGGCTAAGAGCTCAAGTCTGCTGACTCAACTCTTCCCCCGTGATTTTCTTCCCCGGAGTTGCCAATCCCCCTTGTTTGTCCATGGTTCCTGGTCTCATCTCTATTTTATCGCATGCTATTGGCCGATGGCCCTCCCGACCAACGCATCCGACTGCATCACGTGACTAAATCCGAGTCTCTTGCCGGCCGGCACGTGCCAGCCTCTCCAAAGCCGGAATCGGATGTTGAGGCAAAAATCGTCCGCCAGCTGCCGGAAAGTAGGGATAGACATCTGACCATGCTGATGTTTGGAAAGAGTCGGCTAAGCATTAAGGCAATGTGGAAGGGACCCCAAAAGAGAAAACCGACTTCTATACCTGTTACCTCGAATAAAATGCTGATAAAAATTGACGGAATCAACGGTTTTTAGATTCCTGTTGTGAAGCAGGTGAACAAAAGGTTATAGGCTTGCGACACCTGATGCTTTACACTGATAAGCAATCATTGGAACTTTAGGATTTCATTATCATCTACTCTATGTACTTTACAGGCATCTGCACTTCTAATCATACCAAATCGCGTTCATGCCGAAACCCATCTCAGGGATATCGCACCGAGCCACCCGGGCAAGGTTCTCGTCGCGGAAGCGATAGATCTCAACAAAGCCAAGCTGGTCGTCGCACAGCGCCAGCCACTCGTCACTGAAGTCACAAGGGCTTACTGCGTTGGAGTGTCCACCACTGGTTGAGGTTGGGTGGACGAACAGTTGCCGCTCAATGTTTCCGTTAGGACCCAACTTGAAGGCTGTGATGTATCCCGTGATATCGAAAGAGTTTCCACGGGTGGTTGCGAAAAGATATTCGCCGCTCTTGGTGGTGAAGGTCACATCACCACGGTACTTGTTGCGCGGGGGAAGTCCTAGGTCGGATGAGTACATGTCCAGGATCAGACAGGTATGATTCTTACCGTCAGGAAGTAAGGGGTAGGTGATGTGGGTGAAGACGGGCTTATGGGTACGTTCGTCGATGACGTAGACGCCCAGTCGGTTGCCTGCCTCCATCAACACATATAGGTATTTACCGCTAGGGTGCATCTCAACCCAGCGAGGATGGTCACCCGGCGCGGGCGCCTCGAGACAGTCGACCAAAGTCAGCTGCCCGGTGGTAGCATCCTTCTTGTGTGTCCAGATCTTGTTGGCCTGCAGGTCGGCCGAGTAGAGGTATGTCTCCGTGGGGTCAAAGACCATGCCGTGAATACCGGTGTTCGGTTCATACTCGTAGTTCTGGATATTCTCACGCAGGCTGCCGTCCTCGTTGGTGGAGAAGACGTTACCGTAGCCAGCGTACTTGTAGAAAGGGTTGCCATAGACGTTGTAGGGAGGCTTGTGGGCAGCTAGGACGAAGATCGCACGGGTGTTTGTGTCGGCGCTGGCAGCCAATTCTGCGTAAAAGGCATTAGATTCCTCAGCTGGGGCATGGCGGCAATATAATGTCTTACCATGACCTGCCACTGGGTGGGAGGCTTGGTGAACGATTTCGGTGGGACTGTTAACAGCAAAGCTGTTCCATTTCTTCATAGCTGCGCCATAGATAGCTTTTTTGTCGTGCTAGCAAGAGAGAGGGATCAGTTTGCTGGATAATAGATCTTGGACAGCATCGAAAACATGCTTACCGAGAAGGTCATCCAAGAAATAGGCTCCGCCTCGGGAATGTCAGTCTTCTTGACCAGGTCCAAGGTCAAGGCTTCATCATCGAATGCGACCGTGTAGATGCGACCTGGAGGGGTCCAGGTACCGACCATGAGATGGTGCTTCATTTTCGTGGGTGGGGTTGCGGTAAAGAGGGAAGCGGATAATCGGTTAGTCGGAGTATGACAGAACTGAGCGATAAAAGAGCCAGGTGAACTGGTGAGATGGGGACACAATGCTGTAACAGAAGTTGATCGAAATGAAGACCAGCGACGGAGCATTATAGAACCATGACTTTGGAGACTCTCAGGAGGGGGAAGAGTATTTCCTGGCGTTGGTTCGGCAGGGAAAAAGTCGAGGCACCGCCGACACGGGATCTGGAGACAGCCGAAGCCATTGTTGAGCAAGGAATGCGGGGAGCGGCAAAAGATTACGGCAATGGACGCAGGCCTCAGGCATCAAGTGGGAACCATTTCCTTAGCACTTGACATGAAGTGAGGTGGTTAGCTTCGGCCTTCCACAGCGGTTAGCCCGGTGGCTGTGGCCCTTTAACTTATAGGGTAAGGCGGGCTAAGCTCCAGTATTCAGTGGCCCAGATTATAGCCTGCGGCTTGCGACATGGGAATCAGGGTCTGCACTCTGCAGATCCCCTCGGGGCAAAACGAGAGGGGCGACAGGAGACAAATATACAGTTGGAGGCGATAGAGCTAGACGCTTGTGGCACGTAACCAATATCCTATTCAGGATAACAATAAATAAGACATGATGCGGATTTCCGCTCTCTCCAGGTTTTCGGATACTAATCGGCGGAGGATTGACGGAGTAGAAAATTCCAGTGGCTGCCCCAGGCCAATCAAGCTGCAGCGGGCAGCGCAAAGGCGGGGTTCCCCTCCCGACTAATGCCATTCATGATCTCACTGCACCTTTCCCTGCTTTCGTCCAACAGTGTGTTCTACAGCCCTGGCCTTACTAAGTATCTCCAATTGATCGCTGCCTTTCATCAGACCTACGACATCACCAGGAGACATGGCAGCTCAGACCAATTCGAACCCTAACGGTTGGTTCCTTTTATTTCTGTCGCTCTCCCAAGCTTCTCCCCTTCACAATCATCCCTCGTGTGTTACCTCGAGCTTGCTTTCCTCTGGCCCCCGCTATTATTATTTGCAACTCTTTTCATGAAGTAACGTACTTGATAACCTGTTCGCTAACACCTTCACGATGTCGGCCTCTGTAGCTACCGCGACCTCAGAGCTCCAATCCTCTCTCCGTGATCTCGCCCTCACCAACAAAAGTCCCGTCAAAGACATTGCCCGGCCGTCAATACTACCCCCATCCGCTCTTAAGAAGAAAGCTGCGCCGGTGGCAGATTCGTGGGAAGATGAAGTAGACGAGGGTGTCTCCGAACCAGAAGAGTCAAGCGACCCGAAGTCTGCCACAAGCTCTAGAGACGAACTGGCCGTGCTATCGCCGTCGATCCGTGCCTCCGAAGGCCCTCTCGATCCGCCGCCTACCCCACTCTCTCCACAAACATCCTCAACCCTGCCGTGGCCTAGTTACGGTAACGCCGGGCCGGTGCCGCGGTCATCGGACGCCAAGTCCCCTGTGTCAGGACGACGACCAGAGAAGCAGACGGCGGTAGCGAACAGAATGATTGCGGGAGCACTGGGCATTCGGGCCCCCAAGCGGACGGAGGAGCAGCGTGCCTATGATCGGGCTGTGAAGGAACAAGAGATCAAGAGGAGGAACAGAGAGCGCGAGGAGGCCGCCAAGGTAAAGGAGGAAGAGGAGAAGGCTAAGGCGGCGGTATGGGATGCGTGATTGCTCTTCCAGTTTCCGTTGATATAAGGCGTTCTTCTTTGTTATTATCAGTCACACATACTAAACTAATTGAACCCATATAACCTAGTTTGTCTCGCTCGGAAAGTTTATCTAAACTTAATTCGGATATAAGGTGGGCTCGCCGACAAGAGCCTAAGGCAGGACACGCGAATAGGGTGACTAAAACCAGTCTGTTTCAACGCGTTCAATGACATCCAAGGGTCCAGGCGAAAAGATTTCGAAGGCATGGAACACCGTTCTCATCTGTAACACTCCCTCAGCAAAATGGCATAACGTACTGCTGGCGCCTCATCAGAGCTGTCTTTCGCCACGAGGAGCCAATTATGTTGCTGGGGGTGTTTATGGGACAAGTTTGAACTTCGAAAAAGAGTACCTGCTAGACTCGCCTGATGTAAGGGCGGAGAGCAAGCTAAACTTCGTGCGCTGCTGGGCAGTCAGGGCAGCCTCCTTGAAAGCTCATAGGTGTAACCCAGCGTGTACGCCGGCGGTAGCTATAACCCCAGCGTAAAGGGACCGGGCATCGCTCACTTACTCTGCCAACCAAGGCTTGAGGCAGTGGGAGGTGTCTGCGGGATGAAGCAATTCAGACTCCACAGCACGTGTTAGTCCAGTGTCTACGGATTTCAGCAACCGAGCTGCTATCTTTACGATGATCCTGGCTACGGCCGTGGATCCGGACACTAAACTAGTTGGTTACAATGCTCAGGCTGGTTTCATAATCGCAGGCTACTCGCCGCCTCACGGTATTTATGCTAGAAACTGGCCTTTTGGGACAAGTCCGCCATATCGGCGTGACTGGAAGCACCGAGGAACTTTAAGTACACATAAACCTCCAGGATACAGTGTTTGACATCGAGATTAATGTTTTGAACGCGAATAGCCAGGCACGGAGGGACCTACTTCGAGAGAGTTTCAAGCATGAAAAGCAAACATGTGCAAGAAGATGCATGACTGGGAACTTTGACTTCCTTCTCCGATACAAGTAATCAGCTTTCTTTCTATTCACACGGCTTGGAGTGTATATCAAAACCGTCAAGGTGCTTACAAGAAGTTCTATTAGCAACTAATTACTCGAACAACTAGCTATCTAGAGCAGGCTCAACGAGATCCTTACATATTGAATAGATTTCACTAATTAGCGTGCTCTAGCATGAAACCAGATAGAAGGCTAACTTAGTTGAGGCGAAGAACGAGTACGTTTGTCACGCAAGATCTGTAGTAATTGATGCTGACTTGGCTCTTGTTACGGGATTTGAAGATCACTTCCTGCTATTCAGCTCGGGTTATAGGATGAAGCGAAGGTATTGGAAATTGAAAGTACTTCTATCTTCCTGCCGCTGAAGCTTTTCTTTCGCTGAAGTGGGATGTTCTTCACGGGTGCGAGAAACAGCTGTTCAAGTAACGATCAGTTTCCTCAGAGCCAGGTCGCGCGACTCGTCTTCGTAACGAAACACATTCACTGTTCCCTCTATGAATTCTTCCACGAACCTTCCGAGCAACACTGGTCAAGCAGTGGGGCAGGGAATTCAATATAGACTGGAGCCTATTGTCACTGTGTTCTCTTGATAGTTGGATTCCGGGAAAGAATGCTGCTCCCTTACACTATCCTGTATGACTGCTTGAGACTTTCCAGTGCCATACACGTAACCGAGACTTACCGAAAGTCACCTCTTTCCCAACAGATCTTCGTCACTGATTATCTCCTCATCAAGCCTCCTCACAGACTGAAAATGGAGAGTAAAGGTCAAGCACATGTGCCATCCGTTCTGAAGGATCGATACTGACTATCGCACAGAAACGCAACCCCAAACCTCCTCCAAGGATGATGAGCCCTCTTATCCAGACGCCTGCACCCAGCTACAAGTCCGCTATTTATGCGGCCACTCAAAGGATGGAAAGTTCGTCAAATGCAAGAAACATGCTGGCAAGGAGGACCTGAGATGCGCCAGTGCGGGAATCCAGTACAAAGATGCAGATTGGTCCATGCATAGGTGCCGTACGTGCTTGGACAGCGATTGAAGTCGGTTGAGCCTCATGGAGGATGAACTTGCATGTTTCCTCAGAAGAACCATTTCTGACCCCTGCCGGAGCTTTCTAACAAGTGGGCCTCGAGACCTTCTACCTCCTTTAACGCTGCTTCTGAGCCCTTATCTTCTAGCGCAACAGAGCCCTCAAAGTCGAAGATTTGGGCGCCTTTCTCAGTCATCAGAAAGTTGTATCGATTGGTGTCTCCGTGGAGGATTCCGAAGGTATGCAGCAGACGAATAGTCTTTGTACATGCTTCCAGGTCATCTATGCTTGGCGGATAGCCTGAAATCTTTTCCATCAAGAAGCCCATTGTCCGATCCTTTGTTTCTTCGTAGACGTAACCTATTAATCGTGGCGCAAGTGGAAAGCCAGCTGAAGCCAGCTTAGAGTAGATCGCGACCTCCTGCTGCAAGTACCGAACTTCGTGTTTGAAACTTGCGATCTTCATTACCCAGATCTCATTGTCACCCTTCACGCAAAACATGCGATCACTGATACGGGAAACCCTCGTCAGGTCTGACAGATTGTAGAACTTGGCAGAAGATACATCGAGCTTCGCGAGATTGAGTCCGTGCGGCTTGAACTCGTTTAGAGTGCTTTCGAGACCATGAGCACCCCTTCGTACCGTCAGTGTTGTCCATTCTTCCTCCCAGCGAGGGACTTTCCGCAGGTGCAAGAGAATCCGATAGCTATCAGTCCTATAGTCAGGCGGAATAGCATCTCCATTGAGAACATGAACATAAACAATGCGGTTTTTCTTCCTGATTCTGTAAAGATAATCGTCCTTCTCCAGATCTAGACTCAGCACCTCCTCCTGCGGTTTTTAGCGAAAGTCTGTCAATGAGGGTAATCAGGCTAATTTACATCAGGACGTGCTGTCACGGCAAGTTCAGGCGCGTCAGTATCGCTCTCGGCGGACGAGGTATCGCTGTCGCTGGACGACATGACTGGCTGGACGCTTACTTTAGACTGGGCGGACTGATAAGAAGGTTCAGGTATGTTTGTTGACGATAAGGAACGTCTATGGAAACCAGCACTATGGATGGACTTGCGGAGCGGATTGTTTGGCTGATTTGCACCAGTGCTAGCATGGATCACTTCCAAATTCTACCATTGGAGGGACCAATCACATTACTAAGAAAGTCGGCGCAGAGACGGGAAGCGCCAAACCGGCTGAGCTGCATGCTTCCGAGGTCGCTTCCTAAGTCTCCCGAGTCCATGGCACTGACCCCTTGAACCGGTCGCAGATGCTGCAGGAACTAGTTTAGTCTGCAGCTGCGTGCCATTTGTATTCTGCAATGATCTGGCTAAATTAGCGCCTGGAAGTCTCACTTCCCAGTTGAGTGGCAGTCAGCTCGAGGAGATCTCATCCGGTTCCACTTGGACCATTGCTTTCAAGCTTTGCGACCGACTAGACCCGCCGATCGGAGGCCCATGCCAGCTCCTATGTGGAGAAGACTGTCCATAGAGAGTTAGAAACCCCCCCTATCCTTGACAATAGTCACAATACTCGACCACTAACTTTGACTAGCAGATTCGAGTTTAATCACACTTGCAGCAAGCGTCCGTCCAGGGATAAATCCGGATTCTTGATAGGCCCATCTACCCGCTCCCTGCCAGATCTGTGGGACAAAGCTGGACTGAACTTTGCGGCAAGACAAAAGGGCGACCTCGGAAGACATCCAGGGCTGCGTGGATACGCCGCTGCTGCTTGGCAAAGTTTAATACATTCCTTGCCCCGGAAGTTGAACCTCCGACCTCTCAAATAATGGAGACGTCCGTTCTTCTTTCTACCTTCCAAAGAGAGTCCTACACTTCTTGCTACTCCTTTGTGGTCTCCCTCCCCTTCCCCCACTCAAGCTGCCTGCTCACCATTCCCACCGTCAGCAATGGCCGGCAAGCCGCAATTGCCGACGGCCTCGTCCGCTCCTTCTAGTGCCGACGGAATGGCGGATGCCGGGGATACGCAGTTACTTGGTGAGTAACTCGCCTCCGACTCATGTCGCGAGGAGTTGGTTAACCGTGTGATAGCCACCCTCGGGTACAAGCAGGAACTCCGTCGCCAGTATTCTACCGTCCAAATCTTCGCTGTCGCATTCAGTATCATGGGTCTCGTGCCATCAATCGCCTCCACGCTCGCATTTTCTCTGCCAGCGGGTCCTGCGGCAATGACATGGGTAACTGGGCCCTGCGAGAGAGAGAGAGAGAGAGAAAGATGTTCATATAGGAAGAACAGAAACACTGACTGTCTTAGGGCTGGCTTATTGCAAGTCTCTTCATCTTTTGCGTAGGCTTAGCATTGGTATGGAACATATACCTTTTATCCTCTTAATGTGAGCGTGTAGCTAACAATCTTCCTCGTGCAGGCCGATCTGTCGTCAGCTATGCCCACAGCGGGTGGTTTATATTGGTGGACCCATTACTTCGCGGGGCCGAAGTACAAGAATGCGTTGAGTTTCTTGGTGGGATACAGTAACACGATGGGCCTAGTTGGGGGGATGTGTTCGGTGGATTGTGAGCACCCATACTTTGGCCACGGCTTGTGGCGTTGGCTTACGGAATCATAGATACACTTTCGCTTATGATACTCGCATGCGTCTCCATAGCACGCGACGGCGCGTGGTCAGCCTCTAATGGGATCATCTACGGCGTCTATGTCGGCCTCATACTTATCCACGCCTTATGCGCAATCTACGCGGGCCCTATCATGCCTCGCATCCAGCTCTTCTGTATCTTCATCAACATCGCCATCATAATCGCTACTGTAGTTGCTTTACCGGTTGGTAAAGTCACGAATGGCGGAACACTTAACTCTGGCGACTGGGTTTACGGGCACGTGGATAACCTGACAACCTGGCCGAAGGGATGGGCCTTCGTTCTCGCCTTTCTAGCCCCAATCTGGTCGATCGGGTTCTTTGACTCCTGCGTGCACATGAGTGAGGAGGCCCTGCACGCCGCCAAGGCAGTACCCCTAGGGATTGTTTGGTCGTCAGGGTGTGCATGTGTGCTGGGCTTCCTGGTGCTGAGTATCATCGCTGCAGTGATCGATCAAGATGTCAGCACAACATACAGTTCGGTATACGGACAGCCCATGGCGCAAGTCTACTTCACAGCGCTTGGCAAGAAAGGAGCATTAGGATTCATGGGCGTCTTGATAGTCATCCAATTCTTGATTGGATTGACCTTGGTACGTCCTGATTCATTGGTCATTTGGCAAGCATCTTCTAACAACGGATTTAGATCGTCGCCGCGTCTCGACAAACCTGGGCATTTTCCCGAGACGGTGCCCTGCCGTTTTCCAACTACTTCCGCCATGTCAGCACGCGCATTAAACACCAGCCCGTACGGGCCATCTGTGGCTTCGTGGCGGTGTGTATCGTTTTTGGCTTACTATGTTTGATCAACTCGGTCGCTGCCAACGCGCTTTTCTCCCTCTTCGTGGCCAGCAACTACGTCGCCTGGGGCACTCCAATCCTGTGCCGTCTGATCTGGGGTAAAAAGCGGTTCCGTCCCGGCGAGTTCTACACCGGCTGGTTCAGCCGGCCGATTGCGATCGTAGCTGTAGTGTGGTTGGCTTTTGGCTTGGTCTTGTCAATGTTCCCTAGCACGGGCCCTAACCCGAGCCGTAAGTGTTTTTCCCTTGTCTGTTATCAACATTGACTGACAATGGCCCTCAGCATCCGATATGAACTACACTATCGTCCTCAACGGATTTGTCTGGATTGCCTGCATGACGTACTATTTCCTGTTCGCTCGCAAGTGGTACACGGGGCCTAAGATGACCGTTGACGGCGTTGAATCTCAAGGTGACACTGATGACCGTCGACCTAGAAGCAAGGAACATCCTGCCTCCTAACATTCTTCTCTCTATGCTCTACATATAAAACTAAAGACCATAGACACATAGATATAGAGCGAATCAAGTTATTTTAGTTTATTTTTTAGTGACTCAAGACAGCAATTATGTTGACATCTAGGGGCGTGACCGCTGGATCACGTGACCCGATGGAACATAAACACTGTGAAATCACATAGATAGTTTCTTACTCAACTAAATCAATAATTATAAAAGGTTTTATACCTTTTTCCCGTGTAACTGCTTACTTCTACAGATTATAAGTCTAGCTCAGGTTTAAAATTTTTCTTTAATCTTTTCTCTCTCTTTTTCTTTCTTTTCAGTATAAAAAATATATTATATACTATTTAATATATCCGCTAATTAAAACTCTTATTTATTATTAAAAACAGTCCCTTTTTAAATATTAAGTATATTAACTATCTTAATTAATTAATAAAATATATAGTTAAAAAAACAGAGTAAGTATAGAGGTACTATAAAATAATAAATTATTAATATTATTAAATTATTAGTTTTATTAGATACAGGTAACTACTAGATATAAAATAAAATATTATAAATATATTTTTATTCTTAAGATCTCTAGAGAATTATCTCTAGAATTATTAAAAAATTAATTAAATTAATTTCTTCTACTTTAGTATATTAAATATATAATAGCTTATACTAAAAGTCCTTAAATAATATTAATATAACTATATTTAATAAGATATATAAATAATTTAAAAAACAGTTTAGTATATTAAAAAAAAATAATAAGAAAATTTATAAAGTAATCTATATAATTTTAATATTAAATATTTATTATAAAATAATTAATCTTACTAGTACTAAAAAAATATAAAATAAATTAAAAAAATATTATAATATTATCTTCTCTATATAATTCTTTAAAAAATTTTAAATTATTAGATCTCTTTACTATAATAATTATAAGAATATAAATAAATATATTATAAAGATATTATAAGCTTTAAATAAGTTTTTATATAATTTAAGAATAAATAAAAAACTTTTTAAATTAATATATATATAGTTCTTACTTTATAATTTAGAAGAATACTAGAATATATTTTTTACTTCTTATATTAACTCTTATTTTAATAAAAAAAAATTATATAAGATAATATCACCTAAGTTCTTATATAAGAAAAGATATATTTTTAGTTTAATTTTATAAATATAAATCTTACTAAAATACTGAAAAAAGAAGTAGAATAATACTAATAATAAAAATAAGAAAAATAATTCTAAGAAGAAAATTTCCTGGAAAATCTATAAAAACTAAATTTATAATTATTATAATAAAATAAATTATAAATTATTTAGTTACTAGAAGTTATATCTTAAACTAAAAATATTAAAAATAATATTAAAAGATACTAAGATAAATATTATAAAAGATAAGTTAAAAACTATAGTTCTAGTATTTATAATAATAGAAAATAATATAATTAATAATTTTACTAATTCTATATTATAATAAGAAATCAGCTTTATTAAATATAATACTATAATTATATATTTTAAATATAAAGAAGAATAGATTATTAACTCTAGTTTTACTAAATATCTTATTAAAAATATAAATAACTTTATATCTAGTACTATTAAGTTATATAAGTAAAAAATTAAAACTATTACAGATAAAATAATTTACTTAAAAAATATAAAAAATATAAAACTAAAATTAATATATAAAACTAGAAGATTCTGTATTATTATATTTATAAATATATTATATATACCTGATATTAAGATTAATTTACTTAATATAATATACCTTACTAAATATAACTTAATAATATTATTTCTTTTTACTAAAATAATTATTTATAAAATCTTTAATAAAAAGATTATTAACTGGGGTAATATTATTAGAAATTAGTATATTTTATATCTTAATTATAATTTATATACAGAGGAGGTTACTAGTAATAAAATTATAAATTTATTTATCTCTATAAATAAAACTAAAATTATAAAAAATATTATTAAATCTAATATTACAGCTCTACTAGTAGAAATAATTATTTAAATAATTATTTACTATTTCTATATATAGAGAGATCTCTATAAGGAATATATTATAAATATAAATAAAAATTATATTAATTTAATTATCTAGTATTACTATCTAGCCCATCTTTCTATTATAAATTATATATATTTTTTAAAGATAATAAATAAAATAGATATCAAAAACTTTACTATACTAAAATATTTATATTAAATATATTATTTTATTAATATTATAATATACTAGAAATATATCTAAATAACTTCTCCAGAATAATATAAATACTATATATTTTTTAATATTAGAAAAGAGTATATTAATATATTTATAAATAGAAAATCTAATATATATTACTAGATATTTTTTATTAATATATATAATAGCTAGATTAATATTTATTTTTTAAAACAGAGAAAGAATACTGTATTAAAATTAAAATTATTTATTAAAAAAATAGATTATATATCTTATAAAATTAAGATTTTATACTCTAATAATATACCTAAATTCTAAAAAAAGAAAATTTTTACTTAAATATATTATAAAGATATTAAATAGGAGTTTATAGCCTTATATATATATAATTAAAATATATTAGTAGAATATATTAACCTTATTATTTTAATTTATATTTATATAATTTTTTATAATTAAGACCTTAATTAAGATCTTTAAAATAAAATTATAAAAGAAATAATATTTCTTAAGAATTTATTATTAATTTATAATAAAATAATTACTGTATAGAAATTATATAATAAAAAATATTTAAATTTATTAAGTTTTTATATTCTTAGCTGTTATAGTATTATAATAATTTCTAAAAAAAATTAAAAATAAAAATAGGATTCTAAAAATATAACTATATAATTTATTAGTATATTTTCTTAATTATATAAATCTTATAAAATAATATAAAATTCTAGATATTAAAAATAATAAGATTCTTATTATTAAAAATATATATTTTAATAAAAAAATTAATCTAGAACTATATAGATTATTAGATAATAATTATAATTAGTATTATATTTCTACTCTAGTTATTCTATTAACTTATAATCTAAATAAATATATCTTAGATAATAACTCTAGTAATAAGAAAACTATCTAAATATTAGAATATTAATATAATCTAGTAACTTTAGAATATTATTTAATTAATAAAAATAATTTATTTATATCTTTTATATATATTAATAATTACAGAGTAGAATATAATAACTTAATTATTTTTTTTATAAAAGATTTCTTAAAGTAAAAGAAATTCTATATTCTATATTTTTTAAAACAGGCCTTTACAGTTAATAATATTAAAAAAAATAGTAATTATAATTATATTATTAAACTAATTATATATAAGTAAATTATAAAATTACTAAAAGTCTTATAGTAGTATATAATAATAGTAAAGAAATTTTCTATATTAATAATAAAAAATATCTAGAAACTTATTAATCTACTTTACAAATATAAAATAATCTCTAGATATTAAATATATAAAATTAAACTTAATATAAATAATAAAATCTATTATTTTAAAATTTATTATATAATATATAATTTTTTATAGGTTTATAGTATTAATTATAATCTTATATTTATCTTAACAGCTAAGATAATAATAATAAAAATATTCTTTACTTTTATAATAATTCTTAGTTATATTTATAAATAGAAAAATATTAAGTAAACCTTTCTCTACAGAAAATTTTATAATAATAAAAAGATTTATATAATCTAATTAACTAGTTTTAATAATAGTATAATTAAAATATATAAATTATTTTTACTTATTTATAGTTTAAAATAATCTGCTAGAGACTAGTTTTATAAGTTTTTTAAAGTAGTTATAAATATTAAAATAATTTTTTTTAAATAGATAAATATCTTTTTATCAGGAAATATAAAAAATTAATAATTTTATATATAAATAATATCTAAATTACTACTTCTACTAAATACCTTATTAATATAGTTTATAGAAGTTTTTTTAAATATTTTATAATTATTAATTTTAGTAAAATAGTATAATATCTTAGTATAAAAATTAAATATAATAATAGTATAGTTTATCTTTTTTAAAATATATTTTTTTATTAAATTATTACAGTAGCGGACCCTGATAATAAAAAAATCTATAAAATATTAATTAATAAAAATATTAAGTTTATAAAGAACTAGAAATAAATAGTCTAGAATAATATTAAGAATTACTAAGCTAGTATTAAAAACTATATATATTTAATAACTTAAATATATTTTAATATAGTCTTTATTATCAGAAAGTTTTCTTATTATATAAATAATCTAGTTAAATAATATATAAATAATCTTCTCTTTTTATATTATTACTTATATAAAATTAATAGATATAGAATTATTTATATAATCTATAAATTCTTTAAACTATTTAACTAACTTAGTATAGTAATTAGTTATATTAATATTAATTATACTAGATATCTTAATATATATTATTTAATAACCAGATATATTTTTATATAGATTAATAAACTAATTTTATAGATTTTATATTTATAATTTTATATTACAGTATCTATTTATAAAATAAAATATATAACTTTATATATAATAATAAAAAAATATACTAAATTATATATATACTAGAGAATATAGGCTTCAGTAATATATATTTAATAATAATTTATATTAATAATAAAAATATTATTATATTTATTTAAAATAATTAGTTTTATTAGAAAACTAAGTATATTAATATAATATTTTACTAGATTTATAAGATTATTTAGTATAGTAATATATATTTTATTTATATTAATTTCTTAGAGAATCTTATAGATTTATTTACTAAACTATTTAGAAGTATTAAATTTATTAATTTTATTAAAAAACTAGGAATTATATTTTAATTTAGAGAATATAATAAAATTTATTTTTAGCTTAATAGACTGCTATACTAGTAGCTTATATTAATTTATAAATTATTATTTTTTATTATCTGCTTATTTTTAATACTATGAAAAATTTATATATTGTCTATTTAGAAAATTAAAAAGAAATTAATTAGAATTACTGTAAACCTATTAAGAAGATATATTAATATCTAGAGGTATAACTACTAGGTTATATAACCTGATAGAATATAAATACCATAAAATTATGTAGATAGTTCCTTACTTAACTAAATTAATGATTATAAAAGGCTTCATACCTTTTTCCCGTGTAACCGCTTACTTCCACAAATTATTCGTTCTAATCTGACTTGTGTCTCAACCTGTGGCTATATGCCTTTGGTAGGTTTTTCATAACGAATCGATTGTAGTGTTGCGCTTGACTCTGAAATATATTCTTGTAAGGCGGCGGTGCGAGCGCTCCCTGCGAAATGATATATCCTTGTTAAACTACTTATGTAATGCTAAATAGCTGTCGCTTATTGAGTCTTTTAACCAATGCTCATATGATTCTAAACAAGATCTGAACAAAATTTACTTCCAGTACTAGACGCACTGCCCATCGAATGTGATAGAAGCATGCGACTTTGTAGCCTGAGGCATCACTTCTCTAAATGCTGACTCATCTTGCTATTATCGGAGCTAATTACGTATCGCGACTTTCGTCGAGAGCGATCGTCAAGCTATAGACACCCTCTATCAGGTAACAGACATCTCCACTCCCAGAACCGCCATGCTATCCAGAGCTCTATCTACGACACGGAGAGCACTCCGGAGTCCATCCGGCGGGCTCCGTATGTTCTCATCGACGCTGCGGGTAAATTCCAATCTCTCTTACCAAGTCTTCAAGCCCGAGAAGGACGAAGTAAGCCGAGGCCCCATCATCTTCCTGCATGGCCTGTTCGGCTCGAAGCAGAACAACCGGAGCATCAGTCGGTGAGTTGTCCCATCATCTAGCTTTTAAATGATGGTAAGCTAACGACCTTCCAGCGCATTAGCCCGCGACTTGAAATGCGAGATCTTCACGCTGGTATGCATATCTCGAGTTGCGTTTGAGTAGTGCCTCGCCCGGCATTCTGATTATTATGTCATTTAGGATCTCAGGAACCACGGCGATTCATTCCATGCCGATGAGCACAACTACCTCGTCATGGCGGAGGATGTGGTCCAGTTCATGCAACACTTGAAGCTGGATAAGGGCGCCTTGATCGGGCATTCTATGTACGTGCTTTACCCCCGTCCTCACGGGAAACTAGAGGTCAAGGTGTGACTGACCCCCAATCTGCGTGGCTGGACAAACAGGGGCGCCAAAGTCGCGATGACCGTCGCCCTCGAATCGGCCAACCTGGTATCAGCTCTGGTGCCCGTGGACAACGCGCCAATCAACGCGGCGCTGAAGAGCGACTTCGACAAATACGTTCGCGGTATGCAGCACGTCGAAGCGGAGAAGCCTCAGAGTCAATCGCACGCCGATAGCGTCCTGCAGAAGTATGAGGAGGTAAGTTGCTGAGCTGGTTGGCTCGCCCCTATTCCAGTCTCCTTGTTTCTCTTCTACCCTGGTCGAAGCACATCAACACACCTCACGCATTCTCTCTTTGTTAAGATACTGACCTATCCGGCAGTCCCTCCCCATTCGCCAATTCCTCCTCACCAACCTCGTCCGCGTCCCGGAAGACCGCACCATGAAGTTTCGCGTCCCCCTCTCCGTCCTCGGCGAGTCCCTCGGCAATATGGCCGACTTCCCGTACCGGGAGCCCGGCTCGGTGCGCTACGACGGCCCCACGCTGTTCGTGCGCGGCACTAAGAGCCGCTACGTGACCGACGACGCAATCCCCGCCATCAAGGCGTTCTTCCCGCGCGCCCAGATCGCCGATGTCGAGGCTGGTCACTGGTTGATCTCCGAGAAACCTGAGGCGTTTCGGCAAGGTATGTCTTCCTTTTCCCCGCCTTTTGTTGACCCCGTCATATGTGTGTGGAGTGAGTGCGTTGAGGCTAATCCTTGGGTCTTTGGTTGGGATAGCGGTGGTTAAGTTCTTCAAGGAGTTGGATTGATTATTAGACATGAAGTAGGGAAGGGGCGGTTGAGTGGGTGTATATAGGGATGGTATGTATGTTGGGATAGACATGTGTTATATGCTTGGGGCTTGGCTAGAACTAGAGCTAGATGTTGCTACGACCTGTTGTATAGATCAGAATCAAGCTATAAATGGTATCATCATCATTGTTTGTTCTGCAGTAAAACGAAACATGTAGAGGCACGTCGCACACATCAAACTTTGCATATCACACAGGGAAAATCTTTGCTTTTGGTCTTTTGCTTGCAAAGAGGCAAAAAAGAAAAAAGGGTCTCGCCTAACCCTTGAAACACTTTACCCGTACTCAGAAAACCGAACCCAAACCCAGGCTCATCCCAGGCAAGATAGACCTGATTACAATCCTGTAAAGATGGAGGAGAGCTAAGAAAATAAGACACGTAAGAAGTTTTTGGGAATTTATGTTACAGCCCTGGATGTTTAGTCGAGGGCGTCGGTGATACAGCCGTGGCTGGCGTCCTTGACAAGTCTATGGGAGAAGTGTTAGTTGGGTTGTTTGGTGGATTCACACGAAAGAAAGTTGCTGGGTAAGGGCCGAATACGTACCTAGCGTACTTGCCAAGGGTTCCGCGGAGGGTCAGACCGGTGGGAGGCAACTTGCCAGCAGTCTTATCGGCTTCCCACTGCTGTCTTCTCACGGCAAGGTCCGTCTCGCTGACGTCGAGATCGAGGACGCGCTTCTCAGCGTCGATGGTGATCACATCGCCGTCGTGGACCAGACCGATGGGACCGCCGACGGCGGCCTCGGGGACGATGTGGCCGATCAGGAACCCGTGGGAACCGCCGGAGAAACGTCCGTCGGTGATCAGGGCGCAGGAGTCGCCGAGACCGGCTCCCATCAGGGCGGAAGAGGGCTTCAGCATTTCTATGAGATAGATACGATTAGCAAGGATCCAAGGAAAGAAGAAAGCACTGTCTCGTCACCTACCGGGCATGCCAGGGCCTCCCTTGGGACCGCAGTAGCGGATGACCACAACGGTCTTCTCGTCCTTCTTGATCTCGTTGCGCTCGAGGGCAGCAATGAAGTCGTCCTCCTCGTCGAACACGCGGGCCTTGCCGGTGAAGACGGTTCCCTCCTTACCGGTGATCTTACCAACACTGCCACCAGGAGCCAGGGTACCTCTCAGGATTTGGATGTGACCGGTGGGCTTGATAGGGTTGGACAAGGGGCGGATGATCTTCTGGTTCTCGGGGAAGTCGGGGACCTTCTCCAAGTTCTTGGCCAGGGTCTGACCGGTGACGGTCATACCGGATCCATCGATGATGCCTTCCTTGAGCAGGAACTTGAGCAGGGAAGGTGTACCGCCGATGTTGTGCAGATCGGCCATGACGTACTTGCCGGAAGGCTTGAGGTCGGCCAAGAAGGGGGTGCGGTCGGAGACAGCTTGGAAATCTTCGATATCCAGCTTGATGCCAACAGAGTCGGCGATGGCGATCAAGTGAAGAACGGCGTTGGTAGAACCACCGGTGATGTTGACGACGATCATGGCGTTCTCGAAAGCCTGGCGGGTCAAAATATCGCGGGGACGGATGTCCTCCTTGAGAAGGATCTTAATCGCCTCGCCAGCCGCAAGACACTCGAGGTGCTTGGCCTGGGACTCGGCGGGGTTGGAGGAGGATCCAGTGAGGGTCATACCCATAACCTCGATAGCAGTGGCCATGGTGTTGGCAGTGTACATACCACCGCAAGCGCCACCGCCAGGGCAGGCGTTGCGGATAATATCAAACCGCTCGGGCTCAGTGATCTCCTTGCTCAGGAACTGTCCGTAGGCTTGGAAGGCGGAGACAATGTCGATGTCGGCATTGTTTTGCATCGAAGCGCAACCGGGCTTGATGGTACCGCCGTAGACCATCAAACTGGGACGGTTCACTCTGCCCATCGCCATCAAGACACCAGGCATGTTCTTGTCACAGCCGGGGATACTGATGTTGGCGTCATACCACTGACCGCCCATGACCGTCTCGATGGAATCGGCGATCAGATCACGACTCTGCAGGGAGAAGCGCATACCCTTGGTACCCATACTGATACCGTCACTGACACCAACGGTGTTGAACTGGAACCCGACCAATCCGGCCTTCTGGACACCCTCGCGGACGCGATTGCTGAGGTCCATCAGATGCATGTTGCAAGGGTTACCATTGTACCACACCGACGAGATTCCGACCTGGGCCTTGTTCATGTCCGCCTCGGTGAGACCAGTGGCGTACAGCATCGCCTGCGAGGCACCCTGCGAGATGGGCTGGGTGATATGGCGGGAAACTTTGTTGAGGCCGGCATCCTTATCGTCGGCATTCTGCTTGCGGGAGAGGGTGGTAGAGAGCGAGCGGCTACGATTGGGACAGCGAAAGTCAGTACTTATGCATTATCATCAACAGGAGCTGGGCAATGGATGGCCAACCTGTTCAACGAGCGCTGGTTGAGGCTCCGAAGAGCGGCGGGCATACGCCCCCGGGTCTGGGAGAGAAGCATTGGCGAGTCGAGAGCACGCAACTCACGGAGTGTGTATCAGAAGTTCGAGTGAGAGGAGAAGGGTCTGGTGAGGGGTAGGTAAGAAGTTAGAAACCCGTGGCCATGACACAAAAGGGAGTGAATATAAGGAGCATCTGAAGGTCCAACAGCAGAGAGTCACACACTCAGCTGGGAAAAATGGGCCGGGGGCCTCCGCAGCGAAGTCGGGGCCGGAGTTGGACTATGACTCCCCGCCACCCAATCCTCGTCCATCGTTTGTCAGCTCTAGTCCAATCGTCGGCTCGGATCTGATGACTCAGGCCGGTCTCGACTGCTTTTCCTGGGGAGCTATCCTCAGCTAACTGCTTCAGGTCTAGCTACCCGGTGGCTTAGTTTCGCCGCTTCCGACACACTGAGCTACTAACCGCTATCCCCGATTGGGTCACTGCGCCTTTGCTCCCCGTCCAGCTGGGCAGCTTATCGTAACCATCCGGATGGCCCGTTGTTGTGATACAATTGTACTAATATTCTCTTCAACATTTCGTGGTGCGCGCTCACCCAGGGGTCACAGATGCCTTGAGTGTGTACATGCTCTTATTATGCTGGCTCTGCCATCCTAGCTTATGAACCATCAAAATAGCACATCTTCCTGCCCCCCTCCATAAAACGATGCTCCCGTACGACAATTTGTATACCACGTTTACCATCAGCTTGCAGTCAGTCAAGTCAAGCTTGGCAGACTGGTACTACCATGCTATCTGCATATATTAAGACGGATGTGCACGACTTGAGAAATCCGCCAATGCATCATGTGGGGGTAACAGGGAGCTCAACGGTTACACTGTGCGTCGTGGTCTGGCACAAGATCTGTAATCTGCTTCACCTGACCGAAGGATGATCCCCAAAAGCTGAAGAGAGAGAGCCTCGTTTAAGAGCTAGGCTCTCGCGCCCACTACTTCTCTGGGGTTGGATGGCTCAATGGTATACATTACTGCTGTCCTTGATCTCGCAAGCAAGGGAAGCCGCAAGAATGCGGGTGGTATGCAAGCCCTGCAGCAGCACCCTTCGCATTAGCCAGGAACCACCTTCGACGCGTTAACTCTGACCTCTCTTCCTGTCTATCGAGTCGCGTCCGTTAGCCCATCCTTGTCGACAAATCGCACATTTGGGAGGACTGTCGTTCCATGCGGGATGACATTCAATCGCGAAATGGCGTCCCTTGTGGTTGACGCCTTGGGGCTCGGGCTGATCAGTTGCTGCAGTGTGCCTGCACTGCTAACAATAATCAATCGCTTTCGAGAACCAAAGGTTGGCACCGGATCCGATTCACCAGACACGGCGGAGACACCTGTATTTGGCCTGTCGAGTTACGAAGACGAGGATGGGAACGCTACACCAGAGTCACTGGACACCTTTTCAGCTTCCTGGCAGCGAGTCGCGATAGTGGTCTTATCGGTCCTCGGTTTTGGAGTAGCACTGTCACAGGCTATCATTTCGACTGAGTCAGATCGACGCGAATATGTTATTCCTGTCTGGCTCCAGATGGGAGCATGGGTACGTTCCCGAATTCTGATAATCGCACCCACTAGAGCGTCAACAGCGTTTCTCATCATTGTTCTAACATCTCCAGATGGTACAATGTTTGCAATCAACGAGCTTTTTCATCGAGCCGGCGCCCGTTAAACGATATATTCTAGGGATGTACGCGTCTGGGGCTAGCACTATTGCAATGCTGATGCCATGCGCGGACCTTGTGCTTGCCTGGCAATCTGGAAAGGATGAAAATACAAGTCTCATGCTAAGCCAGATTGGCATTGCGTCTTTACGGGGACTTTTCTGCATATCAATACCCAGACGTCCTAATGTATACCATCAGGGACAGGTAGTCGATCAGGAGCACACAGTGAGCATGGTGCGCAGGATCACATTTAGCTGGGTCAACGATTTGTTACGATTTGTGGCGAGGAACAAAGCATTGGAACTTGACGACCTCCCGAAACTGCCGTCGACCGCGCGTGCCCAAACCCTTCATGCACGCCTTGAAAAAACACGCGGCTCTGGGGAACTATGGAAAGCGCTCATACTGGGGCATATTCAACCACTCATACTGCAAAGCTTGTTGAGTATTATTCAATGTCTGCTTGGATTTGGTCCTCAAGTAGCGTTATTCGGCATACTCAAGTCGCTCGAGAACCGCTTTGCTTCGTCAGGAGACGCAAGCCCTACATGGGTCTGGGTGACTGGGCTCGGTGTAGTCCTTGTCTTGTCGTCCAGCATTGAATCTTGGCTATGGTGGATTATCTACTCACAATTGTGGATACCTATATACGAAGGAATCTCAGCTCTAGTGTTTGCCAAATCAATGAGGTGCAAAGACGTGAAGCAGCTGAAACACCACAACCCAGAAGATGAGCACGAAGATAACGATGAGATAGAGGAATCGGAGCAACAAGGAAGCCGCCAAACTGTCATCAACCTAGCCACCGTGGACTCTAAGCGAATCGCCGACTTCGTGATGTACAATTATCTCATTCCTTCATGCATTCTTCGACTAGTCATTGCCTCTGCTTTTCTGGTTCATTTGATCGGATGGAGGAGCCTGTTGGCTGGTGGTGTTGCAGCACTCCTGGTGACGCCGATGAACACCCATTTGACGAAGAAGTACTCGGCAGCCCAGCAGGATTTTATGAATGCAAGCGACAAGCGAATGAGCGCTGTAGCCGAGGTTCTGCATGGAATTCGACAGATTAAGTTCTCTGCTCTCGAACAGCAATGGCAGAATCGAGTGTCGGAGAAACGCCGCATTGAACTCATGCATCTGTGGAAGACTTCTTTGTACACCACTGGCATGGTATCCGTTTGGATTATGGGCCCCCTCTTGTTGTCTGCCGTATCGTTGACCGTGTACGCGCTCACTCATGGCGAGCTGTCCGCCTCGGTAGCTTTCACGGCGCTCTCTGTTTTTGGCTCGCTGGAATCCGCCTTGGCAAGTTTACCTGATCTGATGTCCAAGGGAATGGAAGCTAAAATCAGTGCTTGTCGCATTGACCAATACTTGAACTCGGCAGAAAAGGCACCCTTTACATCTAACGTCAAGGAGATAACATTTGACAACGCCACGATCGCATGGCCAGCACAGGATGACGAAGATGAGGAACTAGAATGGGACTATGAAGAGCGATTCTGTCTTCGTAACCTCAACCTTCGATTTCCGGCGAAAGGATTGAGCGTCATTGCGGGGAAGACTGGTTCTGGAAAGAGCCTGCTTTTGGCCTCGATCTTGGGGGAATGTGACGTCCTGGCCGGAAAGGTGTCCATCCCGCATAGCCCTTCGTCCGAGGAACGATTTGACGAAAGAGCAACGCGCCATAACTGGATTATCGATACAGCTGTGGCCTATGTAGCCCAAAATCCCTGGATGGAAAATGCAACGATCAAAGACAATATTCTGTTTGGCCTCCCTTACGATCGCTACCGGTACCGCAAAGTCCTCCGTGCCGTTGCACTGCAAAAAGATATTGATATACTACCCGACGGAGATTACACGGATATTGGTGCGAATGGCATCAATCTCAGCGGCGGTCAGCGGTGGCGCATATCGTTTGCGCGAGCTCTATACTCACGAGCAGGAACATTAATCATGGATGACATCTTCAGTGCACTTGACGCCGAAACGGGACGCCACCTCTATGAGCGTGCCTTGACTGGAGAACTAGGCCAGAATCGAACTCGCATTCTGGTTACACATCACGTGGGTCTGTGCTTACCTCGAACGGACTATTGTGTTCTTCTTGCGGATGGAGTCATGATTCATGCCGGTACAAAGGAGGATTTGACTGCGACTCAGAATTTGGTCGACTTTCTGGATCAAAGAGCAGAAACGACAGTGTCTGAGCCGCCCAGCGAGGTTCAAGCACCCAGAGTATCATCAAAGCGTGTGTCTATAAACTCACGGAAATCCACAAACTCGCGCCTCTCAACGGCCACTAGCATTCACACACTCAGAAGATTTACTGAAGAGGAGAAGCGTGAGAAGGGGGCTGTTTCCACCAAGGTCTACATTGCGTATTTAAGTAAGGGAAACTGTCTCCGCCTCTGGACGTTAGTCTTCCTGGCATACAGCGCTTTCATGGCCCTCCTGGTCGGTCGGGTAAGTGCATCTTTGTGCGGAGTACTGGCTCCCTATCAGCTAACATTATCAGTCTTGGTGGGTGAGCGTCTGGACAAGTGCTTCCACTCAAACGTCTAGTTCAGCCCGTTATACGCGTGCTTTCGACCAAGAAAAAAATCAGATGTGGGCATTCAATGCCGACGAGGATTTAACGTTCTACCTAACAGTGTACATTTGCTTCTCTGTCGCCGCATGTGTCGTAGGCACAGTCCGCACCTTAGCTCTCGCCTTTGCTTCACTCGAATCTTCTCGTCACCTCTTTGATGGCTTGCTCTATACTGTTTTGAGGTCCCCTCTGCGGTGGCTGGATACCGTTCCTACTGGCCGCATTCTCAACCGATTCACATCTGACATCAATATTCTCGATTGGAGGCTTGGGTATGATATTGGCCACTTCATCTACAAGGTTCTGGAGCTGGTTGGAATACTGGCTGCCGGTCTACTAGTCTCACCTCTACTATTAGTGTTCGCTTGCATCTTGCTGGCTCTGTGCTTTCACCTGTCAAAAATTTATCTGATGGGGATGCGGGAGGTCAAGCGATTGGAGAGCATATCGAAGAGCCCGGTCCTGGAGCGCTTCAGTTCTACATTGGTCGGCTTGGGTACCATTCGCGCCTTCAGCAAGACAGAGGTGTATATCAAGGACATGTATGCTCGAATCGATCGACACGCACAAACCGCTTGGTACCTGTGGCTCCTGGACCGCTGGCTCGGAATCCGAATGAGTATTGCAGGGGCGCTTCTATCAACGATCACGGCGGCGCTAGTTGTGTACATCCCCCACATCACGCCCGCTCTGGCAGGCTTTGCAATGAGCTTTGCGCTACAGTACAATTACGCCGTGGCTATGGGACTGCGTTTCTACGCCAATGTGGAGACAGACATGAACTCTACTGAGCGTGTGCTGGAATACTCCAGTATTGATATGGAAGACCAGGGTGGTGTAGAGCCACCTGCCGCTTGGCCCACTCGTGGGAGAGTGGAAGTAGAAGATTTGGTGGTAGGGTACGCGCCAGATCTACCTCCAGTTCTCAGCGGGCTCAACTTCAGCCTGGAGCCTAACCAACGTTTAGGTGTGGTAGGACGCACCGGGGCTGGGAAATCCTCGCTAACATTAGCTTTGTTCCGCTTTCTGGAAGCTCGTCGGGGTCGCATCTATGTGGATGGTTTAGACATCTCGCGGATCAAACTCCATGCTCTGCGAAGTCGTCTTGCTATCATCCCACAAGATCCCGTCCTGTTTTCAGGCACCCTCCGGTCCAACCTGGATCCATTCCACGAACATACCGATCTGGAGCTCTATAATGCATTGGAGCGAGTACATCTTGTGTCCTTCGAAGATACCCTGACCCTAGCCTCACACTCCAGTCATGATCCTCTCAGTGACAGCGGCACATTACCATCCTCATCCGCATCATCGACAACGGATCCCGTCAAGACGACGAACTTCTTCGCCTCCCTTTCATCGATGGTGTCCGAGGGTGGACTTAATCTCTCCCAGGGACAACGACAGCTTCTTTGTCTGGCTCGAGCCATTGTGTCCCAACCCAAGATCATGGTTTTGGATGAGGCGACTTCCGCGGTTGATATGGAAACCGAGACATTGATCCAACGATCAATTCGGGAGGAATTCGGAAGAGACGCTACATCTCTTCTTGTTATTGCTCATCGTCTCAGCACGGTGGCCGACTTTGACAAAATCCTGGTGTTGGACGCAGGCAAAGCAGCCGAGTTCGGTACACCCCAGGAACTGATGGCTATCGAGGGTGGGGTGTTTCGCAATTTGGTGCAGAACAGTGGGGAGAAAGCATTGCTGGAAGAGATGATATTGGGGAAACAGAGGAATTGAATGTAATTTGCATGACAGTTCATTGGCGTGGCGTTTGTTGTTTGTTCAATGTTATTGTTGCAAGCTGTGTATCTAAACGGGTTTGCTGGCTGGTAATGACAGGACGAGACGGTGGGGCGGCGAGCAGACGGGGTTAAGTTTAGCTCCGGGTCCTCCACACATAAAACCCCGTCGGCATCCTAGCCGGGCTAGACTTGATTCTGCTTGAACTTGTCTTCCAGTTAACCTTAAATCAGCCATCTTTTGCTTAAGACTATCGCAGGTCCACTTTCCATACCGCTCACCACCTGACCTTTCAATCCCTTGTAAAATCAATGCGATGGAGTCAGATTCACAATCCCTTCCGGTAAAGGAAGAATCCACTCAATCCACTATCCCAATCGTCACAGGAAGTTCCCTGGTGGACCCTGAAGATGACTGGGCGGGGATGGGGGATCGCAAAGAGAGGAGGCGGCGACAAAACCGCTTGAACCAGAGAGCTTACCGTGAGCATCATTTTGATGGCTTTCTCTTCTGATCTAATAATCATCGCCAGGCAAACGCAAACAAGCTACTCGCCAAGCGCAAGCACCGCCTTCGAACCAGTTAATACTGATCCAGACGATTAAGACCGAGCCCACGGGCAGCGACGAGCAGACTATGAGGACGATATCCTCGGTATCGAATTCAGTGCGCTCCAGCTCAAGTCCTCCCTCATCGACATCGACATCGACATCGACATCGACATCCCCAAGCACAACCATCATAACCTCAACCTCGACCTCAACCTCAACCTCATCCTCCGCCCAACCCCAATCTCTCACAACCACCACCATCACAAACCGCACGCGCAACCCCTGCACAAACCCAACCACGCAAACAAACCTCCAAACCCTCCTCACGCATTTCACCCGCGCAGCCTACACAAGCTACATCCACAACTCCCCAACGCTGGACCACCTCCTAACGCTAAGCCGAATCAACGCCTTCCGGGCCTTCGCCGCGAACATGACGACCCTGGGCATGGGCACAGGCAACGACTGGATGCACGACGACGCGCTCTCGCGCTTCACAACGCTGCAGCCCAACAGCGCCATCGACACGCTCGCACTGCCGCCGCACCTGCGCCCCACCAAGCTCCAGCAGACGGTCCCGCACCACCCGTGGCTGGACTTCTTCCCGCTGCCGCGGCTGCGCGACAACCTCGTCGCCATGGCCGACCGCTTCGACGACGAGCAGCTGTGTCTCGATATCATGGGGTTCTGGGATACGCCCACCGAGACGTATAGTCTGTTCGTGTGGGGCGAGCCCTCGGATCCGGGCAGTTGGGAGGTCTCCGAGGACTTTTTGCGGAAGTGGCCTTGGGTTGTTAGGGGGTGTGCGGAGTTGTTGGAGAGTACGAATCGGTGGAGGGCGAAGAGGGGGGAGAGGATGCTTTTGCGGTATTTGTAGGGGTTACCCTCTCATATATAAATATATATATATGTGTGTGTGTTTGTCTATTGGGGATACGGTGGTGGAGGGGCTTCTGTGCAGTGTATAGGACCTCATGTGCGAATTGGGAGAGGGGTGTGTTGGTGTTTATGGTGGTTTTTTCGGGGTTCTAAGCTGGCTTTGCATGGTTGCATTCTAGTGTAGAATCCACTACCAGACCCTGCGGAAGACCACATATAACACCGCAACTATAGTGATCGATCGAATGCATGACGCACCACTGTCGACTTGCCACCCGGTCCATCAGATGTTCCGCGAGGTTTACACCTTAAGTTGCTTATCGGCCAATGAGAACGGTAAAATGTCCGTTTCAGGCTCCATGCTTGGCGCTGGACGATATTTGTAATCAAGCCGTTGCGTTCCACGTATGAGCTAGTATTTACACCGGTGGAACTGGGCGTATTTTACGTGGTTGAGCAGTAGAGACTCTAGTGTGTCTGATGTCTAATGTCAGGAGTTGTGGCATGATTCTATTGTATGGGACTCATTCGTGTAGGTAAAGCAGAGACGTCTTCAGAGGAGTCTACGAACTCTTGGAGACAATGATAGCGGCAATAGAGAGGTAAGAAAGTGTACTGTACCTACCAAGCGAGATGCATCCTCAAAGCCTCTGCCACTTCATCTGCATCGCTAATATTGTCGAACACTGTCAGGATATGCTGATCTGGACGAATCAGAACCGCCTGACCCTTCGCTAATCGCATCAGGGATAGCTATCTATCCCCTGCCTCGCCAGACTGGAGGTCAAAATCCACTCCCCTGGCGACCAAGTTGACCCTCAGTCCCGATGGAAACTGGCCGCTGGCTTCCTCCAGCGCTCCTCTCCACGACGCTGCGTGTTCTCCATCCAAAAGCAGTGTAAATGCGTCGAATGCACACAGATCCAGCGTCGAGAACTGCTTTCGCCTCACTTCCTCCGCCGACAATTCTGTCACATAAGACGAATCAATCGGGACTATCAGCGGACGGGCAACGGATTTCAAGGGTTGAATCCAAGCGTGGGGTAACCGCGCCCCTGGCACACATTCCGGCTGATAGATGGATGCACAACGAGGAATACGGGTGTCACCGTACACGTATCCGATATGCAGCCCAAGGTTATCGAAATGCTCCCGCTGGCCTTCGATGCCATCGTTGATAGCAGTAGCGTGGCTCGGATCTGCGATAGTATGATAGAGATTCTCACGCGCAATGCAAACCTCCGGATCTGTTGCGCCCATTGTCTTCAAAAGACTAAAAATCTGCTGTCCATTCTTGACGCTCTGGGCTGCGTTCACCAGCGCGACGGGGCGGCGCTCGGTCTCGTAGGTGCCGAGGAGAGACGGGCCGGCCCAGCCGTGGTGAATTGCGGCGAGTTTGTAAGCGAGGTTGTGGACGTCACCAAGGCCACTGTTGAGGCCTAGGCCACCGGTTGGGGGGAAGGAATGGGCGGCGTCGCCGGCTCTGGGGGTGACTTAGTTGATCTTGTTTTTGGGGAAGGAAAGCAGGGTATACTGACAGGAAGATGCGATTTATGCGGTAGGACTTGGCGACTTTCCGACTGAGAACCCAGGGTCGATGGCTGAGGACGTCGTAGGGGATATGGGTGCCGATGGCAGCGTCGACGGTCTTGCGGCAAAGGGGCTCGTTCCAGGTTTCGACGGGGTGTTTCTTAGACTGGTTCGGGCAGGCAGTTAGGTAGGAGTCTCTTGACTATATCCGCGAGGAAGAGATGCATGGACTCACATCAAAGTTGCATATCAGCACTTGATTTCCCCCGAGATCATACCCAATGATGAACCCTGATACCTCAGGATCCATCACCCAGTGCAGCATGCCCACCCGTTCTTTCAAGACCGGATAGAGATTGGCGTTGATATGAATAGTCATCATGGTCTCGTCTAACTCCCGAACGTCAGTACCAGTTTTTTCGAACGGGCTATTTCACAGACAAGAGTCCTCTCCTTCACTCTCTACTCTGAGAAACCGTCGAACAGCGCTCTTTGCACCATCACAAGCCACCAGATGCTTGCACTTGACATGGTATTCTCGCTGCATAGCGCGATCTTCGATTGTTGCAATGACATAGTCCCCGAACTAGACAATATTGAGTTTCCCTTCTCCCCTCACAGCATATTTTGAAGTAGAAAGGCATGACTTACGTCCTCAAGTCGCACGAATGAATGGTTCTTGCGTATTTCCACCGAAGGGTTCTTCACCAGTTTCCTCCGCACGTATTCTTCGAAGTCCGGCTGCGGGACGTTGTGAATCATCTGCTCGCTGACATTGAGCAGCTGCGTTTCAACCAGGGAATAGACCAAACAAACCGTAGGAGTATCATCCAGCACCTCCGGATCCATCCGCTCGTATGGCAGCCGTCCCACCTGCTCCCCACTCAGATGTGTCACAAAGTTCACCCAGAACGCATCCTGACGGCAGGTTCCCAAGCGACAATCTCGTTGATATCGAGTCCGAATTGGCGACATAACTCTAGTGATCGCGGGCTGAAGGCGTGAGCCTTTGGCGCGTCGAGACGCGTCGGGTAGCGTTCGCATAGCAGGGTTTGCACTATGTCAGTGGGCATTAGCTTGATTTTCTGTCTTGTCTGCAGAAGATGGGCACTGAGAGAATAGTAGGTGGAGAGTGTACTGTACCTCCCAGCTGAGCGAGTAAGTAAGCCTGGAGTAGGCCGCATGGGCCACCTCCGATGATAAGGACGGGGACGTCGTCGGTGATCTGGTATTCTTGTCTTGCCGGAGACATATTGGTGGTTTGGAACCTTGGTGGGCTGAGGTTGGGGCTGTGGCTTGCTTACCTTTAAGTATTGGCTCGCATTGCTGGTAAAGGGAAGGATGCGGTAGTTGGCAAAGATTAGTTTGTTTGTTGTACAGCCCAATACTATCATCTTTCCCCACTTCAGGTGGGAAACGAACATGGCGGCTGCGGGGAAAGCGCATTTGCTCCCCCACTATTTAACTTCCCCGCCAGAGATTCGTGGAGGGCCTTGAAGCTGGTCTGTACTGTGGTAGCACAGGATGTTCTTTTACAAGTTTCGTGATTATGGAACTCGATCTGAAGAATATTTCACAGGCATTGTTCAACTACTCGTGATACTAATAAATCATGGGCTCGAAACCAGACGAAGCAAGTAAATATCATAGGCAGAACAGTCCAATTTCTCTCGCAACGTCTACAACGGGGTTGATCAGAACTCTCGCTCCCACTCTTTCTTTCGCTGACTAGTCATCTACCATATTGTCATCAATTCTCAGTCACTATCGTCGCCGCAAAACAGGTCTTTGACTCTCGCTTCTTCAGCCAGCCCAACTACTAGATCATTACCAAGTTCAGGGCAAATTCGAAGAAGAGTCTGTAGAATTGAGCGGCTATTCCCTTCTGTTGTGCAGCTCTAACAACAGATGTAGCTGCTTTATGGCAACCCCCACCACCATATCTCGCAGCTCCTGGCTACCCGCATCGGTCAATGAATAGGCTCCACTGATTGAGAATACCAGCATTAGATGCGACAGATCTCGGCTCAATTCAAGTTTGGCTCGATCCATGGAAAGCTCCTTCAGGCCCTCAATCTGGAGTTTGCTGGCTAATGCATAGATGTGCATGTGGAAGAGAAGAGCACGACATCGGGGCTCCGTCAAAACCAGGATTTCTAATTGCGAGTGTTCCCAAGTAGGATCGACAGCATAATCATCGTAGTAGAAGTATCGAACTATCTGCTTGACGATGGCAGGGTCTTCTCCAAGTATCACCTCACGCTGGACATGTTGCTGCACATAAAAGAGGCTTAGCTTGTCTACTGGATTCCATCATAAAAGAAAGTCTTACCGCATTATCGCCCCATGAACAGGCATCCGCGAAGAAGGCAGAACGTGTACACACCAGATTCTGATGAACAAGATGGCGTTCCTCGCCGCAGAAAATGATCAGGTCACTGCCAACTGGGTTCAGGTATAGGCTAGGTTTCGATTAGCTCCCTCTTCAGCAGAATAGCTCCAAGACATGATTTACCTTTTAAGAGCTGGTAGAAGGCCACGATCTCCGGGTGATTCTGACTGAGGAATCTCAAAAGAATTATTTGCTCGTTTACTGGCAGGAGACTCGGCAGCGCCGGAGGACAGAGTCTTACTTTTCAGCATTGAGCCAAAATTCCTTGTTGATACTGATGAGGGGATAAGAGAGATGAAGATAGGTGGAGGGTGGAAGGGAAGAAAGAGGGGCGTAGTGTATAAATAGCTTTTTTCTCTGTAGCCTGGTGTGAATGTCCCCCTTGATTAGACTGTCATCACCAGACCCAAAATCACTTCCGACTGGACATTTTGCATATTCACTGTGACATGCTTCGGTTCTCACGGCAGGTGAGTCTCGACCACACCTTAATGACCAGTTTCGATGCAGATTGATCAAAGGTTCACTAGCTACGGATAGAGTCTGTATCTATGTATAATACGAGTGCTGCAGGCTGCGACTGTATAGACAGTTTCATGAGATAAGCTCTTTGTATCATTGGGATCGTCCAGTTCTGCATGTCATAAGCTTCATTATTTGATAAGACAAAATTGGATTAGTTTAAGCTATTGTGTCAAGCCCCTGCTTTTCAAACACTTTGTTTTTTTGCCCGCTGCTGTCCTAAAATATTTCAACAGTAAAAAATACTCTCTTAGCTAATCTACTCCTTAAGCTGTAGCAGCAACAAACAAGTCCTCAACCACAATACTAGACCATCAGCTCGAATAACAGAAAATTGCTATGCCATGTATAAGTCTGTATCGTGCAGACTCTCCTATCTTGCCAGAGTCAGGTCGTTTGCGGAATCAGGTACAGCCTTGAGAAGTTGGCTGAGGCAACTGCCTGTGTTCGATGGCTCCTCTCGCAAATCATCCATATTCCTGATCGCGACCTCTATAGCTATGCGCTGTAGCCCACGGCTCTTCTTAGAAGTCTTCTCGTAGATAGAAGTGGCCATTCTTTGAAACGAAGTCCCCAATGACATAGACGGGCGAAGAAAGTAGATCGTATGCAGACAAGACACTGATCAAGAGACAATTTGCCACATTCGATGGCCAGATCGGCACCATATGGCTTGAACCGTAGGCTATGAATTAATCAGGGCTGTGTTTGGGGAGGCAATAATGATATGGTGCTACATTTCCAGAGTATCCAGAAGTTCCTTCCCAGCGTCGCTTTCTTGAAATTGATCGCATTCGGGCTCGTTCCTGGCGAACTTTCTTTTTAGTTAGGATTTAGGCATCGTGAAGCAAAGTCACTCCGGGGAGATGGGGATCTTTCGTGGTTGGTGAGGGCAGAAATGAAGAGAGGGTAGATTGAGGTGTGCGGAATTGTAAATTTTGATTCTGATGATGAGCTTGCCACTTAAGCGTTTGCTGTTGTGTGGCTGACACTACCAGTTTCCAAGCATATGCTTTCTAACCCTATTGTCGGTTAGAACTGCCTTGGAATTGCCTTTGTCTACGGTCTAAAGGTCTTGAAGAACTTGAACATATTCTGACCGTATCGCTCATAAGATGTGTATTGCCACTGTTTATAGGATCTCTATACTTCGGACCTTCGCTATGACCTTCGCGGCTGGCAAGCCAATCCGCCCCACTGGCAATCTGTCAGAGACCAGACTAAGCCAGCCCTACACCACCACGAGTTCACGTCGACCAAAATAATTGCTGACTCAGATCATCTCTGCAGCGGGGACGTTTCGCCTTCGGACGACGCGTATGCGATACTAACAAACAAGGCAGCGCGGAATGTTGGGACAGGCGGTGGACGCAAGCGGATCCTGAGGGCGGTTTGCACGAGATATCGGAAAGGAATCACCATCTGCATTGTGCTGATCATGATGCACAAAAATATCTCCATGCGGGATATCGCATGCATCACACTACAAAAGCTGTGGTCGCGATCTGACCCGTCCATTGTTCATCTCGGTGTTGTCGTAGGGTGACGTACACTCATGACGAGGGGGTTCTTGGCGGGTCAAATGGCTGAGAAACTGGCGTACTGACCGACCGACGACATTTGAGGGAGCTTCTATCGGTGATTGATGGCTTGAATAATGACAGAATTGGGCCCTTTCCTCCGAGACGGGGAGTCACGCATGCAACTCCCGTTTACGGCGGTGGATTCTAGGCGGGGGGCTCTTGGTTCCAACCTCCAAGCCGGAATAGGGCCGAAGCAGCATCGCAGTCTGTCTCTGGCGAGAACTTGGCGACCGACTCAATGATCCACCGGATTCCCGATCCTGGCGATTGGGTGGACCGGGACTGGGGAACTTTGTCCCATTGCAGGATAGTGACGCTCTCGCATCTTTGCCCCTTACGTGGAAGGCCATGGCGTCGTGTGCCCTTAAGCCGTACCTTTACTAGACTGGGACTGCAGCAAATGCCCTTTTCCTGGTCCGGCGAGAGCCTCTCTTCTCTCACTCATCATTCGTCCTTGGGTCCTCCAAAATCCCCGCTGCTGGCATTGGCATTGGCATTGGCACACCATTAGTTGTCTCCATATCTTTCTTATTCAAGTATTATCCATAGTCAGAGAGAGATTCATTCGGTCTGGTTGAACAACACCTCCAGCTTTGTCTGGTCTGGTCTGGTCTGGTCTGGTCGTCGTTCGTCGGCAATTCTTTCCTTTCCTTTTCCTTCTTCTCTTCTCCTTCTCCTCTCCTCTCCCCTTCCCCCTTTCTCCTTTTCCTCTCCTTTCGCTCTACCTCTGAATCCCTGTCCGTCCTCGCGGTCACCCTCCAAACCTCGCGAGAGGTGTTCCCCCCTCTTACCTCAATGTCGAAGAGGCGGCTCTTTCGCTGGCCTGCCCGCCGCACCGCCGCGCTCGGAGCTTTGGCGCTGCTGGTCACCTCCGTATTTTCGTGGCTTCTGTGCGGCGGTGATTCCTACGGAGTCCAACCACTAGTTGGTATGTCTTGCTGCGGAATCTCCGCGCCGGCTATTCTGCCCGGAATTTCATCATCCTTGTTAACCGCAGACCAATTAGCAGAAATCAACCCGGTTCATGAGCAGCTCTCGGAATTTACTAGCGCCTACAACAACGCGACCAATGAGATTGGCTTAGTGTTAGCAGCGACACGGTCGGAGGATTTAACCTGGTTGTTGGATTACTGCAGGGCTCAGTATGGCACCCCCCTCCCCCGACACTTGAATGTTATTATGCTCGCATCAGCTGCTGACATTTGAATCCTCCCGCAGCGGAACAATCCCATTCATTTACACCACCGATCTCGAACCTGCGCCGCACCTCCTCATCCCGCGCACCATCCGAGGCCGCGAGGCCGCCGCTTACCTCTCCTTTATCGTCGACTTTTACGATCGGTTACCCAAATATACGATCTTCATCCACTCCAACTACGATCAATGGCACAATGACCTTTTCGGCCCCCACACCGGTCCGGCACTTCGCAACCTTCGCTTAGAAGCCGTCGACGCGCAAGGGTATGTCAACCTGCGCTGCGAGCACGACCCCGGCTGCCCGACGAGCGTCCACCCGTGGAGCCCCACGCAGATCGATATCGAGAATGATGACATCCGCGCATTCTTTCCCCAAGTCTACCAGACCCTCCTTAACGTGCCGGCGAAAAAAGTTCCGGAACATATTGGGAATGTCTGCTGTGGTCAATTCGCCGTTAGTCGTGATCGGATCCTTGAACGGCCCTGGTCGGATTACGAGCGCATGTTGCGGTGGGCCGACGAGACAGAGTTGACGGATAGCTTTGGAGTTGGGTGGGTATACGAGAAGATCTGGCATATTATCTTCGGCATGGAGGTCATATAGTGAGTGACGGAGGCACGCGTGGGGAGGGGGCCACATCGCGCATGATTGCTAACATGGTGTCTAGTTGCCCTCGATACGAACAATGCCGCTGCGACACGTACGGATGGTGTGGACCCTTGGCCTCGGGCGAGACACTGCAGGCAGTGCGAGCCAAGCCGGGCTCCATCCTGGGGTCGTCACAATCATAATGGATGAATCTGAATCTAAACGTTTAATGCATGATGTGTACTATCATGATCGGGGATATTCTGGGCTCCCCTGAGTCGGTTTGGCTACGATTTCTTCAAATTGCAATCTAATTGTATAGTTAATGATGAAATGCTGTTTTATTATGTTCTGCTATCTCAGGGTATCTTCGTTGGGTATTGCTAACCCGCAGTTTCCGGAAGTCTCATCAGTCATGCTTCGTGATACGGTCGCGATTGCGAAAGTCGATTATTCATGGCTAATCGGCTGCTGGTGCGTCCCTCGCACCGGCCCCGCATCCAGCTCATACACTTCTCCGTGCGCGATCGGACTGGCCGGTACTTCATGCACATTTCCACTATCCAACAATGGAACATCCGTTTCAGATGGCCTCCGTCGGGGGGTGGCATGCAGGAACAACGCGTTTTGATAATCAGATGTCGGAACCGAGCTGGACGAAGGATCCATACCGGGAAGCAACGAGGTCGGCAGAGGTGGCGAAGACGGCGAGAGTGTTGAAACTGTGCGATGTGCGTCGGTCGACGCTGACGGTGGAGGCGGTGACAATGGTTTCCGCGGGATGCTGTCCAGGTTGATCGGTGGATCGGCCTCAGGCGGTTCCGAAACCTGGGGCTTCACTTTCTCATCCATATTCGAAGTCTTGCGTTCATGCGACAATCTCACCCCGACGGCTGTGTATCCGGATTTATCGTCGTTTTCGGCCGCGTTCCGCCGTTTTCGCCTTGACCGATTTCGATGCATCAACACCCAGACGAGTAGGATCATCAGCAGCACGACCAGGATGACTCCGATCGCGATCCCCGCTTTGGCTCCTGTACTCAGCCCGCTGCTGGAGCCGTCGGAGCAGGAATATGACCCTTTGAAAACGCTGTTGCCGTTGTTATCATTGTTGTTGTGATCGCCATCGTCATCGTCGTCATCATCGTCCCCATTCCGGAGTGTCTTCAAACTCGAGCAACGAAATGATCCACCACGTGATCGGATATTGGTCTTTCCATTTACATGCTTGAGGTCGTTAAACGAGATCCTGTTCGGATAGTACGAATCAGCTTCGCGTCATTTCCAGATTCTGAATGAATCGATCTCTCCCCGCTGCGACTTAAACCGGACGGAAAATACCCACCGATCGAACTTCCCGCTCAAAATCAACGCCCCGTTCACATACTGCAAATCATCGAACACCAGATCCCTGAGCTGCGAATTGTCGTCAATATCTAGCTCCCCGCTGACGGTCTTCAGATTCGACAGTGTGAGCGTGCTGAATTGGGCGTTGTTCTTGATGGAAAATTGTCCATTGACGGTCTCGAGGTTGGGCGCGGAAAAGCCCGTCAGCGCGGAGGCATTCTGGATGGTGAGACCGGCGTTGAGCTTCTCGAGTTGTTTGAGGGTGATGGTGCCGGTGGCAGAGGGCGAGATAGTCAATGTTCCGTGGATGGTGGAGCAGGAGGCGAGACGGTTGTCAGCGTCGGCTTGGGAGGTGATCGTTGTGCTGGAGGTGCCTTTTGTTTCTCATGAGCTTGGTGTATCATATAGATTGGACAACGATTGAATAGTACGATAGACAATAGAGCATAGAGTATAGAGGGATGATGAATACGGCGCACGAAACTCACAGTTGGTATTCGAATCCGAGTCCGCCGCGACGGGCGGAGCTACCAGACATCCTAGCAGGCATCCGAGCAGTAACACCAAAGGCGTCCGTATCATGGTCGCTGTGCGTACCCTTTGTGATCTCCGAATCTCACGCAATAGAATCAGGGTTGCCGAGCCGCGACGCAATCATGGAGACTAAAAGCGAATGCGCCCCGGATTACACGGTGCTTATGTATCGCCCGGCAATCCGTCCCGTTGAGTGCTTTAGTTCCGAGGCGGAGTATACCAGAGTTTATTTATGAGGGAGCCCAAAGAGAAAGCAGGCAGAAGAAGAAGAATGTGACAGCCTAATAACCTGCTGCAGGGTCACCTCGGGGAATATTTATGCCATGCCATGCCGGTTGTTATAAGTCCTGCTGGTCAATTAGCTGGTCTAGTTGATCTACAAATCGATAGCTTGGTTTTTCCTGTTTGCCGAGACCCTCTCTCCGTGGTGGATCGGTGTCTCCGCTGCCTCCAGTTGTCCGTGGTTGGTTTGATTACCAGTGAAAGGGACTCACTGACAGGCATTGCAGGATATGAACGGGATTATTATGTCATTCTTATCGTCGCTCAGATTTCTTCAGGAGGTGGTAGGCCAGCGTATCCATCTTCTCCCTGGGTCGCGTTGCGAATAAGAAGCAATTCAAGAAATGCCATCCCTGTCGATACACCTGCACGGTGGGAAAGTATCCAAACAACTCCGAACACTGCCCCCCTCCCCCTCCCCCCCTCTCTTTCTCTTCGTTATTGCCGATCCGCGCTATGTCTTGGTGGTCGGTGGTATGTACGGTGGACAGTGCGCTTCCATAGTTATTCCTCTAGTTGAGCAATCTGTAGGGTGGGGAGGTAGACCAGGGTTCCGTGCTGCTGCTATCGCCGAAAGATCGAATGATGTTTCTTTTGGGAGCTCGGACTTAAATCTAATCAGCCAGTCACCGAACCCGAAGGCGGGGAGGGGGCTGTGATTTGCTCCCCGCCCGCATCGGGATTTCTATTTTTATCGGGCACGACAGTCGCTTTTGTTCAGGCACCAGGGTTCTGAGCACGGTCGCGAGTCAGTTGTCGGCAATCACGTTTTGGGGTTGTTGAAGGATTCAGGTGTGGATCATGTATGGTTTGGTGAATCAGGTGTTTTTCTAGTGGCTAGTGTTGTGCTTCGCCTCGTTCGCGCCGTAGGCAGACATTGAGAGTTGGGGTTGTCTAATGAATTGGGGCAGGATGGCCGAAAGTGGGTGGGTGATCTCGATTTCGCTTGATGGTGGAATGGTGTGCTGTGTCGGATTCAGAGTCGGGAGCAGATGGGTACCTATTACTTGATTGAGTTGCCCGTTGTATGTACTGGATCTTCATGTGTTTGTGTCTGCGACAGATGGCGGCGGTTTCCCTGGGTCGATATAGCCTGGGGATGAAGGAAGGATGCAGCCAAGACGGCTGGCGGATTGGACTTGTCGGCGGGTCGGATCGGGATGGCGCTGATGTCACAACTTTATCTTAAGCGTGCTTGTTGTTCGTATATGGCTCGTTCTTTCTAGACCATGTTTGAGTATCAGGAGAGGGGACAGGCGCGCGGACGGGTGAGAAGTTTTTAGGGCCTTGTTCGCTGAGTGTGTTCGTGAGCTCGCCCATTCTGATCAAGCACTGCATATCCGTAGTAAGGTTATTTTTGACGCTGCTTCTATGAGAGAGTATCATCAGACAGTGCATCGAGAATAGGAAGAGTTGCTAGACTTCGTAGTCTCGAAGATTATCGCAAAATAGAATCGAAGCTAGCTTTCTGCCAGTCGTTCCCTTTCTCGGTGATCTTGAGTTGTAATGGACTTTTCTCAACAAACGCATGTTGATGTGAGATGTTAGTGTTGCTTGCTATCAATGGAGTTTTCTGACGTGTCTTGCCAAAACCGTTCATGCATCGCCCACGATGAAATCGTTCTTGGGGGTATTCTGTGGATTCTGGTGCGGTGATACCGCCGACTGGTCGCGTTGCGTCGTTTCCTGTAGAGCAGATAACATAGAAAGTAAGAGCGATTCGTCTGGGCAAGAGAACGCAAATCACCAATCAACAGGCTCTCCAGATGATACAACATATCTAGCCATTCAACTAGAACCATCTAAATCTACGAAATGTTCTCAGAGACAGACTACTATCGTTGTATGCAGCGAGGTAGCGAGGCAGCTAGGCTTTTTTTTCTGTCACTGTTGTAGATTCAGGCTGGATTGCATACGAAGTGTAGGATGACAGAAGGAAGCTGGAAATATTATAATCTCACGCTGTAAAACCTCAAGTACATTACGTCTTGTGTATATCATGTTCGCAATTTGACTACGCGAGCGAATCATTCTTTGGATGGTGGTCAACGACTTCATCAACACATAATTCAGGCAGCCACTCGTTTATCATTCAACCAAGCCATGGTTTAACACAGGATCACTCTTTCTTCTGGATCACGAGTGAATGATTCCCAGCCGCCAGATCACGGACTCTGGCTTCCCCCTGAACATAAATAGCCTTCCTCTCTCTCCCTCTTCCTCCTTCCTTTCCTCTCTTCTCTTCTTCCTTTCTCCAACCTTTTTCTTCCTTCCGCCCACCTTACAATTTACGTCTTCTTTCCGGTGCCGGGTTGGGGTGGGGCGCTGTCCCCATCGCTGGTCGATGGATCACCCTTTCACCCTCGACGGACTATACAGGGGTTCGAGGCTCTAGAAGTAGGCGACGTCTTCGTGCGAGAGTACCAGGCGACCAGCTTCATATCCTCGCAACTCATCGTAGGTTCTTTTTCTGGCTCTTCGAGTCAGCCAGGGCGAGTGTTCGCACTCTACCCTTTCTCAATCTTTGGGATCTTTTTTTTTTCATCTCTTCCCTCAGCGAAGTTCATTCTCATCGAGCATGGATGGAGAGGACGAAGAGTATCTCCAATCTTTGGAACCCCATCGGAAACACTGAACTTCAGTGTTTTCAACCCTTTGTCCTCTTCGAGGGCTACTCTCTCACACATTCCCAATGATGATATCGGCATTGTCTGTCTCTCACTGCAAGAACTAGGTTGCTTTTGATGCAGTCTTTGCTTTCTTGCAAAGAAACACATTACCTTTGCTGGATCTGAGGAGGCTTGCCTAGTTCCTTTTCCTTCCTTCTTCTTCTTACCACATTCCCAATGATGATATTGGCTTCTTCTGCCTCTCAGTGCAAATTCTAGGTTGCTTTTGATGCAGTTTTGGCCGTCAGGCACCCTTTGTTTCACCTGCTGGTTTTTTCCACTCCATCGCTGGGCCACGCGTTTTGGGAATCAACCGTTGAAACCGTGCTTTAGATCTGAGGAGGCTTGCCTAGTTCGCGGGTCGTGGGCTCTTTCTTCTTCTTTTCACTTGTATCCCCGATGATGATTGACACTTGTGTCGCCATCTGGTCCTTGGTTCTTGCTTCTTCGTGAGAGACTGGTTTCGCCTGGTCATCGCTTGTTGTGAGGTCGGGGTTCTGGTGTGCTTTAAGCTGAGGGGGTATTCCATGCATTCTATTGTTTTCTCCGTCCTTTCTTGCTTTGATGGCAGTTGCATTTTGTCTGGCGTTTTGTCTGTCTCGTTCTATATTTTTCTCATTCTTTGTCTTCTCTTATATAAAGTATCTGTTCTGCTCCATTTCACCCCGATGATGAAACCGCAACTACCGCGTCAAAGTCCCCAATTCTCACCACCAGCGAGAGACTGGTTCTGCGCGGTCATCCAGCTGTGAGATCCGAGACTTGACATTGCCCTCGCGCTGATGGGTTCCCCCAACTTGCTTTTCCTGGTGTTGCCGCCGTTGCTCTTGTGGTGGTTTACTCGTGTGTATTCTGATGATCTGCTTGAACTCTGGTCTTGTATTGCTTCTCTCGTTTACCTTCTTGGTGTCATCCTTGCACTCTGCTGGTGGTTGATTTTCCTCAGTGTTGCGGTGGCGGTGACGGCGGTGGTGCCGGGGTATTTTGTCTTTCTGTTGGCGTATCTCATCTGGTCGGTTGCGGATTAGAGGTTTCCTTTTTTTATTTGTCTTTTGTGTTGTATAGCTGTGCAGAGTGCGGTACTGGGTGGTTGTTTGAGCTACGGGTATCGGTTAGGAATGAAGATGGTATCGTTTGTCTATTCCTTCGGCTCAGAAGAGGCTTGCTAACGCTTGCTTATTCACACAGATTGAATCACGGATACAGATCGATGAAGCGACGATACGGGCAGGGAGAGAGGGGTGGAGGGACATGATACTGTGCGGAGTGGGATATAGCTTGACGATGGACGTTGGACACTGGCGATTGTGGTTCCTGGGCTGTCATCTTGACAGTTGCTAGCTAGTCTAGAAGGAAGGCGAGGAAGTGGACTTGTTGCATGGATGTAACTGTATACCTTGAGGAAGGCACTGTCACAACGAAGATTCCTACTGTATCTACCTAAACCTCTATACGAGGCGTCCTCCCTCGAACCACCCCCCTTTGCGCGAAAACAAAGAAAGTAGATCATAACATCATGAATTATAAGCCCTCGGTAGATATACACACAAAGAATAGAATGCAAATGCCAACTGTATCACCGAGTCTATGTGCCCTCCCCGTCTATTCTGCCCCAGGTTGTATCTAAAGTTTGTAGTTCTTTCCACTGCGTCTCCAGCTCGCGGATTACCCAGGCCGTGCGCCAGCCTACTGTCTTTTCCATGCGGCGGAGGAAAGTGAGCGAGCCTTGTTGTTCGGCCGGGTGGCGGAGGCAGTAGCCGTCTGTTGGGATAGGGGATGGGTTAGTATCTGGAGATCAGGGGGAATGGAAGAAGAGGCGTACAGCGATGGAGGAGATGGCAGGCCATGAAGTATGCGTTTTCGACGGTTTCGTTGGACATTGAGAGGCCGATGACTTTGGTCAGGTGGGAGGAGATTGTTTTCTGTTTGGTTGGGGGGGTTAGTTGGGGTCGGGGTCGATAGCAGGGTGGGTTGAAGGGTAGAGGCTTGATGGAAAGACGAGAGGCGAGAAGAGAGGCAAGTAGAGAGGCAAGAAAGGCAGGAAGAAAGATTGGCTTGAAGAAAGGAAAAGGAAGACAAACTTCTCCCACGCGCTTGAGTCGCGCAAGCTCGTAGTCGCTGACTACACTCCAGTGTCGATCAGATACACTCAGAAAGATGCACGCTGTATGGTAGTACTGTAATCCCACGGCTAGAGGAATAGAGACGGAAGGTCAGCAAAGCTTTGGAAATATTGGCAGGGCAGGGCGTGCAAGCTTACCAGCCTGAGGCGACATCATCCACATCTCTGGAAACGGACGATTCTCATTGGGACTCGCATTCTTGTACTGGAGTGGCTGCCAGCTGATCGGTCGGGCGTTGTACCATTGTTCCACACTATCGGCCAGATGCTGCCACGCCGCCTCGTCCACTGGGCTGCAATGCGACCCGGACCATAAACGAAAGATTTTAGCGCAATAGAAAATGATGATGTTCGCGTACGAGGCATCGTCGCGCCGCTGGAAAACGACCGATCGCTCGTAGTTCTCGAGGTTGAGTTGCATCGGCTGGTGCTGGACGACGCAGGCGTACAAGGCCTGGCGAAGGAACTGCCAGCTCACGGCTTCAGCAAGCCCGCCCGAAGAGGCCGAATTGGACATCCGATTGAGCAGTCGGTTGGAGCCAACCCAATGGCACTTCTCGTCGGTGGCAAATTCGAGCTCTTCGTAGATACGCAGAATCACCACTGTTATGAGAAGGTTGTCGTCGTAGGTTTCTTCGGGCAAGGCCAGGGCTGCGATAAGAAGCTCGAGGCATTGGCCGTGGTATTCAGATGCCTCCCAGTCACTGGTGCCGTTCATCATGGCGTCGTGTCGGGCGGCGAGAGCGAGGACGGCTTTGAGGACCATTGGGTATAGGAGAGCGCGGCGGGGAACTTCGGTCGCGAAGTGAGAACGGAGATCGCAGACGTCGGCCTGAAGAGGTTTAGTTTATGTGAAATGAGGCAGTACAGCATAGTTCAGGGAGGCGTACCCATGGCGCAAGCTTTTGAATGAATAGACGGAGAAGGTGGGCTTCGCGAGTCGAAAGCGATGGTGAGCTGCCTGGTCGGGGACTGACTGCACTTGATGGTGATGCTGCGCTCGTCCAGGTACTTGCAGACGCTGTAGGAGACAAAATAGTGATGGCTTGCGAAGACAGAATGGAAGACGAGCCAGGGAGCTGTTGTACTTGGGTAATTGGGGGTGTCGTAGGATGTGGTACTGTGCTCTCGCCATGATGATGCGCGCGTGCGGTCTCTTCGTGAGAGTACGCAACCTCTAGAAAAGGGAGAGGGGAGCATATTGAGAAATGCTGAGGGAAGACTTGGGGCGCATCATCTGAAGTTGCGTGGCCATCCTCCTGAGTGTTCGCTGGCACGTCGGATGTATTGTCGCCATCTGAGTCTTCAGAGGATTCTTGCACAAATGTCACTAGAAGTAATCAGTCTTGTGGTCACTTAATCGGCAACTGCAACAGGTACCGCAGATACATACACGAATGAGGAACCTTGACCCAGGTTTGCTGAGGATTCCAGACCAGCTCGAACTTGGATGCAGTGCCATTGTTCTTCTGGTATACATGACGAACTGTTTTGAAGCGAAAGAGCGGATCTAAGCGGCAAGCACGACCCAGACGAGTGCAGGCGTTACATGAGGACGCTCCAGCGCGGGTAGTACATCTGATATGACGAAGACGACAACGTTCACATCCCCTTCCGATTCTCATGGCAGGAATTGGCGGGGCAGAAAGCCCTGAGCGTTGATCGCTGCGGGGGATGGACGATAGGTACAGAGGGACATCGGCGTGTACGAGGGCTTCATCCAGGCTACTGGGTCAGGGGCAACGGCAATCACCTGGAATGGCCAGAGGGAGAGAATCGCTGATAGGGGTGAGCAAAGGAAAAACGAGAAGAAGACAAAAAGTGCTGCGTGATGAAATGGCCGTCGGTTATTGATCTTTCGAGATGCGGAGAGGCCCTTGCCTGTGATGGAGCTTAGTCATTCTCCCCCGCATTTCCCCGTCCCGGGGACTGCTGAGTCAGGGCAGCTGTTTCAGTGATGATTGGTTGGCTAACTTGGCCTCCCACGTTTTGACGCGCGCCAAGCACTCCTCCTCACCTCGTATATCACACCTGATCTGCTTCAACCAGCATCTGGACCATCACTGAATGGCAGATGCCACTACCAGCTAAGCTGTTATACTCATGCATTGGCTGAGCAGTTTAGCATAAGGTTATTGCGCCTCAGAGCAGGTATCGACAACTCCGTTCTTCACACTCCGATATCGTACCCCGCTAGTTGGAAGGCTAGATTGACCTCTTACAAAGTTAATCTGCCTCGCGAGCTGCAATTGATGGACGAATGCCGTGGCATGTATCTACTCAGGGATTCGTGGCTCATTCCGTCACTGTATATTGCTCAGCCCCTTGCTTTGCATCGTTCTGCACCATTCAGCAGCGCATTGAAGGCATATCAGTATATGCAGAGGCAGACCTCGAGGTTTAGGGTCATTCTTCATTCACGGGGAAAACCGGTGCAGTAACATGTTTTGTGGGAAGCCGCAAGAAGCGCAGCCCGAGCAGAGGCCAAGAGCGTAGCTAGATGTGGGAGATCGGCTTCGCGTCTACTATTTCTGGCTGCGCCTGCAGAAATATGCAGTGAACTGTAATCGCGTCCATGGTGTCACCTGAATAGATTCATGCAGAAAGTACAATCTTCATGGATCTTTTCTGACCAATGTAAATTTGTATCAAAGACGTCATCATTGATTCTAATTCATCACAAATACTAAATGTCATGGAAAGTGGTATAAACGCAACCCCAACTACCTGTATGCTATCGTCGAATTGACACTTTTGTTTCCCGTTTTTAAACGCTGATCGTCTTGAAGACACTGCACGGATTATTAGCATTCAACCTTAGACAACAATTGCAGTCAAAACTTACCCAAATCCGCCGCCACCCGTAGCCATGACGGTGCCAGGCATCTGGGCCTGCCAGTGTACCTCCTTGACCGAGTCCATGTAGTGGACGAACAACAATTGTGGGGGAACTTCGTGCATGGCGGCATCGCGGCTTTCTTCTTCATCCAGTTCGACAGCCAGATCCCACAACGTAACAGTGTTGTCAGCCGAACCCACCGCAACAACACTGTCGTCGGTCGGGTGCCACTCAATACTCGTGACAGGCTCCCGGTGGAAATCGAAAGATGCGACCGGGGAAGCCTTGGTCGGGGCGGAGGTGGCGCTGGGCTTCCAGTGTCTCAGATCCCAGACGGCCCACTGGCCATCATCAGCACCCGTCGCAAGCAGATGGAAGGTCTGGTTCGACCAGCTCATAACGTTGACATCAGTGTTGGAAACCTTCACATCAACAGCCGGCTTGCGCGACTTGGAGCGGACATCCCAGACTTTGACTGTTCCGTCGCTGCTGGCAGAGGCGAAGACGTTCTTCTCGTTCGGAGACCATTGAAGCTCCTCGACAGAAGACTGGTGACCGATGAAGGGACGGGTGTCTGTAACCCAGCCGCCTCCTTCGGTGCGAGTCGTCACGTAGATCAAACCATCATTGTCACCAGTCAACAGCTTACCAAGAGGCTGCAGCGGAGACCAATCCAGGGCGTAGCCTTCCGACTTGTGCATGCGCAGGGTAGAGAGGGGCTTGGAGGCCGAGGGCGGGAGGATGGTACCGGGGACATCGAAGCTGGTGAGATGAGGGGTGACGTCGTGAATGACGACTTGCGAGTTCTCGAGCATGGTCGCGGTGATGGTCTGTGGGGGCTTAGAGTAATCGCCCGACTGGTTGGGAGTCTGGTGAGCGCGAATGCGGTTGGTCGTTGATCCGAGAGGGATGCTCTTGTGCTCGAGGATGGCCTCGCCCATGTCGTCGTCAGAATCCGAGTCGCTCTCAGAGTCAGTCTCGTTGTCCTTCTCGATCTTGCTTAAGCCGCTCAGCTTGAGGACCATCAATTCGTTCTCCTTCGCACGCTTGCCCTCGGCTTGTGTACCGGCCACGGCGTAGACTGTCGCGGGGTAGGTCTTGCGGTTGTCGCCCAGGTTATCGCGAACGATGTCGAAGGACAAACAGGGCCAGGGTGTGCTGAGGGTGTGAAGCATGTTATACGTCGTGGGGTCGGGGGACAGAACCTCTCCGGGGGCGAGCTTTGTTCTTCCGGGAATGAAGGTCTGCTTGTCGACGTCCATGGCTTCTGTCGGGGAGAATTGACGTTAGCACTGCCTGACGGGATAATTCCAGTCCAGTAAGCCAGGAAACGTACCTTTTTCTTCTTCCTCACGCTCAGCATCGGGACGACCGTCCACACCGGCCTCGAGAATCTCATCCTCACTCTCGAACTCGTCTTCGTACTCATCCTCAAATTCCCCCACCTCATCGGGAGGGAATTCGGTGACCGGGCGCTCACCGGCCTTGAGCGCGGCGGACTGCTCGTCGGAGGCGTCGGCGGATCTCTTCGACATGGTGGAAAAAAGGGCGAAAGAACTGTCGAAAGGAAGCAACAGCTGTCGACGAGCCAGTCGTGCAGCGGACGATAGCGGAGATGAGAGGGGGAAAATTGACTGACTGATTAGGGTTCGGGGAACATTTTTTCCATGATTTTTTCTGATCCGCCGCTGCGAAATTCACGGGACAGGCACGCTTTACCTATCGTGGTCTAGCGGCGATCGGAGATGGCTGCCCGCCTTTTTTTTGTTAGGCTGTGAAGAGGAGAGGAGAAAAGAGAGTTCCAGAGAGGAACAGTGATTGAGTGAGCCTCAGGTAGTGAGACAGACGGGCTGCCTGAGTGCTGAGGCTTCCATTTCTATTCTTGCCGCTTGCTTTCCACCCATTCCCCCAAGGGGTTGCTAATTGCTGCTGCTAGTTAGTTATATCCCCTCCCAACGCAGCTCAGCTCAGCTTAGCTCCCATCTTTTTCTCTCCATCACATCCCCTCTCTCTATATTACTTCTTCTACTGTATCCAAGGCGTTTTTATCTGATTTCCATTCTGATCCTCTCTCTTCTGGGTTTGTTGCCATTATCCGAGCCGAGCCCCTGCTTTTGAATCGTTTCCTTCCTTGAAGCTCCGTCGTCCCATGGCTGCGTGCCTTGGCTACTAGTGCACCTGTCACATTGTTTGGCCATTCTCCTGCAACAAAAGGTGCATACTAATCTCTCTATCAACAATGCCCCTCCCCCGTCCCCCCCTCATCTCAACAGGGTCCCTCCTGGACCCTCCTTGAAAAAAGACCCTTCAGTCTTGGTCGATGACTAGGTAGCCAACATGGCACTGACACACCTGTCCAACAGTTCGCCACTCCCATCTTTTGCGACCGCATCTCGATCCTCGCGTTCCGACCAAACGTTGCTTTGATCCCTTCCACATCCACAAATTTGGTTGGTCTCAGCATCCCCGCTCCACCGTCTCCGTCCGGACCTCGACCTCGACCGTGTTTACCTCCAGCGCTAACCAAACCACGCCATTCAGGAACATCTCCCTCCCTCCACACATTCTCTCCAGTATGGATGCGCAACAACTCCACGTCGCTGGTATTTCCGAGAGCGCCGACCAGCTGGAGTTGGACCAGGCGCAGACCATGGATTTACCTACGCCCACCCAGCACGGAATACCCGCCGGGCCGGACGAGACCACGATCGCAAATGGCTACAGCAGCGACTCACGCGCCCACTACTCTTCCCACGACTTCCACTCCCCCACTCGAGATTATCACTCTCAAGATGGCGAAGCCCCCAGATCGAGTCACCCGTCACAACTGCCTTCCTCCTCGCGACCTAGCTCCGGCCTTTCCAACCACCCCGACCGCCTCGTATCGCAACCCTTACAGGATGTCAGCCAAAAGCAAACATCGTCGCAAGCGAAGAATAGCGTGGTGATCAAGGTGGGTATGGTCGGAGACGCTCAGATTGGAAAGACGAGCCTCATGGTGAAATACGTGGAGGGCAGCTGGGATGAGGATTACATTCAGACTTTGGGTATGTGGGGATGAGGTCTTGTCCACCCCTTCTTTGCGAGCCGTGCTGATGGTGGATGACAAGGCGTCAACTTCATGGAGAAGACCATCTCGATCCGGAACACGGAAATTACATTCTCGATCTGGGATCTTGGTGGCCAGCGCGAGTTCGTGAACATGCTCCCCCTCGTCTGTAACGACGCAGTGGCCATCCTGTTCATGTTTGACCTCACGCGCAAGAGTACACTCAACTCGATCAAGGAGTGGTATCGTCAGGGCCGTGGCTTCAACAAGACTGCCATTCCCTTCCTGATCGGCACCAAATATGATCACTTTGTCAACTTTCCCCGGGAAGACCAGGAAGAGATTTCGATTCAGGTGAGTGGCTGTGGGTCTGTGGGTTTGAAACCTGCGCTGACAACGCACAGGCCAAGCGCTTCGCCAAAGCAATGAAAGCTAGCTTGATCTTCAGCAGCACCAGTCATAGCATCAATGTCCAGAAGGTCAGTCACAGATTCTCGCTTTTCGACACAACACTAATCAAAACTACAGATTTTCAAGATCGTCCTCGCCAAAGCTTTCGACCTCAAATGTACTATCCCAGAAATTGAAAACATCGGCGAGCCTTTGTTGCTCTATAAGAACGTCTGAGAGAAATGAAAAGAACGAAATGGGATAAACGATTACGTGCCTAGGACGACGTGATGTTGATGATCGAACTTTCCCTCCCATAGGGTCAAAGGATCCCATGGCTTATCTTGCCGAATCCTCGAGGAGCAGAGAGGCTTAACCGATCCTTCTTGTTGTTTTCAATTTTCTTTTCTCAATCACCCTCTCTTGTTTTCATCTTGTCCTTCATAAGCATTGGGGTGCGCCTGGATTTCCCTTCATTTCATCTTGTTGCCTACTACTTTCACAATGTGTTAAATTCCCCACCTGTTTATCATTTCGTTGTTTTCGAGCGCTCATTTGCGGGCTGTGTCTGTCAGTATCGTTTTCAAAAGGGCCGTTGCACAATAGAGCAGGAGTGCTCGGTTCCTGCATTGGTCTGATATACCTCTTCTGTCCGTCTCGTTCGCAGCCACGTGCGGAGATCCATTTCCTATGTCGATAGTCTAATTTGACATGTGTCAGTACGATCGGAGTAAATGCCACCGGCGTCACATTAGGATCTGTCAGGTGAGTAAGGTGTATTAAGGATGTACTATAGGGCGGGTCCATATGAAGTAAGGTCTTTCTGACATATGAATCCCGTATCTCTCGCCAGATTTGAGTCGGCGAGGTAAATTGAGTCGAGACTGGGCTCATCCACCTTCCTCACTTATACAAATTGCACGAGAGCGATACCAAATATCCGCTGGCTATCTTATCAAAACGTGACAGTTCGGGGCGGCATCGGCCTCGGCCTCGGGCTCGGGCTTGTCCAGTGTCCACGGATTTGACAATTCTCCGCGCCCAGTTCGCGGGATTCTCGGCCTTGTTCATAGGTCGGACTCCACATTTATACCTATCTCAGTGACTGCTCCACTTGGTTGAGGCGTCATGCGAGCTACATCGGTCCTGATTCTCCGTGTAGCCTCATTATCACCGATCTCAGCCGGCAAATCGAGCTCTATTCCCGTCAATCGGCTCGGGACAAGGAAGTATATATTCGCAGCAGCCGCAGACTACATTCAGCATGCATCTCAGCAGACTACGAAAATCATCACATACGACAACTGATCTGTCAACATGAGCCACTCCGACCTTCTCGACCGTATCAACTTCCTGGCCAATGACCCAGAATTGGAGACGATCGATGACTCCAATCGCAAGCAAATCCTCGAGAGCATCGAGAAGCTGAGACGGAAAGTCGAGACACCGGCTGACTTCACCATTCGAAGCGTCTTCGGAGTATGTTCCCTCTGGTTATTCGACTTGTGAGCAAGTTCTAAGACATCACAGAGCCACCAGGCAATGGTACTTCGACTGGCCGTGGATCTGGGGCTATTCGACGCTATCACTCGAGAGGGAGGCACGGCAACCACAGCTCAGCTAGCTAAAACCACTGGGGGCGATGAGACTCTTGTTTGTATGTTATACCTCAGCCACGCAGCACCATCATCTTCCAACTAACAACACTCTCCAGCCCGAATCACGCGCTTCCTCGCAGCAATGAACATCTTCGACGAACTCGGCCCATCCACCTACAAGGCCACCCGTCTGTCCACAGCCTTCACCTCGCAATCGCCGCTCTCCGCCGTCGTGATCCACGCGTAAGTCCATCTAGCATCCCTCAAGTCCCACCTTCAATTCTAAAATTCCAGCAAAGAACACACACCTTAATAACAATGTCGCAACTCCCAACCTACTTCGCCCAAACCGGGTGGAAAACCCCAACAGATGCAACAGACGGCCCCTTCCAACAAACCCACCACACAAGACAAACCTTCTTCGAACACCTCGACACCAACCCCCACATCCAACAAGCCTTCAACACAGTAATGTCCATGGACTTCCGGCGCAGCACGATCAGACCATGGTTCGAGCTCTACCCCACCGAATCCAAACTCCTCTCAACCACGACCACCGACCCAGACCCAAACCGCATCACCCTCGTCGACGTGGGCGGCAACCAAGGGAAGGATCTCGTGGCACTATGCGCACACTTCCCACACCTCTTCAAGTCCACTCCGACCCTTGCACCTTCAACAGCAACAGCGATAGCAAAACCAACAAAGCAACAAGCAACACCGCCCAAATTAATCCTCCAAGACCTCCCCACCGTCCTAGCCTCCATCCCCGCCTCGACCACTCTACCGGGGTGCATCACCATACAACCGCACAATTTCTTCGAACAGCAACCAACCCGCCACGCAAAGGCGTACTTCCTCCGCACTGTCCTCCACGATTGGCCCGATAAGCAGGCGCTGCAGATCCTGGGACATCTTCGGGACGCGATGGCTGAGGACTCGGTGTTGTTGGTCAATGAAGGGGTTATTCCGGAGACGGGCGCGGGGTTGATGGCTGTGCAGACGGATTTTGTTATGATGTGTAACTACGGGGCCATGGAGCGGACGAAGGCGCAGTGGGTTTCGTTGCTGGAGCGCGGTGGGTTTGAGGTTTGTGGGGTTTTTGGAGAGGATGAGAATTGTGGTGATAAGGGTGGGTATGTGGTTTTTGAGGCGAGGGTGAGGAAGGCGGCATAGTTTTGGGGTTGGGTTTGGAAGAAGGGAGGGTTGTGGATTCTGGGCTGCGCTGTGGGATTGTTTATGCGTTAGCATACATTTTGTACAGACAGGCAGGGCCTGTGCGTGGGCGACATAGCCTGCGCAGAAATACAATATAACCGCAAGATGAATATATGATACAGCAATGGTTTTTGTGGAAATCAGCGTGGGCTTAGAGCAACAAGACTGATCAGCTGATGATACTGAAGCTATATAAGACCTGTACGACTCTGGACCTCTCGGTCAGATGTTAGACGCTGTCTTGCTTATAGTATTATTTACACGGAGCAGCCACGATCTGGTAACACTCATCAAGCAAAAGCGTATCAGACCCAAGCACAACAAGGTTTGTCTCCCACGTGTCTAGCCTTCCATCCCATATAGCACATGCCTCAACATGGCATCCAGCTTTAGATGACGCTTGGGGAAACTCTGGCTGACCCATACTGTCCTGTTCTTGTCGAAATATACTTTTGATATGGGTACCTCATCTTTCTCTCCTCTTTCCTTTTCTTGTTTCCATATGACACATTGGGCAACAGAGGTCGTCAGGGTACTCGCGAGCAGCCTTTCTCATCGAAAGTCTTTGGGAGCCTGTCTGGTGTTCTGACCCTGCGGTGCGAGTGCATGCTGGTAGTGATCGCTGTAAATTGGATGCGTATTGGATGTGGAGCTTGAATATGAATGTTCAAGGGGTTGGTGAGGCTCTGTTCAATAGTGTCTGTACTGATAACTCGAGACATCGTTAAGACCGTGACTCACTAGCGACCGGTGTAAGGTTACAGAATCCACACGGAGTTCCATTCCGTTCTCTAGGCTGTGACTCATCTCGCCTAATATGTCGGCGGTTGTTCCCATCTTTGATCCAGACAACGTACATGAGTGCGGTAGCGTGATTTCTGTCCTACTCACATGCCAAGCCCACCCTAGCCATCCATTGTAATCATGCCACGAGCTCTAGAAATATCATTATGACACAAGCAAGCGCCGCGTACTCATAGAATTTCGAAGGCTGATTTAACTCCAGCGCTTGATAATTTGGAAGACTCTATATCAGGCCAGTCAAATTTTCCGGTTTTGGATGAGATTCGCTACAAAGCATCCAACCAGGGATGCCGCAGAAGATCCTCGGCAGAAACGCGCTCCGTAGGATCAATCTTCATCAACATGTACAAAAAAGAGGCAAACTCATCCCTGGTACTCGGGTCAAGGCCCGGCATAAACGCCTCAGACGCCAGGCCCGGCCGATTCATAGGCAACGCATTGGCGACCCGACCATCAGCATCAAAGATCTCCCGAACCAGACCCGGGTCGCCTCGGTCCAGGAGGGCCCGGGGTAACGGCCCGAACAGGTCCACAATCTCGGTCAAGTGCTGTTTGCGCTCGTAATGGCCATCTGGCGGGACCAAACCGCTGAACATGCGGACCGCGCGGAAGACCTCCAGCACGACAGCCCCGAGGTTCCATAAATCGGTGCGTGCGTCCCACGGCGCCTGGATGAGGACTTCAGGCGCGCGGAGCGCCACGGGTTGGATTGTTTTGCTTAGATGTCGGCCTTTCCAGCTGGAGGCGCCCCAGTCACCGAGGACGATGTCGAAGTCGTCGACGCGCGTATGATCTGTCTCGTTGAAGTAATAGCAGGCGAGTGGTGCGGAGGGGATGACGGTGTAGTGCTCCTCAGACCGGTTTTGCAGGGGAACTGCAACATTGACCAGATAACCGGACTCAATTAGGGAGTGGTCGCGGAATTTGACGAAGATATTATCGGGCTTGATGTCTGATGGGGGATGAGAGTATTGCATCAGCAAGAGATACAAATGAACCAACCTGGACCAATGTCAGCATTTACCGGTATGGATCACACCGTGGTCATGGGCGAAATCCAGCGCCAGCAACAGCTGAATTGTAAATCGCCGCATCACCGAGTTGGGAAGTCGGCTCTCAATGAACCAGGCGCCAAAGCTCCGCAGCGTCTCGCCCATCAGCTCAAAGACAAGACAGACGTGCGTGCCGTTGGGCCCGCGATGCTCAAAGTCGTCCAGCAGGCGACAGACGTGGTTATAACCCAGCTGATCGCGGTCTCCGTCACGGAGATGAGTCAAGATCTCTCGTTCAAAGATGGGAGTTTCCTTGTTCTCGTAGCATTCTGCGCTGAGCACCTTGAGAGCGCAGAACTCGGTGGCGGGGCTAGATCTAGTTGTGTTGAATGTAAGCCGTTTGCTCGCATTGCACCGGCATATTTATCTCTTCTTAGGTAGTTCACTCACTGTTCCGAACTTAGGTCCCTGACAAGCCAGACTGTTGAATATACACCGTGCCCGATCTTGTTGAGCACTTTGTATCGGTCTTTGAACACATTCCCATTATAGACGGGGTGAAATCCTCCTGGTCGGTAGGACTGCGTGCCCTCTTCGAAGTCGCTCGTTGCGTTGTTGGGCATGTTCTTTCAGTTCGGTTTCCTTGTGAGGTAAGGACTCATGACGAGTTGAGGATGGCTAATGCGCAGCGGCAATCGCGTCCGCAGCGGGCAGTAGCGCGGCCTAAGGCTAAATACTGTACAGTACAGAAAGGCTGATAAAAGTGCAATAAGGAAAGGCTAGAGTGTACTCTACGACCCGCTTGCAAATACACTATTCACGCAAATGTCAGTTCCCGAGCAAGATCTCAATCGTCTCTTCACAAATCATATTACAAAAAGGGCACTAAATGAGACTCTGCCCCAATAGCTTCCATCATGCCTGGCTAACTCTCTACCCAGTGTCATCAGACCTCCATCCCCCGAGACCTCAGAAAGATTATTCAAACAGCTTCCACCCTCGTCGATACAGGCCCATCCTTGTCATCCGCCTTCACCGACACCCGATCAGCCAACTCCACCGCCGCAGCCTCCTGCGCCAACGCCTTCTCAATATTGACCTCAGGTGACACCTCCCACCGACTACCAGGCACCAGCAACGGCGCGTTCGAAAACAGATCATCCATCACCTCAAGCGACAAACCCTTCGTCTCAGGCAAGAACATATAGAAAAACAACGCATTCCCGAAATCACACACAATGAACAGCAGATAGTAGCGCCAGCCGATGCGCTCCAGCGCGATGGGCGTCACCTGGGCGATCATCGTGTTGAATGCGAACGAGACCATAGTCGCCAGAGAGATGCCCTTAGCGCGGGTTGCCGTATTGAAGATCTCCGCCGGGATGATCCACGACATCGTCCCTGAAGCGCAGAAGCAGAAGTTGAAGACCCAGGTGCTGCAAACAATAAAAGCCCAGTGCGCGGCTGTGTTGGCCGAGTCCGGCGGGTACTGCGACAGCAGCGAGGCGCCAATGATGAAAGCTAACCCGCAGGCGATGTTGCCTCCGATTTGCAGCGGCCGGCGCCCCACGCGGTCGATCAGGAAGAAGAAGATGAATTGCGCGAGCTCGCCGATGATCGAGTTGATGCCTTGGTAGAGGAGGGTTTTGGAGGTTGAGATTCCGATCTGCGCGAAAATCGCTGGGGAGAAGTATTGGATAGCGGAGACGCCGGTCCTTGGGGTTGATTAGCGGAGATGGCTTGAGGATAGGGAGGGGGAGGAAAGGCTCACATTTGACTGGATGCTTGACAGGCGCAGGCGATGATGATTCGACGCGTGTTTGACCGGTTGGCGAAAAGTTCTTTGTATGATTTTGCCGCATGCTGGTGCTCCTCGTCGATTTGACGCTGAATCAGCTCATATTCGGCGCGGACGTACGGGTCGTCGATGTTGCCGTTGGCGTGCAGTCGTGCCAGATTGTGCAGCCCTTCTTCGTGACGATCGTGGTCGATTAGCCAGCGAGGGGACTCGGGGAAGAAATAGATGCACGATGCAAGTCCAATCGCAGGGACGAGCTGAAGTGCCAGGCTAGTGACCAGGTTGTCATTAGGTGTGTACCTTGTCTGGATAGGGACTGTCACTCACGGGAGTCGCCATTGAACACTGTCGCCGGTGTTAGACCAGGTCTTTTCACATCCATATCCGATCCAGGAGGCCGATAGGGATCCAATACCCAGCATGGTCTGCTGGAGCGATCCCAGGACACCTCGAATACTGGCATGTGCGATCTCTGCCTGGAACATTGGGACGGTTTCGACGAGGATCCCGATTCCAAACCCAGCAAAGATGCGGGAGAACAGCAGCATGCCAACATTTACGGCCGCTGTTTGCAAGATGCCTCCAACACAGAACAGCACTGATCCTAAAACGAGGGTTGCGCGACGACCCAGCGGGTCGGTGTAACCTGCCCCGAGGGCTCCAAAGAATGCTCCTGAAGACGAGTCAGTTGCGTGCACACGATAGAGCAAGGTCTCAAATCATACCAGCCGTGAACAGCGACACAACTGTCCCAGAGATAACACTTCCATTATGGGTCAAGAATTTCTCATCAAATGAGTCCGACGCGACCACTGAGGCGATCACACCAAGATCATAGCCGTAAAGGAACGACCCGAAGGCGGCAAAGAGGGCCACCACGAATTGGTAGGTCTTTGGCTTCATCTTTATCGCTGACCCTAGATCTGATAAATCTTAAAGTCACCACTGCGTGGGTCCTGGGGAATGTGGAGAACCCGGGGTATAAGGAGCATTATATCCTCTATCCGCGGCGGAGAATCACCACAATCTGGGCAGGCCAACCGCCACTCCACGCTATGATGGATGCGAGTTATCCACCAAGATTGGTTACGGAGTATTGGTGGAATTTGAAGCCTGCATTTGACTCTCTACGGTTTACCTCTGGGCTGATGGTGGCTTCCGAAAGTGTGTATGTTAAGCCTTGGATCTCGTGTGGCTGGCCCTGCTTCGGGCATAATTCCTGCGGAGGCTCACGACGCCCAGACCCTGATTTGCGGACTGCAGTCAAAGCTCTTGCGGGGTCGAGATCGATCAAAATTATCTGAGTCTTGGTGTCAGTCCATGTCGGATGAAAGATGTGAGAGGCCGCTGGGCAGTATTCGTTGATGTGCTCAGTGTATAAGTATAAGGTTGGTTCAACTCCAAGAAATGCTCTGTTCTTGGAACGTGGAGCTGTGCGAGGAAATAGTCTACCGAGATGTTAATCAACAGTAAAAGCTCCAAGGGTGTTCTGTCGCTCTTTCCTCCTCGATACACAATCGGTGCGATGATTTGATCATCTTCTATGCAAAGATGAATACCATGAGAACGCGATGCTCTCTGTCTGTCAGTCGAGGTGGTGTTATAGGTACAGTACATATCGGTAGTAGACTATGGTTTCGGGGAGAGCGAGAGAAACAGAGATACTTCTAAAAGTCATTCAATGACTGACATCAGCAGTACCAAGCCGGTCAAGCCCTTCTATAGTCAAGTGCCAGGAGATGCAATGCTGCTATTCAGTCTCGGAATGTGGCCATTTCTTGGCAGGAATCAGGCTAAATTCAAGCTTCCTCCGAAGTGAACCCGGCGGGGTTTGAGACAGTTAAGTGGGACAAAATCCCCGCTAAATCCAGGCCGGTATACGAGTAAGATAGAGTAGAATTACCCCGCAAAGTCGGGTTGTTCTTGAAAAGCAAGAATGGATTTTCTCCACTGCAGACCCCCTAACCACTTACTGTCATCGTGGACTGCTCATCTTTCCCTACTCAAGTATCACCATCAAACCCTCCACATCGGATATCCCGAGCCCCCAAAATATGGGCTGATCACCAGTCAATATATGGAAGTAGCGGGAAAACGTGGGGGTACACGACTAACATACTGTGAAGTCACTGGTTCCTCCGTCTCCACACCATGCGTGATGATACTGTGCTTCGTTCTTCAGGCACCGATCTTGCTCCCAGGCAAGGCAGACCCTGCAGCGGGCGAGTTCGGATGAATCCATTCTTGCTTTGACTATAAATATGGGAAAACGCACTGTCCAGCTTCGCCCTGCAAGGTCTGACCAGAGAGCACCAATCTTAAAGCAGGGAATGCTAAGTCAAGAGTTATGTTCCTCCTTAACACATTTCTGGCAGCAGCCCTCGTTTGGGGCGAGTTGATAGACGCATTAGTCGCCCGCAGTGACTCTTGTTATGGCTCTCCTACTTTGACAGCATCCTTCGATGCTCCAAACTACCGTTACAGCTCCTTCAGCTATACACAGCTCACATCCAACCGCTATGCAACGTCATTACCTTCTCCCGTCTCTTTCCCTACCCCGTTCGCACCACCGTTCAGTGAAGCCTCGACTCTCCTGCCAACTGGTGTTACCTATACTACGTATAGCTTCAATCCCACCGCGACCGCTGCGCCTAAATCGGAGACAGAGCAATACGGCCAAGAAGCATATCATGACCTCTGGACGACGCTCTCCTACACTGACGCTCCTCCCTTCACAACAACAGTGTCTCCAAGTGCCGTTCCTAGCACTGAGCTGGTCTTTCCGCCTGCTTTGACTCCTTTCCTCGCAAACCCCACGAAGAAACTGCCAGCAAACTTCATTTGGGGTGTTGCGGGCAGTGCATGGCAGATCGAGGGTGGTCTCCAATTAGAAGGCCGAGGACCAAGCGTCTTGGACACAACCGGGTCTATCCAGGCAAATGATAGTGCTACTGACTCTAATGCGGCTGTTATGAATTATTTCCTCTACAAGCAAGACATTGCCCGTCTCGCCGCTCTAGGGGTACCATACTACTCTTTTTCAATCTCCTGGACGCGTATTGTTCCTTTTGGAGTGGCTGGGTCGCCCGTGAACACGGAAGGTCTGGCTCATTACGACGATGTGATTAACACTTGTTTAGAATACGGCGTCACCCCGATCGTGACTCTAACTCACGCCGACTATCCTTCATCTGTGGCCGCCGACATGGGCAACCTTTCCACCCACTTCCTGTACTATGCTCAACAAGTGATGACCCGGTACGCCGACCGCGTGCCATACTGGGTCACTTTCAACGAGCCCAATATTGCCATCGGATACATATTCACCGACTATAGCATTCTTAAGGATCTCTTACTTGCTCATGCCGCCGTTTACCACTGGTACAAGGAGACACTTGGCGGTACGGCTCAGATCACCATAAAGTTTGCCAACAACCTCGCTCTGCCTCTCGATTCCACCAACAGTACCCATCTCGACAGCGCCCTGCGCTACCAGGATTTCATCCTCGGGATCATGGGCAATCCCATACTCCTGGGCGAACAAATCCCGTCTGAGGTCCTCAATACCCCCAACATCAACCTGACTGCCCTGACCGACGAGGAGCTGGCCACGGTGAAAGGCACTGTGGACTTTATCTCCATCGACCCGTACGTCTCGCAGTACGCCTTGCCAGCGCCCGAGGGCATCGAGACCTGCGCCACCAACTCCAGCAATCCGCTTTGGCCCGCGTGCGTCTCGCTCACGAACGTCCAATCCAACGGGTGGCTTATGGGCCAAGCGTCTAACGCCTATGCCTACATCGCGCCGCAGTATGTGCGCCAGCAGCTCGGATATATCTGGAACACATTCCGTCCCAAGGGTATCTTAGTAGCGGAGTACGGCTTCAACCCCTTCGATGACGCCAAGCGCTCCCTCGACGCGCAGCGCTACGATCTCGAGCGCACGCTATATTATCATTTCTTCCTCCGGGAGGTCATCACGGCCATCCACGAGGATGGCATCAACGTGATAGGGGCGCTGGCGTGGAGTGTCCTAGATAATAATGAGTTTGGAAGCTTTGACAATATGTACGGGTTGCAGACGGTCAACCGGACGGATGGACGGTTTGAGAGGCATTACAAGCGAAGTTTCTTCGACTACGTGGATTTTTTCCACCAACATATCGAGTCGTGACTGTTGTTGAGCTATGGATAGCAGAGTTTCTCAGAATCACGAAGAAGTAACAGATCGAGAAAAGATTCTTGATAGTACTAGTTTTACTTGCTTGTCTACGGCCTTGACCGTCCAAGTACTACTTACCTCTTTGGAGATCTAGAGGTATGGCACCATCATCATACCCGCCATAATTTGAAAAGAATCCGAGCCGCAAGAAACAATCAAAGGAGGTTGCTAATTGTCACCTGTTAACCAATAACCTTTAAGGGAAGTACCTCTCCGCATAAGTTGATAGCTATGGTCGCTTGACTATTGTATAGTCAGGGTAGACTAGAGGAAGTTTACTTCGAAGGTTAGTCCACATGAATGAAACTCTGAAATGTTCCTATACAAAGTATGTGATATCTGCTTTGTTCTCGCTATTCTTTGACCTTGCTTACTTCGCTGACAAGTTCAGCTCCAGTCTCCTCTTAGTCTTTCAAGTAGCGGAGAATCTCCACGCCTCTCGGTAAGTTTCTTCATTCCAAGGTACTTTCCACGATAAGCGCCGACAACTTAATAAAGAAACCAGCGCTGCAGCGATGTTCTCCGCCTGAGAAACCCAGTTCCGCGGCCGGGAAGACTAACATAAAAGCAGCGTCTTATCCGGGCCAGGTCACTACTTCTGGCAGAGTATCAATCCAGACTCCGGTCTGGGGGCTGATACAGACTTCGGTCTGGGAAATATATCTGCAGCGTAACATCCCCATGAAGCTGGGTCGGGCTGGTCGCTCAGAGACCTTTCCACGCTCTGCGGTTGGTAGAATTATCTGTGCCAACTTCAACAGCGATCGAGGAGGGTGAAAGCTAGGTCCTTTCCTGCCCTTAACTGGGTAGGCACCGCCTCTGACAGAATGTCTTACTAAATAAAGCCAATCAAGGCCGCCGGACTCCATATGGTATTCTGAGGTGCTCCTTGCAAAGAGTTCCATGGGAAACAGCAACCCATCAAGCCATCCATGGCCAACTTCGATACATAATCCATGCTGTTGTTCGATGGACGCTTCTCGAAAAAGGATATGACTTGTGGTAACCGCGTACGATGACAAGATTGGGGATGCGGAAATTATCCTTACACGATGATCCAGGGATAGCAACTGATTGGCTGTCTGGGCACACTTCTCCGAAGCCAGGCCCGTAACAATGAGGTACAGACTCTTACTGCTAAGCTTGTCGCTGCTGAAAATCGTATGATCGCTGCACAAGAACATGGTCTTCGATTTGACCTTGAACACGAATCCCTCAAGGGGGAACTTTAGCTTCGAACTGTGAAGTTGTCGGCTACAGAGGAACGCCTTGTGCTCTGAGAGGCCAAAGCAGGCGTCATGCTGGAAACAATCAAGTTTGAAAAGCCTTACCAGTCGTGCGCATTTTCAGACAGAATCCAGGGACACACTTGGCACAGATTCGGCTGATATAAAGGGTAGAAGGGCTCTCCTAAACCAAACCGCGAGAGGGTTTAGGGAAGACACACAATATCCCAAATAACCGCCGTCTTACCCCTAGTGTCGTTCCAACTACTTCCCCATCCTCCCCAACCAGACGTGCGATTGCAACCATGGATCCAGAAGTACCGTGGCCTCCTGGTATCCCGAACGTGGATAACAGGGTCTCTGGTGGCGAGAGCACGTCCATCAGAGCCTCAGGTTGCGTGGCCCTTCCTGTCGACGATCACTGCGCCGACACTACGAATGCAATCAAGAGGACTGGTCCGACGACGATCGGTATGGCTATGTGGATGTGCGCTCTCCTCAACGAGCTTGTCTGACGAATACTTGACGGGGAATCGTTGTCTTTCCCCATTGCTCTAGACGACACAATGGTGTCCTCTTGTCTCATTCAAGGGTGAAAAGGCTTATGAGCAGCTGGCTCTTGGAGAGGCCGCGCTCGGGAAAGAGGAGAAAATATGGTTGTGGGCGTTGTGCCGAATGTGCAAAAAGATAGTACCAGGAGATGTCGGAATAGAACCAGTACGACAAGCTTCGGACCCGTGTTTTGAGATTGGAAACGACACCGGACTGTCCTTCTTGCTCTCAGACTCCTTGGGATTGCTCTTCGCGGCGGCTAAGCAGGGTCATCTGTCAAATATCTGGAAATAGTGTCAGGTCGCATCGTCAACTCAAGAGCGGCCTAGGTTCTTTCCTTTCTTCCTTTACATGCAGAGAGAGAGAGAGATAGAGAGACCGGGCCCAGGTTCCATGGCCTAAAATGCTTGTTCTCGACATCACGCTCTCTACGACTGAGACTGTCGGCTCAGCCGATATCGCGAACCATCTCGGCCGTTCCTCCTCGAAGCTAGTGTCGACACCCTAGGTGAGACCGGTGGACTCCTTCGGGAACGCAGCCGTCGTGATCCTTGCTAGAGGCACAGAAACAGAGGCTTGCCGAATAGCTTTGGAAGGTCGTCTTGCGAGTCATCTTTCTCTTATGCGGGAGTCGATCGAAGAAGGAAGACACGGCGAACGGGATGGTCGATTCCCTTGAAAGGAGAGACGTGTGAATCTGAGCAAAAGGCTTTTTGGTTCTCAAACTTTCAAGTCTTCACAGTGTCTCTGGTGGAGGCTTCGGATGGGCTTCACACCCACGCGAGCCTTTCTCTTGTTTCCTGTTTACCAAGTTGCTAGTGTACGGCATTCTCAATTCTGGTCCGTTTGAAAGATAAAAAATGTCCGAGGACCAAGTACCTCGAATCCCTCTGGCTAGAGGTTTGAGGATGAAAGGCTGCGATGGGTGACATTTCGGCGAACGTGAACGTGGATGCTGCGGAGTATGTCAATACTATTACCAAGGGGCTGGATAATGGTCAGTGAAATTAGATTCGCTGGCTTCGAAGTTGTGTATAGTCTAGCATAGATAAGCAGGCCCTGCGATGGTTATCTTCTGGCTTATCTAAAGTTCCTGTTACTCTGGGAGATGTGGTGATGCGGATATATTTCTATGGTTTTCTACACAAAATATCCCCGTACACCCGTGTTCAGAAAAACTCCAATACAGTTTAAAAATAAATTGAAAATCTACCAATCAAGTTTTTGGAATAAAATAAAGATTTAAATCTCATTGAATAGTAAACTGATTGGGAAAATATTTTCTATTCTAAAGATTTTAACAACTCAAGACAAGTAAGACTAAGATTATACAAAAAGTAGAATAACATTATAAAATCAAGAGATACTTGAATGTTAGGTTAAGTTATACGAACTATAGAACCTTACGTATAGATTATATAGGTTTTCAAAAAGTATTTGCAGTAATCATAATATAATGTAACCCTTAAATCGTGAGGTCAAATTTCGATTCTCGGGTGTATGTAGACTTTTTGCCAGGATTTGAGTATACCCAATGTGTCTGGAGAAACAAGAAAAGAAGGGAGTGCCACAGCCATGAAGAGTCTTTTAAAGCTCGCGGTATTAAGTATAGATAAGATCTATAGCAATTTTATCTATAGATAAGCTTTATACTGATTATATTACCACTATCATCCATCGCTCCGCCTTAAGAAACTAAAGTATCTTAGGGCTAGAGGACGTTCCTTGTTCACGGTCTTGTCAACAGCTCGGTTTGGTTCCTGCACTGGTTTAAGGCTTATACGATCCACTTAATAACACTTATATAACAATACCTATACTTCTACATATTCTATCTCTCTATAGTTGTAAATTATCTTTTTTCTGATTTCTTTTTCTGCTCTTTTTCTGTGATATAGTACTTTGAGAATAACAGCTAATACACAAGACTCTTTTTTCGCCGCTTCTACCAGTCAATCCCGAGTTATAACACTTCTGGTCGCGGAGTGCAGGAAGGGCTTTGGACTACTTGAAGAAGGAAGTGCACCGCCTTAGTGGATCTTATTAGATTTGGTATGTGGTTCTCTGCGTTTTCTCTGTGCCTCTCTTACCTGATATTTTGTTCAGTTCTTTTTTGTTTTCCGGAGAGGAAATTATCTGATCCAAGCTGGCGTGTTCAAATATCCCCATCTCGGATTTGGAATTCCGCGGAAAATGCCTTTACTAGGACAAAGCGATGCGGAATTCCTCGATAATTGAACTCATCTATTGGGATAATCTCCTTTCTCAATCACACGAGAGTGACAGACAGTGCGAATTCGCAAAGTATAAAGTGAATTCTCTGACCTGCCTGATCATGCTTTCTGTTCCTGGGCATTTCAAGTCATCGCTATCTCAAGCTTCAGTGTGAAACCCTTCAATAAAGATGCCATATTCCGCACTCGTATCCTTCTACTATGGTGAGCGGGTCAAATGGATGGCAGTGGGGATAGAGCTACCTTTAGGTAGACCGAATAACGCCACGCTTATCGACCAAGTGCGTCGGTGCCGCAAGCTAAAAATCTCCATGCCAACCGCCAAAGGGTATTGGGGAGAAGAGCTGCAGCCTCTTTCGCTACGGCCTACAGTGTGTGAGTTGGCAAAGGATTTCGACACCGACTACGCTGCGTCTGTGATCAGCAAGTTTCGGATCAAGCCCGACATCGTCCTTGGTATCAGCAAGCTCCTTTACAAGCTGGAGAAGTGGTTGAAACAAGCCAAGGACACCGCTGAATCGAGCAGCCTCCGCCGTATTCTTCTATGGCATCCGTCATGGGGTCGATGCCGCCGGGAAACACAAGCCCTCATGAACGACTTGACCAATAGACTAGAGTTTGCCGAAAGACAGGTGCAGTCAGTGAGCAGCAGCGATGATGATAAGAGCAATACTTATACCAGTTTGAACGAGCAAGTGAATGTGTATCTTCCAGGGGTTCAGAAGAAGTATCCCTTGGCCATGTCTGCCTCTTTGCTTCGACGAATTGCCCTCCGCCAGTACGCATGTCGGTGGTTTCTCTGTGCCCGTCACGGTGAGAACCAGCTAGCTCATCATACTCGGAAGCTAGGCTTCCCCCAACCGGCACCAGCTTTTACAACTACAATCTTGCCTCCGCCTCCCACCGTCCCTCCTGGGGCCACGGACTTCATTTGCCCCTGCAGTGACACACTCCCGAAAAAGATGTACCATCCGGTCCCGTGGCGAAAGCATGTGCTCCACGATTTCCACCCTTACATTTGCATGCATGCCGACTGCGGAAAGGCCTTTGGAGATGCGGATGTTTGGGAACAGCACATGCTCCAGCACGGGAATTACTGGGCCTGCTACCAGCCAGGATGCCACGACATCACTATCCCTTTGCACCGGAGCTACAAGACCGATGAGCACTGTCATCTGATCCATGGCTTGGATGAGCGACCCCCTGACTCGCGCCACAGACAACCTTCCAGTAAGCTTGAGTTCAAGAAGTGTCCCCTCTGTCAGGCGTCGTTCTCGGATTCTAGATCGACAGAGATCAAGTGGCATATAGCCGCGCATCTAGAGCGGGAGATCATGTGCATGCGAGCTTGAGCATAATTGAGCTATTTCATTATCTGACTTTTAACATAAAAATGCATTCAGCTTTCAAAATGCGAAGATTCTCATCCTCTTTCTTACATATAAGCACCAGCCATAAAACATCGCTAAACAACCAATTGTCCCCTCTACCCAAAACACCTTGCACCCAAATTACCTCCGAACCAATCTATCAATCATCCTCACTTTCCACACCATACTCAGCCCTAATCTCATGAAATCTCTTCTCCGTCCAATCAAACACATTATCCCACTCATAGCGACGCCGGGCGAACAACTTCCGAAACAGCCCACGGAGCCACTCATACTTGGGCATCTCATTATAATGCAACCCATTGACATGGTGGAAGTAACGCTCAAACTCCTCCGGTAAACCGGCACACAGCTCCCGGACAGAGATGCGCTCCTTAGCATCGCGGATAGGCTGATGCTTCGAGTGATCGAGATGCTCCCAGGGCAACTTGCCCTTCAAGAACTCGACGAGCGTGTACCCAACGCATTCCATATCATCGCGATACGTTTGATCTATTCCGTCCCATATTAGCCAAGCCGTAACCAACCCGCCCCCTTCCCCAGCCCCAAACCACCCGAGGAAAGAGAAGGAGAAACATACACAACCGCCAATGCGCCGCGCGACTAGCATAAACATACGTCCCCACAACGCCCTTAACCCTCTTCCCCTGAAACCACTTCACATTCCTCGTGGCCACAATCTTCCGTTTTGCAAGCCCAAAATCATTGATATAAAGCGTGCTCCCCTTCCTCCCAGCCCCCATCAACAGGTTCTCAGGTTTGATATCCTGGTGGATATACCCCGCGCGATGGATATGTCGCATCCGCAACAGCAGCTGGTCCGCCAGCATCAGCACCGTCTTCAACGAGAACCGTCGGTGGCAGTAGTTGAACAGGTCCTCCAGCGTCGGGCCTAGAAGCTCGATTGCTAGCAGCCGGTAGTCGTCGATGTGCGGGCGGTAGAGGTAGACTTTCGGGATCCCCGGGCCCCGGATGGTGGTGTAGATTGCGTTTTCGTGCTCCAATGTGTTGCGCGTGCTTAGGGGCTCGAGTTTGAGGGCTACGGTTGTTGAGGTTTGGAGGTCTTTGGCTGTGTCTGGGTTTAGTTTGGGTTGGGATGGGATGGGGATGGCCCATGGATTGGGGCTGGGGACTGGCAACGCACCCAGGAAGACTTCGCCGTAGCCCCCGCCTCCTAGGTAGCGGAGGAGTTTGAAGCGTTTTGCAATGGTGATTTCCTGGTCCCCGGGTTGGAGGTTAGTGTGGTTGGGTTGGTTGCTGGGTTGCGTGTGTGCTTACCAGTTGCTCGGTTGGCATCGTGATTTTTGGTATTATCTCGTTGTTGGAAGGATAGGAATAGGAGGAGGAAGCGGATAGATGCAAGTCCGATATATATTGTTCTTTGTTACGCGGGGTTTATACTCGATGGGCTCAAGGCAAGGATGCACTTGTTTGCTGTGTCGCAGGACTGTGCAAAATAGATGTGGCTTTGTCTAGAGTGGCTATTCTTATAACAATAGATGAAAGAAGCACACCTCGGGTCTTGTATCGAAACAAATGCCCCATTGTGGTGTCCCGAATGTTTTTCCAAGCCGGTGCTCGACAAAGCAAGTGTCTTTGTGGTCAGCGTCTACGCACAATCTGATACAAGCACTTCTTTGTCGCAACCTTGACAAGCGCCATGATTGCAAGACCCCAACTAACAATGGACGATATTAGGCCTTTTGACATACTAGCTGCATTGGCAGTACGCGCATGTAAAGCAAACATCAACGATCAGGTAAAAACAATTCACAATTCACCAGACGCCTTATGCTGGACCCATATCACCTATTCCGATCCATCTTCAAATTGGCAATCCTATTATTCATCCTACTCGACGACACAGACGACAGCAAGCAACTCAGTAACTCCATGCCTCATATCAAACAGAGCACAGGCAAGCCCACGCCGGCTGCGCGCTCCGGCACCCTGGACGAGACCTTCGAGATCGACCGCAAGTTCTGGGACGATCTTCCCTACATCTACCTGAGCCACCGGGCCATAGTCGAGTTCTGCAAGCGCGACAAGGTCATCGCGAAGGAGGCGGAGGAGGAGAGGAGGAAGCGGAAGAAGAAGAACAAGGCCCACCGCAAACGACAGAAGCTACCGCACCGGCTGCGCAGCCTGAAGGAGTTCGCGAAGAACGGCGGACCGGATCTCTCTGGGATTTCCAGTGTAAGTTTCAGCTCACGCATCATGCTCAGTTCCAACCACGCGCGATACAAAAAATACTAACAGACTGAAACAGTACGGCTGGTCCGAATCCGCAGAGCCGTGCAACTCAACCTCCCTCTACGACCGCAACTGCCACAACTTCCTCAAGCTGCACGGCATTGCGCACCGACCGCACAGCCACAACCGGCCGCGCAACTACTCAACGCTACAGGAACGACTCAAAGAGACGCGGGACTCAGTCGAGCGGCTGGGCCCCGAAGACCAAGCCGTATGGCTCAAGGCCTGCCGAAACTTTAGCAAGGACCGGGGGCATTTCGACCAGACGACGGGCCTATTATTCGGGGCCGTCCCAGAGACGGTGCTGACGTACGTTAACGAGCCGATCACGGGCCTCGATCCGCTAGTGGAGGGCATGTTCCAGGCGCAGCCGGACTGCTTCGACTGCAGCGACTTCTACGCGCTGGACGAGCACGGCCGTATCGCCAACGACCTGATGAACTACATCGTACCGGCCGCGGACGCGTACGGCGTCGTCCCGAATTTCTTCGTGCAGTTGAAGCTCGACGACGACGCCCGCGAGGCCGGCAAGCTGCAGGCCCTGCATTATGGCGCATTGGGGGCTCGTGCTGTGCAGAAGCTGCGCTTCTACGCCCGAGAGGCTGATGAGTGGCTGGATGAGCACGCGTACTCGATCGTCGCGGTCGTGTTCACTAGGGGCATCACGATTTATGCCGTGCATATGATCGAGTCTGAAAATGCGAGCCGAGAGGCGGATTACCAGTTGACCCAGATCTTCACGAGTCGCGTTACCGATGGCATCGCTCAGTTTCGCAAGGCGGTCGCCGCGTTTCGGAACTGTAGGGAGTTTGCCAAGGATTGGAGGGATTACTTCGTTGAGGAGGCTAGGCTGACGCTCGAGAGGAGTGACTGTGAGGAGTCATCGCAGGGGGCACCGATAGGTGAGGATAGACGGTTAGGTGAGGACGATAGCGAGGGATTCAGTGGTATGTCGGGATCTTCACCTGGCTCTCCAGGTGACGGTCAAAGTACGGCAGGCAACGGCACGGCCTTCTTAGGCCTCAAGAGGCGCAGGACGAAGTTTGAGATACCTTATTCAAGCTTGGTTAATGATAGACCACGTGTCAAAAGAGCGAGACAAGCGAGAGTATGTGGTTATTAGCACTATTGTTAGAGCGATCCATCAAAAAGTTTGAAGACAAAGGAAGAAACGGCGTAGAACGGAGCGACGGTTGAGATGCTAAACAAAGTCAGACACCAGACACTGCAAAAGCACTAATCTGTCGACAGATAGAAAAGATGTAGCTAATGCTCCCTTCAAATATCTCAGAAAAACATCAAGTTCCATCTGGATAGTACTTCGCAGAATCCAACTTGCCTCGCCCATGCCCGACAGTATACTAGCGGAGTGACATTTCTGCCACCGCCAAATTGAACAGTTTCCCAGGCCGAGTTTTGGCCGCTGTTCGTGCTTAAATCCGCTTATTTCCGTGATTTTCGCGGCGAGGTCGCGGCCGTTCTGCCGGCTTAAGCGGTCAGACGGGCGGTCGATGGCCACGCTGCCGCTGCTTTTACCGACTTTCTGCCACCGCCAGATTTCAACAGTTTTCCAGTTTGGTTTTCCGTGGCTGTTCGTCCTTAAATCCGCTTAAATCCGCGGTTTTTGTTGCGAGGTCGCGAGCGTTCTGCCGGTCGAAACGGTGAGGAAAGCGGTCAGCTGGTTGGACCCGTGGTATAACCGAGGCTAATCGTATGCACTGCAGCATTTCGCAAATGCCATTGAACATTTTAGCTGGTGGTATGCAGAAGAAGGCTGGTGTAGCAGTAGATATCTAGTAAGGATGACCGATTTAACATGTGAAGTAATACTCGCTCCAAGCCTAATCATAAGTGACGTGAAGATGGAATTGATTGTTCTGACTGTGTGTACAGATTCCGGCACCAGAATCCTTTCTACTAAGCCTATCGATTTCTAAATCTCTATGTAATGTATGGGAGCTAACAAATGGGAAGCAGCCGAAGCATTCAATATGCCCTCACACCCGCAATGCGGGGGGAAATGACGAGATCAGTTCCATCGCGGGGTGAGCCGGGTATTTCCTCCTCCGGACTCCAAAAAAGACCCCTCGATTCAATTCACGACCCCTCCTTGGCGTCTCCTGCAAACTTCAATGCATGCAAGCATCTTATCCCGTCCATTGTCAGTAAACATCACGAAGAAAATCCTCAAGATGGCGCCCAAGGTCGCAATCCTCGACGACTACCAAAACATCAGCCCGCGCCACTTCGAGCACCTCACCTCGCGCGTCGACATCAGCTACTTCCCGGACACGCTGAACCCGCGTCTCGCCGATCAGCAGAAACAACTCATCGAGCGCTTGCAGCCGTTTGAGATTATCGTCGCCCAGCGCGAACGCACACCTTTTTCCAAGGAAACGCTGGCCGCGCTTCCGAACCTGAAACTCCTCCTCACGACGGGCACGCGCAATCTAGCCATCGACAGCCAGTACTGCGCCGAGCGGGGGATCCCTGTCGGCGGCACGCAGACCCGGCCGGCGGGCATCAACTCGACGGTGCAGCACACCTGGGCGCTGATCCTGGGAGCGACGCGCCACGTCGCGCGGGACGACGCGGCGATCAAGCGCGGCGAGTGGCAGGGGTCGCTGGGGATGACGCTCGCGGGGAAGACGCTGGGACTGCTGGGTTTGGGGAAGTTGGGGGCGCAGGTGGGCAGGATCGCGGTGCAGGGGTTCGGGTTGGAGGTGATTGCGTGGTCGACGAACCTGACGCAGGCGAAGGCGGACGAGCAGGCCGAGGCGATGGGGCTGCCGGCGGGGAGCTTTCGGGCGGTGTCCGACAAGCTGGCCTTCTTCCGGGAGGCCGACGTCGTGAGCGTGCACAGCGTGCTGTCGGAGCGCAGTCGCGGCATTGTGGGTCGCCCGGAGCTGGCGGCTATGAAGAAAACTGCCCTGCTGGTCAACACATCCCGAGGTCCGTTGGTCGACGAGGCGGCCTTGCTGGAGACCCTGGCCAGCGGCGCGATCGCCGGCGCCGCCTTGGATGTCTTCGACCCCGAACCGCTGCCCGCCGACAGTCCCTGGCGCACCACCGCTTGGGGCCAGGACGGCCGCAGTGAGGTCCTCCTGACGCCGCACACGGGTTATGCGGATGAGCAGATCCACGGGTGGTATCAGGAGGTTGCGGAGAATCTGGAGCGGTGGCTGAATGGGCAGGAACTAACTGTCCGGTTGAATTAGTCTTTGTGTTTTTGGGTGCCATCTATCGGAAACAAGATCTAGAGTCTTAGACTCTCCGGGTGACGAATCCGCCAAACTACCACGGTCTAATTGCCTAGGTAAACTCGTGCATGACGCTATTACGTGATGGAGTCACCGACTCATGACAAGGGCCGGACCGGACGTAAGGCCGTGGGATGAAAATGAACCTCGGTCGGTGCCGCGGATCCCCCAAGCACTCTAAATCAAATTGCTGGCTGCTGATGTTCCTGCCGCTTGCCATGCCTTCACTTACCCCACTACCCCGCGACCTTATAATGTAGACTTCCGCTGCTCCCAGAGACAAGATGAAGCCCGTTCAGAGATATCTACCTCCATAACTTACCTCCTACTTCAATCCCGCTCCTCTTCTTACTTCTACGTATCCACACACACCAACAATGGCCACCACAACCACCACCACGACAACAACAACAACAACCACAACCCCCGAACAACCCACCCCACCACCCACCCACCCAACCCTAATCCACGTCCTCCGCAGCCCCATCCCCTTCGCCAGCGGTGCCTACTCCCTCGTCTCGCTACCCGCCGGCTCCGTCTTCTGCAAGATCGAAGGCACCACCCTGTCCAAGAAAGCCTACACCTCCGTGCAAACCGGCCGGGACTCGCACATCGAGCTCAACTCCGACCTCGTCTACTGCAACCATTCGTGCGCCCCGACAGTGGATTTCGACATGGACCGCATGGAGGTTCGGGTGGTGGCGGACCGCGACCTGAAGGCCGGCGACCCGTTGACGTTCTTCTACCCGTCGTCTGAGTGGGAGATGGACCAGCCGTTCCAGTGCACGTGTGGCGCCGGCGAGAAGTGTCGGGGCGTTATCGATGGGGCTAAGAATATGCAGGTTGAGGTGTTGCGGGAGTATTGGTTGAATCCGCATATTGAGGAGATGGTTAGGGAGAGGGAGGGGGGGTCGCTTTGAAGTCACTGGGATATAGAATTTAGATGACGGAAACAGGGTACAGGGGTATAGAGATAGAGTTGTTGTATGTACAGTTGCGAATAGATGGTTTGTACACTCTTTCCTCGACGACTATTTCAGGTTGAATACCCAGCTTCGCGCTTTTTATGTGCGTCGCATAAAGACCATAGTTAGTACAACAACGAGTAGACATCTTCAGCACACAGCGTTACAACCCAGCCCTTTAAATCAACTAATCCTCCTCTATAATGGATACAGATCTAATCCAACCTATATGCAAACCCAGCTCTCACAACTCACAACCCCCAACCTTAAACTCAAACCCACCCCAGGCCCAAAAATCTAAACACTCCTCCAAATCTCCCTCAAAGAAAGAAGGGTACTAACAACCATCGTCCCCCCAACGCCCACCTGCCCAACCCCAATCCACCCCAAGTACGACCCAGGAATCAACAGATCGCACCCATCAACAACCACCCTCTTCACCAAAGCCGACATATCAACCTTCCGGGCTACAGTCCCAGGCCCAGCCGCAGCACCGGCACCCCTTTCCTTCCCCTTCCCCTTCGTACCACCACGCGCACCATTAGCAAGAGTCCCGCCCTTCTTCCCCTTCCTCGCCCCCTTGACAGCCCCAGCATTCATCCCCTCCCACACAGCCCCAAGAATCGAGATTACCAGCGCACAGAACCAGAATCTGTACGCCTCACTGGTGGCGCTCTTAGCCCAGGGGACCGGGTAGATATTTGCTGCGTCGAGCTTGCGTCCCATTCTCGTTAGTCATTTCTTGTGGTCTCTTTGATAGTTTGGTTTAGAGGGAAGGGGAGGGTACAAAGCACCAAGCGCCTTATCCCTTTGAAATGTCACGGTTGAATGGGCTGGCTGAAAACGCAAAAAAAGACTCACGAGCGTCAAATCCTCCAGCAGGTAATACAATCCGAAACAGCTCCATTTGGCGAGGTCGAGCATCCATAGGACCCCCGTTGGGCTTACCGCGGAGGCGGTAGGTTTCTTGCTTTTGCTCGTGCTACTACTAGGGGCACCCAGAAGAGCGGAGACGCGGTTGAAGCAGTCGAGGAAGTTCCAGAAGCGGATGCAGCGGCGGGCTTTGGTTTATGTGTTAGTTTCTTCGCGATTGAATGGGCTGGGAGGGTGCGGTTTGGGGAGACGGGACAAAGAAGGGGGGACGGGGGAAGAAAAGGTTGGATTGAAGGAAACGAACTCAATGCTAGTTGGGTTTTGGCGGACTGCACCCGTTTAGTCGTTGCGCTGTCGAGAGAGCCTAGCTCCAGCGCGATCAGGCATATTGCCTGGATTAGACGGAGGGTCTTTTCGTACCCTGTGTTCAGGCGATAGAAGCGCGAGAGGCGGTCGAGCATTGTCTGTCAACGGGTAGGTTTGGCGGCGCGTTGGTGGTTCTATTATGGTGTTTCGGGGATTTAGGTGGAAGGGAAAGGAGGGAGGGGGCTCGATTCGGTCTTTATGAACGATAAGCCATGGCAAGATGAAAGAAAAATAATCGTCGCTTTCATTCACTTCGGATACGCGTTCCAGTTAGCGGATGGAGCTACTCGATACGGTGTCTGCAAGGCAAGGCTAATCGGGATCGCGGATCCCGCTTATCTACATTCTGCGCATCTTACCAACTACCTATTTACGCACCCATTAGAACTACCTGCTGTCTGCTGCACACATAAACCTGGCTCACTTGCATGCACGAATCCAATGTCCACGGTGAAACTACCGTCCCTTTCCACCAGAGATGTCCTGTCCCAGGCGGTAGCCGCCAACCTTCTCCCACTCGACCTTTTGCCGAGTGATCGGCAACTGTCTGCGCAGCCCCTTGAACGATCCCTCCGCCATCTGTACGAAAGCCCGGTTCAATTCTTCTTGGTAGTCGCGCTCCGCTCCCGCAATGCGCGACATGATGGCGCTAGCTTCCGAGGACGTCACGGACAGGTTGATCGGCTTGGTTGTGTTGAGCGCCACATTGCCGTCCTCGTAGTAGTGCACATCCACCTGGATCTTACCAGAGATCTCGGTCGACGAAGACGAAACGGGGACGGTGTAGATCGAGCGGAAGCGACCGTTCCTGATATATTCTGTCAGCAAGAGAGTGTCGTTGCCTGACAGCATGAGAAATCTCACCAGAAGTTGTTCGGGGAGTAGCGGTTGGCTACGAGGACAATGGCAACGGCGCTGTCGTTCTCGATGGGATAGACACCGTATGAGCAATTGCGGTAGTGTTCGCGGGCGTGTGCGCCAAGGGACTTGAGGAGGGATTTGCTGGATTGTCGCGGGTCAGCGCTGAATCCCAGCCATTTGAGATGACAGGATCGAAGATGCACGAAACACTCACATCAAGTCCGCGTTCTGCGACTCGAGAACATATGATTGCGCGGCGGACGCTTCCTACAGTGACGCAAGAAGGTCAGTTGCCTTGACACTCCACAGCGGACGGTGCGGTTCCAACCTGGGTGACATGGTCCACCTCAAACGAGGTCTGGCTTTCCACGTCAAAGTACCGATTTCCCTCCAGCTTGTTGTATTCGGTGATCAGGACCTATGAGCACGCTGTCAGATCGTACTCCAGTCAGGGGTATCACCGGCGCAGCGCACCTCCTGACTAGCACCCGGAAGCTTCACGGTCGCCAGCTGTGTCTCGTTGTAGCGCTCGAAGGCCGGGGCCAGGGAAGGAAGAATGTCCGGTCCGTCGGAGGTCAAAGATTTGACATCTATGCTTGTTCAGTTCTGGGTTGGTTGCCATGGACGGTACGGGTGCGGGGAGACGAGGAGAGGACGGCCGGGATGGGGATAAGGCATGCGGCGGGGGATAGGCGTACCTGCGACAACATCGGCGAGCTAGATCAGGTCAAGGTTAGTTTCAAACAAGTTCACTGCAGCAAATATCTTGTCCACCATCGTGCACTTCGAATTGACGTACCTCTCCGGGCGGGGCACCCTCGATGAAGGAGGATGCAACTTCAACGGTGGAAGCCATGGGTGGCTGGATCGCTAGTGCACAAGGGGTCAAGCTAGATTAAAACAAAACCAGGAATCGAAGGCAGAAAAGAAGCAATATGTTAACGAGGGGGCAAGTGGGATGAAGGCAACTGGCTGATGGATGATGGACAGCTCCCCGATGTCAACACGGAGGTCTAGCGCGATAACCGCCGGAGAGTCGCACGTGGCCACTGAGAGTTGAAGCTGCGGCTGTCGGTATTAGTCGTCACAACATCTGTATCGCTAACAATTTACATTTGCATCGCGATACTTTCGAGTATCGGTCAAAACCAAATTTCAAGTGTATAAATGATATCTATCGGTATTGTGCAATCAGCATAGCCTTGCCCATACAGATCTCATTCATGACCGAATGATCTTGCCTCAAAACCTCAGGCATCCACGGAACGGGGTAATTCCCGACTCCGCTCTTATCGACGGCGATCCGGCGATGACTCGGACTATTTTAGCATCTCGATAAGCCTCTCTTGTCTTCCCCTCATCTGGCTGATTAAACCAGCAGTCAGATTGAACCATCAAAGTTCTTATCCGGTCATCTTAGCCAGACCAATCAGTTCTGTACTACACACTGGATTGCTTGGCCAGTTACAGTACCGCTACGTGCCCCTCACGAAGTTTTGCGGAAGACATCTGTTGGTCTTGGTCTTGCCACAACACGTCGCAACTGGAGTGCAAGTCCTTCTTCCGGGTGAAGACTTGCTCAGGCCGGCCAGCCGATCGGTGGCTTCCTGAGACTTCAAAAACTCGACGATCCGGCCATGTAAAAGATCATCGGTCGGATGCCGCGCAAGAAGGCTGCAGACCGCGTGGGTCCGGTCAAGACCCGAAGCCGTGGCGGCTGTAAAGAATGCCGCGCGAGTCGAGTTCGCTGCGACACGAAAAAGCCGACATGCACCAGGTGCTCGGAGAAGGGGTTGGTCTGTACAACTCAACTAGTTCTCAAATGGGAATCCGAATTCGTGAGCCGTGGCCTTGCCTTTGGCCGAGCCGGCGTCTGGAGTAAGGCTCGGGCTGCTGGTGGGCCTTCCCCAAAGCCGTCGCCCTCGGCCTCCGCATCTATCTTCTTTGACAATCAAGAATGGTGTCCAGTCCCGCTAATTGAATCGTGGGGCTTTGTCAATAGCGGGGTTGCATCCTTTGACCAGCCGTACGAAGTCGACGTTGCATGCGACGAATTGAACGCCCTAGTCGTCCGGGAAAGAGGCTATCATCAATTCCAATCGCATGTCAGCGAAAACAGTCTAGACTCGCCGCTCTCGATGCACATCTTGGAACCCTCTTTTCCTTACCCGGAGCCTACCAGATTGACTCCCTCGTTGTCATTGTTCCCTCCTATGTCTGCGTCTGAGGATCGGTGCCTCTTTGACTACTATCTTCAACAGGTGTGTCCTCGGACCACTGCCAGCTCCAAGCTCTCGTCGCCTTTTGCATCGGTCATTCTACCTTTCTGCCTGTCGGCCTCCCCGCTCATGTTCACCGCGATACAAGCACTCGGGGCATGTCATCGGTCGCGATTCGACTCTGCATACAGTGTCATTGGGCTTCGGCTCAAAGCCCAGGCTCTACGGGGCCTGCGCCATCGCCTTACAGAAGAAGGCCCTCTCATCTGCTCCTCCGATCCTGAGGTGCTAGCTATCATGATGATGCTGTGCCTCTATGAGATCGTAGACAATTGCGATCAACGTTGGACGATCCATTTGAAAGGTGCCAAAGACCTGATTCGCCTTCGCAGACAACAGCGGCCTTCCCTCGCTCGCTCTCGTGATGCTCAAGATCCTGTGTCGGCTTTTGCCGAGCTCTTCTTCGCCTTCCAAGATGTTATGGGGCGCACTGCATGCGGCGTGGAAGTGAGCTTTGGGACAGATTACTGGCAGGAGAATGAACGGAACATCGACCTCTGGATGGGTTGCAGTCCCGAGCTCGTTTCTATCCTCTCTTCTATCACTGAGATGAGTCGGACGAGACGAAGTCTGACCACCAATGCAGCCCGAGCATCATTCTCGCAGCGGGCAGCGTCCTTGGTGCGCAAGCTCGAGAACCTTGTGCAAGAGGTTGACGGTGACGATGACAACAACCTTCAAGCTGCTGCTGAGCTGAAGCGTCTTGCTGCAGTATTATATCTTCACTGCGCACTGTACGGGGCGTCCCCATCCACGCCCTTGGTGGTGAGCTACGTTCGGAGGATCTTACGGCTTGTGTCGGACCTACTGGACTCGGGCTCGTTGGTGAGCATGACGTGGCCTGTGTTCGTGGCTGCAGTTGAACTGGACCCGGTCCAAGATGAGGTGTGGAGAGATAACAGTGGTGAGACGGTGGTCTACGGGCGACCCTTAGTGCTGCGGGCATTGGCGGCGATGGCGGAGTCGAGCGTGTCCAATGTTGCTCGGACCCGGGCGGTCATTGTCAAAGTGTGGCAGGCGCGAGACAGTGACATGCTCAAAGGGTCGCCTGTGGACGTCTCGGACGACATCCAGGGCTGCAATGACTGGGAATGGTATGTTGCACCTATTAGCAATGCGATGAGCTTGGCATGATGGGGATCTATTGCAGCACAACGTTGATATGAATGGGTACGACCTCCGTGGAGTTACATGTAGGATAAGTTGGTCTTTTCTTATTATGGCTCGGTGTTTTCCAGGACTACAGACTACAGACTACAGATAGTTCCAGTGTAAATAATGTGAAAATGTGATTTTATTTGAAGTACAGTATTGGTATGGTCAGACTTGCCGCCCCAATCAGAGCTGGGAATCGAGTAGGCGGGGCAAGCGAGGTGTGATTGGCCGGATTAGGAGGCAGTCCAACGTCAGTCGCGCCGAGCCGAAAGCCGAACGCGCGCAGAGCAAAGACGAAAGACCAAAGAAGAAGAAGAAGACTTGGACCTTCCCACTCACTCACTCACTGCATCTGTCGCCCAATACTTGCTTTAGCGCTTGATCGCATTCTCCTTCAGAAAGTTCCACGCCCACCGAAACCATAGCAGGAAACTATCTCTTCAGCTCGCCTTCTCCCCGCATTGACCTCAAGAGCCCCCTTCCAGCGACAGGCAATCACTCCATCGACCGAGTACGAACGGACCTCACCGTGATTCTTCTCGAAGAATACCCGCCTCCGATCAATTTGGCCGCGACCAGATCGTTTGTCACGATGGTCCCTTCTGTCTGATCATCAATTCAGCTGCAGCATTGACACGTGTTTGAATTGATCTCATTGCCTACTATGTCATCATCGCAAGCCCCTTCCACCTTGTCGCACAGTCTGGCCATCCCATTCGCGAGTCGCCTGAGCGAGCAACTGTCTCAGCGGTCCGAAAACACTAAATCAGCCATCGACTCCGGCAATACGGTCGACAGGAGCAGGTCGCTAGGGCCTCCTCTACGCCCATCACCGGCCGCTCGCTCGCTCTCCGACGCTGCAAAGCCGGTTTCCGCTACACCCCACCTTCCCCCCGATTCCCGACCTCCTAGTAAGGATGATTCTTCACTCTCATCGACTCCCGAGACTCCCCACCGGTCTTTCATGCACAATTTCCCCTTGAATTTCCCCTCCAAAACACCTGGCTCGGGCTCCTTGTCGGCGTCCACCCGCGCCCCGCTTTCTCCCAAGCTCGACTCCTCCCACATCTACGGCTCTCCGGGCTCCGTGCTTCCCCGTCGCTCGCGAGGCCTCGACTTCTCTCGTGCTTGTACCAATCTTCATCACTCTACGCTCGCCGAGGCATCGCCAGACTCGTCACCTACCGTTGGCGGGCGCGGTGTGAATATTCCCCAACGTCGCGGCTCGCTGGGTTCGTCATCCGCTCATCCGTTCTCGACCTCGAACCCGGGCGACCGCACAACGATCTCGAGCTCGGTCTCGAGTATCAACATGATGGAATCCGATACGAGCAGCAGTGAGGAGGATGATGAACCCATGATGGGCGATCGGGATGATATCATGATAACCAACACCCCGCAGGCGAAGAAGTTTGGGGGCGGTGTCAGTCCTTTCGCGGTAGGCAACGTATCGAGTCCGGGAAGTGAATGGATGGGCGGCTATTCGCAGGCGGCGGCCAGCCTCATGAGCTTCCAACGCGCTCGTTTCCGGAAAGGACGTAGCCGACACAGCTCCAGCAGTGGCAGCTCCAAACAGAGTCCCGGACCGCTCTCGCCCCCAGTCATGAAGAGCATCGAGAATCCGAACGGTGGATATTTTGCTGCACGCGGCAGTGTCTCATCGCGTCGCGGAAGTCTCAGCCTGGGAACGCGGGACTTGCGCTTGTCGGATGTCAGTGACGAAGGCGAGCATCGCGCCATGCGGGGGCAGAGTCCCAATACATCAAACTCGGAGGGCGGGCCTCTGGGGGTTATACGTCGTGCTGTCACTCGACGGGGCAGTCTATTGGTAAGTGCATTGTTTTTACATGTGGAGATCCTAGCTGCTAACCGTTCCTCACAGCCCAAGACGAAGACTTTCGCACGCATCCGAGCAGCTCTGATGGAAGAAGGTGCTCCGATCGACAGCGAAGCCAAGCGCGAGGCCGAAGTCATCCGACAAGTCCGCGAAAGCGAGCCCGATGTACCGCCTAAATCACCCTTGGGTGTTCTCTCCTCGCTCGAATCCTTCACGCCATCTTCTACCATCGGACATGCGCACGAGGACTCGGCCGGAACCGGCGGACTCACCGTGACGCCCGACGAGCCCAAATTCAGCGATCAAGCCCATCGTAATTCGGGCGGGATCAACTTCTGGAACTCGTTCGATGAGCGGTACCGCACGCCGCCGCCACCCCCATCCCGACAGCACGGGGCCTCCTCCGTCTCCGAAGACGACCTGACCATGGACTTCACTCCGTCCACCACCACCACGACCACCATGCACCACCATCACCACGAATTTGTCAAACCGAGCGAACGTCCCGGCTCCCGCAGCGAAGCGTCCTCCTCGCACCCCACGCAATCCGGCTTCCTCGGCGAGCAGATCAGGCGCAAACGCCGCCGCGACGACGACTTCGACCCCAACCTCTTCAAACGCCGCGCCGTGTCCCCCAGCATGAGCGCGCAGAGCAGCCCCATCATGCCGAACTCGCCGGCCGTGAAGGACACCAGCCCCAACATCTGGGGCGCCCCGCGCTCGAACCTGGGATCACTGTTCGGCGACCGCCCCAGTGTCGGCGAGAACGGGGGCCGTCCGTCGACGAGTGGTCATTCGGGGAATCCGAAACGCGTAGGCTTGCAGGGGATGAATGAGACGAATGACGGGCTCATGAATATGAGTATAGAGTGATACATACCTACTTGTTTCAGACATCACTCTCCGGGAGGGCACGTTGATGTTAAGCGTTGCAACCATTTGACCATTCTTTAGCGGGTGCTGATTATCGATATTTTTGGGATATATTTGCCAGGGGCGTTGACGGCTTGCTTTGACTTTTGGGGCTTTTGCACGAGGGTGTTTCGCTTGTCATCATTTATAGCAAATAGTTACCGTCCGGTTGCATTATTGCACTACCTTTAATATTACCACACATAAGCTTATCACATTGCAAGGAACGTATACCAAGTGTAGAAAACCGATACGCAATCCAGCCCAGCTAGCAGCATACCCTAAGCCCCTCCCCAGTTCTAACCACGAACCTCAACATCAAACCCATCCAGGGAAAAAAAAATGAAAAAAAAAATCACGCCCAACTCCTAGGCCCAAACGTCTCATTCGCCCGCAACTCCAACCACGGCGTGCCCCGACTATCGACCGTCCCGCTATTCACATTATTCCCCCACCAGCTAAACGTGAAACCCGGCAGCGTCAAGGCGAAGAAGATGACGATGGCGGAGACGGCGACGCCCGAGTCTAATGCCGCGGAGAGCACGTAGTTGTATTTGGCCCACCAGTGCGGACGGCGGGTTTTGATTAGCTATTGAGGTGGATTCTTGTTTAGTGGGGGTTGCATGGTGGATTTAGGGAGTGGCGCACCTTGTTGAAGATGAGACTTACGGCGAAGGCGGTGGTGTAGTTGATTCCTGTCTTTATAGAGAGTTAGGTAGGATCTGATTCTGTGGGGAATGGATGGGAGGATGGTTGATGGATGGAAAGGGAAACGTACAGCGGGAGCGAGGTTGCCGGTGCCGGCGAAGAAGATGGGCCAGTGGAAACCTGGAATTGGGGAAGCGTTTGCGGGCGAGGAAGGTGAGGATCGGGAGGAGGGCGGCCGAGCCAGAAGAAGTGCAGGAGGCCTGAGTACATCTGGCCTAGGTTGTAGAGGCGGGCGGGGCCGATTGCTTTTTTGCATTGTTAGTTTGGTTTGGTTGCTGGATGTGGATGTGTTTGTGGGTGCGTGGAACGGGCTAGTCGGGACTCACCTCCCCAGAAGACGGCGCTGTTGTAGTTGACTCGGCCCTGTGGGCAGGTGAAGTTGTCGGGTTGGTCTTCCGAGCAGACGTCTTTGACGTGGCCGAGCATCCACAGGAGAACGCCGTCTGCGGTTTGGCTTGTTAGTGGAGTTGAGCTGAGGAAGGGTGAGGAGGTGCTCACGTTGGGTCAGCGTGCCCAGGATACAGGCTACCAGTTGCACGACGAAGAGGGTACGGCCGGGGATATTCATGTATAATCCGAGCTGCGCCATCGTATTTATTAGTGGAGGTTTCGTTGAAATGCGGGAGCGGCATACCTTCATGTCTGCTGCGTAGTACATTGCTTGACTCAGGCCTGTATATGCGTGAAACTGATTTCGTCAGCATGGTGCCGGGAGTGTTGAATGGGTTACGGACCTTGAAAACAAGCAGGACAAGGGGCTTCCCCTTGAGAAGGTATTCAGATACGATCTCACCCAACACAGTCAAGCAGTTGCTGTTCAGGTTTGCGACAGCATACACTGTTCCGACGAGGGTCACGTAGATGATGGCCAGAGCCAACGTGATGAAGAGGCCCCAGAAAGGTAGACCCGTATGCCAGACGTATTGAGTCATGATGGCAAGACCCCGATGGCAACCTAGGCACATGAGTCGATATACACCAAGACATGAACATCAGGTACGTACTGTGAGCACCGCATACCACCACCACGGGACATCGGGATACCGGGACAGTAATCTGGCGTGAACATCCTTCTTGCTCTGGCCTTTGAACGTGCTGACAATATCCTTGGTATGGTATAGCAGGACATGCGTGATCAGGCAGCTCAAAACCGCAAAGCCCACTCCATAACTGAGAGAGAAGGTGACCGGCAGGAAGATAGGACTGTAGGCTTTGTACTTACCCTCAACGATTGTCCCGGTCTTGTCTAGGATGCGACTCGAGTTGTAGAGATTGCCGGTGTTGTCGTAGGCATCAGAGCTCATTAGAGGGGAGGTAGGCGGTATACCAGGCGTTTGTGTAGTAGAGAATGGGTGCTGCAATAGCATACACGAAAAACCAGCCCGCGAAAACATTGACTTGTGCCCAGAATGGGATCACCAGCGGCGAGGTATAGTATGCGATCTGGCTCTAGTCAAACGTGGTCGGTAGATACCCGAGACCGGTTGTCATCCCAAACAGATTGTTCAATACTTTTTTATCGGAATTATTGTTAGCAAGTTGAGCTTTTTGCGAGGAGGAAAGGCAGCATACTAGGAGCCGCCCAGCAAAAAATGCGAAAGTGCTCAGCCCGGTGAAGATATAACCAGGAAACCAATACCAGCAGAAACTCCCGATGCAGGCATACATAAAGAATCGGTATCGAGAAATCTTCCAGCTGTTAGCTAGAGGATTCGCTCCACTATGCAAGGTCTGGAAAAGCGCTGCATTGGCAAGCGTTGAGGGCCAGATCTACAGATCAGTATTAGCGCCAGTATATGAGACTATGTCCAATCATACATATCATTTGCGGTGGCTCGACTATGTAGCGGTAGGTAAGACCAGCAAGACCCAGTCCGAACAGTTGCATGGTCAAGGACAGCAGAATTTGATAGCCAACTGGGGTCGACATATTGAGGTACACTTTTTGTGCTTGAATAATTGCACTGGCCTGACAATGGAGTTAGTATGCGTCGCCCATCCAGTACATCCCGGCCCAAATGAAGGAGAAGCCATACCCAAGATTGGTTTAAACTCAGGTTCGACATGGTTGTGATCACAGCATGTTCTTTGATATTGAAATGGTGATCAGGATTGATATCCAATTCCCAGCGACCGATTTTGTACTTCATGATAGGCAGCGCCTTCGCGAAGGCACAGCCCACTGGATAGGTGATAAGCTGCGCAACGAGCGAGGTGATTGTTACGCTGGGATAGCGCATGGAGAAAAACTGGTTCACCCCAGTGCCAATCTCTGGTGATCATGAGTATGCAAAGCAATGGTATAGCGACAGTACATACAAGAGTGAAAACAACGCCGAGGAACCGCATTCGAAAGGTATTGATGGGCAACGTGGGGTCATCTGTGTTTGGCACGTTCGCCCGTACTTCGAGATATGGGGAGTTGTCGGAGTCGATTGTGTATTCGACCGTGCTGCTCTCGCCAATAGCAATCTCCAAGGCATCCGCGCTGTTCAACGGCTTCTTGGACATGCCATCATCAGATGGAACTAAACCAGCGGCATAGATCTCAACATCTGCACTATGCAGTGTCTCTGACTGAGGTTGTGTCATGGAGCACGTGTGCCTAGAAAGGCTTGATACTGTGATCGCCTGGAAGAATATTCGAGTACAAGAATTGGACGAAGGTCATTGAACAGTAAGAATCAGATTTTATGGCAGTCTTTTGCCCACTTTTGTAGTCAACGGTACAGGACACCGTCTCTCGAGAGATATGCCGATGGAATCCATATCGAACATGAAGATAAAATTCTAACAGAGGTCACAGAGTAGCCGCGATTGTAGCAGATTAGAGGCTTATCCTTATAGAAAAGGGCGGTCGATCTCAATGCGATGCACCATAATGCGGAGTAGAAAACGGGGTAGGCAGGAAAGAGTCGCCATTGGGCCTAGAAGAAATGCTAAAGCCATGCCACGGACTAACAGCGAGGAAACGAAGAGTAGGTAAGGTCCAAGCGAACGAATGGCGGCAAACCGCAACGATAAACTCCGGGAAATCTTGCAGGGGTGGTTAGTATTAATATCAAGGCCAGTGGCGGCCCGGCTTGTATGATAGCAGAGCTAGAATAGGCCAAAACATTTTTTATCTCGTGCAATTGACACTATGGCTTCAAGCACTCAATTAGCCTTGTCGCTGGGTGCATTCTTGCTCGTTCGTACTCCGGGCGAAGCCATTCCCTTTTCGGTGGGCCGAGGTCGGCGATGAGTTCGGCCCCGCCCGCCGGAGCTGCAGCGCTGGACAAGATTCATCCTAATGGAAGCTTTATCGTATCATATCGCTGCACTGTCCATGCGGGGAACCTTGGGTCCATTTCCTGTCTTGGAGATTTGGAGGCGTGTCCGCCGTTATCGATAAGCATCGCGTGGACCTTCCTGGCCATCGATGTATCAGAAGAGCCAAGCATCTCATGCTCAAGTAGCTGGCGTCTGGTGTCTCTATAAGAGTCAGCTTCAAAGCTAGTGAGGGTAGACGGTTTGCTCCCATCCAATTCATCTTTAATTGCAGAGGTGACCACTTCGGAGGTGAATTGTTGTTGGTACAAGCCTCTACACATCCCCCGTTCTGTTTGACTCAGCCGTCCCATTCCCCAACTTGCCACATCCAACCTCACGATGGTCACGAAAAACTCGTCGATTCTGATCGTCGGAGCCGGCACCTGGGGGTGTTCAACTGCCCTTCACCTTGCTCGCAGAGGGTACACCAACGTCACGGTCCTTGACCCCTACCCCGTGCCGTCTGCCATCTCGGCCGGAAATGATGTGAACAAAGTCATTTCCTCCGGCCAATACAGCAACAGAAAAGATGAAATCGAGGTGAACGAGATCTTAGGAGAGCAGGCCTTCCAAGGATGGCTGAACGACCCCCTCTTCAAGCCATACTACCACGACACAGGCCTGCTCATGTCGGCTTGCACGTCAGCGGGACTAGACCGTCTTGGTATCCGGGTTCGGCCCGACTCAGGCTCAAACCTAGTCGAAGTGAACAAACCAGAGGATTTCCGTGCCCTTGCGCCAGCAGTCCTCAAGGGCGGATTTCCGGGCTGGAAGGGATTCTTCCTCCGGTCGGGTGCCGGCTGGGCCCATGCCCGCAATGCTCTCGTGGCTGCTGCGAGGGAAGCACAGAGGCTTGGTGTGAGATTCGTCACGGGGACGCCGGCGGGCAAGGTCATTACACTGATTTTCGAGAACAACGACGTCAAGGGCGCCGTCACCGCGGACGGCAAGATCTGGCGCGCCGATCAAACTATCCTCTGTGCGGGCGCAAATGCCGGGCAGTTCTTGGACTTCAAAGATCAATTGCGTCCCACTGCGTGGACGATCGTCCACATCGCTCTGACGCCTGAGGAGCGCCCCCTCTACAAGAACATGCCCGTTATCTTCAACATCGAGAAAGGGTTCTTCTTCGAGCCAGACGAGGAGAGGGGCGAGATCAAGATCTGCGATGAACATCCCGGCTACACTAACATGGTCAAATCCCCGGAGGGCAAGTTACAGAGCCTGCCCTTCGAGATGACACAAGTGCCTCTTGAATCCGAGAAGCGAGTGCGGGCGCTCCTCGCCGAGACCGTCCCTCAACTCGCAAATCGTCCATTCAGCTTTGCGCGAATCTGCTGGTGTGCTGATACTGCCAATCGCGAATTCATCATCGATCGTCACCCACAGCACAAATCTCTGGTTCTGGGCTGCGGAGCTTCTGGCAGAGGTAGGTCTCCGAAACTTCAATGTCTCGACATTGCGACAGGTGCTGACATGTCTCCATTAGGTTACAAATATCTGCCATCAATCGGCAACCTGATCGTTGATGCTATGGAGGGTAAGGTTCCTCCGAATATTCACGACCTAATCAGGTGGAGTCCAGAGATTGCCTCCAACAGAAATTGGAGTGACACTCTGGGAAGATTCGGAGGGCCCAACAAAGTCATGGACTTTCATGATGTCAAGGAATGGACCCATGTGAAATACAGAGATATTTCCAAGTTGTAGCCATATGAGTCAGAAAAAAGACAAATCCAAGAGGTATAATTTCAAAATTTGTTATCCGTACATGCGATGCGCAAAATCAGGAGTAGATACCATAAGCGATTAGCGAATATATGAAACACCAAATACCTCTCCTACATGGCTCTAGGGTATCACAGGAAATTTGAGAACTAAATGTGGAAAGGTATACCTACCGACCACCAGACGTTGTGGTTTCACCAAGTGCGTAGGATTCCTGTCTAGCAGCCCATTGGCGCGAAGTCGACCCACGACCGAAGATTTGTTGTTCTTCATCATCGGCGAGTTTCGTGAAGCCGTCAGAGCCTGAGATCTCATCCCTTCCGTAAGGCTCGTCGCATGTTACTGACCGCAAAGGTGGAAAGTAGCGGCGATACGAGAACCTGGCTACCAAGAAACCAAGAATGGAACCGCACGTAACATCATAGACATCATGACGGTAGTCATCCAAGCGAGAGATCGCAATCATTAAAGCGCATAACAGGGGCACAAATGCGACGAGGCAGCGAAATAGGTCGGTTCTGGGTCGGAAAATGTGCATTTGGCCGCACAAGAATCTAGATAGAAAGAAAGCGGTATTCAGCAGCTGCGCCGTGCATAGAGATAACGAGGAGAACTCAAACTCACAGTGTTAAATAGCCCAAACCAGCGAAAGAGAAACTGCTGTGTCCGCTAGGAAAGCTTCTCCATCCTTCTTGCAGGATATGTTCACTTGACTGCGTGCACACAGTCCATGCGACCAATGAGTCTGCCGGTGTTCCCTTCCTGGGAAGACAACGTGAGATCAAATCCGGCCGCGGTCTACCAACGGAGTTCTTTATGATATCGGTGATAAGCGAGGTCAACATCACGGCGATCAAAAAGCCCAGCAAGGTCACTTGAACTTTATGAGGGGACGGTCGGAACGTCGCAGCCCAGACAAGAAGAATCAGGAACGGGATGACTCCAGCATATACAATCGACCAAACTATGAGCTAGTGGTAAGCACACGGGCGAAACTGTCGCTTGGGCTTCGGAAGGTCTCACCAACGGGGACTCTCTCGACGACGGCGAAGGGAAATTGTATTGCTTTGTTGTCTAAGTGGAACATGCGGTGGAAGGGGGTCACGAATAATTGTATCTATCCATTCCCAAGAGGGTTAGAGTCAATAATTGTCAGCGAAGCGAGGTCTGGGCTTACCAATATCCAGAATCCAACGATACACGCCAGCGCGAAAGTGTCAAGCACGGGGTACGATCGCTGATAAAGACGAGACATTGTGCCGGTCACTTCGCTCGGGTGCGCAAGAGGGGATGCTGATCCAGCAGCAAATCCATTGCGAGGCATATCCAAAGCACTCAAGGAAGAATGAAGATCATGCGAGACCGACAAAAAGTCCGCGTCAGGGAGAATGGTGCAATGGAGATGACGGAGGATGATCAGCAAGCGGAGGAGTAAAGCCAGCGGCAGCGCTGGCCGCCTGCTGAGCACAGACCACCTCCGCCCGGTCTCCGCATTCCGCCGCCGCCTCAATCCAACTTGACTTTCCGCTTCATCGCTGCATCTGATCCCAGAATCGATCGCCTGAACAAGCGCCATCGTTGACAACAGCCCAGGCAGTCAGATACTTCACAGTTACGATGGCTGACGCAGGGCAACAACGGGCGCTTACAACTGCCTTCGCTCCCCCACCACCGTTATGGAAACACTTCACCCCCGAGAACATCAAGAGACTGGAACAGATCAAGAAAGAGGCCTCCAAAGGCGAAGATGGCAAGCCCAAGAAGAAGAAATGGACACCAGCCGAACTCCGCGAACTGGATCTACCTCCTGAGCTGCGGTTTCTCGTACCACCAGCAATTCCGACCTCCGGACATTACAGTGTCTTCGGGGAGCTTCAAAGCGTCAGTCCTCAAACGTCGAAGCTCATCTGGCCTTACTGCTCATCCTTGTCTAGTTGTCGACAGCTCTTCCATCTCTCCAAGACCAGGGAATCACACAGCTCTACCCCTCCACCCCGAGTGCCGAAGACGATCGCCAATCTCCATCCGAACCAACGCGACCGTTAAACCACGCATACTATCTCCTCAAGATCAGCAAGTCCCTACTTCTGAACTTTCTGGAGTTTGTCGGCATCCTTTCTATTGCCCCGGAACAATTCGAGGCTAAGGTGGAGGATCTGCGCAATCTGTTCATTAACGCCCACCATCTTCTGAACCTTTACCGGCCACACCAGGCTCGCGAGTCGTTAATCATGATGATGGAAGAACAACTTGGTCGAACGAAAAAGGAGATCGAGGAGATGGACAAGCTCAAGGCAGAAATTACGGGCGTTTTGGAGAGGCTAGAGGCCGACGGCAACGCTGCGCAAGCCTCGGCGCAAGCCGACAAGGATAGCAAACAGAATTCAGCTACGGATGCGCAGGCCATCGAGGACGCAAAGCTGATCTGGGATCTTCTGGACGAGAAGACCAATGGCTGAGCATGACTACCAACAGACTGCTTCCAGCATTCTACGACCCGCAGCTTGACAATTCCGAGCCAGATGGTGTGACCGTACTACAGATGGCAGTACGCGCTTATCCGCTTCAAAGAAGAATGAACTTGGGATATCGGTACTATTCACAATTACTGGCCAAGCTATATCAAGTCCGCGACAAGGAATTCCCATCGACCACTGGGCAGACGAGACCTGCACAACGCGCTGCGCGGTATCCCCACATCGAATCACGGGCCGTCATTCTTCCATGGGATCACGTGCCACACTAATCTCTCCCGCGCCTTTAAATTCCCACTCATTTTTCCTTCCGCAGTTCATCTTCACCGATCACTTGGTCAAGGCTTCATGATGGCCCTACCTCCACAACACTCAGCATATTAGCGACTTGCAGTTACTGTACTAATGGTGAGTCCTACAATCGGAACCTCCAGCACCCTCATTCTACAATGATGATTTGCGTCTATTTATGTTTCAACCCCATCTGAGAGTACTCAGTACTTTTTGATTACAATTCACGCATCTTTCATTCGCATTCTTCTGAAACAAGCCCTTAAAGCTTGTCCATTTCATCTCAGCCATGATTGTTCTTCCAGAACTATTTGAACCGCATTGCTGACTTGCTCAGTTCTAGGATCCCTCTTCTAGCCTATGAAGATAGCTCCAATGAAAATATCCTGTTCATCTCAAACCCTCTCCGCCTGTAGACCGTAGTCCACTTCATTATGTGCGAGAATGCTCAGTGTGCTTTTGCCCTTCCAATAGTAGCTATTCCTCAACCCTGAGATCAGGCTATCTCTCCGAACCCGCTTTAAACATATAATCAACCCGATCGATAACTCCCGCAAATCAACGCCTCACGCCACAACCTTCTCTTTTGAAGACAAAAAAGTTCCGGCGGAAAAGGACTACGAAGCAGAGCGCTCGCTCCATGCTTTCTCAATCGCGCAGCTAGCCAGTCTATAAAGCTCGGTGACGAAATCGGCGACCATCTTGATGTGCACGATCTCGTTAACGGACGAGGGCTGGCGCAGGAAGATGCGCTCCATCATGCTCATGGCCGTCTTGAGTAGGCCCAGGTCCTTGGTGGCCTGCGGGTCGGTGGGGTTCTGGAGGATGTTGCAGAAGATGGCGAGGAGGGCGGACATGGGGTAGAAGATGAGGGTCCTGGTTTTATTGTCAGCAAAGAATCCGAGGTGTGGTGGGACGAATATCCTTGTCGGAGGGGGCACTAACCAGAAGATACCCGTTACCAGAACGTGTTCGGACGCCTGGAGATACAAAAGGGTGGAGCGGCTGGCCTCGACGGAGAGGGCGAGGCTGGAGTTGACGCCGTCCATGATCTTGTACTGGTCCTTGGTCCAGGACTGGCAGCGGCTGCTGGCCTGGTGGATGATGGTCATGCACAGGTGGTAGTTGAGGCGGAGCATGACCTTGTGCATGTTGGCGTTGGGGTCGGGGGTCTCCTGCGAGAAGGAGAGGGTGGGACGCCAGTGGTGCGGGATGGAGAGCCGCCAGCGCTCGAGGTCGTCGTCCAGCTCGCGGATCTCCTTCAGCAGCTCCGCGTCCGTCTTCTTGAGCGCCCGGAACGAGTACAGCGCGCTGTAGGCCCGCGACTTGATGATGCTGAGCCGGATGTCCACCGGGTACAGCGGGTCGCTATGCGCGTTGTGCATCGCGTGGCAGCCGTCCAGGCTGTCCATTCCGTGCGCGAACAGCGTATCGGCGTAGTTTGGTGGGAGCGTCAGGTCGCAGTTCTCGTCGGAGAAGGTCTGCGGCTGGCCCGTGCGGAGCGAGACGTCCTTCTCGAGCGTGTAGCACAGCCAGAAGATGCTTCGGATTTGCTGCTGCGTGCGCACGCTCGTTTCATCCGGTAGAGACGCGAGATATTCGGGCGAATAGCAGAATGCCGTGTGGCCGCCGAGTACGAATATCATACGAGCGGCGAGTGAACCGTAATAGTTCGCTGATTGCAGATTGCCGGTCACGAGCTCGTACATTGCCTGCGTAGAGTTAGTCAGCTCTTATCAAACCGGTGAGCAGTGATGTTACAATATCGGTCGGAGACTTTTCAGCAAAGACACACCCCGGCAATAGAACTTAATGATGCTGACGTCCGGAGTAAAAAACTTATCACAAAAAGACGTAGCTTACCAGCATAGCAATCACTTGTAACCCTTCCAAGGAACTTGTCTCTTGCAAGATCTGTGGCACAAAATGCTGTGCCTTGACAATATAAGCCTCGCCATCAACTTGGGCCAAGCCTCGATGTGCTTGCTCATAATGAGGAGGTGGTATGAGATTCGCAAAGGCGACAAAAGCAAAGATAGAAGCTCGAATACTTGCACTCGCGCATAAGGGCCGGGCTTGCGACTGCTCATATGCTTCTCTGATTGTCTCCCGGTACAATACCGGGTCCAAAACTGGGAATATGGCTCTCATCAGCGATGAACAGAACATATTGAAGTAAGCCTCGACAATTCGCCGTTCGGGCAGCTCGAATGTGTTCCCCGGTTTAGAGTGCATCATCATAGCATCGTGGTTGAACGCTCTTTGTCTTTCCCATGGGGTTCGTGCAGAGCTCACGAGCCTGCTGAATGAAACGTTCTGGCCGGTTCTCGATTGAACCCATTGTCTTCCTTCGGGCAGCAATAAGGGGATACCTGTGAACAGGTTAAACACTCCAAGCTCACGGCCTGCAAAATGAAGCGCCACCGACGACGAGCCCGAACTCTGATAGTGGGATGTAAGAGGGATTTCGGGCAGTTCTGGAGCACTAGGTGTTGGACGCAAATCGTCGTGTGCTTGTGTTTGGTCAACAGCTGCTTGATATCAGTTGATGATTCAGCTAAGAGGCTCGATTCATGATACGAACCCGGGGGTTCTTCCATCAACTTTCCGGTCAGAAACTTTTCTATCCGCTCAATTCGCTCGGCTAGATCGGACGACTCGCGTAGGCTGGCGGTTCTAGGCCGGTTATTATATTGGCGAGGAATGAGAACGGGTCCTTGTGAAGGTGATGCTCGTACCCCCTTGCGTCTTTGGTGATCTTCCGCTTCCTCACGGTCACCCTTTCGAAGGTGCACGCAAGGTCATGATGACTACACCAGTTACATTTAGGCTGCGCACCATCGCATTTGATCTACAGGATGTCAGAGACTAAAGGCGAAATAAGTACATACAGGCGGCGAGGCAGACCTTTCTTTTGAAGCACGAGTCACAGGCCCTCGCAATACGTCTCCTAGGCCTCCGGGTATCCTCGTCCGACTTCTCAGCCGAAGCTGGCGAGGGATACATTTAAATAGAAGGATAGATGCTTTCAAATACCTTACCTATAGGTTGTAGCGATCTATATAGGCAGAAAGAGAAGTTACACAGCACAGAGAAGAACGGATGAAGAAACCGAGCCTTCCGACAGGATGCCGCTGACAAATCTTTGTAAGGCAGTGCAGCGCCATAGGTGCTTTGTCAGCGGAAGAAGAATCGACATTCAGCTGTTGATTTCCGCGAGGCAGCAGATTGAATATAGAAGCATTATACAAGCATTATACAGGCATTTCATGTCAAGGCTTATCTATTCCACAACTATATACTACCAGTATCTTAAACAAATACAATACACAGTGCTGTCTCTACAGCTCACGACGTACACCAGCATACAATCCTGTCTCCGATTGACCAGTACCACGAGGTATCTCTTACTCACAAGGCTCCAGTCACTAATTGTCGGCAAAAAGACTGCCGCTCATGTACTTGAAGCCGGTATCACAAGCGAGCGTGACAACAGTCTTTCCCGGTCCCAGCTCCTTGGCCAAAGCTATAGCAGCGACAACATTCAACCCGGTCGAAGTTCCAACCAGCAAGCCCTCCTCCTTCGCGAGGCGTCGACACATCGCACGAGCCTCTTCTTCCGGAATACCGCGTGCCTCATCATAGAGCTCCCGGTTCAGATGAGCGGGCATGTATCCGAGACCGACGCCATCGACCTGGTGGGTGCCAGCGCGACCTTGCGTGATGACGGGCGAGGAAGCGGGCTCCAGCACGACGACGCGCGTCCGAGGCCATTGAGCCTTCAGGACTTTAGAGACAGCCATCACCATACCAGCTCCTCCCACGGCGCCACAGAACGCGTCGATCCCGTCCGGGAACTGCTGTAGTAACTCCCGACCAATCCCTTCATAGCCGATGAGAGCGTCGTTGTTGGTAGCCTGGTTCGCGTAGAAGTAGTTATCGCTGGAGTCGACAATTTCCTGTGCGCGCCGCATCATTGACGGGATGAGGTCCGGCGTGATCTGGCCCGACGGGCTGTGAATGAGCTCGACCTCTGCACCCAGCGCACGCATCGTCCGAACCTTCTCCATGGCGAAGGCATCGGAGGAGACCACGAGGAACTTGTAGCCTTTGAGTGCGCAAATGAAGGCCAGAGCGGACCCGGTGCTTCCTCCTGTTGCTTCCACCACGGTCATCCCGGGCCTGAGGTCTCCGCGCTTTTCGGCCTCCTCGATCATCGATCGCGCCATTCGGTCCTTGTGCGAGCCTGTAGGGTTGCCAATTTCGATTTTCAGGAAGACGTCGGCGTGGCCTTCGGGGACGACATTGCGGAGGCGGACCACCGGCGTGTTGCCGATTAGGTCGAGACTGGAGGTCACAGGTGCAGTTGTGGCGGTCATGGCGCTTGGTTTTGTAGTCAAAAGAAAGATTGGTGCCTTCTGGAGGTCAAAACCATGGCATCCGAAGGAATGCGCTTGTACATATAGCCCAGGTGACTCATGCCGAGGTATATCCGAAGTTGCTCCACTTACTGATACTGCGACCCATATTGCTAGCTATACGAGCCGAGTTCTCGAAGGGGGGTACTATGCCCCACCTGATAGATGCTTCATGTAGCTGTCACCATATACGGGGTTTGGTACACCTGCTTCCTGGCATGAGACTACCTCTCCGCACACTAAATCCTCGTGTTAGCGGAGTCGGACCTGATAATTTTGTGCAGAATTGTGACATGTCTGTATGAATAACCTCAGCCACAATCAAATTCTCAAAGAGGAAAGGTTCCCGTAGATTATCCTATCTAGGCTTATGCTTAAACCAAACAATTTTCCCACTTTCCGAAATGATGCCTTCCTTGCACACTGACATATTCCAGCTACATCTACTAACCATGGGTCACCCACTAAGCCACGCCTTCAACATACCTCGCATAGCCTCAGAAGACGTGAGCTCCTCGGAGGGCCGGCCATCATCCTCGCGACCAAGCGTGTAACGCAAGATAGCACCAATCTGAGCCGCGTTTTCGGCCAAAACACGAATACACTCACACTCCCGACGCTCCCCGCCATCATCATCCCCGATCCTGACACGGTCCCAGAACTCAATCCAGAACGCCTCCCAGAGTCGCGGCCGGCAGGTGTAGTCGTGCCAGCCACTTAAGCTCATGCATCCGGTCATCAAAAACAGACAGTCTAGTTCAATGCCGAATGGTTGATCGCATTGTCTCCGTCCCCGCTTCCAGCCCCAGATATCGAGTCGTACACGCTTGACTGTTTAGACGAATGAGTTTAGGGCCACTAAGAACGAAAGACTTTCAATTCGATTAAGACACTATTTCCCGCCATGTAGATCCTAGCTGGCTGCAAGCACGATTAAATGTACAGTACAACACTTCGGAAAAGAGTGCGGAGGCGCGGGGCCGTGCAAGACGGAGGCATGCCAAAACAGAATTGGACAAATAAGCTCAAAATACATGTACAACAAGCACGTCGGAGACACTTTTAAGCCTCTTGCCAGATCGAAAGTCGAGATCTTGCTGTTATCATGATTACACCCAGAAACTTAGTAACCCTTCAACCCTTCAATCTGTATGGGAAAGATGTTGAATTCTGCATGGCAGACTCACTGTCGACTATCCGACTTCGCTGGGCGTGGACTTGGACTTGTAGGTGGACCTGGGGATGGAGAGCTCGGTGCTGGGGTCTTCTGTCGCCTAGAAGCTCTAGGACTTGCCGAAGAGCCTGAGGAAGTCATGTCCATGCTAGAGGATTCAACGGGTTCTCCGTTGATATGTTTCGGTGGACTGCCTGGTTCTTTTCTGGGCGACCTCTTACCAGTTCTTGGTCTGGAAGGCTTGGTTGGGGTACCGGGGCTTTCGTCGGTTGGTCTTTCATTGGAACTGTTATCGTTGCCAGGTGTTGAAGGAGGCGGAGATGTCCTTGGTACCAAAGTTTCAACAACCTCGGGACCGTGCACCAGAGCTGCGATAGCAAGAAAGTAGAGTAGAATTGAAGAGACGACAAGGTCGAAGGTATTTTTAGGGGTCAGAAACAATGCATGGACGAAAGCTTGCGATCGACCTTCGGACAATGTAACGGAGATCCAAATGCAATGGAAAATGATGGGGATCAAGAGTCTGAGGCAGATCGTACTCAGAAAACAGTAAGCACTCTTTGAAAGAGAATCTCTAATCTTGATCAAGGGCGAATGGAATTCTTGGATGCATTGGTGCATGTATTCTTTGCGTTCGGCATAAGTTGGATTGACCCATGCCTTCCATCCTTCTCGGAGACATTCCGGACAAGCTGTTCGACGCTGGTCTTGTGCAAGTTCGTCGTTTTCACCGCAGCTTTGGCATATGAAGTATTGCAGAAATCGAGCTTCGAACAGTCTCAGACGACGGAGCCAGAAAGGTTTCAGTTGCGCATCTCGGGTGAAAGGGTTTTCCCGTTTCAACCAGGTACACCAGAATTTGAGAAACTCCACTGCGACGTCTTGTTCGATTGTGAAGTACTCCGTGTGTACTGTACCACATCTGCATTTATGACGCCAGGTTTTGTCTCGTATTTCGGTTCTCACCAATGCCTCCACACGCATATATTCCCGCGTCTCCGCAGTATGGCTAATCGTCCATGTCGGTCGGCACTTCAGATGGTTCTGTCCTCGGCTTCGAACGTGTCTTGTGGATCCAATCTTCACTTCTGTGTCTTTTTTCTTAGGATCAGAGAATATATACACCTTACCCTTGTTGTATTTGTATTTTCTATTGAAGATCTTGGCCATAGATTCGACTTCTTGCTTGAGACTGCGAGGCTTGTTTGAAGTCAAATCATCTTCAAACTCCTCTTCCTCCGAATCGAGCTCCACCTGTGCGGATATGATGGCATCTCCGTCTTGAGTAGTGACCAAAGGCGAGTCAGTCACGGGAGGATAGTCTTTCGAAGACGCCCCGAGAAGAGTAGCAACCGATAAAATCCAATGTAGCATTGTTGAGACTGGGGCCTCGAATAGCTGCTGACAGTGATTCCAACCGAACGATGGCCATTTCATCGCTTAAATAGATTCTTCCCTCATATTCAGCCGTACTATACTATTTTGCCCTGGTCGTGAGGGGTAAAAGCAAATGTAGCGTGTGAGGCTGTATCCTTGTCAGTAAATAGCTTCCCTAAATAACTCGAATCATGATAGGAACCAATACCCTGGCAAATGCGAGACTAGTAAGAGGTGGTGGTTTCTGAGCTGGTAAGTAAGTGGTCTGCTGCAGTAGTGGAGACGTTAGCCCAACTAGCTTACCATTAGCTCCGCATCGCTCACCAAACCCATCCTCTAAGCGCTTATCTGTGGCTTGACTTATGAGGCGCATGCCAGGGCTATGTATAAACCTTGCGGACCAGCGACCAGCAGTCAATGACAGTGGTTCTTTCTTCTCGGGCGTCATTCCAGGCTTCAGCATTTTGCTGGGATAGCAGACCTGAACGACCTGGCATAGGATTGCGTAATAGTAGTGTTGGCTTTGGTCACCCAGTATGCTGCTCAAGGGAATTGATGGCGCCATTGCAAAGAGCAGACACTCTCCGATCTGACGAGTTTTTCAAGCAATAAAATTGAACAGTGTGCTCGTTTCCATAGGGGTCATTTCGCGCAGCCGGCCTAGGTGTCGAAAACTCGGAGCTGATACAAATCGGGAAATTACCTGCCATCGGGCTGGCGGTGCAAGGCTCGACAACAGGGCACTAAAGACATGGTATCTCACGACGAAGCTAGATAGACGATCAGGCTTGAAAATATTCGAGGAGCTGACCTTCCTTCTTCGCAGTGTCGACCTTGTTAGTGAACATGGACACCGCTAGCCATCACTTATATTACACGGGATAATGAGCGAGCAAAACGTCAGTAACATAGGAACGCTTTTAATTGAATTCAATATAGATATGGCTAGGTCAGACAGCAGATGAAAGGATATCAAGAGCGAAAAAGAGTGCACAACATGTCGTCACACATCAATCAAACAGCGGTTCACGCCCACCCCTGCACTGATTGGAAGGAGGAAAGACTAGCATGAATCGTAGTGTGGTAGGATAAAAAGGTCCTCGCAGTCGAGATAGACATCGGGGGAAGGACCGTGGTGCGATAATAGACCGGTTGCGATGTCGTTGAGAGGCTTAGACACTAGGTCTATTTATCTTTGTTAGTGTATACCCAGGATAGGATCCTTGCAGGGGGAGCCCACTTACCACATTACGGTGCAGATGCAGCAGTCGCACTCCTCATCACCACAGTCACATCCAAAACAAGGCTTGGATACCGTCTTGATGGGTTTCCTGATCGATGAGCCCGAGCTGGAGGAGGGGAGGGTGAAGTTGACGGGAGAGAAGGAACCGACGCTCATTGTGAAAGATTTTGAGAGGATGACTGGAAAGTAGGGGTATTAAGGTATTGATTTGAGCTCTGGTTGACTTGAGAAATTGAATAAGGTAGGTGGACTAGCTTGAAGTAGCTGGCGAAGACGGGGGATCAGGCACCGGGGAGGGCGAATAAGCGAATAAGTATGGAAGGAATCTCCGTCAGGCCCAGCCATCAACGTCATCGCCGATCCTCAGCCGTCATCCCGTGCGCCAAGCCTCCTTCTCTTCTGGAACAACAACAATCAACAACAATGATTACAATCACCTCACAAACATTCATGCAGCTCATGTTTCGGAATTTATACTAGTCTCTTCCATTCTCCCGCCAACAACCTATCCTGAAACTGTGTCCCTTGTATAATGCTACTTAAAGCTTCGACTGAAAGACCGAGCCACTCCCATCTGCCTTCCCAGTGAAGGCCTGGGCAACACTGACGAAATCATCCCACTTGGCGGCAGGCAGCATCGGAGCTGTACAGTACGGCTCAATGCCTAGACCGTCGAGGTGTCTATTGAGTTGTGACATGACAGCATCGCATGCTGTGCTCTCCATCTCATACTGGGCAGCTCTGCTCAGCCCCAATCGCTCCACGTACCAGCTGGAGTCACTCCTCACCGCCTCGGCCTCATACATGGCCAACAAATCACGGTCGACTCCCCGCTTGGGAGCAAGCTCGAAGGCCATTCGTTGTCCGATTGCCAAAATCATCGGGCGGCATTGAGGCAAGATGTATTTGTTATAACCGGCACTCCTATGGCCTTCAAAGGTCTTGAGAAGCTCCTGCAATCCTGCATTGATACCTCCCTCATGCTCCGCCAGCAACGACGGGGGGTTTTCTGCTTTGGGCACTCGAGAAGGCCCAAGGAGGATTTCAGTGGCATGGCCTATTGATGGGTCAGAAGTGTGCATCTTTAGCCGATGGGAAGACCAGCGGTTGGACTCACGGATGCAGAGGACCAGGAGCTCCCCTTCTGCAGTGCTCGTACATCGCACCAGAGACTAACCTGCGTCAATTTGACCGCTTACGCAATGGCGCGCATGAGATGGCTTACCTCTTCATTCGATATCTGGTTCTCAGGAAACATCCCCTGCGCACCAGTCCTCTCTAGGAGAGCGCCGAGGCTCTCTTGGGCATTGGCTATGAACGTGGCTTTCAGCACGACACTCAGCGCATGCCTGGACATGATGCTCAGAGAAGAATTGTTTTGTTGGGATGCAGCCCACTCCACAAATGGCTCCATCACGGCGATTTTGGCGAGGGCACGTGCGATCGGTAGTTGCTGATTCCTGAAAGTCAGGAATGGAACTCTTTCCCCATGAACCCCCTCCTGGACTGTACGCTGTTGACTATACTTTCCCGCGATAAACGCAGCAGTCTTCAGGAAAGGGATAATCCATAGGCTCAGCGCTAGAGCTCCGATCCTGAGCCGGCCAATGACCGCCAAGAACGCAAGACGCAGGTCATCTGGCTTTGCGAGGTCCCCGGGCATGGCACTTGCTTCTAGCCGAACGTTGTCGAAGGTTGTGAGACTATGGTCAAACATGTCTCCGCACCCGATTGCCGAAAGCAGCCTAGAGAAGTTAGACGACGACAAAAACAATAAGCGCATCCATAGCACTTGCTCTGACTTAACACCTTGGCACATCCGGTAGCCATCATTGATAGGAACCACAAACGGTCGGATTCCTCGATCTTCTCCCTCGACGAGTAGGCGTGCCATGACAAGCGCAACTCGTGGGGTCCCCGCTATGGGCATGGACGGTGGCATGAACCTTGCTTCTTAGTACCTGAGTCATCCCTCGATGCACATCATGACTCACTTGGCCGCATTTCCGTTCGGTGTATTCAAGGTGAATTTGCCGTCTGGCTGCCACGAAGCAGTGGTCTCTAAATTTCTTGCATCGCATCCATGGCCAACCTCATTCAGCAGGAACGCCCCCCTGCGATCCAAATACATAAGCAGAAGTCTAACGCAGTTATGGTGGATGACATACAGAGTATCGAAATTGAGATACTGTTTAATGAGAGACTCAAGATCTCGTCTCTGCCCACATACGAGGCCACGGTACCCACAACCAGGTTATATTGGATGGTAATGTTGATATGGGCCACCGGATCCCGGATGATGATACCGTCCATGTGAGCACGCTGAAACTTTGGCGTGACGTTGACAACGTCGTACAGGGTTATTCCTAGACTATGTCGACTGGAAAACTAACCTCTGGGTTTGACTGACCCCAATGTCTGGCAATAGCTCTGGCTCGACGAAAGAGAGCCCCAGACGCTCCCTTCGCGAGGCATTGTCATACGGAAATGTAAAAGCTCGGTTGATAGAAGATCAATGGTAGATACTGGCGGCATGATCGGGTTCTCTCTTTCTTCGGCTCTGAGATAAGCCGACTCGGCCCAGACTATTGAGAGATGTCGCCCATTATTTGTACCCAAGTCTGCGAATCTGGGCCTAAGGTTATCGTACACGAGCCGTACTCAATCTCCTGCCCCGCGAACTCTATTCAACACTGGATGCTCTGCCAAAAGTGGCAACATACATCAGACGACCGACTGGTCTTGGTTTAGGTTTCCAGGAACCAGGCCATACAGCCACGCAATCAGCAAACTTCTTGCTAACTGAGACTAAGGTATATGCTACCTTGATCGACGGTGCTCGACCTAGGATCTAGACAATATGAAATCGGACCTGGAATGGTAATCAGGCTCAAGGGATGTTCTGCCTTGTTCCATTATGTCCACTTCAAAATACAGTTCAACCTCAACCTGCTTGACTATCCGGCCGAAGGGTCTTTCTTCGGTTACATGGTCTGGTTCGCCCATGAGCGCATTTCTGGAACCTGCCGGAAACATGCACTTGGTGCCATGGTCGCATGCTCTCACGAGGGCTGGGCTTGCTATAATTATGCGTCAGAGCGCTCGAGGTACTGCAATATTCACACCGCATGGTGGCACGCAATGAAAATCAGGAACTGCCGTACACCAAGCTTAGGAGGAGGGGACATTACAGGCATTACTATACCATCGGACATATATCATAGCAGCTATCGTGAGAGATCGCCATCGATTGAGCTTGAAATTAGCCCCCCAAGGCCAGATGCGAGGAGGGCCTTTACCTGAAGACATGAGTGTCTTTCATCATAACACTGCGACTGACAAGCTTCAAACCGCTGAGGTCAGGATACTCCCAAGTATAAGCCATCTTAACCCCGAAAGTCAGCCCCCTCTTCCTACACAAGCAGTTGAATCCAAGGCCAACAGACCTTGACCGGAGCGACAAAATACCCACCCAACTGACCACCTATAAGCATCAAATCACCATGCTAACCAGTAAATGCAAGATACACCCTGATCCGCCGTTCTTCTACCTCATCTTCATTCGAACCGCGCTTATAACACAAGCCAGCTACCTACCTACCTACCCTATCCACCACCCATCCCCTTCAGAACAAATCACACCCGTAGTCTTCTCCCCTTTCTCGAGAGCTCCCCCTGGCATCTGCAGAGCTCACACCCGAGACATCTTGTCCCATTGGATCGCTCTCATTCACCCCCTATACTCTTTGTTCTACGTCCAGCAACTGCGCCAAAAGAAGCATATAACCCCAGCCAAGAATCCCGACCGGATCGATCGACAGTACAGTACATACATGCATACGCTAGCGGCAGGGCCACGCCCGGTAGATAGGCGGGTTGTTGAATCCGGCCCGGGTTAGCCGACCCGCACTTGAAAGGGGTTCAACCCCGACGTAGGTCTAACTCCCTCCCTGTGTCCTCAGCTGGTGTCCTCAGCTCGACGACAAGAATAACTTCCAGGGTAAATACATCCTCCCGTGGGAGATCGACGTTTCTTCCGTGAGTCGGCATTCCAATTGTTGATATACAGCGGGGAGCCACGATTCGGCCCTAAATCCCACGTGCAACGCTATTGTCCTCCCATGTACGGTACATATAGTAGGAAGACATATATCCGAGGGTACGAGGTGACTCCCACGAATCCAGAAGACAATAACGGTCACGGTCAATTAGCTTTCTGGGGCGAAACAATAACGTCAGTTCTCTAATCAGCCCGAGGACCGGAAGTTGATTTAGTTTAAAAACACGCGATCATCCTGGGGTCTACTGTCAACACTAAAGCAGGCAACTGTAGGCGACCGGCGCAAAGAAATCCAGGAATGCGGCTGGCTCGCATCTTCGTTATTTATGTGACGTCTACTACCTTCTAGGCAAGTGATCAAGGATCTTTGCGACACCTCCCCTTCACATGTTTCTTTTATCGAAGTAAGCGTTCAAGACTACCAAGCATCCTCAGCTAAGGAACAACTCCAATAACAAAGCATGGAGATGTCAACCACATCAACCCTTCAGCCAAGCTAAAATGCGCACAATGTTTACGACTGCACAAGCTAAAATTCAAGGAAACTGAATTAAATAAAGGTAAGATGTAAAAAAAATAAATTCAGTATTTACACTGCCGACTTTTGTGTCCAAGTCATGAATCGTCATATCCAATCGATCAGGTCTATCTTAGCAAAAATTGCATTCGTACAGAGCCGGATGGCGTCTCCGGGCCCTGGGGTATCTTCTAGCATCATCCATCATGTAGTCCCTCTTTGTTTGCATCAAGAGAAACCCAGTCTATCCATTAAAGTAAAAGGTTCTTTTTGGTTCATCAAATTGTATCGTCACGCTCACCTCGACCAGCATTTACAGCTGCTCGACCCAAGGGGCGGAGCCAGGCTGCATCTGGTTGAGCCACTTGACGAGTTCGATGAGCTCAGCACGGCGCTCGTCCTCGAGCTGGTCGGGATCCGAGAGCACGGCCTGGAAGATGGGGAGGAACTGGGGAGTCAGCTCGCGGACGGTAGGGTCTTCCCACTTGTCTGTGATGGGGTTAGCGATAGTCGTGATATGATAGTGCACTGAGATAGTACTTACACATCTGGCAGATCATGCGGTACAGAGGGTCGTTCTCCTCGTAGTCATTCTTGAGGGGAAGGATGGAAACGAGAACGGGGAGGACGTCCTTGATGGGAACGCTCTCGCGGTGCTTGAGGATCATGCGGGACAAACATCCGGTGGCGTTGTCCTGGAGACGGGAAGCGTTCATGTGGAGGCACTGTTCGAGACGGGACAGGATGGTGGGGATCTCCTTGGCAATCTGGTCATTGGCGTTGGAGTGCTCGATGAGACGGCCAACGGCGTAGGCGGCGTTGGAGCGGGTCTGGGGGTCCTCATCGCCGAGGCGGTGGACGAGCAGCTTCAGGAAGGCAGGAGTGAACGGAGTCACGGCGGCACCCATGCCGTTGATGCACTCGGCGAGGACACCGACAGCAGTGGCACGCTCGAGAGCCTCGGAGCTACCAGCATAGCGGATGATGATCTTCTCGAAGACCTTCCAGAGCTCGGCAAAGGTCTCACCCAGAGCAGCAGCCAAACCAGAGACGACGTCGAGACCAGTGTCAACAACGACCCAGTCGAACTCGGAAGTCTCCTCACCAGCCTCAAGGGTCTCCTCCTCGGGGCCGAACTCAAGCTGGCAAGGGTGCTTCTTGGTGATGATATCAGTGATCATCGTGATGACGTTGTGCAGAGTGGTCTCGTTGGCGATGAGAGCGGGACCGCAGTAGCGGAGGTTCTCAGCCATGTTGCGGTTGATGTCGGCGACAGTAGCCCTAGTATTCACTGGTTAGAAACTGTAGCAGCCAGAGAATGAAGTGATAAATGCAGTGAGAGAAACAAGATATCAGAAGGTTGTGAGTATATCGTGGTTAACAGCATGCACAACTTTTGTGTGTCTGAGTGAGCTGGGTAAACGAGGTGTTCATCATATAAGATGACCCGCAACTGCGGGTGCAACAGTGGTTTGTAACATAATAAACATAAAAAGCAGATATACGTACCGGTCATCTTCTTCAGTCCACATCTTGATGGTGCAAGTCATCAGGATCTCGCCAAACTTCTGCACCTCACGAGCGGGCTCGACCTGGAGGGGAAGACCAGGCTTCCACTTCTCCATCTGGCCGCTCTCCTCAGCAATGCAGTACAGCATAGCGTAGGAGCGGTGAAGAGTGCTGATGGTACTCTTACGGACACCCTCGTAAGGGTGCTCAGCGAGAGGCAGAACCATCTCGATGGTCTTCTCGAAGAAGGGGAGGTAAGCGGCCTTGGTGTGGGTGACGAGGTCACCGATGACCTCGACGGCGATTTCCTTCTCCAAAGAGAGAGGAGTGGTGGCAGTGATGTCATCCCAAGCATCCTCGTCCTCGTCAACATCAACGTCCTCGATCTCGCCATCCTCACCAACAGGCTCATCGTCGTCATCGGCGCTAGCGACACGGACCTTGCGGCCACCAATGGTCACCTCCTGGCCGACGAGATCCTTGGCAGCCTCGCCGAGAGAAACGTCAAGATCAGTCTCGTCCTGCTCGATGCAGGCGAACAGACCCTTGACAACGCCATCAAGGAAGGGAGAGAAGTGCTCGGCGTAGACCTTGGACATGGCACCCCAGAAAATGTAGGTGCTTTCCTTGAGACGAGAGTGACCAAGGTGGAGAGCCTCCTCGGTAGCACGCATGAGGGGCTCAACGTAGGGCTGGTAGCGCTCGGGACCAGCAGCAGCGGCCATCTCGCCCATGGCGTCGGTCACACTGGCGCGGAGGTCGAGCTCCTCCTCGCTGTCCTTGACGGTGGCATACTCCTGGAGGAGGTGCATGGACTCGTCGAAGAAAGACAGGAAGGAATCGCCAGCGGAGGAGGCCAAAGAGCCAAGAGCGCCGGCAGCGAGACCCTTGATTCTGAAGTCGGGGTGCTTGAAGAGCTTGTGAAGGATAGGGACCAACTCAGCCTGGTAAGGAGCAACGTCCTTCTCATCAAGACCATCGACGACGGCGTCAATGGCGCTGATACCAGCCTTCATGATGTCAATGGTAGGACCATCCTCCTCACCCTTGTACTCCTGCATGGCACTGGCAAGGTTCTTGAACAGCAGGGGCATGAGTCTCTCGTGCTCCTGGCTCAGGTCCTCCGCCAGATCATCCGCAAGGCGGGCAACGGCGTGGAGAGTAGCCTGGCGAACCTTGGGTTCGGGGTCAGCCAGAAGCTGGAGGACCATGGGGAAGATTTCCTTCATCTGAGTGCTGATGAAGTCGGGGGCACCCTCAACGACCATGCCGAGAGCCATGATACCGGCACGACGGTAGTCGGGGTTGCTGTTGTTGAAGTACTGGCCAAGCGACTGGAGCAGAGGCACGACGACCTGGCTGGGGGGCAGGCTCTGGGCGAGCATATCCAACAGACCAAGGGCGGAGCGAGCAGGGGTGATGTCGTCATCCAACGCAGAAGCGTCACCGAGCTCAGTGACGATCTGAAGGGCGCTGCGGGTGAGCTGCTCACCGATGCGCATGCCCTGGACCTTGAGCTTGCGGTACTGGATGCACTGCATCAGGAAGCTGATGGCCTGAGTACGGGTATCCTCATCAGCCTCAGTGTTGGAGGCGATCTCGTTCATGAAGACAACCAGGTCCTTCAGGTGAACAGTCATGAGAGCGGGGTCACAGCCGAGCAGGGTCTGGAAGACCTCGAACGCCTGCATAACCTCATCATCCTGCTCCTTGTCGATAGCATCCTTGAGGACGGCGACCATAGAGGGCAGCAGGTTCTGGAAAGCGCGGACAGGGCCCATGTTCTCCTCAGAATCCAGGTACATCGCCAGCTTGCTCAGGGCCATGAGGGTGTTGATACGGACCTCCGAGCTCTCGGGGTCACTGATGGTCTTGCTGAAGAGGTTGAACAGGTCCTCGAATTTCTCCTCGAACGCGTCACCCAGAGTCTCCAAGATGGTCAACAGGATGTAAACACCGACGGCACGCTCTTCCTTGTTGCCGCTGCTGGCAGCCTGCAGCAGGAAGTTGGGCAGCTCAGCCCACTCGCCATCGTTCAAGTCGATCTTGGCGATGGCAGAGATGACGCGAGCAACGGAATGGCGGACCAGCGACGAGGCCTCGCCAAGAGCCGAGCGCAGCAGCTGCTCACGGATCTGGGGCTTCTGGTTGGCCTGGACGGCAACCCAGTGCTTGACGACCAAAGAACGCGACTCAACGGCGGCCAACTGTCTCAAGTTGGCATCCTCGTGGCTGGTCGCGATCTGGATCAGGAAGACAAGGGATTCAGGCTGCTTGTAGAACTCGCGCTGAAGAATGCCGGTAGCCTCCTTAACGTTGCCCTGAGCGGCTACAGAAAACGGTTTTAGTCTTCTGATTCAAGAACACAGGCATGATATGATGGGGAAGTACTCACGGTTCAGGACAATCTGAAGTTGTTGCAAGAATCGTTGCTGATCCATGATGTGTGTAATAAACTCGTCTGATGATTATGCAAACGGGTTGAGGAATCCCACGGAGGGGTAAAAAGCAGAACCTTCTTTTCAGAGAGGAACTGACAACAATCGAATGAGAGCCGGCTTCACAAGCTGGACAACTCGTAGGGTATCACAAAAACCACGATGGTACAAAAAGGAAAGAGAGACACACAAAAGGAGAGGAGGAGAGGAGGGGGAGGATGGAAGAAGAAGAAGAGAGGAGGAAGAGGAGAGTGAGTGAAGAAGAGAAGAGAAGAAAAAAAAAAGGGAGGATGGAGGGGAAGGAGAAAAAAAAAATAGGCAATAAATGGGCGGAGAGCGAGGAAAAAATTTAATGGGTGGGTTGGAGGAAAGCGGCGCGCATTTAACCCTTTCCGGGTTAGCGGTCTGTCACGGTCGGTTTGACTGCAGCCGTTGTGTAACGAAGTGGCAGAGGAAAGGATGTTCTGGTATGGTAATGATGAGAATGAGTACCGCTACTTCTTTGGGTGGCTGCCCGACTCCACACAATTTGGTTTCACCACAACAACTCAGTATAACTACCTACTTGATACCTAGTAGTTGATAACCTAATGCTTCGATCGATCAACTACTCAATGCGTCGATCAATGCATCTACGGATGAGTGAGTGCATGCATGCATTGACAGCAAACGGTCCAGCTGTAGGCTGATAAGATCGATCGGCTTTTCCAATCCCATACTACTATTTCACCTACTGTTTCTGTCCTTATTCATCTTGAATGTCTAACATACTCTCAGGTTGTAGATTTCATCTTAGTAAATCAGGCACATAGAATAGCAATTTCCAATAGTCAATCATATATAAACAAAATAACAGAGAATCTATAAAAACATTGTATTTAAATCTAAGTCTGGTAATAGGCTGCATCTCAACATGCGAATAGGCAGAATATAGGGCGGTGTGTAGTCCAGGGAGTGAAGGAACCTGGGAAATCTGTATTTCAAATGTCTAAATTTTGCAGAGTAGCTGTTACTAACTGTTGTAGCAAGAGTTGCTGCAAGAAACACAGTGCATTATACTAAAAACCCGGACGCCAGTAATGAGACACCGATGATAATGATAACTCCTAGCCCGCACGTTGCTTGGTGTAGAAATAACTCAAATAAACAACTCAAATATTAAGGAAATATCCCAGGTCGCCGCTCGTGATATGAGCTGTAGTAGATCATCTTATCTGGTCCATAGGATTTCATGAATCAACCGGTTCCAGCTCGCTACCGAGAATGTCAAAAGTCCCGCGCTTCATCTAGTATTCATCAGAGTCGTACTCGTCATCAACGAGCAGAGAACGGTAGCCTCGCGCAGCCAGATTCTCCTCCAGACCGCCGTCCGCTCCAGGGTCAGCATAGCCTAGCAACAATGTCAGCAATGAACCTCCGATCGATCAAAGTGAAAATAGCTTACCCTCTCCACCAAAGTAACTCAGGGCCACCGGCAAGAACACAAGAGCATGCGTGGCGGCGAAAATAACCAGCGCCAACCAGACCCGGAAATAGTAGATCTCGAAGATTTTGCTGCGGGTGAATGCCAGAACACAAACACCGAGGAGCTTAGTCACCGTGATTCCGCTGAAAACACTGCCGCCCACATTGACCAAGGCTGTCCAGGCCCGCGCATCTTTACCTCGGAACTTGGTCGGGACCTTTTCTAGGATAGTCCGCGAGGGGAACATAAAGGCACGAGCGATATGAGCACAGAACTCGACCGCGATGCCGACACATATGATCAGATTCACCAAGGAGACGGCGTTGAGTGAGACGCCAGCGACCGCCATCGCCCCGATGATGTCAATCATGATCATGACCACAGTCGTCGTAACTACTGCTCCAGTAGCGATGGACCCGAGTAAGGCGGAGGTGAGGACGAAGATGATGGCGATTGCACAGCCAAGCAAGGTACCGGTCAGCTGTACGATGGAGACGTATTGATCGAAGTAAATATAGGTCTTTGCATATGGGAAAATGTCGATACCATGTTCCTTGGAGAGACCGTCAGCAATGCGACGGGCCGAGATGTAAGACTTGATAAAGTCGTCTTGACTCCGGAGAGGGGTGTGCGTGGTTCTGAAATGAGTCGCGTTGGTCATGATTCGTTTCGGATCGAGAACGAGCGCATTGCTGTACGGGGCTTTGCCTCCAAGAGGGCACGAAGCGTCCGTTGGGGCTTCAATCCATTTCTGAGCATAGTGCATGAACTCCTGCCCTGTTGGCATGCCATACAAAGAGATGTTCCACCCAGGGGTTCTGTCCTCGAAACAAACTTCACCATTCTCTTTACAGCAGTCATCTTGAGGGTTCAGCCAGTAGAAGAAGTCGTCAAGCCAGCTTGCCGTAGATCCAGAGATGTAGGAAACATTCGGACGCCTGGACTCCTGTTCTAGGACGAAGGGCAAAGAGAATTCTTCGCAAGTCGTGAATCGCCCACACAATTGTTGTTGATGATGACGCTCAGTGACGTTCACGTTCCTTGTCACAAAGTACACCGGTGGTCCGCTTCCGAAGTAGGCGTCGAGATCATTGAAGTATTGCACGAGGTAGGAGTCACTGGGGAGAGCGATACGCTGGTCCAAGCCCAGAGCGACCTCGGGGATCAAAGCTATGCCGGCAGTTAGAAGACCGAGGAATGTGATAACGACGAAAACTTTGACTTTGCGCTCAAGCAGGAAAGTCGCATAAACCTTGCGGATAAAGGACTGCAAGAAGCTCTCTCCATCGTGCTCGTCCAATACCTGATCCTCAGACATTCCGGAATAGGCCTTGCGGACGGTCAAGCACGGAAGGCAATCAGCACGTAGACCTTCGACGCGTCTTTGGTTTAGAGCGAGAACCGAGATGAACATGGTGATCTGCAAGATAGCGTTGATGAAGACGGCCCCTGCCGCATACACGGCAAAGTTCTTGACAGCCGGCATTCCGACAAAGACGCCCATGACGAAGGCGATCGTCTCAGTAAGAGCAGAGAGAAAGATACTGGGACCGATGCGGCCCACTGCGCGAGCAATTCGCTCGTCAATCTCCTCATCCGGATGGCTAACGTTGATTCTCTCAAATTCGTGAACGATCAAGAAGATGTTGTCCACGCCCACAGCCAAAACCAGGAATGGGATGACCTCGGCAATGATCAATGTCACCTTGATACCTGCCGCAGAGAACAGTCCAACCGAAGCAGAAACTGACATCAAGACGATGATGATACCCACAATGCCAAGGGTGAATTTCGATTGCACCAAAGCGTTCGCCGGGGTCGTGAACAGTGACTTCCAGGTCACCGTGACCGAGCCCAGAGCCAGAGACGCGTAAAGGAACATGATGATGTAGCTGATGACCACAATCTTCGCATCCGTGTTACTGGATTTGTTCAACTCTTGCTCGACACTAATTTCGGTGTTGAAAGAAACACGAAGACCACGGTCTTGGGCCTCTTCTTGTACCACCCCAAGAATATGCTGGATGGTCTTTTCCCAATCGATGGCGTTCGCCTCTTTCTCAGTCCCTTGCGGGTAATTATTCACGACCCATGTAGTGATCAGCGCCTGTGCGTCGAGAACATTGCCGGTGCTCTCATATCCACCAAGGATCATTTCCGGTCTCAAAGGCTGCCCAAAGGCGGGCAGACAGCTCACATCTCCCGGGGACTCGGTACAATGTTGGAGCCGCTCTTGCCACGTTTCGGGATCCAGATTTGACAGCGAGCCTTCAAAATAACCAGTTAAAGACTGAACCACACAAGCACCGCCAGTCGGCTTGAAGCAGACGTCGTCCAGGAAAAGCCCTCGTTCTTGTGACAATGTTCGGTAAACCCGAGACTCAACACCAAACCACCAGCTAAGCGTATCGTAGCTTAGCACAGGTCCAGTATCGTTGACCAAGAATGCTTGCTCCGCACGATAGAAGGGTCCGAAGTGCTCATCGAAATAGGCTTTCTCCTGCGCGGCAGCTGAGGTCGGGCTCACCCAAAGGCGAACCGGATCCGTCTCGACGGCAAATCGCAGCCATCCCAAGCTCAAAACCCCAACCATTACAATACTTGTGACGATAGTGATAGCCGGAAATCGAGCGCAGGCACCACCTATCCGGTTGAACATGCGGTCCAGGGCAGAGTTGAGCTTGTAGACGCCGTTGGGCTGTTCGATATAACCACCCGCACGGACGATGTCACCTTCGTCCTCATCGTCGCTGGGAGCAGGATCCTGCAGAAGTCTGGCCCGCTCGGGTTTCCGATAGCGCCGCTCGTGGTACGTGAAATAGCTCGATGCGGCGACGACGGCCAACAGAAAGACTGAGTATATAAGAATGACCGCGAAGGACAAGCACGGTAGCAGGCCGACATGGCAGTATCGGTCTGCCTTGACGGCAGGCAACTCTGGACAAACATCCGGACAATCAACACAGGAGCAGCGGAAGGCTTCGTCGGGGTCATTGCATGCTTTGGGCTTGATCGGCAAGGCTTCCATCCCTTGTGGGTCCGGGCCCGCAGGTTCCGTCTTGAAGTTGATTTGGAAGGGGCTTCCCAGAAGCTTCTTGTCTCCCAAAAACTTCATGAAATGGGGGTAGTCCTTGGCACCTCCTCCGATGAAGTCGATAGCCTTGCCGCCCGAGGCACCGTTCTTCACGTTCTTGCAGCTATCGTAGAAGCCACTCTGATACTCCTCCGACCAGACGTTGTCTATCTCTGTGACCAATTTCTTGCCGGAGCCATTCTGATCGATCTGTGTCACGTTGACGAAGAGCGACTGGTCTGGGGAGCAGGTAAAGGTGCAGAAGATGTTGAAGAAGTTCTCCTTGCAGGCGGGACAAGAGGCGATGATACCTTCGGCGAGTTTCAGGTTCTTTGAGAGCGCATCGATCTTGAATCCGAGTCCGGAGCAGTTAGGACAGATGCTTGTATCCGTGGACACAACGGGGTGGCATGACTCACTTGTTCATCCTCACAGCACACGGGCCCATCCTGCCACTTGCTACCACAGAGGTCGACCAACTTCCTCCTCACCGCTGCTTCGGGCTGTTTGGCGCGCCCATTGTCGGGACATGGAAGCTCTCCGCCAAAGAATGATTTCTTACCGCAGTGTCCGCGAAGGGCGCAGCGGCCGGGCTCGTGAATATCCGTAAAGCCCGAGCTGTCCTGGGCCTGAGTCTGGGGTAGAAGAGCGCCAAGACTCACGAGGATGGGGATCAGGCGGTATCCCCGCATTGCTCCTGAGGGGAAACAAGTTGAAGCCGGTCAGATAATGGGGAGGGAAGAGAGGGATGACATGAGATGATGACTGATCGAATTGATGAAAAGGATGATGAGAAGTCGAGAGGATGAGGAGGCGAGGGTGAGTTGTAAATCAGATGAGGGAGAAAACAAGGCGAAGGAAGAGAGCAAGCAAGCAAGCAAGCAGGCAGGCAAGCAGGGGAGCTCGGGTGGAATGACGACCAGCCGCGGTCCGTACGTAAGCGGCGCTGGTTGGTTACTCGGATGATCCTGGCTGCCTTAGCTGTCGGGCGCTAACGTCAGGCACCCAGCAATCAGGCACTCAGGCACTCAGGCACCAGTGAAACATAATCTTGAGATGCTCTCCTTCGCAATTCATAAATGGCCTTGAACTCGAATTCTCGCTTCAACTGAACGCGACTGATGATTCCATATACTATATACTTAGTCAGGCATTTGGTCCGGGGCTTTCACACAGCATGGTCAAGATACCAGGGATTAGAGAGTTAACCTTGACGCACTACAGTGAATAGCATCGCATCATCACAACGTCGTCATGCAGCGCGACAGAGAAAACGTTTCCTGCTCCTGATAGTCGTCTACTCACCTCTAGTACCTCAACTACAGCACTCCACTCAACAGAAACATCCGCAAAGCTGCATAATCAACATGCCATTCTGGTCCAGGTTCAAGACGGTTTTCAAGCCTGATTTCGAGGAGCAAAAATGCAAACGCAAATATAATTCCGCAAGAGAAAAATATCGGCCATCAGGCCATATGACAGCTGGATTCTCGAACTGGCTAGAAAGCTACAACAGAGACGCACCACTGGGTATCCTCCTCCTCCAGCGCCTGCATCGTCTGCAACTGCTCAGGCAGCCTGACCCAGCCAAGCTCCGGCAGCAGTCTGGAGTGGACGACAAGATCACGTTCGCGAAGGTAACTGGGGATATACCGCCACCATTGTACAGCGAGCCAAACCAGGCATTCGCCAACCTTGAAGCAGAGATGTCCCAGCTCCGCAGCGCTTATTGGCAGCATCAGCTTCGCATGCAGGATCTATACGCCCAGAGTTCACAGGTAAAAGACAGCAGCTACAATGATATCAAGCTGTTTCTGCTAGGTCACGAGTACAAGAACCACGACGGCTATTCATACGCGTTCGTGGATTCTGCGCAACAGTGCGCGAATGCAGGCGGTTGCTGCGGACGGTCCTGTAGGTGCTGTTGGAAGGCTTTATATGCCAACGAAGAGAAGGAGGATAAACCGAGCCCCGTCTATGGTCATTGCACTGTGGAGTGCGCTTGTTGTATTCAGGAACGAGGTTGTTATATGCCTGACCTGCGCCTGCCTGCCACGGAAATCCAGCCTTCGTTTGGATGATTCGTGGTCTACGTTTACGAACGCTCTGTGTTATTCCATGAGCCTTTTGTCTTACTATTAGGACTATGGATTGCTTCTCTGTGCGCTGTTATACTTGCTGTTCTTATAGAATGCTGGACCTTGGTTAAGGGATCGTGCGATGTCTGTGATATTCTTCAGGACCTGGTCTAGTGATCTATCTATCAATCAACTCTACCTTTATCGCTGGAATTATCTCTTATTGTATTGCGCGAGTAGCCTACAGAGAACATTTCTAAGAAGTCATTGGCACAACTACACTAGATATTACACTAACTACAACCCAGGTGCATCACAATATGACTCCATACCTGAAGCTTGCAATACGAACACCGGGAACATACAGTTTATCTCAGCCCACATTGAAGAAGACATGTCGCATCACCGAATCCCGCATGCTTCACAGCATCGCATCGTGCACCGCACAAGATTTTCAATCCAAGTTGAGGATTCCCTCCGCAACCACTACGGCATGACCCGCGAGCTTCACCTCCAACAGCCGACGCCTCTCCTCATCCAAACAGATCTCAACAACAATCCGACTATATCTTCCCATCTCAACACCCTGGTCAAGCTTGAATCGATGGATTCGACTTCCATGAGCATGGGATAGCGCGAGATGGGCACCTAGCGAGCACGCTCCACTACCACAGGCGGGATCTTCGAGGTTGATCGCAATCATGCGCACACGCAGGGTCCAGACTGCAACACGACTCTGTCTTTCCATACCAATTAAGCGATAGTACATCGTCCCCGTAAAGGATGGCGCCCATTCCTCGTCCAGATCGAGGTTCGCGTTTGGCCCCGGCGCAAGTCCCGACAAGATGTTATATTTCGGTGAACTCCACAAGAGCAGACATGACTCCTCTTGCCATGGACACGAAAGGATTTCCGTCTGGCAGATCATCTAGACTTAGGGCCGCAGCTGCTTGTATCGAGGACTGGACAGTCATCATGAGCTCGGGAAACACCATAGAAAGTCCGCCTGAAGGCCTTTGCTGTACGTACCTGCATAGCTTACGCCTCCAAGCATTGAGACAACGCGCCTTCACTCAGTAGCGATTTAACAAAGGTTGTAATAGCGCGCACTGCGATCCTGGCGATTTTAACCCCGTCGCCAGCATCCGGGTCGAAGGAGCACACGGTCAGCGACTTCGGCGTAGCCAAGCGAGGAACCATCTCCATGCAGGAGATCAAGTCGGACTCGAACAAGCCGCCAGGCGATGGGTAATCATTGACTTTCCCATATGAATCGTCCAGGACGTCGAGGTCCAAATGAACCAAAGCAGGATTGTACGACCTCCGCTCCAGTTCGGTCTTGAGCTCCGCCGCGAAGTCGACATGCTTCTCGGTGTCGCCCCAGATAGTATGCATGCCAGCGTCGATGACACGTTGCCTCTGCACACTTGACTGGTCCCGCAGGCCACAGTACAGGAAGCGGCTGAGATCGAACGGCTCGAATCCAGGCACCGATCTCATCAGCGTCTTCCAGCTTTCGCCGCGCAGCATGGACAAGCCCATGGCATCGAGGTATCCGTTCTCGTTGACGTCCGGGGAGTCCAGATCATCGTGGGCGTCGAAGTAGATAAACGCCAGGTCTTGGGTCTGCAGCCTGAGCCCGCAGGCTACCGCTGCACTGGCCATGCAGTTCCCGGACAGGATCAAAGGGAAGCTTTTCTTCGCGACCGCTTCGCTGACGGCTTTAGAGATGCGCCGCATGACCTCGAAACTGCGCCCGATTTCGCCTTCATAGTCGTCCACTGGCTCAATCTCCACAAATTCGATGGAGACACCCAAGCTCTGTAGGTCTTGCACGAGGCCGGTGGACCGGATGCGATGGGGACCGTTGCCGACCCGATGGTCGCGTAAACCGACGTGATACGGTGAAAAGATGATACGAATAGCCTTGAAAGAGTCCATAGTCATGGTTCGCGGCGTCTTTTGGTATAAGCAATGAGAGATCGTGTTGGGTAGTCCAAGATTTACTTTCTGGTGGATGATTACAAATGCACTTTCTAGGTCAATCAAACAGTAGTAAATTGCATCAGTGATAGGGCTTAGTCATTCTCCGATGTCGACCGAGGCGCAGGATAGATAGATGATACAGTACCAGCCGTAGCACTCAGATAAAGACGAAGGTAACTTCATTAATGTAGAAAGCATAGCATGATGAAATGGTGAGGGATATGTATTGAGTGGCTTGAAGTGATAACTAATGGCACATACAGCCATCCATCTCTGTACAGCCATACACTAGCGTACTTCCCGATAGACGTCGATTTCAGTAGCTGTCATATCTGACTTTTGTTTTTCAGAAAGACAACAGCTCGGAGACAAGTTGACCACAGGCTGTGGAGAGAGGTTATATCGCCATCAATGAGCACAACCCTCAGCTCCTACAAGATGGCCGCGGAAAACGAATGCGCAGGGAACCTATCAGAATCCGAGCCGAGCCCTTCACCAGATGCGGGCGAAAATGGATAGGGAAAGCGGCCGCGGGGACCGAAGTTTTCGCGCATAGCGAGTGCAATTGACGCGGTAGGCGCAAATCAATATTTGTCGCATGGACTTTGAGTTGGCTACTGAAGAGCAAGAGTAACCGGGACGGTGGGACTTTATAGAAGCAACCCTGCTGAACCGCGGTTCCCACCGATAAGCTCCCCGCGGGACGCTCGAGAAGTATTACCGCATCCAGTAAAGGAATCCAGCCCTGATAAATAAGAACGATAACCTTCTCAGCCATGTTCAAACCCTACCCTTCATTTTTTCTCCCTCAATTCGCACATGCCCCTCAACCAACACAAAAATGATCACAAAGAAACCCATTCACATCGCCATTCTCGACACCGACGTGCCCGTCCCAACCATCTACGCCACGCGAGGGTTATACAGCTCGCAATTCCGACACCTCTTGCAATCCGCCGCCGCCGCCGCCGACGACGAACACAACGAGTATGAGATCCACACGACAGCTTTCGACGTAGTGGGCGGGCAACTCCCGGCGTACTCAAGCCTGTACCATGCCGCAACACCATCAACAGCTCCCTCGCAAGCCACTTCCGCCAAGAACCCAGAAACAAACCCCCTCGCACACCCGATAACAGGGATCCTAATCACCGGCTCCGCAGCAGCCGCCTACGACCCTCCAACCACGCACCCATGGATCCAACCCCTCATAAGATTCATCCGATACACGCACACGCACTACCCAGACGTACGCATCTTCGGCAGCTGCTTCGGCCACCAGGTCATTGCGAAAGCCCTACTCGAGGAACTCCCACACGTCACCCCACAAGAAGAAGATACAAAGCCATACGTGAAGGTGGAGTCCGCCCCGACGGGCAAGGAAGTCGGCCTGAAGCCTGTAATCCTTACTTCGGCGTTCACGGCTGCGTTCCCGACTGCGTTCCCGGATAGGAACCACCCGTCGGGTAATACTGAGAGTGCGGAAGAGAGAGAGTGGAGGTGGAATATCCAGATGATTCACGGCGATCATGTGCGGATCGTGCGTGCTTTACCGCGTGGGTGGTGCGTTGTTGGGGCTAGTGCTGAGTGCGCGGTGCAGGGGCTGTATCAGCGTGGTCGCGTGTTGACCTACCAAGGGCATTTTGAGTTCGATGCGGAGGTTAATCGGGAGACGTGCTTGGAGTTTGCGAGGCGGCAGGGGTGGAAGGTCGAGGATGTGCGGCGGTGGGTGGCAGCTATGGAGGTTGAGGGCGTGCAGGATGATGCGAAGGCCGCGGCAGGCGTGGTACTGCGGTTCTTTGCGGGGGAGGATAATGGTTATAAGGGGAATAGGACTACTCTTGCTGGGATTGCGGGGGAGAGGACTTGTGAGGAGACGGGTGAAGGTGACGGTGACAGTCAAGATAAGAAAGGATGGTGGGTAAGTGGATTTCTGGGGTGGAAGGGTGCTTGATAGATGAATTACAATGTTGCAATATGAATCTTCCTCGTTCAACCACCTCTGCATTCCTACTCAAGGTATAGGATATCTCCGTCTAGGATGCGCACCTTCTCGAAAACGTACGGGAACACAGTTCGCATCGAATAGGTCTCAATCCCAGGTGACTGTATCCATGTTGTCGGACATGCTCCTTCCGACTGATCTCCTCTGGGCAGAACTCTCACGTAGATGGCTTGGACGTGTCAGCCTCTAACGGAAGGGGTGCTATTCGGGATGTTGTAGGCATTAGTCTAAGATGTCAGCTTCCCAATATCCACTGTTTCGAGGTGCTTTTGTACATCTGGTTTAGAAGACGGTATTCAATCTCCTGTCTGATATTTTCCCCTCCTCTTTCGGAGCTGAGGACCGAGTTGCAGTGGGGTGAGATGAGATGCTCAGGAAGTGATCGTTTTGTTTCTACTTCCCACCACGCGTTATTAAAATTATATCTCTGATGGCTATCGATAGTGTCGTGTATGTTAAAGTCACAATTGTCATGGCGTATTTGTTCATGAACTTCGAGATCCGCCTGCCTTCGGATTTTTGTCCGCCTCGGGGAAAGGACTTGATCACTATGGAATACTCGAAGCCTGGTTTGCCGCTAAAATTCTCCAGCTTTGTGGCAAGGTGAACTATAGACGGACTTGCCTCATTTGGACTGCGCAGGCGCGCTGAGACTCTTAATCAATCCCTCATGGTAAAAAACGGGGCTGATAGCTCCACTACTGCATTTAGAGTGGTGGGCCTGGAACGATCATGGTTAGCTCGCCTTTACCCTGCATCATCGATCTGATGTTGTCGCGGGTGAGTCATGTGACACGGCTAAACGAACCACACTTGGTAAACTATTGTGAATTGTGAGCCTTAGGCATCAGCACGTCACGTGGATTGCCTCAACCCCACTCACGCATATACTTTGCACAGTATTGGAGACCGGAAGGCGGGTGTCAAATTCATCACCAGTTTATGTTGACTACAATTATTACCTGCTTTGCTTACATAGCCTGACTAGCCTGTATCGATGGTCTTAGGAAAACTGCCATGTCGCGCAAGTCATTTCCTGGTACGCGGTGCTGACTGAGACACACAACAGCTGTTTCAACTGAAAATATGCAATAAGTCAGCAAAGCATACAAGGGGTGGCACCAAGATCAGATACAATCTGTAACCTATCAGCCTTCAATTTTGAGTACATGTGGAGCATTCATGTATACCCTCATAAAAGGAGCAGCCCTCGTATCAGGTAAGTAGAGACGAGAACTCACGAGACACTCACTACTATACTATAGAACATGGAAAACAGGATGAGGTTTATGCGACGTACCCAGCCAGGTCTTGTTTGAGGCGACCTGATTGGGTACGCCGCCGCGATAATCATTCAAAGGAATCAGAGTAAACGTACAAACGCAAAGGGACAATCATAACCCCATTAGCTCTACCTAAGAAGTAGAAGCGGATCACCTGCAGGCTAGGGTCTGCCCGGACGGTAGAGAGGCTCGTTGGCCTCGATATACGCCCCGAGGGGCTGCTGCCGCTCAAGTCTGGCTACCCACTCGCGCTGGCCTACCTTACTGTACAGGGCAGCACGGTCCTCCCAGCTCGCCATCTCGAGCACAATCCTTCTGGGCATGTGATATCTGCTATGGTACCGGAAGTCCGGGCGGGCACGGCGGACGGCGCGCACACGAATGCTGTTTATGTCCCCAAACTTGCACTCGGCCAGAGCGCCGTTGACCTTGTTTAGGATGGTGTTGTTGCTGATTCGCTTGCCGTGCTTGTCCAAGTACAGGTCCTGCTGGCTGCTCAGGAACACGAAGGGCGTTGTCGTGGGTGGTGGCTGCGAAGGCGGCGGCTGCTCGGGCTTCTTCTGTTGCGTGCGCCATGCTGGGGTTTCAGCGGGGGCGCGCACTTGGTCTGGGGCTCGGAGATGTACCGGTACGTAGGCCGGAGCGGCTGCACATGTCTGAGCCGGGGGGTAGAGCGGGATGGCTGGCTCCATCGGCGCCTGCTCGGTGACAGTGACGGTGGGCGGAGAGGACATGGCTGTCACGCAACTTGTTCAGATTTCTTGCTTGACTTGGGGGCTAAAGAGTGTAGGGGTATTCTCACATGAGAACACCTTGTTGAACTAAAGGTCCAATGCTGAAAACTGACTTGATCATGCTCGTCGAGTTGTAGTGGAGGCTGGTCTCAGAGCTATATTTATATTCACCCGGGTCGAGCAAAATCAACGACAAAGATGCGGGAGCATTTCTGTATACAAATAAACAATGTGACCACATGTCATACACTATATTAGGATCAGCCTGCACGATTCATACTGACAATAAATTCCCTCTATTGCTTTGTCTGATTGGTCGTTCGATCAGCCTTGGCCAGACGGAGTTTATCATCCCGACTTTTGTCCTCGTAGCAGCAGTCCAAATGGCCCTTTGGTCTTTGAGAATTTCTTTTATGCTGCTGCTGCTTTGTGGTATTGTGTGTACAGTGTGAATGATAAGCAGTTTGCTGGTGACAATTTGGATTCTGGTATATTCTGAAAGGATTTCGAATTCCAGAATACTCTAAACAAATCATCCTTGATGATCCCAAAGAGTCAGTGCACCGAAAGGTAGGCTGAGGCTATTGCGGCAACAGTTCAGGCACAAGGATCGATGACAAAACCTGCTGCGTGTACCAACAGCGATGAGAGCATGAGAAAGTGTTGGCGCTTCACGGCCTGGCCTCCAGCCTTGACGACCAACCTGGGATGAAACCCTCTCGAACGCGCATAGCGTGAAGGTTGAGCACCGAAAAACGACAGTCGTTCGAGTTTAGGCAATACGTGAAGCACTGCGACGGCTTGAAAATCTACGTTCACTGTCGGTGTTCTGGAGCTCTCCCGACGAGGATTACTGCCTTACCTTCTGCTCAAGCGCAAATTTTCCAGCGCCAAAGTCGACCACTATTACGATCGAGGCAGGGACGGAGTTGGTGTCGACGAGAACCATAGCTACGAGATAACGGTTCTGAACAGGCGCGTAGGGAAAGCGATACGGAGGTCACAAGTCTCGCGAAGGGACGGAGGAAAACGATATGCAGCAAGGACCCAGGCGACTTGCGGTGTCTCAGGAGACAACAAGGCGCACTGCACCAAACCCAACTCATCAACCCACTCCCCCCTCGAAAGAACTTACAGACCCCATTTTTGAACGACGGATGGTTGGAGAGCAGAACACTCCCAACCATACACACCATTAGAACCACAGCGAAAGAAAAAAAGATGAGAATGGATATTTCATTTTTTCATTCGTCGCGATTGCGCCAGGACCTCCAAGGACGGACTTTCGTCTCATCCCTGAAGATAGATGGCTGGATCAGCGGGGAAGGTAGGGGGACACCTTCGTGAAACCCGCGCCGTTTTTATGGAATTAAAAAAACTCCTGCCATTTTTGCAAAAAGGATATGCAACCCGGAACCCCACTGACGCTCTTCCAACAGCAAGCAAATACCGCTTATCGTTTAAGCGGACTTGACGGCCTCACGACCCTTGGCCTTGCGGGCGAGGATCTCCTCACGGTCCTTGTCGAGGTGGAGCTTGGTGATGACGACGTTGGAGGGGTGGATGGGGAGAGGGACGCTCTGGCCGTTGGACTTCTCGCGGACGACACGCTCGACGTGGATGCACCACTTGAGACGGTAGACGCTGGTGATCTTGCCGTCGCGGCCCTTGTTGGAGCCACGGACGATCTGGACCTCGTCACCCTTGCGGACGGGGATGGAGCGGACCTGTTGGTGGGATGGTTAGTAAAAAGTCGTCCGGTGGTGGCCTGGTTCCGCAGAAATCGTCTGCGCCCGAAGAGCAGATTCGACCAGCCAGGGAGAACTCAGTTCGTGGTCAACTTACACCGTACTTCTCGCGGAGCTCCTTGTTCAGGCTGGCGCTGAGGATCACGCGGCGCTCGGAGGACTGATGGAGATTGTAAGTTTTTCAGGTCGTTCAGACTGGGTGTTGGAAAAATCATACGGGAGCGCTGAAGTGAGCCTTTCTGCTCTTGGAGCGGGAAGAAGCGACTGCAGTATCGCATTAGTATCGAATATTGCATTGCAGCAGTAATCGGGCAACCAAACGTACCCTGAGTGTTGCGAACAGCCATTGTGCCGGGGTCCTTGAGGGTGTCGTGAAAGAGGATGGGGCTCAAGTTGTCGGATTGTCGATGATCGAAGAAAAGACTTTTGTGGTGGTCGAATATTGGATGCGGACGGGTTGTGCGCCACGTGACCAGTAGCTGAGTCAGTCTAGGGCTGTTCTCTGGTTTATGATTCGCGGACTGATCCAAGACCCACTTTGCTCTCGCTCGCAGAGGCTCAAAGCGGTCTGGACTGGCAGTTCCCGGTTGCTCACCAGCTTGGAGCCTGAGGCTTGAGGATCTCTACATTCATTCATCCATCTTCACCTCGATCTTGGTCATTGCCAGTTCCCCCACCGCTAACTACTCACCATTTCTCACATGGGCTACGGATTATGGATAGTAATCCTAATTTCTCGCTGGATGGGATGGTCTAATTCACATGTACCTACCTCTGCTGCCTAGCATGGGACCGGGACGACTATCTTCTCAGAAACCTCATACCGATAGCACCTGAAGCTCGACATTGGAATTGTTCGAAAGTGACTTTCGAATCAACTCAGAAATACCCTTCGGCATGGCACAATAACAGAGTATACACCCAATGCATATATCTATTCATGCATCATCAAGGCACATCCATGATGGGGATGTCCGTTCATCCGACCCTCTGCCCCTAGCGGTCACAATTATAGATCAGGCTAAATCAGCCGCCGTCGTCATAGCCAGACCCTCTCCCACCTGCGAAGGGACTTTCTCGTAAAGAAGCTCCATGCTACCCCCAAACTATCAGTGTACCTCACACCGCGAGTGCATTGGGCAAGTATTTCCCGTTCGGAGCTATTTCGGAGCAAGTCGGCTGTTGCGCAGTCGGCCAAGATGCGCGCTAGGAGATACTTATATAGTATACTTCGGCACGGGAGGAAAGCGTGGGGGTCACCATCATTGAGAATCGCTCTTTATCCGGCACATCATCCACAAGGTTGGATAGTCAATGGCCATCCAGGGGAGATTGAAGTAATGTTTGAGGTGCTCATTACTCTCCGATATTAGATCTTGTGATATTACTGCAGGACGGCCTTCATCGACATGCACCCCGCTGGGAACGGCGTCATGCCGGAAGACCAAACAGATAAGCTTCGCGATGCATTTCTATCGTGATCAAGCTTGCCAAAGCATACTCTGAGACATGCCAAGCAGGCTGAAAACATCACGACCTCGCCGGGGTAATCGCAATTTGTCAGACGGAAGATAAGAATTCGCGAGCAGGGCTGCAGATGCCAGCCACCAGTTACCCTGCAGATCTGGCACCACTCAACACAGCGGCAGAATGTCGATCCATTCCAATAGCGATCTTGCCCCCTCCTTCGACCCCCTGCTTGCACACTATTAAAGGGTCTCTTGAAGAGCGCTTGCCCACTATTGTCTCCTCCGAACTCGTCTTTGGACAACACCCATCATGTCTGTCCGGTCAATTCTCCTCTCGCTGTCCGCCTCCTTGGCGTCCGCGACCAACCTCTATGCCACCCACTACAGCGGCACGGTCTACTCGCTCTCCCTGACCCAGAGCCAGAATGAGAGCACCCTAGCCATATCCTCGCAAATCGACGGCTGCGGCCCCATGCCCAGCTGGCTGACCCTCGACTCCGCCGCGCGCATCCTCTACTGCTCCGACGAGACGGGCGACGCCTCGACCAACGGCTCCCTAAGCGCCCTGTCGGCCTCGAGCGACGGTAAATTGTCCGTGATTGCCAGCACCGACGCAGCCCCAGGAGGCGGCGTCAACAGCGTGATCTATACCGGCGAACACGGCGCCCAATACCTCGCCATCGCACACTAGTTCGTCCCCCAAACCTCCCCACAATCTAACCCCATCCAACCACTAACCAACCCCTCAGCGGCGGCTCGGCGCTCTCCACTTTCGCGCTTCCCCTCACTCCCTCCTCCCAGCCGCTGCAGGTGTTCCGATACACCTTCACAACCGACGACCCCAACCGCCGCCCGCAACAAGACTCCCCCCACCCGCACCAGGTCTTCCTCGACCCGACCGGCTCGTTCGTGCTGGTCCCGGATCTGGGATCCGATCTCCTCCGCGTCTACTCCATCGACAGAACCACCGGCGAGCTGAAGAGCAACTGCGCGGACCTGAGCTACCCGACAGGCAGTGGGCCGCGTCACGGACTCTTCTGGGAGACCGGCGATGACCACCACAGCATCCTGACGAGCCAACGGGGCCAGACCCCCGCCCAAATTCGCCGCCGCGGGAGCAACCGCCGCGCGCAGCAGCAGCAACAAGGCGCAGCCACCCTGTACACGGCCAACGAACTCGACGGCCACCTAAAGGTGTTTGAGGTCTCGTACGTGTCCAACGGCTGCCTCTCATTCGACCAGATCCAATCGCTGGTGCCGTACCCGACGACCAACGACAGCCTGCCGACCGGGGCGACGCTGGCTGAAATCCGCAAGGCCGGCACGGACGGGCTGTACGTGTCGGTGCGGTCGGACCACGGGTTCGCGCCGTTCGACTCGATCGCCACGCTGACCCGCCACGCGAACGCCACGGTGCAGTTTGATCGGCTGAGTTCCGCGTACGGCACCGTGCCGCGCACGTTCGTGGTCAACAAGGCCGGCGATCTGGTGGCCATCGGCGACCAGGCCAGCTCGAACGTGGCCATCGTGCCGCGGGATCCCGTGACGGGGGTGCTGGGCGAGGCCATTGCGAACCTGCAGGTCGGGGAGCCCGGCGAGGTGGGCACTGCGCAGGGGCTGAGCAGCATCATCTGGGATGAGTGAGCGAGCAGCAGTGAGCGAGTGAGCGCTGAGTGAAACGTAAATAGCAGGATGCGCGACGAGAGTGGACAGGGTAAAAGTGTAGTTCGAAACCGGGTACTTACTATGAAGAATGTGAATATGAATACGTGACAGCAAGCATCAGTTCAAACATCCTATGCTATACAGACTTACCCTGCCCTCACATCAAACACCAACTAACATTCTCAACTCCTTACCACAGGGGATAAAGTTCTTAAACCATAGGATTCCCGGGGGAGAACCCCCGGACCCCCCTTTTCTTTCAGCTTCCTGGTCACCTCAATCTTAAACCACTGGTATAGGATATCCCGGGGGAGAACCCCCGGACCCCTCTTCCTTTCAACTTCCTGGTGTACCTCAATCTTATATGAACCGTGTTAAAGTATTCCGGGGGAGAACCCCCGGACCCCTCTTCCTTTCAACTTCCTGGTGCACCTCAATTCTAAACCCTCACACCCCCAACAACTCCCGAAGATCCACATCCCCACCAAGCCCCTCCCAAGCCCTCTCCACAATCCCCCTCCGCTCCCCCACCCCAATACAACCCCCACGCACCCGAACCCGAGCCCTAACACAACGCGGCCTAACGCCAATCCCCTGCGTCAAATCCCACGGATCAGGAACCACCTCCCTCCCTAAGCGATCCCGCTGGGGAACGATCTCATAAACCCAAAGCAACCGCGCAACAGCAATCGCCACAGAATTCCACCCAAGATACCGTCCAGGACACGCACGACGGCCGAATCCGAACGCGCTAACAGGTAGCCCGGGGTTGCGCAGCCAGCGCTCAGGCTCAAAGGCCAGCGGGTCGGGGAACAGCGCCGGATCGGTATCAGCCGAGAAGTGGTTGGCGACTACCGCTGTATCCCCGGGGATGTGGAACCCGCGGTAGAAGTCTGCGGCAGTGGTGGCGTGGTGCAGGCCGCCTGGGCTGGGGTGGCGCCAGCGGAGGAGCTCGCTGATCAGGGCGCGCGTGTAGGGGAGGGAGGACAGGTCGGTGAGGGCTGGGAGGCGCGGGGTGGTGCCGAGGACGGTGTCGAGCTCATGCTGGGCGCGGCGCTGCGCAATTGGGTGCAGTACCATCGCTAGCATGAAGACTTCCAGCAGGATCGCTGTGCTGTCTGTTCCCGCTTCGTAGAGCGCGCCGATGTTGTACCATAGGTCTGCGGTTGAGAGGAGGCTTGTGGGATGGTCTGGGGAGGGAGGCTCGGTGGTGACTGTCCTTGTCCCCATAACGCACGCAGCCACGCCGGGAGCCGAACACGCGGCAGGTACTTCAGGACCGGGAAGACCTCATTCCCGAGATTGATGCCCTGCAGAATCCCCGCCATGATCTCGTCCAGCTCGCGCACCTGCTCCTCATCGCCGCGGGGCATGCGCTTGCCGTACGCCAGAGCGAAGATCTGGCTGGAGGCGTAGCGCTGGAAGCGGGCGGCGAAGTCGGCGTGTGGCTCCAACAGCTCCCACACCAGCTGCAGGCTCTCGACCTCCTGCAGCGCCTGGTACTGCTGGCTGGCCTGCAGCGTCAGCAGCGAGCTGTGCAGCCGGTGATGGGCCTTCCACTTCTCGGCGTACGGCAGGAAGGTCGGCAGCAGCCCGTTGCTCACCCGGTCCGCCAGGAACTGCGGCCGCGAGCTGTAGTTGCTGCCGCGCTTCTCCAGCAGCTCGTGCACCACCTCGTACGACCCCAGGAAGATGATCTTCAGGCTGCCGAACCGCACGCAGATGATTGGTCCGTACTGGTCGTGCCAGTCCTTGATCTTGCGCCAGAGATGCCCCCGTGGGAGCTGGTGGAGATTGCCGATGATCGGGAGAGCTGGGGGTCCCGGGGGTAAGGGCGGGCAATCAGAGTTGTCATGATGAAGAATCACCCAGCAACATACGGCGATCAGGGTTGCCAGCCCGATGGCTAAGATCATGGCGTGGGGGTGAAAGACCTCTCTCTTTCGCTCTTCCACTTTCAGTTTATCGGTATTGAGAAGGAAAGAAGGCTATGTCCGAGAGGCAAGACGCATACTCTCCTCGGGGTTCCCGCTTTATGAACCTCCCTGCTGCGCACATTTATGCACCCCTGCGCTCTGTCACGCCAAGTGAACCGTCTGAGGGCAAGAGATGAGATCTCCAGACGATCTGGATCCAAGCCTCAAACTAGCATTCTTCACGCACTGCTCCAAGATCGCTTCACCGCAACTTCATTTCCGGCCACCACGTCACAAGTCCCATAGTACGTCCCAAAAGAGTAAATCAAACCTGATCGGCAATGCCATGGGTCCTGTTTGAGCCCTGAAAACTCTAGCTTGACCCAATCGTAGTCTATGCTTTGACAAGCCCCTTCTCAGGGGGTTTCAGGATTCTATGCAGGCGAGCCGCACCTGTGGACCTGGGGTCTAAGAGGGCAGCAGATCTTAGACTTTGCTCCTTGGGTCCTTGGCATTACCGGTCTGATGGGACGCGAGTATCAAATAGAGTTTGAGTTGTCAGTCAATCGCGTGTGGCCATGGGAGGTTTTATTATCTACGGCGTTCGAGATTGCTGTTGGGGCTCTGGAAGCCCCTTAAAAGGGTTACAAGGCTGCTGCCGTGGCTGGGTTTCCTCTCAACTACACCCAGCCATCCTTTTCTACGCTGCTTGTCTCGCAATTCGACAAATAGAGATGTTGCCACCGCCTACTTCACAAAGCTCGCGGCTGGAGGTATATCACGCCTGGGTGGACACCTGGCTCCGGGCCGAGACAAGCGAGGACGACAGCAGCGACAGCCCGCCCTTAGAGCTCGAGACGATGGCAGCGCTCCTCCAAGACGCGAACCTGAGCCAGCTTCGCGATCCCACGCTCCTACGTCAAGTCGTCACCTCCTTCCAACAGAGATACCGCAACGGAGAGATCACGCTCGGCGGGAGCCAGCCTGCATCGTGTGACGCAACCGACCTGCTGTCAGCACGTTACGACCCCCGAGTGGAGTGCGCCTGCGATGGCATTTCCCCAATGTCGGCCACCAGCGAAGCGGATCTGATGATTGCGCAGAAGTCCTGCCGATCGGTGGAGAAGATGCTCCGCGCGCTGGCGGAGGTGAGCGAGCGGAGCGCGGAGTGGAACGGCCACGGGCTGTTCACGAAGGACAAGCTGCACGCGGCAGTGGAGGAGCTCACCTTCTGCAACCTCGATCTCCAGACGCTCTCGACCCTCACAGTCTGCACGGGGGCCAACGCAGCGTCGCTACCACCCCTCCGGGCGCCCGATCGTCGGCCAAACCCCGCATGCGACAGCGCGCCGCACGCCTTCCAAACCTACTTCCCGACAGCGGAGCGGATCAAGTTCTGCGCGGACGCCAAGTACTTCCACGCGATGGCGTGCGGCGGGGGTGGCGTGGACGAGGGCCTGGTGCGCGCGATCGCGGACGCAGGCAACGACGTGCTGATCGGCGACTACTGCGAGGCGGCGCCGGCGGGGACGCTGCGGCTGCTGCAGCGGACGGGCGCGGCAGCGACGGGCTTCTTGAAGCTGTGCACCCTCGCCGGGGTACTCAGTGACTGGCAGTTCGCGATCCTGGCGGCGGCGCACATCCACTTCCGCGTGGTGGGCTACTATCGCAACCACGCGACGGGCAGGTTACCGGACGGGCTGTACGGCAGTCGCATGACGCAGCTGACGACGCATCGTCACATCGATATCGCCATTGCCGTAGGCATTGTAACCGCCTCGTTGGCCACGGGAAACCAGCAGCTGACCGAGGCCCAGTACATGCGGCTCTCGCGCGCGACGACGCTCATCAACGATCTCGTCGACCTCCGCAGCGACGCCATGCGCAAGCAACGTGAGAATCCCGTTCTCCGGGGTATTCGCGGCTCGGTGTGCGGGTACTTGAATACACAGGTTCGGGACTGCATCGCGGGCGCGGCGGAGCTGGTCGAGTCGTCCCCGCTCCTGGCGCTGGTCACGATGGCGTTCTGCAACTGGACGGTCATGGCGTCGCACCACAAGCTCTATGAGCTGGTCCATAGTCTGCGCGAGAGCTCAGAGCTACCCCCCTGTGCCTATGAGGGTTTAGAAGAACCGTACGAGAGGTTGGTCCGGGCGCTGCAGCCGTACGGCTCGCTGGGCGTAACAGGCCCGCGCTGGGACCTGAGGCGGGCGGAGCTGGACGCGCTGTACAGCATCTATCGACGGTGTCCAGAGACACATGCGGCGTGGCTGGCTGACATGGCAAGGTTATTGCTTCGACCGTCGACCTTCCGGCGCATCGCGGATGTGGTGCATCATGTGTGGATGGGGGACGTCGGTGACGTGTGGTATTGCCCGTGATCAGGAGTGGATTGTGAATGATTGTAATAGCCAAAATAGGACGATCTTTTCTCTTCTTCTTGCTCGTGAATAAGAATCTGGGGTGTGCCTGGTCGACGATGTCGCTCGAACAGGCCGGTCAGATCCGAGACATTTTCCGCCCTTGGGCCTATCTCTGCCTTTTGCTCTCTCTCTCTTTCTTCTCAGTGTTCGCAAGTGGAGCTGGGCCGAAGTCTATGAACGGGCTTAGCTGAAAGAGGACGTGGCGTTCTCATGCATCAGCAAGGTGGAAGTGGATCGGCGAGCTGAAGATCCTCGGAAAAATGAGAAATGCACTAGACTACTAGTCAAGCAAGATCCGAGGAAGTTTTCAGCTGGTCCGATACCCGAGAGATTGACGGGTTGACCCATGGAACTCTCCCATACTTTATCTGGATGATTCTGATAAAGCTCGACATGACATTGCACTGCATACTGCATGCACAATATCAACTCTCCAGACAGACGACGGAGCTGAACGTGAAAGCAGAATTTCTCTTTTCTTTTTGTCTTCTTGCTTTTGTTTTCCAGCTCCACTGCAGATCGGCTACTTTTAGCGTCTGACAATCTAAGCGATCGATCTCCATCGGCCGATCATTACTTGTTTCTGCATGAATAATGCGGCCCCAAGCACAGTCCCCGCGTCCAGAGCTCGACTGAATCTGACAGGACAGCTCGTCAATCGTGAAGGATCAGGGCAAGCTGAGCCGACGCCATCACCGCTTTTTCCAATGGCTTTTGCAATTCCACTGGAGAATAGTAGAATGGTGGACATGCTCTCAGCTGGCAGACGGAGAACATACCTACTCTTCTGAAAATCTGTCACTCTGTCTGCTGGTGGGTTGTCGTCATGCTAAAGTATGTAACCACACATCAGTGCGTATGGGGTACAACTGCAGGGTCTGCCAACCCTGTACTCTTCCAAGATCATACAGCCAGCAAATGCAGACACCTAATCTCCACCCCATGACCATGACAAGCGATCCGATCGCCGAACGGAGCATCTCGGCCTCATTTCACATCAAGGCTAACGCACGCGCGGGCACGCCAGTCACTGAACAGGACTCCGAGACTGCGTTCCCCAAGAGCTACTGTATACAGCAAGACCACAGTATAAAACCAGTCCACATTGCACACTCCCACCCAGACTCATCCTCATCACCCATCATTTCCTTCTCCCCAATCCCCCAAGCTGCAGCAAACCACAAGCAAAATGCGCCCCAACCCCCTCCTCCTCCTCACGCTCCTCTCAAAAACCACCACAACAGCATGGGCGACAAACACAACCCCCCAAAGCCCACTAACCCCCCCAAACACCTGCCTAAGCCTAACCGGCGGCTCTGCAAACACCAACTTCGAGGCCTGCTGTAGCAGCAGCCAAAAGTCCGGCCGTGGCACCGTCGACGGCGTCGAGTTCACCTACACCTGCCAGCAATGGGCGACGCCCTACGCCGCGAAGCCAGTCGTCGCCGCCAGCGCGCGCGAATGTGCCCAGCTTTGCGCGGCCGCTGGCAAGGACTGTCCCGCTGCTGCGTGGATGGCGCGCGGGCAGTGTTATACTATTACTGCCGCGGGGTATTCTGTTCGGCCGCTGAAGGGGATTCTTTTGCTTGAGAAGGTGGGAGAGGTTGTTACTGAGGAGCCGGTGGTGGGTGGTGGTGGTGGTGAGAGTGGTGGGTGCGATGAGGTGAAGGCGGAGTGCGAGAAGGTGAAGACGGAGCAGGTTGCTCAGTGTGAGAAGGAGAAGACAGCCCTGGTGGAAAGCGAGAAGGCACAGTGTGTTAAGGAGCAGACTGGCCAGTGTGACAAGGTGAAGACGGAACAGGCTGCCCAATGTGAGAAGGACAAGGCGGCGCTCGTGGAAAGCGAGAAGGCGCAGTGTGATAAGGTGAAAACGGAACAGTGCGACAAGATGAAGACGGAGCAGGCTGCCCAATGTGAAAAGGACAAGGCGGCGCTCGTGGAGAGCGAAAAGGCGCAGTGTGCTAAGGAGCAGACTGGGCAATGCGACAAGATGAAGACGGAGCAGGCTGCTCAGTGTGAGAAGGACAAGGCGGCGCTCGTGGAGAGCGAGAAGGCGCAGTGTGCTAAGGAGAAGACGACCCTGACTGAAGACGCGCAGAAGCAGTGCGCCGCCGAGAAGGAACAGCTCCAGAAAGCACTTGACGAAGCCAACCAGAAGCTGAAGGAGCTGCAAACCGGTGGCGGCGGTGGCGATAGCGCGGGCTCCGCGACCTCACCCACAAACGAAGCCCTAGTCGCGGACATTGCGCGCGAGAACTTCAGTTCGATCTGCCCGAAGTTCGCGGGTAAGACATTCATCACCGTTGATAAACAGGGCTACAAGCACGAATGGATGCTCTACTGCCACACAGGAGTTTCGGGGGCGTCGACCCCCAGCTACAACTGGAGCTGCCACACGCAGAATATTATTCAGCTGCTGCAGGAACAGCAGGATAGGTCGGATTTCAAGGCCCTCTGGGTTAACACTGCTAATGTCTGTACGCCCTGGCATGGGGGTTATGTGGGTGTTGGTACTGCTTTCGGGAACCACCATCTGGTTTTGCCCACACGTCAGCCTTGGAAATGAGAGGAATTGCGAGACATTGTGTAGAGTCTGAGTTGTGGATTTGTTGTATGCTTTTGCTACGCGGGGTGAAGGGGAGGCATCTCTATCATTGTAATTACTAAGACTAATTGCATGATGCTTGTTATTTGGGATTCAATCACGGATAAACCAAGATATTTGGAGACTCCGTTCAGGACTCACTGAAGGTGCTTGAACCACTGCTTCGAGCAGGGTGGGCTCAATGGTCACCACGGTTACTTCCAATATTTGCCATACTACCGTACGCAATTAGCTGATGTTCTAGAGGTATCGAACAGGTTCCTTGTAGAAACAGTCGGAGCCTACACATATCGCAGGTTTCATTGAACAATAAGAACATGGTTTCTTGGCTAACTTATTGGGATCTTCTGGCTTTCTCGGGTTGCATGCCTAGAGATGGATTTCCGATGTAGGCCCGAGTTGAGCGTGAATTGGGTTGGTGGGACGAGGAGAGATATATGCGCTCGCATGGCTTTCCATGAGCTGGAGTCTCTTGTAAGAAGACCAAAAATGTGGTGCTCGCCTTCTCGTGTCATTGATTAGCCTAGCCAACGACGTCTGTTACAGTAGGTGCAAGGTTTTGGGCGATAAGTTTAAAATACTAATATGAGAAATGGGTTCATGGTCATCTATCCAACAGGCTGGGGATTGTGCGTATCCAGGCTATTATCGACAATCCCGATAAGGACCGGGGGTAATGATGACCTAGTTAGCATCTGCTGAGATGTGTATTGGTGTTCTTCTCTACTATGCTGTTTGGTTCTTTTCCCCGGAGCTCCTGCAGTGCTCGGCATCGGCGGCAGAAAGAACAGTTTGCATGATCCGAACCGCTTCATGGAGTAACTCCCGACGCTTCGGCTGTAGGAAGAGCAGAACGATGATTACGCAGATATTGATCTCCTTGTAGGCCGAGTCAAAGGCTTGGCGCAGTTCCTCCAGCTCGGAGCGAATTGTGGTGAGAATCCTCCAGCAAATGGTGTGTAATTGAAACCACGAAACAGTGACTATCTCCGCGACTTCAGCATGAATGCACTTGCCCAGAAGCTCCAAGGCGTCGACGACCCGAAGCTTGGGCTCGGCGGCACCCTTCGCAGTGGGTCTCATGACCGTCTGGCACACCTGAGACTCTCGCAAGACGCGCATGATGTCGTCCACAGTCCAGTCGTTGGTGCGGTCGAATCCACACAACTGCAACTTCTGGATCGTGGCGGCCTGCGGTGGGAACTGCCAGGGCAACCTCGACTTTCGCTGGCCGTGAAAAATCCCGAGGGCCTTGGTCAAGGACCGCACATAGTCACCCCAGTATGTCGGCCGCTTCTGCCCAAGAAACATCGAAGGATAAGTGTTCAGCAGGCCCTCCACGCTCGGCCACGACCACCCGTCCGGCAGCGCATTCTCCTGCTGCGCCGCGTTGTATAGGTGGCACACTGCGACCACAGCATCGAGATTATTAGCCCACGACACACCCATCTGGTAGGTACTGAACTTACAGTAGGACAAGAGCACGCCGCAAAGCATAGGCTGGCAAGCGAACAATGCAAGTCGGCGAGCCAATACCCCCCTGGTCCTTCGGGCTTGGTAGACCTTGTCGACGCCGACGATCTTGTCCGTGATATCAAGCCAACTACTAACAGTATCCGCCATGTCCTGATGAGCGCTGGGGATTTCGCCGTGGCATTCTAGGGTCTGGACGATCTGCGGCTGAGTCACCTCGATGAAACTGAGAAGCTGAGAGCTAGGCCTATCGACCTCCGGGCCCAATGTCAAGCGCGCCTCCAGGAAGATACAGACCCCAAAGAGCAGTTCCAGTGAGAGCTTCCGGGTGTACATCGCGTCGCGCAGCGTTCGCGTAAAGCAGTCCGGTCTCGGGAGTCCCAGTGTAGTGGTGAGGTCGAACAGTCGGAGCTCTACGATAGCCTCCTCGAGCACCAAGCGCTGGAGCCGGCGCCTATGATCTGTGGTCCAGTCACACGCCGACACATTGTCGCGCACAAGGCCGGAGACATCCAAGTCCTGCTTCAATTCGAGAGTGGCGGGGATCAACGCCAATAGGTACGTAATATCCAGGATAAGGCGATGGTGGCTCTTGATACCTGCATCACCGGTAGCAGCTCCTCCATCCCGGACCCCTTTCTCCAGCGCCTTCTGGCACACAACCCAGAGATCGTGAAATGCTTTCGGCCACCCGCCTGAAACTCGCTCGAAGACGCCCTCTTCTTGAAGCTCGTCCGCCAACTTCATGATGAGGTGGAACGTCATATCGGAAATCAGAGCCGCGGTCTCGAGCGAATTGCGGCCGTCCCGGTACGCCTGCCACGAGTCCCGCACATATCGCATCATCAGGCACATGTCATCCAGAAGCATCCCGACCGCGTAGAGGGGGTTAGGGGTATTAGCCGCGTCCTCCGCAACCTTGCAGCTCACTGCGATTGGTGGCGAAGTGGCTGCTGTGCTGCCTGGAGCCTCGTCCGCAGCCTCTTGAACCTCCAAGCCCTGGAACCGGTTCCCCAGCGCTTCGATGAGTTCCTCCTCATCACTTCCCGCATCTTTGCCAAGGACCTCCTTCGGAGTAATCGGCCTGAGGATCTGCTCTACTTGTTCCAGAACGCTGATGAAATGCTCGTGGCTTGCGTTCGAGCTGGCGTCTTCACTATGCTCGTAGAACCGCCGCTGGTACCGCCGCCGCACAATCGACCGCCGGAGCTTGATCATGACCATCGGTGGCACCTGCTTGATTATCCCGGCACTCACTATCGCCTTCGCCCACTGCGTGAACTGGTCCAGTGTCAGCGTGTACTCCGTTGCCCGTGGCCGTGCGTCGGCGGCCTGTGCGGCCTTGCGCGCCTTGCCTTTCAGTCGGCCGGGCCCTTTAGGCTTGAACTCCGGGTGTGTGGTCAGCAGCCATGCGGCGACGTCGTTGGTGTCTTGTTTATACTGGGCGTACTGGCTAATGTGGGTTATGGAGGCCATTGTCTTTGAGATGATCTGACAGGTTTTGTGTACCGATACGTCAGGTTAGCGGGGTTTGCGCTTTCGAGCGTTCGCTGTGCGTGAGTAAGACTTTGTGCGTGAGCAAGACAAGCCGGTTGTGCAATTTGGCGTAGCTGCTTGGTCTACCTTGACTGCCTTGTCTTCATTTATATTTGTCGACAGTTGTTTAAGTGCGATCCATTTTTGACGGTATCTTCCGCTATTGTCGACTCCAGTGCTTGTTGCTAGTCGTGCCAGTCGATCGTTTACAGGAATGTTTAAATGAAGGTATATCATTGGAAATTGATAGGTTTGAGTCTTGGTCTTTGTTAAAGCTGTTGCAAGCCGATTCAAACAGGAACTCTTCGCTTTAAACCATCCCAGCAGACGCAAATAAACGAAAGCCACCGGATGCCTCCAGGGTAGGTGACAATCTACCCTGCATTTGTTTTCAGACTGAACAGTCTCAGTCTCGTAGGATTGGAATAAGATGTTCAAGTGTTGAGGCAAAGCATCGACTCTTAGGGTTGCGGGGCTCTATCGGTAGATTCTCCCGTATGTCTCGGGCAACAATACCCTAAGTACATACATCTATAACTCTCGACACAAACCTCATGGGATAGAACTCGTGCAGGAATCGGAGGAACAGATTCGCACGCAGAATAAAGACTCCTGTATCTCTTAACAGCCACCACAGCAGAGGCGGATACCCGACTCAACACCTTCCAATGCGGCAATTCCCGGTACTTGCAGGCTCGGCAAGGTGACTTTCATCACGCTTCCACCTGTTGAACCGGCTCGATTGCTCGGGGCTAGGGATGAAATTTGCGAAATCAGTTGCAAATGATGTTTATCGACCGAGCTATAGTCGTGCCATAAGATAAATAGTCAAATTTGGGCAATGCATTAAATTTGGAGATAATTTAGCCTCTGATCAAGAATCAAATTCATCAATAAGTGCCGGTAACTGGAAGCCCTTCTAATGGAAAAGGCAATCAACGAGCCAACAGTGTAAAAATCGTACAGATTAAAACATCAACGAACAAGTCCCGCTCGCGTCCCATTCCTCGAGCAAAGCGTCAGCCCGCGACTCTCCTCCCACGGCCCGGGATCCCGACTTTCCAGCCGGCGAAACTCCTGTACCAGGCGGACCAGCACATAACTCGCCTCCGTTACAGCGTAGCGCTGCCCGATACAGATCCGCGGCCCGCCATTGAAAGGCAGGTAGCCCCAGCGCAGCTGCGGCTGCAGCGAGCCGTCCTCCCAGCGCTCCGGGCGGAATTCCTCGGCGTCGGGGCCGTACAAGTCGCGGCGGCGATGCAGGGCGAAGAGGCTGTAGGCGACGAAAGTGCCCTTTGGCACGAAGACGGGCGCAAGGCCATCGGGACCGCCGCCTAGGGGGAGGACGGTATCGCAGACAGCCTGGCGCTGATTGCGGGGGACGACGGGGTGGAGGCGGAGGGCTTACGAGTTTGGTCAGCGAGAAGCCAGCAGAAGAACAGAGGGCGTTGGACACTCAATACATACACTCTTTCACGCAGCACTGCACATACCTCAGCCCAGGCAGCTCGTCATACGTCGGCGGCCGACCTTGCAGGACCTCGACTTCGCGACGCAGCTTCGCCCAGATAGCAGGGTTCTTCGCCAGCATGAAGAACAGGTTTCCGAGGAGGCTGGCCGTGGTATCGCGCCCGGCGAGGAGAACATTCATCAGCTCGTCGAGGATACGCTGCTTATCGGACGTGCGTGACGCAAGCTCGTGCGAAAAGACCCGCCTCTTTTCTTTTTGCGTGCCTTCACCGTTTGCGCTCACTCCATCCCGCTGTTTACTCTCAGCAGCATGAACCGCCTCGTCAACAAACCGTTGCACGAACTCCCGACAGACACGATTACACTCCTCGGCCTTCCGATCGCGGTAGAGCGCGTTGAAAGAGCCCAGCGTGGCGCGCACGAGCACCGCCCGCTGCGCGTACTGGAACGCCTCGGCGAACCCGACTCGTCCCGAGGGGCTCTCCTGCTCCTGGCGCAAGGTGTGGACGGACTGCCCGAACAGGAACCCCGTCGCCGAGTCCATTGTGTACCGGAAGAACAGCTCCTGAAGGTCGATGGTCGCGCCATCGCGCGGGACCAACGCCAGAAGATCCTGGATCAGCGCCTCCAGCGCCTCCAGGTCCGCGATGACCTGGTCACGGGCGAAGCTCGGCCGGATTAGTGCCCGCGAGGCGGCCCAGTGCGCGCCGTCGGTGTTGAAGATTCCCTCCCCTAGAAGCGGCTTGAAGGGTTGCAGCCGGTGGCTGAGGCCGTACTCTTTGAAGTTGACGAAGAGGACGGTTTTGATGTTTTCGGGCTCGATGGTTAGGATCGAGCTCTGCTGCAGTTCGCGGATGGTGAAGGTCGTGCCGTAGCGGCGGAAGAGAGCGCAACCGCGTTCGAGGATCTTGTGCTGCCTGATAGCGCGGAGGGTGCTGGGGATGGTGTCCAGGCCCAGGAAGGGGTCTTTGCTGAAGGAGTGCGCGATGGGTTGGCAGCCGTAGCCGCGTGCGAATTCGCGGCGGCGGAGGGTGCGCCGATGGCTTGTACGCTGGAAATGAGCCCTAACGCAGCTACGAGGAGAATGAAAACTGTGAAATTGGGGCTGGAATACTCCATTGTCATTCTTACCGCCATTGCGAGAGTGGAAAATTGAATGAGAGGGGAACTGGAGCTGTTCTCAGGCAGCAGTCAAGTTAAGATAGTGAGATACGTCACGTGAGAGCTCTGAGATTAGAAAAGGAGGGTCAGCCATCTACCAGTAAGCATTGACAATAGATGTGCTTATACATGATCAGCCCGTGTCAGTGCAATCCCTGATTGGTCCAAGCCTAGCCTTGGTTGCCGTGCCAAAGGCAATGATTTTATCATTTAGGAGAGGTGGGTTGAGTCCGAGACGTTCAACGGCACTGTGTCTTCCACTGGTGGCTGGAGCCAAACTGTGGCTGGCCACTTCGCCCTTACTGGTCTGCCAACGGCACCCTATTCAGGTGTGTATACGACCGAAGCTCACTCGCCACATGAAAGTACGAACTGGATGCATTCAAGATGCCGGTCAAGTACATACATACTCATCTTCAACGTGCCTTGCGTACCAGTGTATGAGCAAGATGTATGTTGTCTCCACAGAATGTAACAGAGTATATAGTAAACTTGAACAATAGTATATGGTGGGATGAAGTTCAGGTGCTTTATTGACGTTCGCTTGATATGAGACTTGATACGAGTTTGACAAAAGATCTGGAGATTATCTGATTGTTGGCTAACAGAGAAGGGTTGAATACGTCTCGATGGTCTTTTGTGTAACTGAAGCATCAGAAGGTCTAGATTACTTCTGCCTTATTCTTACCTTGCCAAACACGATAGGTAGCCTTATTGGACTCTTCTTTAGTGAGCGTGGCCCTGGAGTTATCGGCATCCCGGCAGTGCAACCCGGGGGTGACCGGGTACCTTCTCGGCATTCCTCTCGGCTTCCTCTCGACATCATAGTATATAGTGTAGGTGGGCCCGGCATCCCTCCAGTGCCACAAAGAACTTATCTAGGATTGTACATACTAGGAAATGTGGTAATAGTGACTCTTTCGATTAAAATCTCCACCTTCCGCAACCCAACTAGAGTGACAGGTCTGTCCGAGGCTAAGATGTAGGACATCAATGTCAAAGCAAACAAAAAAAGCCAAGATACACATCTACTCGAATCCAACACCTAGCACGACGAATGGAGAACTAGTTACAGCAGTGCGATTTGCCCACTGCGGACACGCGACAATAACACGAAACAGTAATAGGAACATCAGCGGTAGCGACCGCAATATCGTGCGCCGACTTAATGAACAGGGCCTCATCGAATTTACCAAGGCGCGTAAAGCACTCATACAATCCATGCAAGCCCCACACATTATTAAGCTTCGCGCGACGACGCGGAAAGTCTTTCGCAAACCCAAGGTCCTCCCGGAACAGAATCTCCGCCTCTTCAACACGCCCTTGCTCAAGCAGCAGGCCACCTAACGCATGGCGCACGGGCTGCATCCAGGGTGGCGGATCGGAGTACGGCAACGCGTCCTCGCGCCGAATTGCTTCGCGCAGGGATGCAAAGGCAATATCATAGTTCCCCTTGCGATACTCCAACTCACCCTCCAGCATAGTCGAAGCAACCCCCAAGACATCGACCTGCTTGCAAGGAATGCTATTAAGCCGGGATTCAGGGACCACCAGGCGAGCAGCTTCAAACTCCTTCCGAGCCACTTCCGCCTCTGGTATACGGCCGAGGGCACTGAACGCCAGCCCGCGGGCATAAAGCACGGTGGCAGTAGTGGCGCAGTAGAGCGCGCGGTCGGTCGGGAGCTCAAGACGCAGGATCTCTTCCCAGCGACCGAAGCGGATGAGCACGTGTGCTTTACTGGCTAGAAAGCTTTCCACGCTATCGGCCATCGGTGGGCTTTGGATCGAGAGAAGCTTCGCGTCGATCACTTCTTCCAATTTCTCGGCAGCGGACATGGCGTCCGTAAAGCGGCCACACATCATCGCTGCGTAGAGCTTGGCGCAGATGTAGTGCATGCGATACACGGTGTATGCGAGCGACCCGCCAGGAACAAGTGAGGCGCTGCCAGATGCGAAGTATTTGTCATCCGCAACGATAGCTTCGTGGTTCGAGTCGATTGACCGGCGATAGTCTCCAACAGCGGCATCGATATGGGTGGGCATGTGCAGCATGTGCGAACCATCGGGAACCAGGTGACGCAGCCGGTCGGCAGCTGGGAGTGCCAACTCGGGATAGGGGGACATCTCCATCGCATGGATGTATAGATGACAGAGCGCTGGGTGATGGCGGCCCTGGGGTTGCTCCATCCCGGATTCGATCACCTTCCGGGCCTCGATTGTGTGATCCCCGGTGGGTTTACCGGTATCGAGATCCCAGAGACCACGCGGTGTCATGCACATGAGTGCATCGGCAAAGAGGGCAGCGATGTCCGGGTCACTGCCGAATTGGCGATAGACAGGACGCATCGCATCCGCATATGCACGATCGAGAGCGCTGAAATCGGTAGTCGAAATATCATCCTTTGGTGGAAAGCGGGCAGCAATAGCCTTAATCAATGCTTCTTCGACGGGCGTGGCTTGAGGAGCTAATTCCAGGGCACGGGCTAATGCTGCATCTGCTCTCTCGATAGACAGGCGAAGGTCTTGCCCGTCGAAGAATTTCCACGCCTTGTTGTAGTTTGGCCCGGTCGCATAGGCAATGCCCCAGAATGCCATTGCACAGTTTGGGTCATGTTGGGCGGCTCGCTCGAAGCATTTCCCTGCTTCACCAACATTGAAGGAATACGCCCAGACCAATCCTCGGTCGAACCACAGCTGGGCCTCTTTGGACGTGGTGGTCACTGCCCGCCGATGGTGGCCGAGGTTGAAGTAGGCCATCTCGCCTGGGTTATCAGATGGCCTAGAATAGTGTTAAATGGTTATCATTAAAACTGGAAAGAGAGGTAATTTACTCTTTAGAATATTGAAAACCGAGGAAGTGATTCTTCTTGCCGAATGGTGCTTGGTTGATACTAACGATAACATTGCTGGGACATGTCTATCTTTATATGCTTCAAGGCCAAGTGGGGTATCGGATCGTCATCGTGAACACCAATGGCATTAAAGACTCACCGCGGATTTATAACTTACAATAGTTATGCGGCATGGTTTGTAATTAATACACCCGATTAGATCCAAGTGGGATGCCGGTGGCGTATCATGGATGTTTCCTTCCCGCTTTCTATAGAGACTTATGTCCCCAAGACGTCCTCATGACAATACTGACTTAGAGCCACATAGATTTCCGTAGCTGCTACTCAACATAAATTAGAGAATATCGAAAAGTAGTAGGAGATCGACGGGCTTCTTGACCAGAAGTTCCATAGAAGATACTGGTACGAATAAAATAGTTATAGCCGGCGTTCGGGCTACAATGGCACGCTGATCTCTTACCCTATACAGGCACAGGGTTCCGACATATCCGGGGAGGCGGCGCCCGATAAGAACTAGTAGCTTGACCGGCTCGCGCGACGTTACTGCGTACTGATCGCTGAAACATATAAAACGACACCTTGGGGGAATACTACGAGTGCTGGCAAGACTTCTCATAAGCTGTTCTGTCTTCCGTTGTCGGCTTGCATCACTCGTTCCGTGACGGGGACGGATTGTTGTGGGCTCTTCAAATGGGGATGTCATAAGAAGCTTTTCCATCCAGGGTGCACCCGAAAATCAAGTACTATGCAAGTATCACGCAGTAGCTTATGGAATATCACACTTGTTCATCTGGCAGAAGATATCCCTCAATGGCTGGGAATCTTGCAAGCTGCGGGATTTGTTTCGATGTCCGGTGCTCTTCTGCTCATGAAATGAACGGGCTATTCTTGTTCCTCAATTGGGATCAACACATAGATTAGGCATGTAGTGTGAATATGAGTGAGCGTGACTTTACAAACTGTCTGCGGCGATGGATGAATGCCGCATATTGCCACGTGTGCGACAGGACTCATGGAGGCTACACTAGCTGGTACCACCTCTACCTTAACTGCAGGCTGTCCGACTGCAGGCTATCACGAACTCCAACCTTGGCCCACCAGGCGAAGGCTTGGGACTGTTCTTCTTGCTTGAGCTTAGCTCGGCCCGCTCCCTGCTGAGGGCTGCTTTGGCTTTATTTGGCTAGCCTACAACTCTAGAACCCCTGATCCAATGCGCCAGTTTGACCTGGTCCTGAAAATGATCAACGATTACATGGCGGCCAAGATGGAGAGCAAGATTATCTATTGGATCGACCACGTGCTATACATGGCTGATAGCAGTTCGGGACGTTTTGATGCAGGTATTGTCTCTTCAGGTCCTACTGGCAGGGCGCTTTTTCTTTGAGCTTACACTAACCTCGGATAATATAGTCGTCCACAATTCGTCATTCACCATCAGCCTGTTGGGAGGTAAAACACACCTGATAATCAAAATTGATTACACCGATCAGACTCTGTTAATGGTCCGATCCAAGTGGGCGGGATTACGCCCGGAGGTGATGGACTTTGTTCACAAGGGGGAGAAAATCCAAGAACAGATAGATACTTTTAGACTTCTTTATCGGTGGTGGTCAGTCGCACTAGGGGTTGTGTGTGGCGTGGGCTCACATATATTTCAACTAAATCCATCCTGGATTTTCATTTCTCGCTTTTCTTTGTGCTATCCGGCTCGCTCCTGCTTATCATTTTTGGCTGGTTTTAGCTTTCAAATCACAGTGATTAGAACTTTACTATGGTACAAATATGTGCTCATATAGCTTAGTATTCTCTACTTCCGTTTCTCATGTGGTTACAGGCACGAAGTCCTGTCACCTTGACATGGCAGCTTCAATGCTTGAAGCTTTCAATTGGGGATCATATTCGCCATCGCGGTTTGGAGGCTCGATAAAGGGGTAGATTTGATTTCTTTTGCACGATAATCCAACATGATTTCCACTCAGCCTGCCTGTGGCCACAAAAGAATCGAATTTGACTTGAATTTATTTACACCATAGCCAAGCTATGTTAACTCAATCAACAACTAATTACAGGGCTGTCGCAAAACACTTTAAAGATACGATATTAGTCCGAAGACCCAGATCCAAATTTTTCTCCATCAGGGTAAGCATGCTGTCGCCCTGTAGTGGCACCACTGCTGTTTTAGGTCTAGGTAATATACCCTCTGGGCGTTAAAAGATCCAAGTACCCCCAGAACTCCGTACCTCATATTAATCCATATACAGCACATTTCCTCTTCACCGTTCGAACCCCCTGAGCGCAAATATCCTGAAACCATTTCATCCCCTCCGATGCCATCTCCGCACTGATCTCATCGAGCCAGACCATGACCGCATCAACCAGCTCGATATCCAGGTGAAGATCCGTATGTCGGATGTTGTAAAGGTTATTCACCATCAAAAGCATCGCAGCGGACGAATAAGGGCATGCGGCGATCCTGTTGCGGAATCGGCGTCCACAGATGAGTGGAGATGAGAGTAATAAGACAGCACCTACCAACCAAGCCAACAGTCACGCGACCAAACCTCTTGAAACAGGCGCACGAAATCGCGGGTCTCATGCACCAGCACCTCCCAACAGGACGGGATCCGCAATTCATCGATGCCCCTGCTATAATCTCGAACACCGGTGACCCATTGTTCATCCCACGCCTGCGCACGATTGAGCAGCATCATGCATTGGAGACTGCTCGAGTGAAGAATACAGAAGAAGCTCCAATTCGCGGGCTGGTTACTCGCGGTCATGGTGACCGCCGCGGCGCCGAACTCGAGGGGTATCGACGCGCGCCACCCATCCAATGCGATGCTGATACTCTGTCGTACCATGATCCGGTCCTGGGGGCTCTGATTCAGGGCTCGCGTGGAGTAGAGGTATCGATATGTTTGTCCCTCAATATTAGCCAGTTTGACCCGGACTAGGAAGTAATTCATGCTTGCTCTTCCGTCAGCGGTCATGACGATGCCGGCGCTGTTATCGCTATCGTCGGGGGTTACCGGCACTGAGGAAGGTAATTCCAGGTCGATATCGTCGTCGAGATGGCTGGAGGGGATTTGCGCACGCAGGCTGAGGTCTTTATCGAGGATGTATGTGATCCAGAATACGCGAGCACGTTGTCGCTGTTGTGCAAGATCCAGATTGCGCTGATGCGCTCCGGTCGTGTAGGCCCGACTTATGGACCAGACGCATGGTGGCGGATAGCAACATCAGTGCCGGGGCCGTGTCCCGCGCTGTCTGGAGCACCACCACCATGCCCACTAGGGTCTGTATGTTTAGTAGGCGGATCTCGCCCTGCATCACAGTCGCAAGGACCGACTGGGCTTTATTCAGATACTCGGTCGTCGTATGCTCGCTCTGATGATGAAGCACACCTTCGATGGCGCTGCTGTGCGGCATATGTTGGCTCGCCAGAGCGAAGACGATGTTGATTGCCGCACAAACGTTCGGATCGCGCTGTCGGGGTAGAAGTGCATAGCACTTCCCAACCATACGCAGGAGCGAGTCAGCGTGGAAAAGTGGCAGGACCGAGTTCACTGTTTTTAGAAAGATTCCCACCTGTGCCATCGCTTCGTGCAGAGTGGGGAGTTTCATCGAGCTCATTGCATGGTCATGATCATGCGCTGGTTGCTGATTTGGAAGCTGCGCTTCTCGTGTAATCCCCCCGGAGCCTTTCAGCTCGCTGCATCGCTTGAAATTGGTCATTTGGCTGAGCATGATACTTGGTCTCGACGCGCAATGATCCTGCCCTTTGCGTGGCGCTATGGCGTTGTGCCCTGGGCTTCGCTTTCCGACGAGAAGCAGCAGCATGCGTGCACTCTCTCGCATGCATTACACAATTCGAGCAACGAGGTTCCTGCCCGTCGCACTTGATCTTGCGAGTATAACATAGATCGCAAGCCTGCTCTCAAAACATAGTTGACTGATGCTTTCGTGGACGAAGTGCAGAGTTGCGGACTCATCTCGACCTTTCTTAGAGAATCCTTCGAGTCCATTGTACCTGTCAGATCGAGGCTCTTCCTCAAGGGATACTTCTTACACTCCGAAGCTTATTAGGTAAGTTATAGGGGGGCTTCCGCGGAGAGGATTGGTAATGATCGCGGGGGCGGGCTGGTTCCGCGAAACCCCGCCTGAATTAATAATCTCCAAATCTCAAGCCCTGAAATGAAGACATCAGACCATCAGACCACAAAAGCCGGCAGATACAACCGACTATACTGTGAGTATTTCTCTAAGATTTATTCCCCTGTCATGGCTTTTCTTTTCAACTGGATCCCTGTTAAAGCCCTTCTCATTTGGCAGTCCCTGCAAACCAAATAAAAACCATGTCAGCCTCCAACAGCCCTCGCATTATAGTTGTCGTAAGCGCCACAGGCAATCAAGGAAGCGGTGTCATCCGCGCCCTGCTAGACTCCAAGACACCAGACGATGGTCGCTGGCACGTTCGGGGAATCACACGCGATCCCAACTCCACAAAAGCGAAGCAATTCCTAGCCGAACATCAGACCCCCGACCAACGCCTTTTTCTCGTTGCGGGCCACGTGTTTGACCAGGCGTCCCTCGAAGCCGCCTTCACGGGCGCCCATGGCGTGTTCGCCATGACATCTGAGACTCACGCAGGCAAAGTTCTGGAAAAGCCAGAAGAGATGAAGCATGAGATTGAGTCCGGTCGGAACATGGTCTTGGCCGCGGAAGCGTGTCGTGTCCAGCACTTCGTCTTCAGTAGTTTGCCGGACATGGTAAGCGTAACTGGAGGACGATATCCCAATCTCTACCATATGAACAACAAGTATGAAGTTGAGAAGATTGTGAGAGAGCGCCTCGACGCGGTGACGTGTCTTATTCCTGGTTTGTAGCTTTCTCTGCAACTCCGCGCAACCATAGTTACTGACAGCGAGGTCGTTGCGTAGGGTTCTTTTATACGAATCTGCGCTGGCCGCAGTATACTGACCGCCGATGTAAGTTCAGCTTCAAATCGTGGACTCATCGCATGTACAGACTGATGTGGCGATTCAATAGCGGACGGGGTCGTTCGAATCCGTATTCCTATCCCAAGGGACCAGGTTGCACAGTGGACTGATCCGAGCCATGACATGGGCGTTTTCGCAGCGAGTGCGTTCCCTTTCTCCGAAATGAATAGATTGTTAGAAAGATAACTGACATGTTGGCTCTTTCGTAAAGAGGTGTTCGAGCTGGGCGTCGGGAAGACCCGTGGAAAGACATACTGTGTGCTCAGCCCTCGAGTTACACCGGATGAGATGGTCGCGGCGTTTACGAAAGTCACCGGGCAGCCTGCCGTTCACGATCCGATCACGCCAGAGCGATTCGGGGAAATGGCGGCGCCCTTTGTTGGGCCAGCTTTCAAAGAAGATGCCAAGGAGATGATGGAATGGGCTTCTGTGGCGCCAGCGGACAAGATCTGTTACGGGGCTTTCACGGAGGATCAGGACCGCTCATTCGAGGAGCTGGGTCTGAAAGCCTCCTCTTTCGAGGAATGGCTCGCCCGCAGTGGCTGGACGGGTCCAGCATGATCAATAGATGTGAATCGTTCGGATAACCTATATGGCTCAGGTTGATGATGAATGTATTAGAATTTGACATTGTAATTAATTCGCTTTGCATCTCGCGGGCTGTATCGAATATTTGATTGCTTGATGTTCAGACCTTTACTACGGTGCAGATATAGTTGTTAATCACCGTAGGAAACGTCCGGAGAGAAGAAGAAATAGATCACGTTACGATAGCGGGCTGACTCTCATGGTACATCTGGGCAAAGGGCTAGCCACTATCTTCAAACTCAGAGAGAAACATTTCGTTGGCAAGATGATAATACTTGTAACATGTGTTGGGATCAAGTAATCGCTTCGCTCGTTGCGGATATCTCTCAAGACCGCGAAGACCGTACGCTATTCGAAGACATCATGTAAATGCCATTCCCAAGATACTAGGTTCATTATTAGAGAAAATCCTTCCCAAGTCACATTTAGGAATGGCTAGTATGGCTTTGTCACATAGGAGATAATCTCTGTTTCAATTAACAATACTCAAAGATAATGAATGACTGGTCGGCCAAGATGCGGAACATGACGAAAAACCAGAGCGACCGCATCACAAGGCAACGTCCACATACAAAAGTACGTACACTTTTCCCAAAGTGTAAGTCAAAGCAGAGTTAAAGTTAAATGAGCGGCTAAGCCTTCGCATCGCCCTTCAAGCCCTCCTGGATCCACGCTCCGGCAGCGCGGCTCCTCGCATTCAACTCCTCGTCCGATAGCTTGTTGAGTTCCAGATAAATATGTGGCTGGGGCGCGTTTCGGCGCTCTCCGAAGCCGGGACGCTTCAAAAGTTCGTGGAGCCATTTTTTCACATACGGAAACTCGTCAATGCTAGACAAGCCACTGTATCCTGCCCCGTTGTTAGCGCACAAAGCTTGGAAAGTCTACAGAGAGCGCGAGAACCTACTGTAAGCAGCTACCCAAATCCACAAGGCAATATCAGCAACCGTAACCCGATCACCAACCACGTAGCCAGACTTGCTTTTAGCAAGATGGGTGTCGAGGACGCGATACAGACGGCGGGTCACATTCACGTAGCGGCTGATAGCTTGCTCATGCTTCTCTGGTGCCATTCCTAAAGAATGATGTTAGGCAAATCTTTTCAAACGTGTCTAGGCTAGGGCTAGTCATACTTGCGAAGTGGTTCGCTTGACCTTGCATTGGCCAACGCCAGACATTTACCACATCAGCTACAAATTCTCGTCAACTAGAACCGATCAAGTCTCTCCAAGGCCCAAAGGCCCGCAATTGCGAACCTGACCCAATTGACCGTCTCCCAGTAATCTGGCGTGTCGTAAGGATACGACACCTTGTGGTCTTTGTCGTACCGGGCCACGAGATACAACAGCATACTACCGCTTTCGAACAGCGTAATCTTGTTACCGTTCTCGTCCTCGTCGACTAGAGCAGGAATCCGGCCGTTGGGGTTGATCTCGAGAAACCACGGCTCCTTATCCTCATGCTTGGGTATGTTGATTGGGTAAAGCTTCAAGAAGGTCAGTTGTATTGCGCCTCTATCAATACTCCCCAATTCTCGCGAGACACAGTACCTTGTATTCCAGCCCAAGCTCCGCCAGCAAGATAGTGGGCTTTAGGCCATTAGGTGTCCCCTTCGGTATAGAGGGTGATACCAGTTTTGGTTCCCATGGTCGCAGAGACTTTTCACTTCCTAGAGTTCAGTTTCTGATAGCGTTTGATGTAAAGCAACCGAGTAATCCAGCAAGACCTTGGACTTAGGGCGAATTGAGGGAAGAAGGCGATTGCGTGATGAGAGGCGAGATGAAACTAGAGACGTGCATCACTCTTGTATAGTTTTCGATATCTACAAAACCTTGGTGGAAATCCTTTTTTGCTCCCATGACTCTCCGCAGGATAGCTTACGAGTTCCTGCTTCCGAGGAAGTTTTTTCATTTGTAATTGGGGCCTGCAAGTGCAGAACCAGGCCGATCGAGTGAGCTAATTAATGCAGGGGCAAGGCGGACAGGTAAAGCTCATGGTGCGATATCCCAATTCCCAATTAGACTATCAGAGACAGGCTGACTTCCTGGTTGTCTAAGCAAAGCATTTTCTGTCAGCACAAGTTCCGTCGGAACCGGACCCTCAATCTATGTAATCACGAAACATAGTGTAGAGTCCCTTCCCGCGCGCTACGCCACGCATAATACCCTGAGAAGGCGAGATTTATGCCGATCCTCAGTCCGTTGCTGGGGATTTTGCATCGTTCGAGACTCCGTCAGGCGCAGAGATCCCCATGTTGTTCCGGCTTGTGATGTACAACCAATTCATATCTCGCGCAAAGCATGCACCCCTCCTCTGCACTATTAGACCTTACAATCTGGAGTGCTGGGGCCTGAGTCTTATTTGCCACCTATGACTCCTCTTAAGATAAGGCTCACCCCCATGGCCTATGCTTTGAAGTAGGATGGATCGGTGCCTTTCTCTGCGGTGCACGGATGCCACTGACCAATGCACTGGTTTGCGTGGACTGGTCCGGCCCGTCTGCCATTACGGCGATGTTGAGTCTGTCATTCAATATTCGATCTTGAAAAGTATCTACTGCCGTGACAAACGAGTCGTTGAAAGTTCCTTGAGGCGCAAATGGCGAGCTAGAATGAAGGTTAGTAGTCTTGATCCTCCTATATAATAGCGAGCAGAAGTCATGATGCCATGGCGCTGAGACAAGAACCTGTGCCTCATTTGAACAAGTCTCGCTTCAGCCCTGGGTGCACTACCCGACCTGGAAATGCCTGGACACGGGCACATCTCGACAGAAGCTCGGTTTATTTGGGGATTGGTAGTTGCGATGGATCACAAACGCATTTCCAGATAAGCCAAACTCCGAAGCAAAGCCAATCGCTGTAGAATTGGAGTTTTAGAAGGCGGCTTTGCGCGATGAGTTGGGTTGGCCTTCCTGAAGAGATCAAGTTGGAAAGAAGGAGTAAAGCACAGTACTCAATGCGGCAGATGAGGCCTAATGAGGCTGTGATCTTCTGTTTTGCGATCTCTCATATAATATAGAGATGGCTAGAACCGGTACCAGTATTTCGAATCCACGGAACGAGGAATCGACGATTGAAAGCATGAGATCAGTTGCAGTGGTGATGTTGCCAAGCGGTCCCCGGCCCTGAGTAGTCAAAGCCAATGCGGATACTGTACAGTACATATCTGTGGCACCAACCCCAAAATTATTCAACCCAAACACCAGCCAAGACAGAAGTTCGCCATCTGAAACGACCTTAAAATTCGGCCGGAAACTGAGACCGACATCGCAAGCTTACTCCATGCTCCATGGGTATTTGGTGAGTATCCATGGGAAAAGGATTCTACTTTAAGGTTTATAGTTCGCTCTGTTTTTCAGGCTTTGGAGCAGCTTTCCCCGGAGTTTCAGCCATTTCGAACCGCCGTTGATTCACTCCCGAGCGATCCCTCAAAATTTAGGTCTCTGTCGATCATCATATCCGTGGATCTCAATCTTGTTTACCACCTCTCGTGATATTGTTCTTTTGTCTGTTGGGGTATCCGTACCTCGTCCAAGGTATAACAAGAGCATATAAAGTCGTTCAACAATCCCTCGAGACCAATCTCGATCACAGCAACCTGCAATTACCACCACCACTTCTCATTCCTAACCTCCTCCCAACCAAACCTAATCTCATCATCAATCACAATGAAAGTCTCTATCCTCTCAGCTCTTACCCTCGGCCTCGCGACCAGCACCCTAGCCGCGCCCACAGCGGTCGTCGAGCGCGACCTCCCCACCATCACGAATGTGCTCTCAGGCATTGGCACCAAAGTCGACGCCCTGGGCACCGCCCTCCAAGGCTACAGCGGCGGCGGCGTGACTCAAGTCCAGCAGGCCTCGGACAACCTGGTCAGCGCCATCAACAGCGGGAACAACCAGGTGCGCGGGACGGGGCCACTGAGCGCGACCGATGCGCTCGGGCTCCCGGGACCCGTCAACGACCTCAAGAACAAGATCGCCGGTGTTGTTGACCAGCTCGACGGCAAGAAGTCCCTGCTCGTCGCGGCGGGCAAGGGCACCCAGACGTACAACGATCTGGTGGAGCAGAAGGCGGCTGCGAAGACGCTGAGTGATACGATTGTCGGCAAGGTGCCGGACAGTCTGCAGGGGTTGGCGGGGACGGTGGCGGGCGGGATCAGCGAGGCGATTGAGACGGGCGTGAAGGAGTTTGCGGATCAGGCGGCGAAGAAGAGGGATGCTTGTCCTGTCTAAGTGTGTCAAGGGCTGGGTTCGGGGTGGGTGCTCTGTGGTTTGGGGGTGGAGCTGCTGGTCAGTTTATTTGTATGTGCGCTTGTTTGGCTTGATTTGACGGCGAGGCGATTATAAGTTAGGGCAATTGTGGATGTTGTAGTCGTGTACCTCTTGAATTGAATACCGCTTGGGCACCATTACTCCTGATGTAGGCTGGAAGCAATCCAGCGTAGTCACGTAATCTCGAAGGACGGCTTCAGCGAGGCCTGACAGTTTAGTAGTTGAACCTAAGAAACTCATTCAAACGCCTTTTGTCTGTCCGACAAGAAGTTGATGATGGGATGTTACACATACAATACAGGTATGGCACACATCACCAACAACTCTCTCATCGGCGCATCCAATCGGCGCATTGACCCCTCGCAGCCTTCTCCTCATCTTCCCGAGAATCACCTGGTCTCTGTTTCCAGCGCATTTTGATCGACCGGAATGGCTGGAAAATGCATTATTAAGCCCTAGTCTTCGCGGCCAACATAGGGACGGCTTTCTTGAACTTCTGGGGCCAGGTTCCTGTGCGATACTCTACCACATCATTAATTAGAGCTTTGTACCAGAAAGCTGTTAGTTCTATGAGTGCTGCGTTCTAGTCTCACTGATCGGGTTCTTTCAGGTGAACCTACGGTATCCCATGTTGTGCTCTGTAGGAGCTCCCACCAGATGAGAACATAAACTTGCAGAGAACAGCAGGAAGAGCAGACAGAGAACAAAGACTAGCGCATGAAGGAAGGAGTAGGTCGGCAATTGATAACAGGAAACTGACAAAACGAAGTAAAAACATACAACAGAAGGGATTCGCTGGTGGTCACCCACCCAACTACTAACCTCCCGGCGTGTGGCTTAAGTACGGCTGAGCGGACGGGAAGCCCTGTTTTCCACACCCTGTGGTCGTATGTACTCAATGGTCTATTAACAAGATTTATGTAGACAAAAATCTAATTTTCAATCTCACATATCTTGGATAGCATCATTCAGGTAAGGTTGCGTATTTTGAAAACAGCCATTCAGCTGTAAGCTTACAGTAGGAGATCCAAGAAAAGGGTCAAGAGAGGAGAAAGCTGGAGGCTTAGTATCGCTACCGGCCGAAGAAGAGATTAGTCGCTCAAATCTCCAGCTGCAAATAATCAATTACTTTTGACATCCAGAAACGGTGCAGAGATTGGGCTGTTGATCCCGGGTGCTCCGTACTTCAAATCCCTCATATCAACAGAGACCGGAGAAGTAGATTGTTCATGCTTGTCTGCGGTGACCGCATTGCTATAGCCTAAAACATCCAGACGGGCAGGCAAAGTGGCACAATGGCATTGAAGCGCGTAACGAGTCCCCAACACCACGCTCTGGGCTATGGTCGATACATATAGCGATCGCTGGTTTTTGAGGGAGGCTGTGGAAGGCTGTCTCATGGGCTCCATGTGGGCCTGGAATTAGTGGCTTTTAAGTTCACGGTAAATCCAAGGGCCCGGCTGTCAATATCGTCTAAGCTGTCGGAGAGTATATCCCCTGATCCTGGGAAGTGGTCAGGGAAAAGTGTTATCAAGAAGTCTCTGTCTGTAGATGATGGTAAAAATTCGAGTCTGCATGACGTTTCGCACGACCAAATATCCTTGCAGAGATATTGCCAGACTTGCAAAGTCGCTCGCTTCGATTCGTCCGTGTCATGGTCGGGGTATGTATTTGAAAGTCGGATGGTATCCCTCCATAGAGCATCAAAATTGGATCTCCTGCATGTAATTTGCTAATCAGCGTAACATGGTCTTCCAAACAGGGGCGTGTATCTTACAGCTTGACTGCTGCGGTCTTCTGGCCGAAGAGGCGCTGAGTTTCGCCGGCCAAATCTTTGTACCCGAGAGCATCTTTTTTCAGCCTTTACGGCTATCTCTTTCAGCTTCTGAGTCTCTTCATTAGCTTTGCTGGCAATGGCTTTCGGTCACAGGGTACAGAACTCCTTTTGGAGCTTGATTCTCTACATCAGTAACAATGGGCCAAACCGCCTCGACCCCAAATCCAGATACACAGCTCCAGGTGATAGGAGCCGCACTCCTTCGCACGGGGAGAGCATCCTTCAGCCTCGCCCTTTCCATCCTCATCGACGGGCCCGTCTACCACAGCGGCACGCAACTCACGCGCGGCGCGCCCTCGGAACTAAAGACCTGGATTCGTATCCTGCGCAGTTGGCTGGCCGGTGACCGCCGCACAGTGCTGTCCGAGATGGAGCGCCATATCAACGGCTACGCAGCCATCACCGACGCGCCAGGCTGCCAGCTGCTCCCAGAGCTGCTCGAGCTCTACCCGGACGCTAAGGTGGTCTGCACCGTGCGTACCCAGCTGCCTGGGAGAGGAGCATGATCCAGGTTCACGCCTTTACACGCCTGTGGTTCCTCAGGCTCCTCCTCCTTCCTGTTCCTGGTAAGCGGCACTTTATTGACTTTCTTTGGTTGCTGCGGCGGCAGTGGAGTTGTCTGTATGCGGACGGTCGATGCTTGGAATCTGCCAAGGACGTCGGCGATACCCTGCTATGTGAGGGTGTATACGCCAGGCATATCGCGTGGGTGGAAGAGAATGTTCCTGCCGACCGGTTGGTGTTCTTTGATGTGCGTGATGGGTGAGAGCCGCTGTGTCGGGGGCTCTGGGGAAGGAGGTTCCGAAGGAGATTCCGTTTCCTCATGTTAATGATGCGGAGGGGATCGCGCAGACGGGCAGGTATTATCTCCGACAAGCGATGATGCGGTGGGTAGGGATTATTGCGGTAGGCGCTGTTACGATTGTAAGCTTGACGCGGTAGAAAAGTGCTACGCGAGAAGGAGAAACGAGAGAGGGAAGGCTGCGAAATAGTCGAGATAGATATTTCGAACGGATCAGATATCCTTCATACTTATCCGGTGTATACTTCACCCTCTACAGACACGTCTTTGAATCTATTCATGCCTGGCAAACATCCTGAACTGAGCCCCCCAGATGAACTCAATTCGGAACAGTGTACCCTGCTGCAGTTAATGATACTACGGTATAAATGGAGGAGTCTTAAGACAAAGTGCAATTGAAGACAACGCTGCTCGCTAACTACATTACGCGCCACTAGACCAGCAACCATCAAACCCTCGCTCAGTACTACCGAAAGTCAGCACAGGGACCCTCATCCCGAGGGAAACATCTTTCAAACCTACCAGATACACCAACTCGCCATCATTGTTAGAAATCCGGTCCGCCAAGTACAGACCCTGCAACTCCCGATACTGACCGTCGGCACCCTTCAAAAAGGCGATCAGTCGTGGTCCGCGTTCGGTCTGCTCGAGCTCGATGTCGCGCGCGCTGTGGGTGAAATCATGTCCGCCCCACTGGAAGTTCCCTGTCGGTACCGGGTGTATTAGCACTTGTCTGAGCAAAGACAACTGACAACTTGGGGTGATTGGAAATTGAACAGCAAGGTTAATATCTCACCGTTGGAATTGCCAATGTGGGTATCCAAGCGGAACGTCCGTGCGACCACCTCGTTGTTGCGGCGGCGGACTTCGGCGTGGAGGATGGTCTTGCCGTCCTCCTTGATGAGGTGGATATTCTGGCAGGAGGTGTGGAAGGACATCTTGAGGCTTCAGGAGAAGATGGTATTTGGAGAGATTGACGGCGATTGAAGACAGAAGTTATTGTTGATTGCCGCGGGGTAGAGGAGTCGGTTAGGGTTTTTATATGCGGCTGGATATGCGGGCATCGTGCATTGCTGCCCTTCGGGCGTTTCATGCTGCAGCGACATGATCTGTGCAGTTTGATGACGACATATTGCTTCCTACAGGAGATATCTACTATCCAAATGATTCGCAGGTAATCTTGGGTAATTTACCAAGGATCCGTCAGCCGGGTGAGTCTAATAGGCCACTCCACCTGCGGCATAAATATTCGATTAACACCAGAATGGATAAAACACAAACTCTCATTGTAATCTAAGCTCAAAAGTAGCTAGCAACCGGCTCGCCTAGAACATCCATACGAGGCGTCACGCCGAGTCCTGGGGTAGTCGGTGCCGTGATGCGACCATCACGGATCTCAAAATCCCCATCTGCAGTCTTGACTGTAACCATGTCCCGAGTCTCGAGAAGGCAGCGCAGAGAGCGCTCGGGAACAGTCTGACCCAGATGAACAATTGCCGCGAACGAGATATCCGAACCGGTCGAATCCTGAATACTGAACGTATATCCTGCCGCGAGACAGAGGTCGCGGTGCCGCCGGCCCTTGGTCAGCCCGCCAGCCTTAGAAATCTTCAGATTGATGCCCTCGGCCGCATCATCCGCCAACAACTGCACGATCGAAGCATCGTCCATAGCCAACTCGTCAAAGATAATCGGCACATCTGTCCTGCGGCGGAGAGATACACATTCCCGCCACGTTGCGCAGGGGGCCTCGAGCACAAAGTCCAGGCCGGGGGGTAGCAGCCGCAACATACGGAGCGCTATCTCAACCGACAGACCCCCGTTGGCATCGGCCAAGAAGAACTCCCCCGGCTGTTTATCAGCCAGCGACGCGGCGATGCGCGCTGCGTCCTTCGCCGGGTCATCGCCGCCGATCTTGATCGAGTGGCCCATGTACCCGCGGGCCCGATGGTCGGCCACGCTCTGGCGCATCTCATCGGGACTGCCGACCCCGATCGAGCTGATCAGCGGCATCTTGGAATCGGTGCGTCCCCCGAGCAACTCGCAGACCGGCAGCCCCACGGACTTGCCGAAGATGTCCCAGCAGGCGATGTCTATGGCTGTCTTGGCGTGCGCGTGGCCCAGAAGCGCCGCGTCCATCGCCTCGTAGATGCGGTCCACTCGCCGGGGGTCGAGCCCGATGAGCTTGGGTGCCATCTCCGCGATGCCCGCTCGCACGCCTAGCGCGTGCGAGGCCACATACGTCGCGCCGAAGGGGGTGCTCTCGCCCCAGCCCTCTAGCCCGGTGTTGGTGGTGACACGCACAATCGTCGCGTCAAAGCTTGTGTATGTGCGTCCACCGGAGAGATGGTAGACGCCGCCGGAGTAGGGCAGGTCGACTTGGAAGACGTCGATGCGTGTTATCTTGAGGTCGGACATGTTTCTGCGGTGAAATCTGATCTAATAGGAGTTGAAAAATAAGAAAGTGAATGATGGGCTTTGGTTTGCTTTCGAGGTAGGCCATGGTAGTCCATCCGGAAGGTTTATTATAACTCTCTGGCTTGACAGGATAGTGCGGGGCAAGCCCCGGCACCGGCAGTCTTTACGGCTTCAACCCGCCGACACAGTGTAGGAGAGGTTGCAACAACAGAAATGGCAATGAACCCGCTGGTCCTGGCTTGTCTCAGATTTGTCACCAAACTGAGATCTGTACGACTGCTCCCTTTCCCCACTAACCCGAGTTTGGTATCAAACATGAGAGCCCGGGCTTATCTTCGGGACTCCGGACAGCTATCGCCTAATCTGATATGGACGTCCAACTTGATTGGTTACAAACACCATTGATCTGCAAGCAATGTACTACCGCTGCACACCGCTTACTGAAAAGACTGATCCCAGGTAGCTACAACCCCACATACAGTCTTCTTGTAATAGAGGCACTACTACTGGCGAGGAGAACCATGATCATCTGCGGGGACTCCCCTCTAATTTTCACGAACATTGCTTTGAGTTTACGAGTCGATGTCAAAGCGCACAGAATCGAGCCCGGACGGTTTTCAGTCTCAAGAGATCTTGTATATCGCTACCAACCTCTTATTCGGGAAATAAAGATGAGAATATCCCGCGTATTCCCTTTCAATAGCTTTGGTCAAGGTTCTTTACACCCGAAATCTTCGAAGCCGGAGTTCAGGAATCAAAGTCAATTCTTATCAAGTTCTATCAACCAAGTGGGCCCGCTGAGGGACCCAAAACACATTCAAGAAGTCCCCTCATACTGCTCCGCAGCTCCGCACCCCGCAAACCAACGCGGACGTCGATCAGTAAAACATTCAATATCCGGCTTGAAACACTCCAGCCTAGAATAATGCATCAGAGAAAAACCTCAAAGTCCACCGATGAACTACAATTTGTCGTTTAGGTTTGACTCACCCATTCTCAATCAACGCCACCCTGATAACAATGCACCCCGCCGCCTGGGTGCTCTGCGGGACAGTGTAGATAGTGCATCCGCACCGCTTACAAAAGCATTTGTCCTTGGGGGCGCCACTTATCGTGTTGGTGATCTCGTAAGTGGCCGAGAGACCCTCGGGGTCGTGTAATGTGACTTGAGAGCGGGGGTAGCTTGCGGTCTGGGGATGGAGGTTAGCAGGTCTATTCTCCAAGCATGGTCGCTCACCTTCGAGGGGAAAAGGTGGCGACTCACAATCTGACAAGGACCTCCGGCTCCAAGCGAGCAGTCGCTGCAGTAGCAGCAGTATGTTGCTGTGGGCGCACCTGTGACCGTGAACTTAATACCCTGGCAGAGGCAGGCCCCCTTGTGCGTGGTGGCGGTAGACATGATGGATTCTGTTGTTTGATACGGCTGAAAGATGGCCAGCAGCTGGCGGATGACTTTATCCTATGCGACAGAATTCTAGCGTGGGAAATGTGGGGTAGTATCGAAGTCAACTGAGAGCATGAGGGCCTGTTGTAAAGGAAGGAGTAGCAACGAGAACTTCGGCGTTCCGGGGTCGTGCTCGGTTTTTGGGTTTAGACGCGACCTGCCACTTGAGATCTGGCTCTCATGAAATGCACCGAATGCGGTTAGACAGTACCCGATTTTGTGAGTAGTGTATCCCGATTAAAGTTACATGACAGCGCGAAGGCAAAATTTCTCTTTGACGAAGTCCGCGCGTGACAACCCACAACAAGGAAGTTATGCGCAAAGCATAATGACATTCGATGATGTTGCGGCAAAATTGGGAATCAGAAGGCTCTCTTGGGCAGGTTTATACGCGCTTCCTGATTGCGGATTGTTGCATTCCCTAGGTCCAGACGTGTGCTACAATGGCTTCACGGTAGGATCTCGAGTGGTATGAACTTCCCGAACCAACTTTTACCACAAATAACATATGCATTCTCAAGCTAAGAGTTGAATATACAGCTGCAAGGACCGGTTATGGTTATCAACCCGGAGGATCTACGACTGCTTCTGGCATGATAAGCGTAGGTAGGTATCTTGTGCACAGCCTCATCTGGCGCATATGGAAAATTCAATTACAGGATGCATTGGGCAAATAAGAAACTGACAGTGGCGCGAATGGGTGCAAATCAGGGGATACATCGCGGGAGCCCCTTCCCTAAGAACTACTCGATTACCGCATTCATGCATCGGACCTCACTCCTCTCCTTCACTCCTTGCCCTCTTCCGCCGATGCCCAACCAACTGTAGCATCTCCTCCCAGAACCCCGGCATGGGCTCGGTGAACCCCGCCTCGTAGGCGTCCACCACCGGCGCCTCCCAGACAAGATCTAGCTCCTTCGGTCTCAAGATCCTCGTACGCTTGAAAAGTTTCCACCCGAAGTACAGAATCGGCGCGACAAGCTGCATGGTATAGTTCTCGAAGAACTTCTGCACGCTCCAAGGCGCAAACGCCGTGTACCCGTAGAACAGGAGCACAAGCGTCATGGTGACGGCGCCGATCCACGCGCAGTAAGGCTGGAAATATCCAACGTATGGCAGGGTGCGGCGGTCGAGGCCCTGGGCTTTACACGCGTAGTAGAAGTTCAGGTAGGTGATGCACATCACCAGGAAGTCGATGAGGGCGCCGGCGGTGATAAGCGAGACGAGCAGCGACAGAACGCGGGAGGAGTTGTTCGATAGCTGCAGGAAGGAGAGGAAGGGGAAGCAGATGACGACGGCGAAGGCGTAGACGGGCACGCCGCGGCGGGTCTTGGTGAGGACTTTGGGCGCTCGGCCCTCGAGCGCGAGCCCGTACAGCGAGCGAGTGGCACAGTAGGTTAGCGTGTTGCCGGCGGAGAAGATCGAGGTGATGAGCAGTGCGTTGACGAGGTGTGGTAGCCCCTCGACTCCCAGGTTGGCCATGGCGATCACATAGGGCGAGGCGGCCGCTCCGGCGGCGCTGCTCTTGCCGTTCAGGATCGACTGCAGCGTTGGGTCGTTCCAGGGGATCACGGTGCCCACGCAGGTGGCCCCTAGGATGAAGAAGAGGATGAAGCGCCAGTAGATGGTCTTGAAGGCTGCTTTGACGACGATGCGCGGGCGTTGGGCTTCGGCGGCGGACATGGAGATGTACTCCGGGCCGACGATCGTGAATGCGGCCGACCAGAGAGCAGCGAGGAAGCCTTCGAAACGGCCGGCGGCGCCCGTGTGTCTGTACTCGGCAAAGGCACTGGGCTGACTCCAGTAGCGGAATCCGTAGGCATCATGTCTGGGATTGCCTCCGACCATGGTGACGAAGGTGAAGAAGATGAGGGTGAAAATCAGGATGATCTTCCCAGTGGAAAGCCAGAATTCGGCCTCGCCGTACGCTCGAACAGCGAGGAAGTTGATGGCACTATTCACGTGTCAGTTCCTGCTCTTCATTTTCAATTAACACCACTGTGGTGCGTATATTTATCGGGAAGCTGGAATGGTAAGCAGGGTGGATCTGTGGGCGTACGTATAGAGAGCAATACAAGCCGCACAAACGGCTGCAACAGGGATGTCATCCCGCCAATAGTTCAAGACAAGGTTGATGGCCGTGATTTCAAAGGGAATCATAAGAGCCTCGTAGAAGAAGAAATTCCACCCAACCATGAATCCCAGGGCGTCATCGACCCATTTGCCGGCGAGGCGAATGAACCCCCCAGAAACTGGCTGGAGGACCGTCATTTCGGCTATACAATTGTTGATACAGGCGATTACGAGGGCGTAAAACGTGTAGGCGATTAGCAGACTGCCAGGGCCACCGGCTGCAAGTCCGTTTCCGATACTGACGAAAAGTGCGGTGCCAATCGATCCGCCGATGGCCAGAAGTTGGGTTTGCCGGTTGTTGAGTCTTCGTTGAAGGCCGTCGGTGGCCAGCGCCTCCGTGGGGCATGACTGCACATCGGCTTCCACGATATCTTCTAGTTTGCGTTCTGTCTTCTCGGACATCTTGTACTGCGGTGGGGAAATAGCGAGGACTGGGGCAGATTGGAAGCGGGAATCTCTAGGCAAGGGCGTATCATGAATCCCTGGGGCATCCCTGAATGGGGATGGGACCCACGCAGGATTTATAGAAGGGACCCTGAACCTTATCTGCAGCGTTATAGTCTTGGCCCCCAGGTGTCAGGCAACAGCTAAAGGCTAGAATAACCCCAGAATTGACGACTTTGCGGGGAAGGTGGCAAATCTTCTGCCCAGGTCGTGGAGGGATGGCTCTCACCTTCAATACCGCAATAGGTATGGTTTGACTTCATGAGATAGTTCGTTGTAATCTCACATTGCCCAAACCCAAGCACCAACTCAAGTTCATGATTTCCCCTATACCACGGATACGATAAAGTATCAGAAAAATGCTATTTGGAGGTGAATTTGGGACGGGATCGGATCTCATTACTCCTTTGGCACTAGCCCTAATCTGATGTTCTCTTTCTTCCCCGCCATTTTGAGAAACTCCCGAAGTGTGGGGAAATTTGTTCGTGTTTTGTTGCATGACGTGTGATTCCCTGCACAGCCGGTTTTTCTTCCCATTACGTGAATCCATCCCACATCCCACCGAAATCGCTTCAACATCGCCACCATAAAACCCCTCCCAGTTCCCGCCGAAAAGTGATCACTATTTTCCACCATAAATTTTTTATATTCCGCACCACAATGAGCCCCAACGTGCCCACCAGCCGCCGGGCATTCCGCCGAACGGACGACTACACGCCAGGCACGGCCAAGCTGAAAGCCGTGGAAGAAGCCCTGCCCCCGCTGGGTCCCACATCAGTTTTGATCAAGATCCACGCCATTGCGCTCAACTACCGCGACGCCAACATCGCCAACGGAGGGAACCCCTGGCCCGTCCTACCGAACGGGATCCTCTGCAACGATGCCGCCGGCGAGGTGATCGCAGCCGGCGAGAAGGTCAAGACCCTTGCTATTGGGGACCGCGTCGCCCCAATTATCGACACGAAGTTCGTGTCTGGTCGAGAGCTGGGCCGGTCCTGGCTTGCAGCGGACGAGGATGGGGTTATGGCGGACCATGTTATCTTCGAGGAAGACGTTGTCGTCAAGCTGCCCACGTATCTAGACTGGGTCAGCGCGGCCATGATCCCGTGTGCAGGCGTCACGGCGTGGTCGGCGCTCAAAGGGATGAGTATTGGGCAGACGGTTCTGATTCAAGGTATGTCCTTCGTTTTTTAGGGATTTGCTGCGGCGGCTGATCTCGTCTCGATCGCTAGGAACTGGAGGTGTCAGTGTCTTCGCGCTGAAGCTCGCTCGCGCGGCGGGCCTGCGCGTCATTCTTACTTCTTCCAGTGATGAGAAGCTTAATAAGATGAAGGAAAAGTATCCCGACCCGCCGTTGTTGACGATCAACTACTCGAAGATCCCCGCCTGGCATGAGGAGGTGCTCAGACTGACTGACGGGGTGGGAGTTGACATCGTCGTGGAGAACGGCGGCACCCCGTCGCTGGTCCAATCCATGAAGTGCACGCGGAGGGGAGGGATTGTTAGCCAGGTCGGATATCTGGGCAAGCAAAATCCCCAGGACTTGGCCGAGTTAGTGTCAATCATTATCGATAGACGAGTGGTGTTGAGGTGAGTCTCTAATAAACTATCCCGCCTGTTGCGTGGCTGGAGGCTAACGATCATCCAAGGGGCATCAACGCGGGATCCAAGTACGATACGGAAGACTTTTGTGCAGCCCTGTCGGCGACGAAGACACGATTAGATGACTTGATCGATTCGGTGTTTCCGTTTGAGAAAGCAGAGGAAGCGGTCGAGTTTGTTTGGCAGGGGAAGCAGGTGGGGAAGATTGTTCTTCAGCTGTAGCGGTTATCCGCTGGGGTGTATAAAGAACCAGCAAATGTAGAGAAACGGACGATGGATCGAACAATGTATCTGCCATATAGATAGTAACAGCGATGTCACTCTTCCAAATGCAACGCTCCCGCATCTTCAACCTCAAACCTTGGGCCAACACTTAATGGCCTGTCTCCTTCGAGGCCCGCACATACGAGACTAAAAAGTAGCAACTTTGGCAAGGATGCCAGGCCGGCCGAACGCTGCTGACCTGGGCAAGGGCGATTCCCTCGTCCTTGTCCCAAGTCTCTCAGATTCCCGATATAGAAGACGTTAGATCCAGGAACGGTAGCCCAGTTAGATTAATCCAGAATCATGGCACCATTGTGCCAGATGCGGATACCTCATTCCATGGAAATATCAGCACTTTTACCCCGGGCCGGTAAGCGGGTCGCCCCATTCACCAGCAACATCTTTAGCCTTAGTTCTTTCACGTTTTGTCGACTTCTATCTACTAGACATAGGCCACCTTCATCGCTACAGAAGCGATGTAGACGCGACCCGAAACACTGGTCATTGGTGGAAACCAAACTGGCTTCGTAGGTAGTTAATTGGTGTTAATGCAGCATAATATCGAGCTGAGCCTGCGGATTATTGAGACCTCGCATGCCTTGAACCAACTCTTTAATTTATAACCGTTCTCTATGGCGCTGTCAGAGATTCATGTCGGGGCAATACTGAGGAGACGATGTCCAACAAAAAACATATGTCACTAATGCCAGGCACGTCAAGTTAAACTCAATTATGAATTAATGCTTAGAAAGCCAATACATCCGTCGGGAGACTTACCGGCAAGTCCTTATTGATATATCTCATTGACAGGACTTTTCCTAATACATTAAGTACTTAGAGCAGCTGCGTAGAGAAACATCCATATTTACATAGAAATGGATCGGCATCGTTATCAATAATTATAGCTTTACCTAAATGTGTATATCAAGCAATTCTAGGTGTGCTAAAGCCCTGGGCGGCCACTAACATTCTGACACTGTTAGGTGCCTTTTCTCAACTCCCTGCTTTTATATTATGTCTGCTCTTTTTCAACCTAGACCCTTTGAATCTATGCCAGATAACTGCATTCAATTACTATGCTGTCAGTCCATTTTGAATTGTACAAGGGAAAATGACTATTCTTCGTTGACTGGACATGGTTTGGAAATGTAGTCAGGTGGACCACAGTGATTTAGTTTGATATATATTACAGTAATTTGGACAAAGGTTTCCATTGGTGGAACTTTCTTCCGGGTGAGTTTTCCTTTTACATGTACTTCTAGAGCAAACTGAACGCACAGACGAGTACCCTCGAAGTTCGCATCTTCATCGCAGGCTGCTGATCAACGAAGATACCTCAAGGCAATGACGTCATACCTATCTAAATCGAATAACAGGCCTGTTGTCTGGCGGAGCGGATGGCATCATAGTACGACGATCATATATGTTTACCATATCCCTGCTTTGACCAAGGCTGATCTTCATGGATATCGTAACTTTAATTGCCGCGCTGCTCCACACTCACCAGCCAGATCGAACACATCCTCTTTCCATTCCCGTGGGACCGGGTATCGAAGTTACTTAACAGCGACGGTACTTGGGCTCTATTTATAATTCCAAAATGGTTACTTGACCGCGTGAACGCGATCTTGTTAACTTAAGGAATGTGCCACATGCTATTCATCTAGCCCTAGATCTATTGGTAGGTCAACGAAAAAAGAGTGATCCTCAGAGATAATCGCGTGTAATGGACCCACCAAACACGATGTTTATACTCCCGCACTACGCATGCCGAGCATCATGTCGATCAATCCTCAGCTTGAACTATTCTGGCGTGAACGCCTCAAGATGATGTCTCGCGGGGCACCGGCAGTATATCATCAATCTCCCTCCTCGGGATGAGCGACGGAGGGACTCTTGACCGGGCAAAACACTTTGCATTCAGTCATCATCGGCAATGACCACTCAGACAGAGAAACCCCGAGATGAAGAAGATTTCCTACACCACGAAGCTGCCCGAAGGGGCATGCGAAGGACGGGGTCGCGAACCATGGAATGGAACCCCGAGCATCAAGACTATCCGCGCAACTGGCCCATCCAGCGTAAAACCTATGATATGACCGTCATGTTCTTCCTCGAGTTCTACACCACGATCATCAGCACCACAGGTCCGTCAGCCGCGACTAAGGCCATGAAAGAGTACGGACTGAGTCGGATTATCGCACTGACCGGCTTCCAATTCATGTATGGTGTGGGCCAGGCCCTCGGAGGACTCATCATGCCGCCCTTTTCCGAGTCGCTGGGCCGCAAGAAGTCTTATCTGGTGTCCGCAGGCGCGTACAGCATCTCGTGCCTGTTAGTGGGCGTCGTGCCCTCTCCAGCGGGCGTGTTCATCGGCCGGTTCATTTCGGGCTATGCGTCGTCAGTGCCGGCCATTGTACTGGCTGGAAGCATCGAGGATATGTATTCCACCAGCCCCAGGTTGTGGCTGCTCTGGCTGTGGAATTGTTCGACCATTCTTGGGCTCTGTGTTGGTCCAATATACGGATCGTATATTGTCAGTGCTATAGGCTGGTAAGTTCCCCTCGCTCAATTTCGTCCAGCAATGACTACTTCCGTAGCACGCATGTATACTGACCATACAACGAAACAACAAAACAGGCGTTGGGTATATTACACTGCGGCCAGCATTTGCGCCGGCCTGTTTATCCTGCTTCTGTTTGTGAGCGAAAGTCGACCGACCACCCTTCTCTCCAGGCGATTCGAGCATCTCAAGTCCAAGGTTGGAAGTCGCCTAGATGGCATGCAAATCTCCAATCCCGACCGCATAGACAACAAGCACGAGCTCGTGCAAGTCATCCTGGTGCGGCCGGCACGGCTAGGCGTTAGCGAACCCATCGTCATCACGGTGTCCATCCTGAGCGCGTCCGCATGGGGGATGATGTATCTCTTCACCGAATCCTTCACGGTGGTCTACGGACAATTCGGCTGGAGTTCACGAGCGACTTCGCTACCGTTCCTAGCCCTAATCCCCGGCATTGTCGCGAGCGGGCTCGTCCGCATCTGGGACCACCACACGGTGCACCGACGGCTACAAAACAAAGACACCTCCCCCGAACCCGAGGACAAGATCCGGGGATTCGCCCTCGGCGCTCCTGCTCTGGCAATCGGACTGTGGATCTTCGGTTGGACCGTCCCGCCGCTGGTGCACGGGGTACCGTGGATCGCCTCGATGTTTCCCCTGGCGGTGATCGGATTCGCGGCCACCGAGTTCTCCTACACCCTCAGCGGCTACATCGCCGACGCGTACACCATCTATGCCTCCACGGGCCTGGCGGTTGTCTCGTTCCTGCGTGGAATCGCCTCCGCCTGCATGCCCTTGTTCGCGTATCCCATGTATGCGGGCCTCGGCTCGAATATCGCTACCAGTATTATCGCGGCCGTCGCGACCGTCTTTGCCGTCACGCCGTTTCTGTTCTTGCGGTTTGGGAAGCGGCTCAGGCTGAAGAGCCCGTTTGCTCGGTATAGTGCTGAGGTTAATGAGCGGCATGGTGGCGGAGGAGGGTAGACTCGTTAGCAGGTTGTAGGTATATCGAGTTACATGCACCTGAGAAAAAGCTGTAAATAACTAGGGTGTTCCGGGAAATCACTATCATTGCAATAGATCTATTCATGTATCTATACTATCTCGTTAATGTAGCGCTCTACTTGTGCAAAGCACGCAAGATCCTCGTTTTCTTGTTTGATAGCCAAGCACCGTCGTTTAAACCGGTCATCCCCGATAACCTTCGTAACGCCTTCTCGAATGTCCTCAATACTCGGCGTGTTCGATCTGAGGTTTGCTGCGATTCCAGCCCATTCGCCGCGCATGGACACCTCGGCCTTGTCTTCTGTGAAAAGTGTAAGCATGTGCAAGTACAAGAGTAGAATAAAACGTACGGCCCGTTCCGGCTATGACCATGGGGACCCCGTGCATGACGCCGTGGAGGAACCCTCCGTAACCCCCGTTGGTTACAAAGACATCCGCGTACGGGAGAATTGCATCGTACGATAAATAATCAACCACCTTGGCATTCTCCGGAAGCTTCACGTCATCATCGAGCGCGGCGCCCTTCTTTCCCAGAACCGCGACGACCAGGTACTGATCGTTTCCAGCCAAGGCTTGAATGGTGGGTATGAGAAGCATGCGGTAATCCAGAATAAAGGTTCCCTGCGTCACGAAAACCACCTTCTTGGGCGGCGTGGCCTGCTTCGCCGCCACAAGCTCCCCCCACCACGCTGGGAGCGCTATCGTCGCTGCCAACGGAGGCGGCGGCATGGCACCAATAAAGCGGATCTTCGGCGACAGGTCACTCCGTGGGTACTCCAGGCTGGGGCTGCATGGCTGTAGCAGCAGATCGGCGCCGGTGGCCCAGAAGTCCATCAGTACTTTGGTGGGGATACGCGATGTGGCGCCTAGGTCTGAGTACACCGCGTCCGCATACGCGATGAGCTCGGCCCCTATCCCCTCCATCGCTTGATACATCGCGGCGTTCCGGTTGCGCCCTTCATCACTGGAATCCGGCGGCAGCCCCGGTCCGAAGGGCGCAGTGTCGATGCTTGAGACTGTCAAAGGGACGGTCGACAGCGTGATGACTTTCGGGAATCGGTTGTAGCCCTTCGGTAAGGGGGCGCCCAGCAGGAACGGCCAGACTGCCATCGACACGAACTCCTGCAGGATCACCACCTCGCGCTCTGGGTTCTCCTCGCGGATGGTCTCAAGCACCCGCTGCAGCGCTTTCATGGCGACGGGGGTCAGGTCGATGAAGTTGTGCTTGATCCCGAAGATGAATTGCGCCGGGCCTTCCAGGGCCTGCTGCTGTTGGAATTGCTCCGCAGTGAGGACGCTGGGTACATGGTGGTATGTTGCGCCGGTTGATCGGATCGCTTCCTCGAAGTTGACGCCACCGATGAAGTGCACCACGTATCCTTGTTTGATCAGGTGCGTGGCGTGGGGGAGCAACGGTCTCGTGTGTCCATCTTCGGGGGGGCAGATTATGACCACAATGGGTTTGGGAGAGGGTGTCCTGATCTCGTTCATTCTGGTTTTCGAGGGGAGGGGGTCTTTGGGAGTGACTAATTAATGGACTGCGATCAAGGGTCTGGGGGGTTAGTTGACCCTTAAATGTAATTCTCCAGCCTAGAGAAAAAAAGGATGGTAGGCCATCGCAGCCGTGCCAGACGCCGTTATACCTGTTCGTTCGTAGTGCTTACTTTTGGTGCTTACGATTGCTAAGCGGAAAGCGACGGTAGAGACCAAGTGTATCCAATCAATTTATTTAGCTATCACAGTGTCTTGTTTAGCCCCGCTTAGGTAGATGGTGAGATTTTCAGCTCAGCCTTCGGGTGATATTGAGCCATGGTGGGTTCGCTGTCAGCATCTCCATCCACCCTGATGTATCACTACTTACATAACAAGCTCTAACGAAACTAGACCAATAATATACCTTGAATCATATCATAATCAAATCTTTCCTCCCCTTTCCTCCTTTGCGAGCAAGCTCCCTACCTGAAAAACTCCACCCAAACTCACAGCCCTTCCCCTCCATACATCGACCCTCTCTCCCCGGCCCCCAACAACAACCTCCGCTCCTCCGTCCCGAATACATAAAGGTACTCTCATTCTACTAAGAAAGAATAGAGCTCCCATAAGTTTATATTATCAAGTGGATTCTTCGGGCTCATAACTAACAGAACTCAAACCCACTAGGCTAAAAAAATACCAAGGCACTTATTTGGTAGTGTTTGGGCTCTATAGATCACATCTTGTCTCAGGGTTGACAATAGCACTCTGCTAGGAACCTACTAGAACAGTGAAGGGCATACTGACAGTCTTGGGGCTTTTCCCCGAATTCGACAGTCCTCCCTGCCGTCTTGGATGCATCGCGAACAAGGAGACCCTTTTATCAACGCGTCACACATGACTGTCCGCCGGGGGCACTCTAGACATGCGCGCGAAGCTCTTCTGCGGATACACTTTGACATCGAGAGCAGGGGACAGTCTTCTGCCAACGTTGAAAAAAGGTCGTGTATTGACAGCTAGAAGACAAATTACAACACCACATCAGTCAAACAATTACACCCATGTTCATGAGCTCAAAAAGAAGCTACATTTCGTGCCTGGGAAAGCCTGCACACCTTACTGATAATCCAAACAAAGGTGCACGAGCCTCTCTGTCCCTCTGGCTAATGTACAGTGTTTGGCTGGTTAGTCGTATTCGCATTCTCGCTTTTCGTATTTCTTCTAACCCCCCTGAGACAATCAGTAGCTCCGAGCGCTGTAAGAACCAACATCAGAATATTTGGTTTAGTGTCTCGCGAGTAGAGTCACGTAGCAGTGGAATGCCCCCCAATGAAGGAGAGTTTCCGATGATGTACCTTGATAGTAATCAACTCTTGAAGCATGTGCTAGTTCACCTAACCGGCAGGTCCTAAAGAGAGAGATGGATAGTTTCCGCGTCCTTGATACTGCGCACGGCGCTACCAGGACAGATTATGGTGACTACAGCAGTACAGGAAGAGATCTTTAGCGACAGATAGACATTTGTCCGATCCTTCTTTTGATGCCATCCGACCGAGGCTGAGCTAGACCACGATTTTCCCCCAAATGGCACACGAGCATTCAAAGGTTTCGAAGAGTGTGGTGCGCAGCTTGAATTCAATCACTTCCCAGCCTGACATTGCAGGCTTGACTCCGCAAACCTCTCGCATGAATTTACAAATTGGCGTACCCCCCCACGCGTGGCAGTCCGAACGCTGAGAGACCTTGTCTTCCATCCAGGTTGTAAGGTTCTGCGAGAGCTGTAGCTTCCACGGCCCCCAAAAAGTCTTGAATGCCTCCAGATATAGTTGGTTATCAACTGAGGACGCCGCGCGCAGCGTATAAAAAGACATGGCTAGCGATGGTTGCGTAAACGTAGGAAGAGAAGGCCGTTGAGGGGCCTCACTTGATTCCTCGGGCTCGGACAGCAGTGCTGCTGTGTTCGGGAGAAAAGGCAGTTCTTTGAGAGGGTTACTGCCCTCGGGCCAGTGACAGCACCGCACAATATAGCCCATACCTGAATATGCATACTGTAATCTTTGGCCTTCATGGAGCCAGACACAGGTCCGTCCATGAAGAATTGGCCGTCGAAGCAATCGGCGGTCAAGGCACGAACCAATTAATCGGCCTTGAGTACATATTTCTGAGGCCGTTCGTAGTCAGGGAACTAAGACAGAAGATCAGCAAAGAGGCGCAACGAATACACATAGAGTATGCTGGTATACGTCTGGAAACCTGTCCGCTCGGCGGCCGGTGGGATCCCAAAGGGCTTCCACTCGGGGATCCAATCCACAAAGTCCCAGAATCCTGAAGAAGCTGGTGAATGACGATAAGGCCAAGCCGCTTTCCAACACGCCTTTCAAAGCTCTGCAAAACCTTTTCACAGATAGGAATGAAAGGTCACGTGAAGTCACTGGCCCCATAATGAAGGAAGTGATCGCAGACCATGCAGACCCAAAAGAGCGAGAAATTTGGGATAATTTGTAATTGGTGTGCAGGGCCTCGACTTGTGGTCAGACCCAGTGCAGGCTGATAAGTGCTGCAGAGCTGCATGATTGCCTGCCGCACCATGCGATCGTCACGTGTAAAGCAGTAGGTGAAGGGCGCCGAGCTGCGGGCATTCATAGCGTACTGGAGCTGCTCGTAGAATGGGCAATCCTCGTAGCCATCGTGCATACAATTTTGAAGAGTTCTTATGCTTGTTGACCACATATCCTGGTACAGGTTCGCATCGCGAACGCTAGGTCCGAGTTAAAGGTTTGCCACAACCTCTAGAGGGTAGCGAGTTTCAACGATGCGCAGTCCCTCGAAGATAAGATCCCAAGTTTCTATTACCTGGATACTGATGGCTAGACATCTGATTGTGCGGAGATGGAAGGGGGCAAAGTCCTCCTGTTTGGGAGAGCGCCCGGAACTTGATACGCTCAAGCTTCTCGACCCACAGAATCAGGACATGCCAGGAGGAACGAATAAGTATTTAGCGTTATCGCATCGGTCGCCCTTAAGACGATGATAGGGCTTCATCACGGGCGGGTCCTCATAACATTCTGAGTATGTAATCTGCATGGTGCTGCCCGGCGATTGCGGTCGCCTGAAGAGAAATTCAACTACCGCTGTCAAGTGGTGTGCAAACTTGGATATGCAGACAGTGAGTTGTGGCCCTAGTAGTGGTCGTGGTAGTAGCTGAGGTGGTGCCGGTAGAGGTTTGGGTTGATGTCGTCCCTGCAGCTGTAGTCATAGTGATCGTCTTCGACGTGGTTGCTGTGGTGCTTGCCTTCGAGGTAGTGGTAGACCCCGTGGCTACTGCTGGTGTATATTGAGCATAGTCTAGGAACAGATGGAGTTTCAGTTGGTTATCGAGTTGCTAAGTCCACAAAAGGGAGACAGAAAGATGTTATATCTTGATCGATAATCGAGTAGGTGGCCCCTGCCACGCAACTGGTAACTCCGGAATAGCCCTGGCGCCCATCTTGTCTATAGATAGTTTGCTAGGCCTGAATAGCGAGTGGCAGAAGCGCCACTGCAAGAGATGAGGTGTAGCGCAGTGTAGATCGGCAGCTTCAGTTGTATAATCAACAACGGTGGTGCGAGTCTGTGCCTGACTGGTCGGGTGGACAATCTGGATTATTTAAACTATATGGTTCGTCATGGCTCACGGATATATCCCCGTGCTGCCCTTGAACGCAGCACTTTATTCCGCGTCGAAACCATGAATTTTTGAACTCAATAACAACTATGGGTCATACAATGGTACCTGAGAAGGTCCTAATCCGTCCTGAAATTAGATAGAGGCTCCATCAAGGTCTTTGGTGGCGCTGCGAAGATCTCAACTGGGCGCGGAGAGCCGGCAGAAGAATCACGGGTCCCTGAAGAAAGCTTCATCTATCCCCACATTTCGGCAGATGATAATAGGGCTTTCAGCCTAACTGTGACTCCTCGTGTCGGATCAACGATCCGCTCAGCCTGCTTGCCAAGTCGATGAGTGTATCTAGCCAGAACTGCCCGGTTCAAAAGGGGTATCAGGGGCAAAAACATACAACAGAAGGGATTCGCTGGTGGTCACCCACCCAACTACTAACCTCCCGGCGTGTGGCTTGAACGCGGCCAGAAGGCGGGTGGGTGCCGT